TAAATAAAGGAAGAATATTACTAGATATAAGCTTATTCTAAATCTTTTCTTATTCTATTATAAACTCAGTCTAAGGGATAATATATTATAGGTAGATCTAGCTAGAGGGGTTTATTATATCTCCTTATATTATTAAAGAATAGTTAGTTATAGCTTTAATAGCTAAGCTGAGTAAATAGTATATTTTAAAATATTACTAGAGTAATAGTAGTTAAGATATACTTATATATTCCTTAGCTTCTTAATATTACTATTACTCTTCTTTATATTATTAAGGAGATATTATATTCTATAGCTTCTTATTAACTCCTTTCCTATAGTAGTTAAATCTATAGATATTTAATATTAATACTATCTATAGATCTTATTATATAATAGAAGCTAATATTTAGTATTAATAATCAGCTAGTAGATATATAAAAAGACTAAGTACTATAACCTATATAATTATATCTATTAATAGAAGCTAAATATATAATATAGCTCTATAAATAGCTATTCTATAATTAATATTCTATTTATTTATAATAAATATTAATATTATATTTAATTTTATATATATCTAGTAATACTATTATCTAAGAATATAGAATCTATAATATTAACTAATATAATAATACTAGTAGATAATAAATTTATTAATTAGCTATAAAATTATTATTCTTATTAATATCTATTAATAATTAAACTATCTAAATAGTATATATACTTCTAATATATATTAATTCCCTACTCTGAGCTTAAGCTATTTTAGATAATAGCTACTTTATTAGAAGATAAGTATTTATTATAATTACTATTTTCTTATTTAGAAAAGTAATCTAAAGTATATTAAAATTTAATTTTTATAAATAAAAATATTTAAAAGTAATAGCTATTTTAAAGGGAGATATTAGGTTCTAAAGATAGAGGCTAAGAGATAATATTTTAGATACTAATACTCCCAGAATATAAGGATATAACAGGATTATATATTTTCAAATAGATATAGCCGTATATGGTAATTGAAGCTATCATGGAAACTATATGCCCTAGTCCCCGCAGCACAAAAAAAACACCAAGCATTCCAGCCATAAATACATACAACAGCGGGATCTCTATTGGTACCAACGACTAATACCCCCGTCTCTCTGCGATGGTAGTCTCAATACGACCGTTCGATTTATCGATCTCAACTTGCGCTCTTCCAACTCTGACATGCTACTGAGTATGATATATGGATTAATAGCAAGGAAAGATATTTGGTCTCATATGGAAGAGTCTTGTCCTAGCTGTTCATGGGCCTTTTGTTGGCTTTGGGACCTGAAGGAAGCAATAATACGGTGGAGCAGACCCAGCCTTATGGACAAAAATAGCCTGTTTCCCACCAAAAGCCGTTATGTGCTTATGCGCATGCCAGCGGGCCCTCTGCACAAGGCGCGTGAAGTCCAAACGAAAAAGAGAAGGGCAGTGGATGCACTTTAGTCGATGCAGTCATCAATTATACCTAAGTAGGTAGACGTATTTGGCTCAGCTGCGGAACAAGGAAGGTACTTTCTCGAGAGACCAAATTGTCCCCCCTGGAGAGAGCTGGCTGAAGCAGCAAATGGGAAACCTAACAATATGACCACTTGTGGCTGCAAATGCACTTTACATGCAGCATACTCCAGCCTCATGAGTCCTCACTCCTACAACGGGGCGGAGTGCAGGGTGGTATGACAACATAAGGGCCTTCGGTTGGGCGTAGATGATGTGACACATGTGTATATATTGCGGTCGATGGTTCTTCAAAACTCTGGTTTACAAGTGATTATGCAGACCCAATACACTCTTTCTTATCAATCTCAACAAGAACTGAATATGCCCTCTCTTCGCAACCTCGTCTTTGCGGTGGCACTTGCCGCTTCTGTGACGACGTCTCTTGCAGAACCTGCTGAGGAAAATGACGCCGTGGTAGAGTTTTCCGACCGTGGCTGTAGGCACTACTCTGAGTCCCTATTCGAGGAAATGTCTAACCTCATGATTTCGTAGTCGAAAGTCAAGTGCTCGACATTGAGCGGCGCGGGATGCTTGGTGGCGACGAAGCGCGTTTGGAGAGAAGGGCCAACATTTGCTACATCACAAACCGAGCCTTCAAACACTGCCAGAGCAGCCAGTGTCCGGCAACCACAAATTGCAAGTACAGCCCGACCACCAAAAGGTGCAGCTTCACGCTCCCAGCCAACAAGAGAAATTTCGGGTGCCGAGGTTGTCTTTGCTCCGCGCCAGGAAGGAGGAGGCGATAGTCAACTTGACCGGGATTGGTTTGAGGAATCGCTTTATTAAGTTGGATTTCAAGGTAGTGGATGGTTAAGCAGTTATGCGTGTAGAGGACAGGAGAGAACGCCGTGCAAGTCAACTATCTCGACAAATCCATGATAATTCTGTAGCTTCAATTCGTGCGAGGCGTCAACCTTATATAGTGATGAGACAACAAAACCACTAACTTTTCGCATTAGAAGAGTACTAGAAACCGAACTTGGATTATCTGGCTTTCAACAAATGATTTCCGTCTGATTACATACAATCATATCTCATTTCCTCATAGCACACAGCATCAAAATCATCCAACTACCTCCCCGTCATCATCGCTTAAGGGTCTCCAGGCATGACTTCTATCGCTGGAGCGTACAACTGCTCCGTCGCATGGACCGACTCGGGATGGATTGCTTCAAGGGTCAAGTACCAACCAAAGCTTGCGGCGCTTCCGTCCTGCGACTGGATATAGCTTGCCGTGATCGGGCTCCTATTGAGCATCCCATTAATCCAGGCTTCGTCGGCAGGGTTTCCATACAGGACACTCATCGCCATGCCCATGGGGAAAAGGTACAAAAACACAGGCTCATGGTTCTGATGATGATGTTGGGTGATCCACTCGAACGCTCGACAGATCTCCAAGGCTGGATCTCGTACAGTCACGGCTCCGCCGGGACGGCGCAGAGGTTTGTAGAAATCATGTGTGGTCGTTGCACAACCAGCGTGAAACATGGCAGCGGCTTTTGCGCAGTTCTCGATGTGCACAGCAGCGTGCATAGGGTCCATCTTCCAGAGCAAGGCCAGGAGCCACATCAGGGTGGCGTTGTAGACCATCAACTCCACGGCGGCGGAGAAGGTTGCGAAATGCAGGGGGGTTCTGTAATGCGGCACATTAGAAGAACCTATGGCAGCAGAGGCAGTGCGATTCTGCTCGTTTTCCTCTGCGCGGACGCTGACAAGTTTGCCTGAGCGAACCTGCCATCGCCAACGCCATTGATAGAGAATCGTAAGTTGCGCCTTCACCATCCCCAGGAGGTCAGCGAATCTCCCTGGACGCTTGTCGTTTACCGTCTCCAGCTTCGAATGGTCCTGAAGTATCCCCGGTATAATGACAAGGATATCCGCGAGTTCGCTCTGCGGTGTCTTTAGGTGGCGATTGCGCGCCCAAGGCACTGTTCGCCATCTCTCCTCATCAAGAAACAGGCGTTGTTTACTCATCAGGCTGGCGATTATCTAAGAGGATGTTAGTTTCACTACTATTGATGGCATTCAAACCACACAGTAGAATTACTTACCAGTGTCGCTCTTGCAGATTCGAAAGCATTCATCAATGGCTGTTGTTGGAAAGCCTCTGGACCACAAATATTGAGCAAATGCGCAATGCCTTTGAGATGAAACATTGATCCAGCACGATCGGCATTGGAAGACTATCCTTTATTAGTTGCTACCGCGGATCAGGCACACTACTTGGGTCAAGGATTCGAGATCTCACCGAGTGGATCAGCATGATGAGAATGGGGACCAAGAGCTCCCCTGTCACTCCGATCATGAGGGCATCCCTGAGGATATTGAGACATGTGCTATATCGCTGCACACCCTCGAGTTCAACCATTGACTGGTGATTGGCTTTCCCAAAGTTCGACTGTGAGAGCCCTCGCGTCGCATTGAGGGCCAGAGCACCCAATTTGCCCTGGGCTGCCTGCTCGAGCCATGGGGAGCCGTACGAGCGCCAGACGAAATTGGCAAAGGTGAAGCTAATACAAAAGTCGTCTTTGAAGGCGATAAGACTAAGCTCGCTCGGGGGCGATGCTGCTTGCGCACGCGCGGCCACAAACCTCATTCGCCGGGCATCCGGCTCAGAGGAAGCCTCTCCAGGGAAAGGTGCTGTGGACGTGTGAAACCATATCTTCCTCTTCGTATAGCCCAGGCACTCGAAACCGCCCTTTGCACAGCGCTGGCAAGTGGGCTTGGCCTCATCTGTCGGTGGCCGAGTCAGTGGGAACAATCTCCGTCGTAGGGCTGAATGCCGAGCTCTCATGCTTACCGCATCTGACCTTGCGCCTTCGGCAAGTAGTGCAGGCCTTGCTGCGCCCAGGGACCCCAACCATGGTAGACAGCGAGCGAGGCCGGGCGTGATAGGTTGGAAGCAGAACACTCGGTCCCCAGGAGAAGAGATCGATGCCGAGGGTTGTGGGGCCTCGCGCATTCCTTCCAGCTTGGGGAGCCGAAGAGCTATTTATCCATCTTGGGCTGTCATTGCTGACACACGTGAAGACTCTGTTCAGCTGGGCAGTCCACCACTCAGAGCGCATCTTGTGTAGCATCTGCCGGATTAAGATCCCATCTCATCTTCGCATTGACGATGCCCTAATTCGGGCAACAAGCTTCGAGCTGCAACCTCCAATTCTTAGTTGTCAGCGCTTCAAGTGGGCCGCAGTGTGTAAGCTGTCCAGTCTAACCAGCCACTATCATCATGCAAAGCGTCGAAGCCATCAAGCTAATTGTGGCATCACGATGTCGAAGAGCATCCATTGTATTCATTAAAGAGGTGAGTTGTACTTAATAAAGGGGCGACTCCAAGTATAAAGAGGTCCTGCCGCGCTCACATCTGGACAATGATCACTCCAACACATCGACCACCACACTCCACTCACTCATTTCCCTAACTGGTTTTTTCCCCTAATCATTAATACAAACATCTTGATTTTCCCTTTGAAACCTTCAAAATGCTCTTCCCACGAGCTCTCCTCGCCTCTGCCATTTCTGGTGGCATGGTCCTGGCCGATTCCCAGCCAGAGGCCCGGCCACTGACCCAGCCGTACTATCCCACCGCGGCCAACTGTTGGGAATACAAAGTTCCCGTTACCGTCACGTCCCAAAACAAGGTGTTCGACTTCCCCCGATGGGAGGACGACTACGCGCTCCAGGACTTCCTGAGCAAGGCGACAACGCGAGACAGCGCCAACTACCCAGGCCCCATCGTCGGAACCAAGAACGAAACTGCAACGTACACCATTGCAGCATCTTTCTGTACTCCCAGGAATGGGGGCTCCAAGACGGTGATTCTTGCCACTCATGGAATTGGACAAGCTCGTACCCACTGGAACTCGGCCTACCGACCTGAGGAGTACAACTTTGTCCAGCACGCCATCAATCAGGGATACTCAGTCTGGTTTTATGATCGTCTCGGTAACGGCGAATCTTCAAGGTGAGTAGTACCTTGAGTTTAATATAATCTCACTTGCTGATTGATTCAAAGGGTCTCTGGGTTTACGAACCAGCTCCAGATTCACAAAGCTATTCTTGTTGAGTTGGCCAAGTTGGTCAAAGCTGGACAGTATACAGGTGACTTTGGTACGCCAGGGAAGCTTGCTCTCATGTCCTTCTCTTATGGATCCTATATCACCCATTTTACCGTCGCGGAAAACCCAACTCTTGCAGATGCTGTTGTCTTGACTGGAATCAACTACAATACAACGGGTCTCAACTTCAAGGGTCTGGTTCGGTCCTTTGTACCTCGTGTTGCTGCCCTGCAGAACCCAAGGCGCTTTGGACTGCTTGATGCCGGATGGCTTACCTGGTCCGACACATTCGCTCAAATTAACACGTAAGTCGGCAATGTTTTCCATCGGCTTGTGATGGTGAAACAATTGCTAACTACTTCAACAGCTACTTCAAGTACCCGTTTTACGATATTCCTACGTCTTCCTACGCCGAGGAGTACAAAAACGCTTTTGGTATCGCCGAGTTCTTCACTCTTACGGACGGACAGTTTGACGCGAGTGGGTTCACTGGTGCTGCATTGGTGAGTCATCCTTTCGCTTCGCTTATTTCGGCTCATTTCCTCCATGGCATTGACTAAAGATTTACTAGGCCATTACTGGAGAAACTGATTATATCGTCTGTGATGGCGAGTGCAAGGGTATCTTTGAGGAGCCAGCCCGCACCATCTGGAAAAACGCCAAGTTCACGCCGTACTTGCACCCCAACACCAGTCACAATTTCTTTTTCCATAAGAACGCAACCGCATCTTTCGAGGTCATCACTTCTTTCCTGAAGTCTAACGAGCTTTAGTCAGCTTGCTTGGAGACTCAGTTCTTACTACCAGTTGAACACGTGAGGTATTTGCCGTGGCTGATACAGGGCCGGGGATGAGGTGGAAGTAGCAGATGTGTTGTCAAGGGGGTCTTGTTTGTTTGTCTTGCTCATTCGTAATTTGGTCACGGCTTGTCGTGACGTCCGCTCGTTTGGTACTTGCTTTCCATTAGAAACCACACTCATTTAGCATAGAAAACATAATTACAATTTGTAGCCAGTTGTCACCATATGTCATATTATTGCCTAATTCAATGCTACCCGCTGAAATGGACCTTACAAAATACAATTGTCTATATTTAGCTGCTGGAGATTGTGAGGATCATTTGTTTGGGGACCAACTTTCCCCTTCGTCAGGAATCTTGAGATTTCTTCGAATGGGTAGCTCCTTGATATTGTACACCTTCTTCTCACAGATAAATTCTAGTTGATATTACTTAATCCCTGAGTCTTCTAGAAAACAATGCAAGTATTCACCTTCAGAGTGAGGTTGACGTAGACTCATCACCTATTACACCATGCCGCTCCTCCACACCCTTTGGCTTTGACCCTGCAGTGCCTCGGCATGTGGATCGAGCCACTTGCCTCATACAGAAGGAGAGTGCGAGGTGCATTAGCTATGCCGAAACGTGCCAGCGAGGGATCCATCGAATCTCACTGCCGACGCCACATTGGAAGATATGTCTGTTTATGGACGCATCAGCGGGCTGTTGTGGGTGGTAATTGGACAACGAATCCACCGGAAGGGCGAACTTGCGAAAACTCGTATAACGATCATCGTGAAATTGGTGGGCCGCTGAGCTGAAAGAATACCGTGATACCCTCATACGAAAATCAGTGAGGTGGGCAAGTGGACAGCTGCGGCTTACTTGCTGATTGGGGTTACAAGATTGTTGATTGGGGGCGGTATTGAACAGTCGAGCCGGCAACATCTATTTCTCCGGCTTGACCAATGGAATGTCCAATTTCAGAGCATGTGTCTTTGTACATTCATCCAGAGAAAAATTCTACGATCTGACAAGGGATCCTCATGGTTATCGTTCTTCGCTCTCCCACATGGCTGCATTCATCTACTCAAGTTCCTGAAAATAGGCTACAACAAATGTTGTTTTAGTTTGGCAAACAATATTTGAAGCAAACCACACGAATGTTTTAGTAGAATGTCATATCACATTCTCGTCACTCGAAACACGAACGAGAAGATATTCCAGGCTGTAGAATTCCATGAGACCTTTAGAAATATAAATATTACTCAGGGTAAGAGTTTGACCGGATCATAGTGCAGATTATGCCCCCGTTGCGGTACTTCGCTAGGTTTAGGAATGGCCGAAGCTATCTTCCGCATACTTCCAATATCTCCTAGCCGACCATTTCCTCAGTGCCTTTCCTTTCCAAATCATCACTAAGAAAGTAGATGTGCATCCCAAAGCGAGAAACCCCGCCATGATGAAGCAATTTTGCAAGCCCATATTAGTATACCACGGCGTAATCCCGTAAGAGATGGCAAAGCCCAAGGTGTTCCTAATGATGATGATAGACGTGGTCGTCTCTCCGCTAATGTCTTTGAAGCAGTCAATATTATATGACAGCGCAACTGAACCACCAGTGACACAGCCGAATGTCAGTATGCCGAGACCAATCGCCAGTCCCGCCCAGTGAATGTCATGTGCCGCCCCAACACCCCAGGTGATGAGTCCTACGCACGACATAACTGCAGATAACGCCAGGGGCCACAGACGTTGCTCAGGTTCGCGGATTCCATTATTTCGCTTGGCAAGATAAAGCGTAAACCGGTCAGCAACAATGCCAGACCATAGTGTTCCAATGGCAGCACCTATAATTGGCCCGGTGTAGATACATCCAACCAAGCCGGTTGACCAATTGTACGGGTCTGCACTTAACACCGGGCTAGCAGTCCCATTGAGCACATTGTACCAGGATAGGTTGATGCCGTAAATGAAGCCTGACCATGCAACCGAGGGGAACTGCACAACGTAGACAAGGGGGGTGAACATGGCTTTGAACATTCGGATGTTGGCACGTTGGCTAGACGGCCTCGTAAATGGCGCCAGCTTTTGTGCAAACGTTTTCGGGGGTGCGAAAATAGATCCATTGTGCACGTTGGCGGTGTCAGCGCCATTCTTATCGCCTTGTCCAGATGTCTTCTCTTCTGAGTCCACAGAACCGTCCTGTGGCGTGTCATTGGTTGTTACACCCGTATTGTCTTCCTCCAACCCCTCAAGAGTCTGCCGAACGTACATCGTCTCCTCCATAAAAAAGAACAATATAACAAAAGAGACGGCAGCGACCATAGCGCCAAAGTGCATGGTCCACCTCCAGCCAAACGCTTCAGCAAACCATCCCGCGACAAGAGGAGCCAGGAAATTGGAGCCGAATAGAACGAAGACATAAAGAGCCATCCATGAGCCACGCTCATGGGCGAAAAACACGTCCGGGATGCTCACTTCAGGGAGGGACTCGATGGGCGCGACAAAAATACCAAGTAAGGTCCGGTGGGCGTACCATTCGCCTGCCGAGCGCGAGTAAGCAGTCCATACCATGAGGGGGACTGCCACCAAGGTAGAAATGAGGTATACACAGCGACGGCCATACGTCAATGCAATCGGCTGCCAAATCAGACAGCCCCAGCCAAGAAATAGAAACATCACACCGGTGCCTTGGACCAGCGCTGCGGTAGAGATGCCGGTATCTTTGGTGATGTCAGCCAGCACGGAATATTGGAGCGTGCCTGGCAGGCCAACTCCAAGAGTGTAGACGAGCACCATAAGTACAGATAGCTTCTTTCGTCGCGGATTCCAGTTCAGTGGATCCTCGGGGTCATCACTTGGTCGAGGAATGAGCTCTATGCCGCCTTTTGATTTCCGCGATGAATGTTGCCCCGGCATATCAACGAGGCGGACAGTGCCAGGAATAGCAACTTGGTCCTTTGACTTCGCCATGTTGGCTTAACAATGTACGTTAGTAGTTGAAAATTGACGAGGAAAAATTCTGTTTCGCTTGAAGGTAGATGTGATGTTTGAAGCGGGAGAGGTAAGCCACACTTATGAGAGATCACGCGCAACAAGTTTCACCCATTTTATATCTACAATCTGAGTCGTGTCTTGCACCGATACAACTGCAAGGGGGTCTATGGATCGTAACGGGTTAGTCGGCTTTCCCGGCGATAATCCTCGATGTCTTCATCTCATTGTTCAGCTCAAAGAGGGGTTGCGAAGGTGATACAGCGTTATCTATTATTAATGATCATCCTTCTATCGACCGAGAATCGGCGTTCGGTCTCCCTTCTCCGCCCTATGTCCTGGTTTATCCTAGATAGCAGCTAATTGGTTATCTCACTATTCCCCTCATAATCAAAGCCCTGAGTTACAGCTATCGGCCTCCCTAAGTCCGTGGACTTTTATACCCGAAGCCGGAGATGGTGAAATGCTACTCAGGCCCACACTTCTGACATCACAAGCACACGCTATCAACTTGCGTATCCTGTCCATAGAGGGCCCATTGATAAGGTCCCGTAAGCGAGGTCCGCGGGGGGTTCACAATTCTATCATCAGAATGATAGACAGATACCTAATATTAGAACACCTAAGCCGACGCGTGAGTGATTCCCAACATTCAGCTGTACAGGTTTTGGACTGCTTTGGGAGGTATTTCATGACTCAGTCAATTCATATCAGAGCCCCAATAACTTAGAACTTGAAGAAAATTGAGCTTTGGTACACATTCAATGAAGCAACTGAACATCTGAACTCTAAACCCATGATCCCAGCTCTTATCTCTCGGGGCCAAATCCCCACCACATTGAAACCTCGTCAAAAGGTGCGCGATGAGGCCAAGATACCCGACACGTCATGTGTCACTAACTAATACAAACACAGCTAGATGTATGTTGGAGCTCTCTATCTCTTCTACGTTGAGTTAAGCAGTCCTCACATCTTATCATGCCCCCGACTCACTCATATATGGAGAGATCCTCTTGGCGTGTGCCTTATCTCTACCAATGTCAATGAAGCTTAGTAGTACATCACACCGTATGCAAAATGTCTACCGCCTCTTTGTCCATCGTCCAGCCAAAGAGCAGTCATCTTTCACTGCCAAAGGGCACTGAGGCTTTCGAGGAGCTGAAGGACAAAGTTCTGGGTGAATTCGCAGCCAAAGTACCATTGGAACTCCGGCTACCGCAAGCTTTAATTGATGATCCACCCAAAGACGTGTCGAATATTCCCCGAGAGTGTGGCATCTTATCAGCCAATGATCTTGAAATTACTGATCAGTATGATGCAGTAGCACTTGCTGAGGCTATCGCAAGTAAAAAGCTGACCGCTGTCGAGGTTGCGACGGCTTTTGCTAAACGAGCAATTATTGCCCATCAGCTAACATGCTGCCTGGTTGATTGGTTTTTGGACGAGGCGATTGAGCGCGCTCGATTACTTGATCGCCATCTCGAAGAGACGGGAAAGACTGTCGGGCCTCTTCATGGCGTTCCCATTAGTGTCAAGGAGCACATGCCACTGGCAGGACATTATTCTGCCACCGGGTATTGGGATACTAGGGTCTTGGATACTGAAGACTGCCAGATGATGGCTATTCTCAGGGCTGCGGGTGCCGTCTTCTACTGCAAAACGCTCCAGCCGCAGTCGATTATGCACTTGGAAACAGTGTCGCTCTTGGGTCGCACTCTAAACCCTTTCAACATCAACCTCACGGCAGGTGGTTCAACAGGCGGTGAGGCTGCTCTAATAGCAATGAGAGGTTCTGTTCTTGGTGTTGGGACAGATATTGGAGGCAGCGTACGGTGTCCTGCCGGAGCCTGTGGCATCTATGGTTTCAAGCCGACCTCGTACACCTTGCCCATGTCGGGATTCTTGCCGGAGGGTTTTGGGGCCGAGCTAAATGTCTTGTGCTCAACTGGGCCAATGTGCACATCTCTTCGTGACATGGATCTGTTTATGAGGGTCCTGGTGGCTGCGAAGCCGTACCTGAGCGACCCGCGCCTTATTCCAATTCCTTGGACAGGTTTGAGCGGTGCAAAGAAGTCGCCACTAAAAATTGGCTTCATGATGAATGACGGTGTGATTGAACCACAGCCACCGGTCAGCAAAGCTTTGATGTGGGCCAAGGTTCAGTTGGAGAAAGCGGGCTCGTTCGAAGTGAAGGAGTTTAAACCATTCAAGGTGGCAGAGGCAATGAAGAACATCCGCCTCGCCTACTGGCCTGATGGGGGGAAGGCAGTCAAGGCTCACCTTGCCAGCACAGGAGAGCCCATGCTTCCTCTAACTCAATGGATCATCAAAGATGCTGAAGGAGAGGACATCGGCACCGCTGGGGTTTTGCGACAGCGAGTAATCAGGGACTTGTTTCGTGCAGAGTTTGCAAGTCATTGGACGGAACAGGACGTTGATGTGGTGATAAGCCCGGCTTTCGTCGGTCCAGCTTGTTTGCATGAAACGGCCTTCTACTGGAACTACACGGCTTTCTGGAATTATGTCGACTGTCCTGGCGTGTGCCTCCCAACGCCATTCAAGGCGGGAAAGAAGGGCACTGAAGACTACCCAGAAGACAAACAGACACCATTGAGCGAAGAATGCAAGCACGTCAGACAACTATGGGCTGAAGGTGACTTTGAGGGTGCTCCCATTGACATCCAGGTTTGTGCTAGGAAGTATCATGACAATGATCTGTTTGCCGCGTTAGAGGCGATGAAAGACACCCTCCAGTTTTAAATCATCCGGCTTTACCCTGATTTTCGTTCATCCCTAATTAGTTATGAGCCTCTCTATTTTCAGCAATAATACGTGTGTCTACAAACCAATATGACAAGGCAAGTTAGTTGTGATGTCAATTTCCAGCAGTCGAACACAACGATTGGTCTTTGAGAGTGAGAGACGACTTGAGAATGATTTGTTATGTGAATTGTCCTTTATGAGAACATAATCTTATGTCTCGCGCCGTAATTAATAGCAACAATTTCAACTGTGCAAAGCGATCACAGAGGATCGGTCAATTTATGTTCCCCTAATTCTTGAATAACGCAGCCAAACCATCTCGGATTTCTACACGATGCCTGTATTTATCCGGGAGTTAAGCAGTCGATAAGCAACCGGGTACTGGAACCGCTGAAGATGTTCAAGACCCACCGTGTTTGTCAGCGGTTGAGTCTTACTACGCCATCGAAGAGGAATCTGACAGTTCATCATCGTCATTCCTCCCCGCAACTCCTCACCAAACAAACCGCACCAAGTTGGTGACAGCGCTCGAAAATCATGACCGAGCAAAAGACTTCCACTTTTGGTATTTTCTTATCCCCCTCGCTTCGATTTCCACGCTTTTTCTTGAAGAAGAAGAAGAAGCAGACATTCGGCGATGGTAACTGTCACTAACTGAGTTGTGTTTTCAGGCATATGTGGCCGGATGTTTTCCATTGCCCATGAGCTTGGCTATTACAGATCTGTTGCAGTCACAGGCATATACTCTTCCAGGCTGGGGAAGGTTGATCTTGAGAAAAAGCTAGATGCGAGTGTTCAAGCTGCCATTCGAGAGCATCCGGCGCTCTGCTACGGTCTATCTGACCAGACTACGGATGACGGCCTAACTATTTTCGCAAGCTTCAAGGAAATTCATCGCGATGATCTAATCGAAGTGATCAATTATTCCTCTGAAAGCCCAAGCGAGGACATTTCGGGGTCGGCGGCGGACAACGTACTTCGTCAACGCTTAGAAAAGGCGCACACAAGTTTTTGGCCAGTTGGAAAGCCTGCATGGAGATTGATCGCCATCCACCATCCTGCGGAAAAGTCTCTTCTTGGGGAGGCTGCCCACAGTGATTCAGAAACACTCGAGGAGCGCAGATTTGATATTGCCTTTGTTTTTCACCACGCCATAGCGGATGGGCTCAGTGGCTTGGCATTTCACAATGCAATTATGAAGCATTTTTCACTAATCTCTGACGCATCTTCAGAAGTAAAATGGCCGTTGGCTGTTGACTGGAGTGTTTCACTACCCAACTTGGTGGAGGACCGCATCGACTTAAATAATCCGCAGAGGTCGGAGAGTGAACAGTCTCCAACACAGGGTGACCAACCAACATGGCCTGGAGATATAATCTCTCTACCGGCAGGGAACGTATATCGATCCAGGGTTCATTTGACAATAGTACCACCCGAAACCTTGAGTTCTTCTCTCAAATTTTGCAAGAGCCAGGGCATTACATTGACAGGGTATCTTCACGGCCTCATATGCGTATTTTTGAGCAGAGAGGTCATGGAAGCGCCCGGGTTTCGCTTGGTCACACCGTACTCATTGCGTCAATTCACCAAGACCAGCGCACATGATATCGCATTTCACGCGGCATCTATGGCGATATATATTCCTGGCTCTGATCTAGCCACGATGCGGAAGACGGAGCCTCAGTCTTCGGAGGAGAGGGAACATGTCATCAAAATCGCGAAAAAGTTTAGCGAGTCGATGGCGCGGGAAGTGGCCGCTTCTTCTTATATTGATGAGCTCCGCGACGTCCCAGATGCAATCGAGTTTCGCAAGTCGGCCTTGGGGATATTGGGTAAGCGGAGGACTAAGAGCTACGAAATATCCAATCTCGGAGTGGGTCAGAATCCAACCGCTAATCCAGATGCGAAGCCTATGGTGCTCCGACGTCTGATGATGACTCAAAGCGGTTCCGTAACTGGCCATGCGTTCTCGGTGAATTGTGCTTCAGTCAGAGGCGGCCCTCTAACTCTATCTATAACATGGTCAAACGGTGTCGTGGAAGACGAACTTATCAAGTCGCTTTCTTTGTACTTGAAACGGTCTATGGAGAGGCTTCCAAAGGGTGAATAAGCATGCATACCGTGGAGTTTGCTGGACCTCTAGTATAGGCCATATCTACTTGAAAACAAAGCGAATGGAGCGACATATATGACCAGCAACTCAGGCTCCAGGTAGAATGACCCCACGTGCGAGGAGCATGCATACAGACCATGGTGATTGCTGCCACCTCATCCAATCAGTTGAGGTCTAGTCCGGGTCTTGTTCCCAGAACTTTGACAGGCCCAAACATACGCTTCTCAAAACCTCATCTTGTTCGGAGCACAAAAAAAAAAAAAAGAAGAACAAAAAGGCCTCGGACTTTGCAAGCCTCTCCCTCGTTAGCGTGAAGTACTTTCAACTCTGACCTGTCCGACAGCTATCAGTTCCTGGCTTCTTACCAGGGACAAGGGGAAACTGACTGCTACCTTTGGATTGGATCCACGAAAAGAAAACACTAAAGCTAAAATGGAGATCATTCCAAGCTTGGCAAACTAGTCTCAAACTGGTCCGAGGTTCGGTCTTGGCGCTGAGAGCTCAACAACAACAGCTTGGCGAGGTGGTCAAACCACACGCTGCTTTAAGAGAGCCTTTGAGTCATACGAATGCTCGGATTGATATTTCTGACAATATAGGCCACAAAAAAACAGCTTCCCTAGGCTCCGAAATCTTGGAGGGTTCGAAGTCGCTCCCACCTGTTGTGCAGGGGCACTGGAATGCTCCTTTAAGCCACCAGAGATCTACTGCGTTTGGAAACGGATCGGAGATATCTCCAGGACTAGCGCAGCCACCGAAGAAGAATGCGGCTGGAGCGTCCAAACCCAGAAATACATGATGAAAGCTTATTGGAGAATGTAATCACTGGACGACAGCTCTGGCATCGGTCAGAACACGCCACCCAGGTAACAGCTCACTACTTTCAAAAAGCGATTTTATCCCCATAACTTCAGAGAAGTCAAAAAGCGGAATTTTGGCCAATACGGTGCTCCTTATGGGTCCGGGAGGGGGGAAAGAGGGGATCGGGCAGAGCTGCTGGCCCTGTCGGTAGCGGTGGTTCGAGATCATCATGGGAATTAGTTAAGGTTTGCGTCAGGTTGAAACGGATTCCGATCCTAAGCTAATTACTCTCGATCTCCGCTCTCTAGTGCGTGTATATCTAGCAGTCTAATGATCCCGAGGCCAGTTATGAGACGAGGTAGTAATATTTGTAAAACTTTCTCCGACGTGGTGAACGTGCGTCCTACATCACCTGATTCTAAAGAAACTGAGCCATTCCCATGGCTGGTATCGACACTGCTAACTTTCGAGATGTCCTGAGGGGTGACGATTCCTTGGGACTAATCCTTCCAGTCGGCAAGAGGGTCGGGCCATTGATTTTGAACTTCGCGTCCCTTATTGTCTTATCAATATGTGGTACAAGACGAGTGCAAAACATCCGGCGCTGGCGTCTGCTTCCTTTATCCTATTGGATCCTCCTTCTTATATACGCGGACACCTTACTATTCATCGTGTCCACAGCGCTTCTAAACGCCGTCGGCATAAACTCGTCTAATACAGTCTGTCAGGCCGGGATTTTCTTGTGTAAGTGTTCAAATGTCTCCCGTCGCGAAATGGGAAGATTCACAACATAACATGCAGGCCTGGTCTTTTACTTTGTGTCAAAGATCTTAATATACCTATTTCTCGTGGAAAAGGCCGTAAGTTTCACTTTTCAGAGCACAGCACCCCAATTCTTGTTGACCTGAACCTAGCACATTGTCCGGGGTCGGGGAAAGAGACGCCTAAAGAGCAAATTGTATTTGTTCAACTGCTTCGGCATGCTCTGTATGTAATTCGGAAGACCTCCCCGCTCATTTAGACTCGCTAATGGGATCAGTGTCATATGCCGGACTCGCTGTCGCCAATATGATCCGCCGCATTGGATACCTTAGGGACGATGGAATGTGCATCATCGGGATGGAACGTGCTGTGCTTATTCCATTGGTCATCTTTGAAGTCATCGTCAACTTATACCTCACAACAACCTTCTTAGTACCTATCCGCAGTATGACACCTCAAATTACCTAGGTACCTTCTGTTCGGATTTCGGCTAATACTATGCGGAAAGATCTCCACTCCTATGATCATAATCCCAGGCTTAAAAAGATGGTCATCCGAACCTTTGTCGGATCCCTCGCTACACTAACGTCTACTGTCGTTAATATTGTCATGATGACGGTTCTTAATGGGGAACCTGCCTGGATGTGTTTCATGATATGCAATACTGATAGTAAGTTCTCTGCCTCATTTCTAAGTAGACGCAACGGGGCTAATAGACAAAACCATAGTCCTCTTCACAACTCTCGTGTTGCACTGGGTCACCGTGTCTGATTCCGTGGGCACTTCACAGAACGAATCACCTCGCACTCCAGGGCACAGTTACGGCTACAGTAATAATAACACGAACTCAGATGGTAGCACGAACCGAACTTCACTGAAGCATGCGGAGACGAAAAACACAATCTACCAGAGTTCAGGCGCTGCTCAAGGAGTTGCAGGAACTCGAAAGACCGGGAGCCAGGTGGGTATGGCGATTATTGGTGAAGAAAGCCGTGCCACAGGAGAAAACACGCATCAAGTTCAGCGGACTCCATTAAGTTCCGATGACAACAGTTCAGGTTCATAAGATACTAGGACAGGCTCGCGAGACGAAACACAAATGTGGACGGACGTGCAGTCAGGGTGTTATCGTGATTTAACAGAAAAATATACACATGATGATATACATTTCTTTCCAATCCCACATTCTAAATTATAGGAGAGAAAAATAAACTCGTAAATGGAGATGCGACGTCCTCCCCACTGACAGAAGAAATCCGCACAGCGCTGCCTACGCAAGCAGCGATCTAGTTACATGAGTTAAGTCATGTCACAACAAGTCATGCAACAGTCGGCGTTAGGATGGATTTTACAATGGTTCGGACTTAGTATCAGCTCATGCTGGATACGACGACAATGTTATGACCAAGAACCCGGCCAATGCAGGCCCATCAAGCTGCACGAACCAGCAGCAGTATTATTAACCAAAACAAGAAAACAATTCCAGTATATCGATCCAAACAGGGAAAATTGCTAACAGGGTACGGCGGGTTTTCTTGGACGAGGTGGGCCCCTTTTGATGGATGACCCCGGCGGACATGCTGTTTAGACCCTCATCCAGTGCCGCCTCAACGCGATGCATGTATGGGCTTGGTCATTCGGCTACACCCACGCTGCGGACCTTGGCATCATTTTAAGAATATCGGACACTACATATGAGATGTACTTCTTGGAAGCTCCAAGTGAGTCGATCAAAATAACTAAAGGCGTGATACTCCGCCAGACGCAGACGCTTCTCTACCTATTCAGCAAGCCAACAAGCCAATCCGCCAACAGAAAACACAGCAAAACCAAGAACACTCAAAATGGCCAGCCTTATGCCTCTTGCTCCTCCTCCCAAAAGCCCCCTAGGCCGCTATCGGCTGCTTTCACCCACAGCTTCAATCCGAGTCAGCCCTCTCTGCCTGGGTGGGATGAGCTTTGGTGATGTCTGGAAGGAACACAGTCAGTTTCATTTCCAAAGATCAATGGTGTAGATCATTACTGATGAGTTTCAAGTGGGGTCCTGCGATAAGGAGACGACAGAGGGCATCCTGGACTATTTCTATAGCCAGGGTGGCAACTTTGTTGACACTTCCAACAACTACCAGTTCCAGGAGTCTGAGAAATGGATTGGAGAGTGGATGAAGAAACGCGGTGTACGCGACCAGATGGTCATTACCACTAAGTACACTACAAACTTCCACGCAGGCAAGGGCGATGAGATGATCCTTCCGAACTTCCAGGGCAATGGCACGAAGAGCCTACACCTGTCGGTCAAGAACAGCTTGGAAAATCTGCAGACCGACTACATTGACCTGGTATGTTGAGGAGTATTCTTGGAAATCCCGGTGGCATGACAACATTGATAACGCTAATATTTATACAGCTCTATGTGCACTGGTGGGACTTCTCCGTATCCATCCCTGAGCTAATGCAGTCACTCAATCATCTTGTTGTGTCCGGAAAGGTGCTCGCCCTCGGAATTAGCGACACCCCAGCCTGGGTTGTCAGTAAAGCCAACGAGTATGCTCGAAACCACGGTCTTCGCCAGTTTAGTGTGTACCAGGGAAGATGGAACGCCTCAATTCGCGACCTAGAGCGCGAAATAATCCCGATGTGTCGTGAGGAGGGAATGGGCATCGTCCCTTGGGGCGTGCTGGGTGGAGGCGCCTTCAAGACTGAGGAGCAGCGTCAGAAAGCAACCAGCGGGGGCCGGAAAGTCGAGCCGACCGAGAACGACATCAAGGTCAGCCGCGCGCTTGAATCTGTTGCTATACGTAAAAACACCATTATCACCAACGTTGCGCAGGCGTACGTTTCGAGCAAGACAACATATGTGTTCCCGCTGGTTGGCTGCCGAACCGTCCAGCACCTAAAGGATAACATCGACGCCCTTTCCGTGCGTCTCAACGATGAGGATATCAAGGAGATTGATGGGGCGGCGCCTTTTGACCTCGGATTTCCTGGAAACTTCTTGGCTCCCACATATCATCTTACTGGGGATGTCAAGCCGGTTTTTGCCCTTGCTATGGGTGGTACAATGGATTACGTTGCTGACCCAAAATCCTTCTCCCGAGAATAGCTAGCTCTACGGCTTCCTGCAAGTGAACTTTTGTATCTTGCACAGGATTTTCTCAAGCATAGAGTCATGTTAGACATGTAAACCTTAGTCATTAGAGTATGTTAGTTCTGAAGATCTTCACGTTAAGTCAAGAGCGGCACTTGTCAATTTCGCACTAGTTAGCAAATAGATGCCATACTCGTCTCTGGGCTTTTTTTAATCACGAAATCAATGATTTTATCCGAATATCTAGGCCAATTTACACTTCCGTGCTGTATTTTAACTGATTATTCGTACTTACGCATCTGTCGATTGCTACCTACCCTATACCAATTACCTGAGTCTAATTCTGCGAGTGCTACTATTAAATATTAAATTCGCCCTTCACAAAATTAAAGTTTTGAAAAGGTTTTTTATTTTCTAATTGAGTATTGTATGACGGGTAGTACTACTAAGTTTCGAGAGCTTGACCATTTGAGCATGGTCATAACTTGGTTGTCGAGCATCAACTTCACATTTCCCTATTTCTCCCGGCTAATTTTGGCAAGGACATGGATCATCAGCTCTTGACTAGAACTGCTCCTTCATCACCCGCTGATACTCCACCGTTATCAGGACTCGGAAGGAATATGGAGTGCTCATTGGTCTTTGCCATCGCGCCCTATCAGCTCGGCAACTGTTATCTCTGAAGCAGTGGGGAATATGTTCATGACTCGTCAGATCTGGCCGATGACGAGCGGGACCCTGAGAATTACCCAAAAGGGAAGAGAAAGTGAGAAAATGACACAGACCAGATTGCTCAGATTGCTCAGATTGTGGGGTTCCGACAAGTGGCAGTTCCGACGTTCCGACCATCTACTACCGATTATCAATATTGCCAAAAAGGGCATGAAAAACGAGAAACCGGCTGGCGAAGCTCTCTTGGTATAAAGGCTGTGTCGTGTGTCCGTGGTTAAGCGCGTTGACTTTTGCAAATCAAAGCTTCTCATCAATTACAATCTCTGAATTTTTCAGTTTCACCGTTCCGAATCAGCCAACATGAGCAAGCCATCAGGACCTCTCAGCCGCGACGGCTGGCAGTGGACTCCCCAAACTGGCCTCAAGGCCGGTGTTCCAACCGTTGGTGTCATTCAACCCCCTTCAACGGCCGTCAATGGAACCGTCTACGATGTGGCCATTATTGGCGCGGGATACACTGGCATCACAGCCGCCCGCGATCTCACCACGACGGGCCACAAGACCCTGCTCATTGAGGCCCGTGACAGAATCGGCGGGCGCTCCTGGTCATCCAACATCGAAGGCTACCCTTATGAGATGGGCGGCACTTGGGTGCATTGGGCACAGCCATTCATCTGGCGAGAACTCTTCCGCTACAACCTCCTAGGCACCAACCTGGAGGTTTCGCCAACCGAGCAGGGAACCTGCGCCATCCTGAACAAGGATAAGCCCACTGTCACCATGTCCCGCCAGCAAGAAGACGAAGTGGTCGAATCGGCAATGAAGAAGATGGTCAATGTCGACGGCAAATACGGCCGCGAGGTCATTCCCTACCCCCACGACGCCCTCCGCAACCGCGCCGCCGTCGCCATCTACGACAAGATGTCCATGGCCGACCGGTTCAAGCAGATCGAGCACGACCTGACGCCAACCGAGAAGCTCATGCTCGAGGCCTTCATGTCCATCACCTGCGGCGCCAAGTGGGAAGAAGCCTCCTTCTTCGAGATCCTCCGCTGGTGGGCTCTCGCCAACTACACCTACACCGACTTCATGGAGCGCGGTCTCCGCTTCAAGCTCGCATGTGGCCAGAGCGGCCTGCAGCGCTGCATCTTCGACGAGGCCAACGCCACCGGCAACCTGTCCTACTCCTTCTCCACCCCCGTGGCCTCCGTCAACGACAAGGGGAGCGTCGTTGAGGTCACCGGCCGCGACGGCCACGTCTTTCGCGCCAAACGCCTCATCTGCACCATCCCCCTCAACGTCCTGCACACCGTCCAGTTCGCCCCGCCGCTGCTCCCCCTTAAGAAGCAGGCCAGCCTCGAGGGCCACTGCAATCAGGTCGTCAAGGTCCACATCGAGGTCGACCGCCCCGAGCACCGCGAGCTGGGCTCGTACAATTATCCCCATGGCAAGTTGACCTACGCCTTTGGCGATGGCACCACCCCGGCCGGCAACACGCACCAGGTCGCCTTCGGCAGCTCCCTGCCAGGCGTGCACCTCCAGCCAGAGGAGAACATCAACGAGACCATCGAGGCGTGGAAGGGGCTTCTTCCCAACACGGACACCAAGGATTTCAAGCGCATCGTCTTCCACAACTGGCACAAGGACGAGTTCGCAAAGGGTGCTTGGGAGTGGCTCAAGCCCAACCAGGTCAGCAAGTACCTGGATGCGCTGCGCGAGAAGCAGGGCAACGTCTGGTTTGGTAGCGCGGATTGGGCCATGGGGTGGAGAGGCTTCCTGGACGGAGGCATCGAAGACGGACAGCGGGTTGCCAAGGAGGTGGCTGATGATCTGAGTGGCAAGCCCCCCAGGCCCGCGTTTTTGTCGAAGTTGTAGTGGGGAGGAATCCTATTCTGTATGAGCAGAGCGGCGCTGTGATTATGGGAGAAGTCTTAGCCTCCTTCTTTCACCTGGACCCGGGGAAAGGGATAGCAAGTTTTAGCTGCTTTGTGGGACAAGTGCTAGAGGAAGGAGCTGGTTAGATTAGAAGATACTTGAGCGTTTGTTTATATGAAGCGAAATTTACATACATATTTGAAAATCAACAAGGCATGTAAGCACCTAAGTCGTTTGCCAGGAAGAGTGAAGAATAAGGAGACTGTCTGAGGTTGCTGTATTCATGATTAGCAAACACTATTAAAACTAACCCTATGAGTCACATTTCAACAAAAAATCGACTATCAATCACATAACAAAGGTCTTTAGCTGAGGCAAGACAGTAGTCCACCTCTCCCCATGCCGCTGTCTCTCCCAAATCATAGGCAGTGCGTCAAGGCCTCTCAAAACGTTCGCATACCGAGTCGAAGCCCAGACTCGCTCCAACGTAGCACAGAAGAACTGGCGATCCCCCTCCTTGGTTGCTTCAGCGGCGGCCATGAATGCCGGCCAAGCAATTGTGTGTGCGCCTGGCGAGGAAGGGTCAACCAGTTCGAGTAGACGCCGTATACGAGCTACTCGGCAAGACGTTGTGGGGGTTGCAGTAGTTGAAACCAGATTGTGTTCAGCTAGTACTTGTAGAGTGGTGGTGGTGCTGTGTGGCTTTGAGTTGCTGGCCTCTTCCTCTATCCGCGCTCTTTGTATGTAAATCTGGGTAGCCTCGCGGACAATCTCTCCGTAGAGCTGGGTTGTAGAGTCGCTCAGTGAGTGCCGAGGATTCCGTGCTTCATCATATGTCGGTGGGTATGGCTCAAGAGCGTGACGGCGCTTGGGAGCATATCGTTCAAAGCTTTCGAGAGGATTACCCAAGACTTGGCCATAGCCCGCCAGCGCTTTGGACTCACTCAGCACTGGGTTTGCAAAAAAAGATAGCCTACTTCAGAGTTAGTCAACGTTTGGGTGGCTACAGTGCAAACAGAGCTTATTTCTTACATCTGGGACTGGTAATGCAGGAAACTTTCCAGTTGAGAAGCTCGACTCGATCTACCCTGGGCTTTGACCTGTATTCGGGCATCCACAAACGCAGCAAGCATCTTGTACAGCACGATAGCATGCTCATGGCCGGTTACGAGGTCTGCCATGATCAGCAGGATGATCGTCGCCCAGGTTTGGTCGTTCAAATCAAATGACGATGCGGTCAATCTACTGATGATGGCCGCTCGACAGCTCTCGGCCGGCAAGCGCAGTTGCGGCATCCACCAAGACAGGTGGAACGCTGCCACCACGCAGACGGCGCGAGCAACCAACGGATCTGAGGTGGCCAAAGGAAGAATTTGGTGCCGGTAGCCATTGCCCTCGTCGTCGTACATCAGCATGACCGGAGAGACATGGGTAGAAACTAGCCAGTATGTTAGTCCATGTCCTTTTTTGGCCTGTAACCGGCCAATGACTTACAATGGTGGAAAAACAAGCGCATCTTAGAGGGTAGATTGCATAATGGCCTAGCAGGCGCAGGAAGAACAAGCTCGCCTCCCGAATGCTTTGGGTCTAAGTAGTCCACATCCTTATGCATCTGCGAGATATGAGCATTGTGGTTCCTTGCTACGAGAGTTCCTTCTACGGCAGGTAGAACCTGAGACGCAAACGTGTCTTGGTGCTCAAGCCCGTTGGACGTCGAGCCTGCAGTGTTAGAGACGCTTTGCCGTTGAACTCGAGCTCTTTTTCGCCTCGTATCATCCACCCACTTCCAATCTCTCGCCGGTGTAGGAGAAGATGCAGCCTGATGTGATTTATCGGAGAGCACGGTAGTGTTATCATCGTAGAAACGATATCTGATACCATATCCAGGGCATTCCAGCCCCTTCTTGGCACATTTCTTGCACTTCGGCAGTGTAAGATCGCACTTGATCCTCCGCTTCATGCAGTGGTAGCATGCTATAGGTCAATGCTATCAGCAATACACACATTACAAACAAGCTGGGCAGCTGCATGACAGGTGTAAGGTCAGAGAGGCAACGATGATGTGCTCACCTTTCTTGGGCTTAATAAGGTCCATCAAATGTATCGTGTAGTTCGCAGGCCTCCAGCTCGATTGCAATGCCGTCCGGTAGAAGGCTGGAAGAACGCCTGCAAACCAATGACGCGGGTGAGGCAGATTTTAATATGACTTCTGGTCGAATTGAAGATTCCAGATCACCTTCGGATCTGATTCGGAATTGGAATCCGGGGGGATGATCGCAATTCTGCCGCTCCTCACCGCTCTCACCTTCGCTTCAGTTACAACGAACGATACGAGGGACCATCGACGATAAATAATTGGCATGATGAGTAGATGGATAAGTAGAACTATATTAGATTAATGTTGCAGGTAAAACTATATTTGGAATTCCATCCATTTGAAATTATAGATTTTTTAAAGTGACTAACAAAGTAAAAGTGCAGAATCATGTACACAGAAAGCCTTCATTCAATGTTCTTTAAAACGTATAATTATTTCCTTATTGATAAACTTAAGATATAAAGAGAGGATAAGCCTTGTGTATTCTTAATTTTGACTCAGCTTGAGACCGTCGCATTAGGTGGTATATAGAAGCAACTGGCAAATGATCACAAGTCCATCGGGAACGCGTCAACGGCTGGACGGAATATAAACCAAGGGGAGGAAAACTCTGTAGCTGGAGCTCATGGAAACCCTCGACACAATTTAGATGGCAATTAAGAAGAGAGACACGACAATAGCACCTTGAATATCGTTCTATCCTATTTTACCTCTCTAAACCTTTTGCGTTCTCTCCCCATCTTTTCTTGATGAAACAAGAGACCATTCATCAAATTTGTGCACCCATGTCTATGAAAGGTAAAAGTACACCGGACATGCCGAGATAGCAGACCATAGGCCGAGAAATTTGATGCAGAGCGATGGAGAGACCTTCTTTCTTCTCAAAGTTAACAGTCCGGGTGTAACCTTTAACCACTTTGAGATAGACGAATGGTACCCGGCTGAAGAGTCAAGGCGTCGAAGCAAACTTGCTTTTGCTGCGCAGAAACTTGCCATATTTAAAGAATAGCCATGGGGATGGCATAATGGCAACAGTCAAAAATGCCAGGACAGTTGTGCCCCACGAGTAGCCAAGCTGATCAAACATGGGAATCTGAATCAACGGAAAGGTAGCTGCTCCTTCTTCGTCAGATCTGAACACGTTGTCAAAGCATTTAATGATAAAGAATAAAACATACCCGCAAGAAACGCCCTAGCGAAGCCATTTGCGGCGAGAGCTGATGCTGCGTATTGGCTATATGCCTCTACCTATTTTGTAGGTTAGTGAAAAAAGCCCTGGACAGTTCGAGAGGCAGCAATCATGACTGTGACGGCGAAATGAAAAATGGCAGATAAACATACTAGAAATGTAAAGATACCATTATATACCAAGATGACCCTAAAGTTCCGTTGAGTGAGTATGTTACTAGTGGATGACTGGAAGGCGAGAAGACTAACCCGAAGCCGAAGAACGAGGAACCCAATATGGGAACAACCCAGTGTATTGTCCCTTGGATGGTCCACGCAAACCAAAACAGGCCAACTGGTATCAAGACACCTCCCGCCATCGCTGGTGGTAGCTGGTACTCTGGCTCGCTTGTATCGTCTTTGCCTGTTTCTTCCCTGTGTCGAGCGACCAATCGTGACCGTATGCGAATCCAAAGGGGGTTGGTTAGAACTGACAATGCCATACCGATGATGATCCCTAGGAATGTGAGTCCACTCTGCCAGAGATTCATGCTATAGTTGGTACGGAAGATTTGTGGAACTGCCCCAAAGAAGAGGTACAAGATTCCCAGCAAGATAGCTGAGTAAATGTTCAAGCAAAAGCACATTGGCTCCAGAAAAAATAGTTCAAAAGGCCGCAGTAGAGTGACCCCTATCGTTTTTGGGCTTGATTGGCGAGTCGTCTCTGATTGTGCCCAGTATCTCGCATCTCCCGTCTCAATCCTGATCTTGCGGGCTTTGGCCGCACACGCAGCCGGATGGAACGTTTCGGGAACGAAGAGGATGGCAAGGAGGATCAGGACGGACCATATCAGCATGATGTAGTAGGTCCACCTCCAATGCAGGTGATAATTGATAAATCCACCGAAGAAAGGGCCTAATGATGGGCCTATGAATGACGCCAACGACACCAAAGCCATAGGTTTTTGCAATTCATCTTTGGCGAAGATGTCCCCAACCGTGCCGCCAGAGACTGACAGAAATGTGCTGCCCCCAAACCCGGCGAAAAAGCGAGTGGCGATGAGGGTGCTCATATTCTGCGCTACGGCAGATGGAATCGTGAATATTATGAAGGTGAGCCACGCCACAATATAGACTCGCTTCCGGCCGAAGAGTTCGCTCAATGGGCCGGAAAGGAAAGGCCCGAATGCGATACCAAAAACGAAAGTCGACAGTCCAGTGGCAGACATAAGCCGGGTAGCTGCGAACTCTTGGCTCAGCTGGTTATAGGTTGTAGTATATATTGAGCTTGTGCAGGTTCTTCAATTGAAACAAGTCAGTGATTGGTAGCCGCATATGAGAACTAAAACTTTCAATTACTTACACGCAAACAATCGCTGTACAAATGGTCGTCACAATGAACCATTTCCGGGGAATCGGCATGCTTCTCGGGGATGCAGGGTCAGAGTCATCGTCCAATACGACTTTGAAGGCCATATCAAAGCCTTCAGGCCCTGAGGTTCCTAGCTCATGTTCTTCGCCACTGAGCACCTGTGTCATTGTCGAGTTTGACGTTCAAGTGAATTCGTATACATGTACATTTGAGCTTTGTACGTTAAGGCCCTACCACAATACCATTGCGAGACGAAGATGTGTTTATGAGAAAGAATGGGACCAGTAAACCATGTCTTGGAATTTATTATGCTGAGAATAAATATCGAGACTTCATGAAGCGAGTCAGGGGTCAAAGAACGTAATTTAGGAGGGCGAATTCTGTATGTTTACTACCCAACCCCACTCTCATGAAGACGCCGAGGTCAAGACTCGTTCAATTACTCGACCTGGCCAATGGCGATTACTACGATGCGAACCCTGAGAGGCATTACTAACATGATGTCATTGAATAGTTCTTCAGGTTGTAATTTTTCGAAAATAAAATAATCTATGGTACAAAAGAGGATAGTTCTTCTTGAAAGATTTCTGCATCAAAAATGCACTCTGAACTCCCAAACCAAGAGGCGTCATATGCAAAATCAATAGCAGTTCCAAGTCCACTACCCAAAAAGACTTCTTGGGGCTGTACAGGCTGAACAACCGAGTTGGCATGGAACTGGTCGCCATGGTGAACCTCCATGTTCTCATTGGCCTCGTCCCCCCGTCCACCGTCCACGGATCTCTGGCTAACAAGACGTCGTAGCAAGTTCACAAAAGCCATCTTCAGCCACATGCCCACGGGCCAGACCTTGACCAATTCACTCAATGCTAAAATGCACTGCCGTGACTTGTTTTCTACAAGCTTCCGATGGACATTGCTTCTTCCATCGAGGGCTAGTGTGTATACGGAAAGGGCGCTGAACAACCCAGGGACGCTATAAGATGTACACGTTAGTGGCGTGCTTAGCAAAGAGGGAGTTATTGTAAACATTTGCCTACAGATGAAGTTGGGTGTGCTGTAATAAGTCTACAGACAAAAGATCCTCTGCAGTTCGCGTTATTGCATCTGCCGCGCGCTGGGCTCTTTTGGCTCGCTCAGATTCCGGCATTGCCTGATATCTCGTAGGCTTGGGTCGGAAGAGTAAAATACAGGCATTCCTGTGTCTGGGTTAGTCTCAACTCAGCAGACAGAAATGGGGGAATAATACTGATATGAGACATCCAGCATGCTGGCCCAGAAGAACAAGCCGCTTGATTCAGTTGATAGACTGTCAGACGTGACGCAGCAGGCTTCCGAACGCCATGCCTGCAGCCTTTGGGCAGAACAAGTCGGTTCGTACCTTTCCAGGGCCGGCGGACGAGGGCTAAACTCCCCAATAAGGATATCTCCAACTACGCCAGAGAGATCGTCTGTTAATCCGAATTCTAAGTTTGCGCAGTGACTGCCCACTTACGTATAGCCGACAGCTTGGCAATGTCAAGGAAGTAAGACACATGATGGGCCTTCTGGGGTGCTACCAGTTCATCGTCGGCAACCAAGTCTACGTAGAAGTCGTCCTCTGTAAGAGCTTCGACGTCGCAGTCCTCGTCTCTGATGCGACAAGGCCGCCCAAGTGCTGCTGCGATGTGTCGGTCGCGAATCTGCCAAGTTAGATCATGGGGCACCAAAGAACAAGATGCGGTCTTACATAGATGGACCACCATATGCGCTTCCAGATTGACACTAGTCGTTTGCTCATCCTGCGTCTTCCCAGGCTAAAATGGTCCACAACGTCAGTGAGTATCTTAGCTAGGCTCATACTCGTTCGTTACATACGCGCGATGCATGCCCAATGACTGTGCTAGAGTCACAGAGCATCCTGCCCAGATCCACGACTCTTGTTCGTGCGGCTCACTCCACCAGAAGCTGAGCAGATGGAGTGCCGCCGCGACGCTCGTCGCATCTGTTTCATGCCCGACTTCGTACAGCCTCTTTGCGCGTTGAAAGTGTGCCTTTTTTGCAGTGGCTCGGTCAGTGTACCCAGCTAGCCTCACGAGACTCTCGGGGCCACAAGTTAATGCAGCCATGAATATGCTGTGTAGAAGCAGAGTAGAGGCTTTCCCTTGCCTATACAGGCTGATAAACGCTGACCTGTCAATGACTGGGTATGCCGGATGAAAATACTCAAAGAAAAACTGTATCATTTGGTCGCTTATCGGCCCATCAGGTAGGACGAGGGCGTCCTCCACAGACATCTGCTGATGCAAGTGGATACTCGGTTGAAGATTCACTTTTTCGACGAGACGAGTCAGCTCGTGAGTGGTAGCACGGACATTCTCGAAATCGCCGTCCTTTGCACGACGAACCATGTCAATGATAGAGGATAGGTTAAGTGAATTCAACAAATGGGCTGAGCCTTCACCACGTCCTGCGACCTGAGCATCTTGCGCCTCACGCTCGGGAGGCTTCTCAGCTTCCGGTATCTCACTGTCAACTAACTGTTGTGCCGTAAGATTTACAGGTTGACTCGAGCCAAGACGACCGTCCTCAACCGGGCCCAGATCAGGAAGGCTACCACGAGCTCGGCGTTGCTGCCTCTTGGATGGTGTTCTAGTGTACCTGTCGCCGAAAGTCACTAAAAAGAACTATGAATGCTTTGCTTTGCCACCTTCCAGCAACTTACTTGCCCCTTCGTGATTCGATCAGTTCGCAGGGGTCCTGTCGTGTGCGGCAGTGCATGCACGGCAGCCCATCTGCTGCATCACACTTGACCCGCCTGGCATGACAAGCCTTGCAGGCGATCCGCGTGATCCGCGTTCGACGGATGGGACTTGTGGCCTCGGCTTGCTCAGTCATAGCTGAGGATCTACCTGCGTTCGGCTTTTGGTGCTCCTTCAAGAATGACGATGGATGATGCAACGGGCTCTTAGTTTTTGAGACGCCGAGGTTTTTTAGGAATGCTGACTCATCTGGAATGTAGCTCGGCGACTTGGCTGACAACATAACCGCCCAAGAAAATAAACGTTATCAGGTAGCATATCTCAAAAAGATCTATATTACAGGTTTATCAAACCATTCATAAGAAATAGGAAATAAATTATTCCCTCATGAGACTGTTTCATGGGGCAAGAAAGACCAGGAAGTGGTTATATGAATAGGCGTTTTCCAACATCCACTTCAAGATACCTCGGTATCTTTGTGACGTCAAGTGCAGCAGTTTTCTTTGTTAGGCTAACTTAACCACTCTAACACTGAAGCTCATAACAAAGTAATCTTACGTTCCTGCGTCGATCAATTTTCTGCGTCGATCAATTTTCTGCGTCGATCAATTTTCTGCGTCGATCAATTTTCTAATTATTCACCTTCTAACAGCCTCTAAGCTGCCTAGTCAGTACAGAGCATTTTATGAGTAATAGCAAGTAAAAAGTAAAAGTTGTAGGAAGTAGGGCCTAAAATCTAGGAGTATAAAGTTAGAAGCATACGTGGGCGCGAGAGAAAACCAGGAATAGCAGGTCTGTTAGGCACAATGGCCACAGCTGAGAGATCATGCACATGTATTCCTCTCAACTACAGTAACCTAAACTATCTAATAGCTGTACTTGTCTGTTAAAGGCGACCAGATAAAACACAAAACATTCCCAGGCCAACCATTTTCCCCTTGGCAATGCGGCATCCCTGTCATCTAAGGCTGAGAGGATCAATCAACCCCAGACAAAAGTCTCCCTACACACATATCTGGAGTCAGGATTCGGGATTTGGGTAGACAACCCAGTTCTTCGTTACAGACCTCCCAGTAGGCAACGGGGCCATCACATGGCATTCGTCATCCAATTCTTCGTCGTCGAATTTGATCTTGGTGCCCGACTCAGCTGTCCCCAGCTGCTTAATTAGCGTTACGACCAGGATGCCAATCAGCTTTCCAGCAAAGCTGTTGCTAGCTGGGCACGCATGTCTGCCGATGCCGAAAGGCATGAAAGCATCTTTCTGATTCCGGGTGAGCGCTTCAAAACGGCTTGGTCGAAACTCTAGAGCATCTGGTCCCCAGATGTTCTCGCCATGGTGGAGTGACTCAACATCTGCCGCCACTGCACCAAACCACGAGGCGCGGTAAATACGCTTGGTCGGAGGGTAGAGTCTAAGGGCTTCCTGAATAAGTAACGATAGTTAGCAAGTGCTCTTCCCACCACCAACAGCTCAACCAAGGGTAATTGTTTGGACTAACTTGAGAGAATCTGACCATGCGGCTATCGAATTCCACCTGTTCGGGGTCATGGAACCTCTTCAGAATTTCTTGAAGCATGACCTTTGTGTCTCCGTCGATGTGCCGAAACGCGACGTGAACATAGGTCAACAGGACCACCCGCCAAAGCGTCTCATATGCTGGGAGGATCAGGGCCAAAGGGTCGTCCCGCTCTTCTGGAAGCAAAGATTGCAATTCATCTCGCAATTTTGACAACAGTCTATCGTTCTGAGGGCCCTTGCTCTTAGACTGAACCCAAAGATCATTGATGGTCTGGGTGATCCAGTTCAATCTCTCATAATCAAAGGTAGTCTGCCGTGTAGTCGGGAAAATGAGCCCCAGGGCTGTAACAAAGCACATGACGCGACAGATATGCTCAATGTTAAGCCCGCCGACGTTACCATCAGCGCAACAAAGTGCAGCCGCAGTCTCACTAGCCAAGTGTTGGGCTTCCACCCATCTCTTTGCATTGGCACTCTTGATGATTTCGAGTGCTCGTCTAAGAAACTGCCGATGAATGCTCTCATCCACTGTTGTGAAACTGTTGTTGACACCAAAGGCTTGCACCAAGCGAGTGTTGGGTCCTGCTCGTGCTCGGAGTCTGTCGACGAGATTTCTCGACGATAGATCGGCAATCCTTCTGGCACGATCTATCTTCCCCCGCACAGTGTCTTTCGCCGTCACTGGAAAGAGAAATAAGACGAAGAAAAGCAAAGACAAAATGGTTGCCAACAGCCAGCCCATCATATCGAATTTTGCTAGCTGGTTTGTTGTGGTGATGCTGGATTTTGGGTTTGGTGCTTCGGTGCAAGAAAAAGAGTATACTGGGACAGTCAAAGATGATTGCGTGCAATGAAAAGGGAGATTGGAGGAAGGCGGAAAACCGCAGCTACTTATGCCTCTTGTAAAGTCAACGATTCAAATTCTCACTTTACGCAGAACGCGAGGCCTACAGGTTACTAAAGACGGAAACAAACAGCCACCAAGACAGAACGAACACACTGGTCCAGTGAATCACTCTCTACTTCTAGACAACAATTAGCTGACGATAAATAACAATTGGTCGATGGGAGCAACAATTAGTTGATGGTAGACAACACTTTGCCAACGACTTCTTTAAACCACATCCCGCCATATACTGCGGCCGTGAACTTAATGAATTGTCATTTTTGAAGCGATCATGCCACAGGAAAGACTTCAACTACGCATGTTCTTATCTCAACAGCCAATGCTGATATCTTAACAGCCACTCATTCATATAAACAGAGAGCCGTCGACGTATAGACGACAATCTTTTATTTGCTTGCGTTTTTGAGAGCCTTGACTTGAATCCCCTATATTTTGCAGACAGCTGAATGGCTCAAACGCATGATCAGCCAGCCAGCATCCTCTTCGAGCCCCGCACAGGGAACAATCATCAATCAAATCATTTATCTCTCACACATCATCATAACTGTTACCAACGAAGGGAAGTCTTGTTTGCCTCAAGACTCTCGAACCATCTCCAATTTTAAAGGAACAATCCAAACACATACGACATAGACATCCCTTTCCCGGTTCAGTCGCCCTTTATTGAGGCGTGCCAACTTCGAATATCTTCTGAAGCGGCGGCTTTTCTATACTAAATAATTCGAGATCTATCGCACATCGTTACAACTTTAAAGGCGACACTCGTCGTTTGTTCGCTTACGGGCCACCTCGATGTTGTCTTATTAGCCATCATCACCGCCGACTGGAGTAAACAGCTCGTCATTGAGGGCCACATGCTCGAAATCGATTGCACATTCATTACGCTTGAGCCTATTTTCAAGGCCGCGCACATGGACAAGTTCGCTGACTGGATGTGCAAGGACCTCGTGAAGGGTGAATATCATCCTACGGGCCACCTTATCGGGTCGGCGCTTCGGGTCAGAGCTGCAAGCAAGGCTAGAGAACGGTCAATCTGCTGCAGACGACAAGCATAGCAGACTGACAAGCATAGCAGATTGAAGGTAGAGTGGCAAAGTAGACCAACCGATCCCATTCAACCTCAGTTTAAATCAACGATCGGCTCCAGTGCAGCATCAGCAAGCCGTTGTCCATGTATTTATCCTTCGCTAAATTAAGTCATTGCATCAATTAAGAGGACGAAAGATATTTATCATCGTTCGGCAAGCTGAAGGCGGTTTTGGCAACCGTAAATTATAAAACACATATTGCGTTTGAGCAATTGGTTCTTCCGCCCAACATTGAACAAAAGAGCGACGTTTAAGCAGCTGAAGATTTGTAGAGGAAGAATCACCCTACCTGTTGTTTCTCATATCACTAATTTCCCTCAGAACAAAGAAAGAATTTCTCTTCATGCATAATAACAATAGAACGAATGCCATTGCATAGCATCTGGGGAGGCATGAGTGAAAGCTAGGAGATGAAACTAAAAATACAACTGTTGATCGGCATAAACACTTTAAGGGCATTCAAACATGATCCGCATTCTCCCAGCTCCTCTTCTCTACGTCCATCTCCGCAGAGTAATCGCCAAGCTGTTGAAACGTCGATTTGACGAATTCGTTGTATCGCCGTGGCCAGCGAAAGCCCTCAAACATGGCTTTCGTATACTCCCAATACTCTGGGTAATAACCAGCAAACTCCCAATCTACGATCCCAGTCACTATCCAACGGTACCCTCCACCTTGCGCTGCAATTCGATCCACCAGAATGTTCCGTGGGTTAAGGTCTGAATGTGTAAAGTGAATCTTGTGGCCTCGCCGAGCTGGATCATCGGGAAACATGAGATACTTGCTAAAGGCCGCTTCATCCTCAAAGGGGCCAACATGCTGCCCACCTCTAATGCGCGAATCTTTACAGGCCTCCCCCAGTGTGTCGCTGATAGTCACACCAGGACGATGAATTTTGGGTATGCTTCGGAGTTGAGAAAGAAATATGCCCAGGTTATGGCGAATATGATCGAGGTCGTTGTCAGAAATTGCTTCAATGCACCGATCCATTGACGTCCCGCGCAACTGTGTCATAAGGAGGTACGAGTCTGAATTTTTTGCCGCGAAATCTTCTGGCCCGTAAACCGCATCTAACACTTTTGGTGTTGGCATCGAAGTACGCTGGTAAACCGTGGCAAGCGCCGACACTTCATTGCGACATTCCGCAGGGTCGGTATGAGTTTTCAGGTAAATCCCAAACGGCAATCTTTGAACTGTAGCTGCCGTACGTCCATATAAGAGCTCGCCAAACTTTCGTAAGGTTTTGTAAGCAGCAGCACGAGCCCTCCCGGGTATTAAACGCCAAACAGAAAAGAACACGGTTGTGATAGGGCTGGATCCAAAAATCCTCTCCAACAGGCTGCCGGCAAATTGTGGAGCTCCTGAGAGTGCGACAGCTTTCCGTGTGTCCGGCAGTGGCTCGGCCGCGGCAAAAGTAGATGCAATGTCGAGAAAGCGTATGCTGCGGGAAAACCTAGCGTGTGTGCCAATGAAGCGAGCATCTACGGTAGGAGTCCTGGAACGAGAATGGTCGCCTAGCAAAGGGTAGGGTCCATTAATGTCAAGGTGCAGCTCCTCAGGGCCAACAGCAACAGCTTTGAGTTCGAACTGCGCAGGAGGGGTTGAACAATCAGTTGAAAGGACAAAATCTGTGTTGCTGGAGGCTATAGCTTACCTCGATCATTGAAGGTTGGAGGCGATCTAATTTTATAAATCCTTTCTCGAATACTTGCGCCACAGACTGCCGCACAAGCCAGTGGTTATCAAACACAGGTACATCGTCAATATGTCTAATGTAGCTGAGCCACCAATCCCTATAGCCACGTCCAAAAAAGGCTCCAAGCATGTCTAGGACTTGGGGCTTGCGGTTGGGAGGAATGTCAGTAACCCCAGCAGTGCATCTAGGAAAATGAACTCTGATAGCATACATGATCAGTTGTATCCCAGCCATCGGGCACTCTTAAAACGGGCACAACCAGGAGAGGGTCTAGAAGAGATCCTGGTTTGCCGGTCACGCAGCATCTATTGCCATCTCGTTTCCGAATGGCGAGCCGAGAGACAGGGTCGGGAGCAGGGGGGATTTTTCCACGGGTGACTGGAAGCTCGTCCATTAGCTGTGTCATGCGGAAGAGGGCGAATGAGGCAAATTCTCACGAGATTCAATTACGAACTGCCAGTGAGACGCCAGCTCTGAGGCTGGTTGCTGATGCTGCTCTAGCCGGTCGACGAGGTAATTGGCCGCGAGCTGCGGGTTCAGAGCTTCTTTCACGAAGTCAATGAGTAAGGCTTCTGAAGGGTGCGAGAGGTTCTGGGCCCCCACAAGCGACACGGCCTTCCTCACTTCTGCATGCGGAGAATACATTTGAGATATGAAATGTGCTTCAAAGATTTTGAGAATAATGAGGGGAGGAGCAAGGTGTTTTAGTCCCACAGATGGGCACAACCTGAGATGGGCTGACCTGTGAGGGCATAAATAAGGCCCGCGGGGGAAGATGGCGCGTTATGCCCAAGTTCCAATGTCGCAGCACAGCAGCTCGCTCACGGAACATAGCTCTGCCGGTTCCGTTTATAGTAACAACACACAAGTGCGCGGCCTCATGCCCAGTCCCACCTTTTTCCGCAGCGGCTATTGAAAACCGGGGCGACGCGTCTCTGGTGGGGCGATGCTCCCATTCGTTTCGTTAACCGCCCACCGTCATGTCACACACCATGCAGTCCTGTTGGCGCCTACAGGTCTATTCCTAAATTTGTGCATCTAAATTAGACTTGTTGGTGCTGGGCTGCCTGAATTATCATACCTGAAACTACGAGTCTCCACCTCACAGATTAATAATGCTGTCAATCATGGCCTGGGCGCTAATTCCTTGATCTGCATCCGGCGGCTGCCCGGATCTTCCCTGCTTGATATCCATCACATTCATCGCCCTGTGGAGTTCCATGCAACTCACTCCTGCATGCTCGCTGATACGCGCCTTGTTGACGCTTCATCCGCCATGGCTGGTCGCAGCCGATTGGTGGAATGGGGGCAGAGGGACACTTGCCAGATCGTTGGCTTCCACTATCTGCAGGCCAGGCATATGCGACCCTAACAATCGAGAACTCTTATCCAATTATTATTGTGTCTCTGGCATCACCGTAACGGGGATTCTAATTGCTACCCTGCCAGGGCCGAGCAAGCTCTGGAATATGTGGTTTGCCCAAGGGTCGAGGTCAGCCACGACTTCATGATACCTAATATAAGATAGACAGAGAAACTATCTATAAGAACGCCATCCCTCTATTGAAAGATTCGCTATGTCTTGATCATACTATCTATGCTTCTCTATTCTCTCATATCTCAGGTTTCAACATCAATATTTACCAAAGTCTCCATTATCAGTTATCTCTTTTTCCGCTGCCGGGTTCTTCTGATTCTTTTACTTTTTCTCCTCTTCCGCTCTGCAGATTATCCTCTGATTCTCTCATTTTCACTGCATCGAGTTGAATTATTAGAAACCATGGCCCGCTTGTCTGTTACCAAATCGACTCCTGACGCCATCTCCTCCCCCTATGGTCTCTACATCACCATGCAATGGCTACGTGAAGTTGGCGGCGTGCACAAATATGTAAGATACTTCTGTCTCCTCCTTCTTATTTAGAGAAATCAATATAATAACTCATTCTTTCTTAGCATTGGGGGCTCTTTCTGGCCAACGATGAACCACCAAAGGGTTCATTGTTTCATGCCACCGATCTTAACCGCGAGCCCTTGGATCTCCGTCTGGAGATACGAGAGGTCAGAGATCCTCGAAGATCCCAAAAATTGGTCACTTGCCTCCAAATCGCTACTTTGAGATCAATGGAAATTATGGAAGCATGCGCAAAGTCCATTCGGCTCATGGACCCGAGGCATGTCCCATTTGGAGAAATGAGATGGACTTGTCGTGTGTGGGTGAAAGAAGTTCTCGTTACTTTGAACCACGCAGGGTATATCAAGCTCCCAATGACTGTTGGTATGTGAGCAGGAGTGGGAGTTCTACTTCAGGATATCTCTGACATCAATTAGATTCACTCGAGCGTTACTGCCAAGCCGCGGCGGATTCACACTTGGATAGAATGGGGAATGCTTGGATATACAACGACATGCGTTGGCTGTCATCGCCCCCACCGGAGAAGCCTTCTGGGAAGCAGAGTAGCTACTATGGCCCATCAGAGATGGCGATCGACTCGACTGGGGATCGACGTGGCCCAAGATCCAGCCAGCCTCGTATATCGGGCCAGCCGTATTTGGGACCAAAGCCGATGATTACTGAGGCCGCCACACAGCGTTATTATGGATCGAAGCCCATGATCACCGAAACGTCGTATTAATCTCATGGTTATTGGTTTCAACGTCATTGAGATCTTCAAGTAGAATGCGGGACATTCTATCTCATCTATGGATTGGATATTAGTTACAGACCATAACCAGGACTTCTGTGCCAATTTCCATTTGTGCTTATGTTGTTAAATCGAAGTCAATATTTAAATCCATGGGCCTATATGCACATAATAATCAGGCCAATACTTGTATATCTCTCCAACTACCTATACGCGCAGTAATTTCCAAGCAAAGTCAATAATCACCATCAGATATGTTTTGTTTGATCTAACCCATTTCTTGCCAAATAATCCTCCGGGTGGCCAGCGTCGCGACTCAGCAGATTCTCAGCAAATGAGTATAACAATGAGATTATTCTATTAAATGCCAAAAAGTATCACATCATTCTATATAAAGCTTAGCTCCCAAGTCGCTGCAGCAAAGCCGAGATTGTCTTTTTTCAAACGCAGTCATCTTCCCTATGAGATCGACTTCTGAATCGCGATCAAGCTGGTTACAGTGTCCACAATTGTCTCCTCCAGCGGTCTAAATACCATACCGAGCTCCTTGGTCGCCTTGGAGGTATCTAGCCGGTAGACAGGCGGGAGCTGAGCCCCAGAGTCACCCTTGGGAGTCTTCTCCTGCAATTCGGGGAACTTGTCACGGATAATATCAACAATCTTCTGGTAGCTGTATGATGAATTGGCAATAAGATATCTCTGGCCTGCAGCCTCGGGCCTCTCAAAAGCCTGGACGTGAGCTTCGGCAACTTTGAAAAATGTTAGTCGACACAGACTTGAATACACAGACATAGACAAGGGTTCTTACGGTCGCGGACATCAGCAAAAGCCCAGAAAGAAGTGTCGGGTACTTGCTTCTCGGAGCCATTGAAGAGTCGGTAAATATCAGCAGAGGAGGTATTCAGCTTAGCCATATCGTCGACGTGGTGATCAAGGGGACCGTAGACCATAGGTGGCAGCAGCGTAGTAAGCTCAAATTTTGGCTGCTCGGATGGTTAGCCAATGTCAATTGAATTATCATCGTGGTAGTTCGTTTTCCAAGCTTGTATACATACCTGATTATCTTTGACGTAATCCCAAGCAGCGCGCTCAGCAAAAGTCTTAGAGGCCAGATATGCCACGACACCGTTGGCTCCAGCCGTCTCAGCAGTAACCGGGTTCCAGTCAGATTCAGTATAGGTATATCCGGGGCGTAGGCCCTGATTTACATCAACTACAGAGGCAAACGACGAGGTAATAACCACTCTGGTGATATCTGGGTTGTATTTCTGTGCCGATTCAAGAATTGTGGTTGTGCCCTTGATGGCAGGCTGGAACAACTCCTTCTCGAAATCAGTGGCATTCAAGATGAATGGAGATGCTTGGTGGATGATCTACAGTCTCCGTTAGTATTGTCGGTTGGCCAGCATATAGGCTCTGTCACTCACTCCGTCTACGCCTTTGACGGCTTCGTCAAACGCATTCGGGGCTGCAATGTCCGGCACAATAGCCAGAGACAACTGTCCGGGATATTTGGAGTGGGTCTTGAGGACCTCGGAGCCGGACTTTTCAGATCGAACGGTTCCACGGACGTTGTAGCCCTTGCGGAGGAAGGCATCGATGGTGTGGGTGGCGATGAAGCCCGAGGCTCCGGTGATGAGAACGGTCTTGGCCATTGCAACTGATGATGATGGGGATTCGTGTGTTAAATTTCTGTCTATAAGACTTAATGAGTTTATTTGTTTGAAATAGATAATATTTTTTATTTTTGAAATTCCGTGTAATTCATGAAGCATATATAGAAGAAATCATCAATACGTCGAACTCACCCAACTCCGTGACTCCGAAACTCCGGGAAGGGTCGTTGTTGCTGACAATTGCGACACTCCGTTATTCCCGCCCGCACCCGCACGTCCTACCGTAGCTTTTCTGCAAGTTCGAATAGCGCGGGATTGCACTTCGCATTGCGTCATAGATCATAATTAATAATGGATCACCAACCTGTCTCCTTGATCAATTGTCAGGGCAATATACGCGCTGTTATACATTTTCTAGAAATTTCCCTCTCCAAAAGACTCGTCTGTTTGGGTGTTTTTCAGAGCCGAAATACAACTGGGAGGATCAACCCGAGCTTTCCCCAACTGAGAGCTGCCTACCCTATACTCAGACCATGATGTCTATGTTGTTCCTTGATATCAGGTTAGACACTCACGAGACAGAAAAGTCAAGGCAGATTTATATGCACCTATATGTAGACATGATAGAATTTTTAATTTTCATGGGATGGTCGAGATTTAGTGAGGAAATTTTCACACTTGTTTTTCAAATCACTTTGACAGATGCTTTTTTAGCTTGGATGCATCCCGCATAATCTTGAGCTAAACTGCACTATGAGAGGAACGTCACCGACACCTAGCGGTTGCTGATTCAACTAAACCCGTATACTAAAGCCATAAGAGAAAGCCCAATAACGCGTTTCATTTTATTATTAGATCAACGGGAGACGAAATACGTTGAGAATGAGTTCATACACGCGTTTGTTATGATGTGTTCAAGTTCTGGTAATGCACGTGCCATAAACTGTCACGTGCAGAGCTGACAACCCTCAGACAGTTTTCCCTCCCTCATTTTAAACATTGCAAACACCTCTTTTCAAGACGCATAAAATATATTCAAGGTGGTTCCTTTTGAACAAGTACTTGATTTTCAGCCACGCGATAGGTCTCTCTTTGGTAGGCCGCCAAGCTGATTGCCTCGCATCCACGGGCATCACGTTACCAAGATTCCAGAAATTGTTTCCATCTAACACCCATGCTCGTCCATCAGAGCGCCATAATCGATTGCAGGCTCCCACTAACTATCATGCTTACTCGAGAGAAGTAACCACCAGATGGCATCTCGACAAGGTTGCGACCTAGAGCCAATAGGGGGCCGCATATCACCACATGCTACTCTTTTCCCTATCTATAATGAACCCGCCGTCTAATGCTTCAGGCCCTGCGATATCTTCAAGCTGAGACACGACTATTTATGCTGTATGGCAAGCTTGGTCAAGGGTGGCACCCTAGAATGCCAACCTTGAGCAGATATGGGTCGTTCTCAATCTGCTCCCTGACCTGACCAGACTTGAGTTCCTCCACATCCCAAGAAGCCTCAACGTAGCGGCCGTGGAGAAAAGCGGCCTCCGGGGATGCAAGCCAAACAGCAAAGTTACCAGGGAGTTCAGCTAAAGAGAAACGTGCATCAGTTGCCACATCCTCGGGAAGAACACGTAACAGATAATTTGACTTACATGAATACCAGGGGGCTTCCCCATCGCCTTTGTCGGGAAAAAGCCCCTTTGTCGTCTCTGTCCTGACAAGGCCTGGATGGAAGCTGACGATGCGCATCTTCTCGCGGGGCACGTCTTGGGCTATTTGCTGCAGTAGCATGGTGCCTGAGTTTTTGGTTAGGCAATACACAGGCACTGGGCCACCAGATTTCAGGTCCCATGAGGCGGCGGTCGACACATTAATAACAACCTATGCGGATGGTGTTAGTTCCTGCCTTGGAAGTGTGGTAGAAAATGATTCATACCGCTGGGCTAGAAGAGTTGCTTCTATCCTGTTTGTATAAATGCTCAATGAGTTCCATGTGCCCAAACACATTGACCTTGAAAGATTCAAACACCTCTTTGGAACCAAGATCAAGTACGGTCTTGACCACAGACTGCCGCCCGGCATTCAAGACGAGAACGTCGACCACGATGGCGCTCTCAGCGAGCCGGCTCCAGAGCTTAGCAATGCTTTCGGATTCAGTGATGTCTACTGTGTATATGTGAACCTGAAGCTCGGGATTTGATTCTCTCAGCGTTTGCGCGGTAAGTTGCATGACCTCTTCGCGGCGGCCAACGAGGACAATGGTCGAGGCGCCGGCCTGAGCGAAGCTCTTTGCGATTGCACTTCCAATCCCGGAGCCGCCTCCCGTGATGAGGACAGTCTTGCCAGCCTGCGAGAGCCCAGGGCGGTCCGGAGAGACAGCAGCATAGGGCTGTTTGTGGGTGATGGGCAGGGGTGTTAGTCGAGTGGAACTCATGTTTTCAGCCAGGCAGCTTCAATGTAAGTGTGTAAGTGGTGGTTTGGAATAAAAAGTCACATCTGAATGGTACCATAGGTGCTAGAAACTGGAGAGTAGAAGTCCTACTTATACCCCTGGATCTAGAGGAAACCTCTGGTGTCAACAAGCAGGTCAGACTCACATCCATCGTCTCTCAAACCGTCCATTGAGCGCGGATTAGCGTGAGAACGAGCCGTGATGCCGAATCCCGCAAATCCTCATTGGTCAGATTCCCGCCGCTAGCCCACCGACCAGGATTGTGACGACACAGGCAAATGCACGTATCTCACTCACGCGTTTCAGTCAATTTTCCAGACCAGTCCAGCCCGGGACTATGGCAGACCGTGCCTCCAAACCGCGCCAGAACGCGTGCAGAGCCTGTACAAGGGCCAAGAGGGCGTGTGATAGACGGATTCCACAGTGCGGGCGCTGTGGTGAGAGGGGGCTTGAATGCCAGTATTTCCCAAGATCTCGGCGGAGCGACAGACCTGTCTCCTTGGCACCGCGCCCACAGGTGACGATCCCGGATCAGCCCTATCTGTTGAACCCTGTTGCTGTAGGGCAAGGGCGGATTATCCCAAATGGTCCTCTGTCTTTGGCGGCGCCTCCAGAAGTCTCGATCGCCCAGTTCCAGCCAGCTTTCAGTGTGTTTCAGCATGGCTTTCAAAGCCGGGTTCTGGCATCAGCAATACATCCTCCGCAGGCCGATCCTGACCTGTCGTGGTTTCTTGCACAAGACTCGTGGAATATCGAGTCTACATTCATTCCTTCTCCCGCCGACTCAACCTTCATATTCAGGGGGTCCAGGAAAGCCATGCGTAGCTGGCTAAAAGACTGGGCCAAGCTAGGCCACAATATCTTTATTCACAAACATCTCTACCGGTCCGAGTTACCATCATGTTTAGAGGATGCTTACACGGCGCTTACCGCGTACCTGGCCAAGACCGAAGAGACGGAAGACATGGTGCTCCGAATAATTGAAAATCGCGCCGCAAGTCTCCACCAACAACAGTCTCTCATGCTCGAGGGGTTTGATCGGCTGGATCTCGTGAGTCACTTGTCTCGCACACAGGCATTATTAATATACACCTTGATTCGCCTTGTTGACGGATCTCCTCGGCAACGTGCTCTAGGTGAGGCCGCATTCAGCACCTTAGATCAATGGTGTCAGGAGATGAGGGACGCAGCTCTCACCGAGGCACCACGCCTTTATGAAACATTGGGCCAGCTGCGATCTAATGATGTTGGTGGTGGCAGCGGCAGGGCGGAGTTCGCAGTCTGGCAGGCGTGGATCCTATCTGAGAGCCTGCGGCGAACCTGGATGCTGGTATCCGGGACTTTCTATGTATATCATGACAAGGCCAACGGCTGGCCTGGATGCTCCGGCTTTCTCATGTTCACCACCCGGCAGGGCCTATGGGAAGCCCCGAATGCCTGGCGGTGGGTGCAGCAGGTCCGGGAGCAGAACCCGCTGTTTCAGCAGAGCGTCAACTTGCCGGGGCTCATGGAAGACACGTCGCCCGCTGAGATAGACTCTTTTACTAACCAGTTGCTTAGCATCCTACTCTCACCGGAAGATATAACCCGCTGGGCCACTCGAACGGCACAGATTGAGGGATAGTAGTGTTGATAATAGACTTCAAGATTACTAATATAGACGCCGGGATTGGCATCTTACTAAAGCTTGACTTTGCACTCTGAGGACGCTTTGGTGTCTTAGAGTGGCGGGTGATGTGAGTGTGATCAGTTTTGCAGCAGATTATTTTTATATAGCTCTTTCATTCACATCTGCATGCACTACTCTCTACCTATCCGATTTATAACCTGCTTTGGAAAGCATCTGGATGTTTGATGAATACCTCAAAGTCCTCTGCCCTGCTTGGAAGATTCCAAGATTCCAGCACCATCATAAAATTTCCGAATTGAACGCGTTTCTCAAGTCTAGTGTTAAGCGCTCGCATCACTTCTTGCTGGAGATCATTGAGACCGTCAAAATCAGGCTCAGAATCAGGCTTGACTCCATCAAACGCAATATTCAACAAGGCGCTTGATATCGTGACGAGGTCGATTCCGCGACTGAATGCGGTTGCGGACGTTATAACCTTGACCATCTCCGGGTGTTTTGATCCCTTGAAATGCTGTAGCTCCCTCGCGGCTAGACTCTTGAGCGTGCTTGGCCGACCATCGAGGAAGGGAAACTTCCCTTGTTCCAACTCTTCTTCCAATCGCTCTGGGTACCGATCCTCGTCTGCGAATAATTTCATAACCTCCGACAGTTCTTTCTCCGTATTCACTCGAAGTTTGACGAGCGAGAGGCTGCTCGCCCAAGTCACAAGGCAAGAGCTGCTCCGAGACTGGATATCTCTCAGACGACGGACGATACGAGTCTCGGAGAAATCCTCCTTCATCGCCTGGAGAGTAGCCAAGGAGATGACTGCAGTCGCTTGGGCCGTAGGCGTCTGTTCACAGTCGAGCTCTCCATCAAGTGTTGCTCGCTATCACTCAACCTATCAGGGAACCAGGCCAGCAGAAACGCGGCACAAGTCCGCACCTCGGCAGAGTCGTCTTTTAGGCAGCGATAGGCAGTATCGAGACCATTCTGAATCGCATTGTAGGACCTGACTTCTGGGGACCACCAATTCGCTTCATTCTCCGGAGCTCCTGAAGCGCGAAGAGACTTGATATACGACTCAAGATACTCCCTGTTTCGTTCTACGATCGCATCGCCGAGACACTCATCTAGGCCCTTTTTGATGATTTCAACCCGGTTGGGATCTTCTCGAAGCTCAGCCACGCGCTTGCGCTGGTGTGCAACGTCCGTTCCTAGGGGAAGTTCATCCGAGTTGAGCCCAGTGGCCAGGAACGCCATGAACAGCAACAACTCTCCTCGAGCGGGCGTGTCCGGGCTGTCGATGAGCCTGTATAGGAAGGGAATAGCGAGGGGCGTAGAAGTGTACCGACTGCCTTGGTGGCAAATGCTCCCATACAGCGAGTAGAGGGCTCGCTCGTGGGTATCTTCGTCGGGCGACTGAAGATCGCGTAGAGTCTTTGGTAGGTCAGTGGCCTCGCCGTAAGCGTGGTCTACGTCGGACCATGGGACCTGATCGACTCCTGCGAGCGGATCGGCTTCCATCTTGAGACGCGAGAGTTCTTGTGTCGTGAAAGCGATCCGTAAAAGTCTTTGACGATTTGATTTGATTTTGAGGGTAAATGTCGTGTTCACAGCGGCTTATATAACTATGTAATTGATTCTCTTCACACTGTTGCCGCTTGCAAGGGTTGTTGTTCAATTTTCCCAGCGTAGACTATTCACAAGAATCTTCGATGGTATGTCATAAGATCGTGAATGCTGTGCTTACAATCGTGAATCCGGCAATTGACCACTCACGAGGCCTGATTGCTGGCTGCTGCCTGGAGAGCTGGGGTGAGTGAAGATTGCTGACGTGTGTACGAAGGGAGCACAAGGGTTAGAGCCTGCTGGTCTCATTCTGACCGAGCAACAGCGTTGTAGCTTAGGAATTGTGGAATAAGGGAGAGATTACAAGAGGGAAGTGAGTAACTGTGTTAGCATCGGCTAACTAAGGAAATTTCAACACCTCAAAACTATGTTCATATAGTCACAAGGCTCATCGGCCTGTATCTCTCAACTTCAACATCAACTAATTGAATTCGAAGGACAAAATGTCCAATTATATAGCTTGTGAATTGATCAGAGAGAATTCCGGGTCACATATACAAAAGTGGGAGCTCTCTAGGAAGAGCCGCTGTTATCAGCGCATGAGAATGCACGGTCGATCTGCCCGCTAGCATAGGCATCGATGATGTTCTGAACAACACCATACGTACCACCAATGGTCAAAAAGACGGCAAGGAGGATCATAAGCCAGTTCAGATAGTAGACGGTGACCTGCCACCAGTTGCCCTTGCGATAGTGCCGGTGGTCGAAGATCCAGAGATAGCCGGGGAGTCCAAGAGCCAGAGGGGCAAAGGTCAGGCTGCCCGCGAGTGCCAGGAGGTAGTTGAAGATGGGGACACCGGATGCCAGGAGGAAGGAAATAATGGACATGCTCAGCGTGCAGCCAAGCCACACGGACCAATGCACAACGCTGTTCTTCTGCAGATGCTCCGAGTTGCGAAGAATGCGGACGAAGAGATACTTGGCAGCGACATGGACGTAAAGACAGGCGCTGACGAGAAGTCCCATCAGACCGATGCCGTAAGCCACCTTCTTGATTGTATCACCAGCGCTTCCGAGAGACGGGGAGGCAACCCACTGGCCACACCAGCGGTACACAACAAGAGAGAAGGTGAGGTAGGAAGCGGTCACAATGGACATGCACAGGTAAACGGCCTTGTTGTAGTCTCGGGGTTTGCGCATCTCGGAGATGACGGGCAGGAAAGCGGAAGTACCGGCACCAGAGCAGAAGATGGTGGCTACAGAGGTAATTCCAGTCACAAATGTTGGGTTACCGATGACATGGTAGCCTAGGTCGAAGTCTCCTGTTTGAGGAGCTGTCGCGGGTCGGTCACGGGTTGTCACACCGACACTGGATGGGTCAGCCTTGTGAAGATATCATACAAAGGGAGACAACTTACACAACGATGAAGACTGCAATATAGACGGAGAAGAATCCGATCCAGGTCAGCCAGGCAATCTTCTCGAACTTGCGTGCGCTGGCGAGGATGAAGACGGAGATTGTGGCGACTGCCATGAAATAGTTTGTGCAGATGGCGTGGCTTGATAGGGCGTTCAACGCGACGGAAGTGCCAAAAACACCAGAGGCACCGACAATGGCGTATGTGACAAGAAACAAGACGCCGACAACCTCTTTGAGCCAGTTGCCTCCAACAACCTGAGCCATGTCCGCAATCGAATGGCAGCCAGCATGATTGTTACGGAAGTTGCCCTGAACGATGGCACAATACGTGTTCAAAAATTGCCAGCCCAGGACGTTGATAGCACCTGGAAGGGCCCCCAAGACGTACATGGCAGACGGAATAGTCAGCACACCAGTGGCGAAGATGACTGTTGATGACGTTAGTACCGGGGCAACGAGAGAACTGTGGTGTACTTGCCTTTGAGGAAGATGACTGAAGCATGGACCCAGGTCACAGTTCTGAAGTCAACTGTGCCTTCGCTTCGCTTGAAAACTTCGAAAGCGTCATCTTGGTCCACTTTGCCGTTGTCAATGCTGTCACTGCTCCGGGCAGGCGCCGGGGTGATTATGTCAGCTTTCTCCGATTTTGTCATGGTTGAATGCTTGATTGTATGACTGAATGAGTGATGTTGTTGTGATGTTTTTGTGTTGTAGTTGTTGCCTTTGAGACACTGGATGGTGGGTGATATCCTGTTATGAATATATATCCAGTGGATGGAGAGTTTGGCTGGGAGAGATTCTCAGCCCGTTGACGAGCAGGCTGTTAATTAACCCCATAAAAGATAACAACGAGCTTTACCCCGTGTTGGCCTAAACCTTTTTCGAGATTCTGGGGCGTTAGATAACGTGTCTGAAGTCCCCTGTACGAATGGAAAATGTCATGATTCAAATCAAACCAAGAGATGCAGAGAAATCATGGGGTACGATAAAGATGGGTTTGGGGTCATTGTGGAGCGTGAGTTGGGGTTGATCAGCATACACTTGTGATAGACTTGGGGTCTAGTGTCAGCCTGGCTCTGGGGTACACTCCACGCAAACCCACATTCAAGCGTAGGGTCCTGATAACGGTCCTTTGTCTTGTGATGGCTGATTAGTGTGGTTGATGTGGTTGGCTGAGGAAGTGAAGATGTCTTGTCAATGGGCAGTTAGACCCATCAAGCGTTTCCTATTGATAAGATTATGAGATTTTGAATGAGTTGTATTGAAGGCTGTGCTAATTTGATTATATTCAAGGGACACATAGCCTTGTAGCAGTTAGCGTATCGGGTTTGAGATCCTGATAGCCTCCTTTTTGGCCACTGAATGCTCATGATCTTCATCTGTTTGCATGACCCTAACTCACATATGTGAAGCTACTGGAATACGAAGGATTTTGACATGAGTTAATTTAACATGATTGTAGTCTATAACATAGCACCTGGTGGTGCAGGAAGTACAGCACCGGCTGGCGCGGGATTCTTCTTCTTGAACTCATCACAGATCTCCGCCATTGTAACAAACTCAACGCCTTCATGCTTCTTCATATGCTCGATTAACCTTTCGTGCATCAATATAGCGTGAGGTCTCCCGGAAACATCCTACAAGTAGCTCGTTAGCATATGACGGGGTATTTTGAATTATGAATGGGCAATCAATACCGGATGAATGGTCATCGGGAAAATGAACTCATCTACCATATTCGTTAGTATAGAAAAGAGACTATAAGTATTGGAAATAGTGTACCGTATTCACGATAGAAGTAGTCAAAGTGGTCTCGCCATATGTCTTCGACATCTCGTGCGTTTACGAATCCGTGGCTATTTGGCGCATTCTTGATGAACATCATGGGCGGCAGATCATCCAAATACCTGTTATTCAGTCAGTCAAGGGCGGCGATGTAGTTCTCAAACAACGTACCAATTAGCAGGGATCTCAACCAGACCCGTGTCTTGCCCCTTGACCAACGGTTTCATCCAATCTTCGGGTTTCTTCTTATAGTCAATGTTTGTCCAAGTATCACCAGTTCGCAGATAATAAGCCTCGCAATCGGTGTGGCTCATACTGTGGTCGTATTCGATACCATAGTCCAATAGAAGCTGTGCGCCCTCTTTCGACGTTTCCCACCTACACAAAGGTTAGAACGCCCTGCTCCCACAACTGCTTTGCTTGCTGCGTGGATGTCCTTCTTACCAAGGGGCTACGCTCCCACGAGGTGGCTTCCCAGCAAACTCAGTGAGCATACGGTATGTCTTGTCGAGAACCTCGCGCTGCTGGTCGATGGTCATATCGGTGGGGTTCTCGTGCGAATATCCGTGTAGACCTTCATACGTCGTGAGTGATGAACGTTCTCCCTTTTGTCGGATTATGCAGGTACATACCAATTTCGTGACCGGCATCGCGGACAGCTGCCATGTCTTCCGGGAACGTTTCCAAAGAATGGCCTGGAATAAACCAAGTTGCCTTAATATCATACTTTGCCAAGAATTTCAGTACCCTCCGAGTTCCAATTGTTCCAGCGAAATACCCTTCACCATAATGATTAGTATCTTAATTGGGAGGGCGCAAATATGCGCATATTTGTGACCTAGAAGCATGCAGGGGACTATGATACTCACCTCGGCTGATGTCGTTTGAGGAATCTTCGCCTCCGTACGAGCCAAGCCAGCCTGAGACGGCATCGACGTCAACTCCATAGCTTACGAGAACGCGCTTCTTGCCCATTGTGTATTTTATAGATTGGACTGATTGAGTTTGGTTGAAGTATAACAGAGAAGGGCAGTTGGAGGAACGCCAGTGTGACGAAAGTGGCAGCAGACGCAATGGCGGGGTAATTAGATAAATAATTAACACTCTCGCCCTGTTCTAGAGTTGATTCTAGTCAAGGATAAGAGGGACCGCTTTCTTAGCGTTCCAGTCGCATTGACCCCATTTGGGGTCGTCATCAGCCAGTTACCCCACGAGGCTGCTGATCACCTCCTGAAAGGATGTTGAACCTGGGGTCACTGTTTCCTCGAGTCCAGCAAAATTGAACACTTGCTATCTCTAGGAGGGGCTTCCCCAGATAAGAATGTTGCATTGACATGCGGGCGACTGTCGAGTGGTGTGTAATTCCCACTCCAATTTGGAGTACGAGACGTAGATCTTTCCCGAAGGATCTCTAAGACTCGAACTCAGTGAACCTTGTATACAATAGCAGTGGCGAAACTGGCATCACCAGTGCGAGGAAGCTGAATCTTGATCCTGTGAATAATCACCACTCCCCTGGAACTGCCCATGATAGAATCATCGCCCACCGCTTCGTTAGCACTTCCTGAAAATAGGTTCAACATTCAACATGACTCAAAGGCTTTCTTCATCAATGAGGGTTGCCTACATATCTCAGGTTTGTAAATCACGCCGCTTTACGTCATGTTCATGATATTGAGTTCGAGGATAGTTCAATGAGCCATACGCTCTCGGCGAACGACCACGGCCGACACTCGAAGCAGCGGACGTCCTTGTGCGAATACACGCAGCGGGCTTCTGTCACTCAGACCATCAAGCCTGGCAGGGACAATTTAATTCCCCTATAGGACTCATCCCGTCTCACGAGCCGGCCGGCGTAATAGAGGAGCTTGGCCCAACCTACAACGGAGATCTAAAGGTCGGAGATCGGGTTGGCGCGCTCAACTTCAAGCATGCCTGTGGGGATTGCGCGGGATGCAAGCTGACGCTTCGTACGTCTAAGCGCCTGGATCCTCGCTTTTGTGAGGTGCGAGAAACGGCGGGATTCCAGCACGACGGCGTGTTTGCGGACTACATTGTGGCAGACCCGGCCACTGTGGTTAAGCTACCTGACTCTGTTTCCTTTGAGCAAGCTGCGCCGCTGATGTGCGCCGGCGCAACTGTCTGGGGATCAATAGAGCGGACGACACAGGGACTCAAGCCTGGAGAAGTCGTTGCCATAATTGGTATTGGGGGTCTGGGTCATCTAGGTATTCAATTTGCAAAGGCACTGGGCTTCCGCACAATCGCTGTGGATAATCGGCCTGCCGGTTGTGAACTGGCCAGGCAGGTCGAAAGCCCCCATCTTCAGCCTGATCTTGTGGTCGACTCATCAGTCCCTGATGATGCTGCGAAAGCTATTTACGACCTGACAAATGGGGAAGGGGTTGCGGCAGCAGTAGTATGCACCGACTCTGTTGCGGCAAATCGATGGGCACTTGAACTGTTGAGAATCGGGGGGACCTTAGGACTATTGGGTCTCCCTCCGCAACCGTGGCAGTTTGATGCCGACTTGATTGTGTTCAAGGAACTGTCTATTAAGGGAAGCTATGTGGCGAGTAAGGAGGCTACTGAACGGATGATGAAAGTGGTTGAATCTGCACGGGTAAGTTCGCGCTTAACCATAATTCCTTACCAGAATGTACCTTCTATCATCGAAAAGTACGAGGATGTATCTTTCCAAGGACGATTGGTCGTTAGGTTTGTGGACTAGTAACAATTCATTACATTGCTCGGAAACAGGGAGACCAAATCCTTTTGGAAAACCCCATAGAAAAACCGTAGCCCCTGCTTCTAGGCCACTCTATGCCAATCAAGGCACCGATGGGACATTTCGAATTACAATTTGATGTCGTAATTGGACAGGGTCCAAGGGTTGTTGGCAAATAGGGCTACCCCAAGACCCCGATTTGACCCCAAAGTGACATCAGCCAGTAGCACATCAACCCCAAGGCACCAGCTCTGCTTCCCCTGATTGTTGCATCTAGTGAATTTGTAAGCTATTTCCGTTACTGCTGTTGATAAACTAAATAGCAACTTTATCTGAAGCTTTGATTTAGCAATGCTGGCTTAAGAACAGGGCCCTTATCAGATTCCACCCCAACGTACGACCGGGCCAGACAGTGCGGGAACACTGGCAAATCACCATGTCTGTCTTTTTCAAAGAAATATCCCCGTAAGCTTGAAAGATCTGGATCTGAGATCAATTTTGCAGACATTTGATCACACCTCTAACAACTGCCAATAGAGATAATCCCATCCGCGAGGGCGATGTCGAGAGAATACTTGAACCACTTGGCGTGACAGTCAAAGAAGGAGAGTCTCGAGACTACCAGACTCTTCTAGCCGCCGTCCACGACTGCGCTGAGCACGTCTTACAACTTCCCGACTATCAACCATCTCCCGACCTCGATCGTTATCCTCGGCTCGACTTGAATCGCCCTTCCGAAAAAGAACAAGCATTCGGCCACGCGTGGGCTCATCGATTTCTTATAAAGGGAAGCCAATCGACGACGTCAGAGCTGCGAGGGAAATCCATTTGCATCAAAGACTGTATTGCGGTCGCCGGGATCCCTCAATTTTTTGGAAGTGATGCGTTTCCAGCATGGACTCCGAGCACTGATGCAGCTGTGGTAACACGGATGCTGGACGCTGGGGCAGATATCGTTGGCACAGCTACTTGTGAGCATTTCTGCAACTCGACGTCCTCTTTCACTAGTGCTCAAGGCACAGTCGAGAATCCACACAAGGTGGGATATTCTGCTGGAGGGAGCACTTCGGGAGGGGCAGCTCTTGTAGCTGGAGGTATCGTGGATATTGCGATAGGTACCGATCAGGGTGGAAGCATCCGGGTCCCAGCGTCGCTTTGTGGTATTGTTGGGTTGAAGCCGACCCATGGACTCATACCATATACCGGTATTACCAGTGGAGACCAGATTGACGACCACGCTGGCCCTCTCGCCCGGTCGGTCGTGGAGGTGGCGGCTAGTCTGGATGCCATGGCTGGGTATGATGGTATAGATGACAGGTCACTAGGTTCTGCACCGCATGCCTCATTTCATTTTTCCCAATCACTGAGGGATACTGATGGTAAACTTGATGGAGTTAAAGTCGGCGTTCTCGTCGAGGGTTACCAAAATGATCTCATTCAACCCGGTGTCAAGGCCAGATTCTTGGACGCCGTAGAAAAGCTTTCGATGCTTGGGGCTCAGATTGAAGAAGTGTCTATCCCTCTGCACAAAGAAGGCGGATCAATATGGACAATCCAGCAGCGCATATCCGGAGCATCTGGCATCCTTGGCAACGCCAATGGTCGTCGTGGTCTCTATCTGACCGAATTCGAACACGCTCGCCTCCCTTGGACCGCTCCCAACTTTGACCGACTCTTTCCATCAACGAAAAACACAATCATCAACGGCATCTATCTTATGAAGAATTTCCCTGGTCTCTACGGAAAGACTGTCAACATAGGCCGGCGAATAAAAGATGCATATGAGTCGGCATTCGAAAAATACGACGTGATTGTCATGCCCACAACGCCATTTGTCGCTCCTCGACATGGAGATAGAGACTCAGTGTTGGGATCATTCGAGCCTAGTATAGGCATGACCACGAATACAGCGATTTTCAATGTCACGGGGCATCCGGCATTGTCATTGCCAGTTGGTCTTGCTGCCGCACCAGACGACGAGCATTTGATGCTGCCTGTCGGCCTACAAATTGTGGGTGGTTTATGGCAGGAGAAGGCAGTATTGAAGGTTGCACATGCCTGGGAGCAGAGTTTTGATTGGAAATCGGCCTCCAAGAGGAATTTCTGCTCGAACTCGGCTGATGAGACTTCTGGAGGTGCTCAATGGGGTGGTGATGTCCTTAGCGAGAAGGAACTTGGGGTTAGACATACGGTAGAGATCAAGTCTCAGTTAGAGGTTGGACAAATTAAGATGGTTGCTTAGTTTCCTAGAGGTAATATAAAAAAAGCATGATTGGATGAGTGTGTTGTTGAGGCTTGGAGTGGACGTTATTCCATATGTGCCAAATAGTATCGCAACATACTGCTAGGAGAGAGCACGGGGTATTCTTACATTTTAAGAAAAGTAGTTCAAAAAGCATCAGTTCGATTCAACATATTTTATAATGAGCAATACTGTGCTTCAATTAATTGTATAGCCGCCATCGACAACCAGTGCGTGGCCCTGAATGAAAGATGCTTGCGAAGAACAAAGAAATAACACAGCATCTGCCACTTCTTCCGGTGTGCCCATTCTCTTCATTGGGGCGATCTCGACTGCTGGCCTCAATCGCTCTTCCACTTCTCTGCTACCAGTTGTCATTGGGGTTGCAATGACTCCTGGACAGACGCAATTTACCCGGATGTCGTCACAGGAATAATCAATCGCGTCTGACTTTGTCATGTTGATTATGGCGGCTTTCGAAGCGCAATAAGGGGCTGTCGAAAGAGAATAATTAGTCTGTGAACCTCTTCGACACATACAACATGGGAACTTCACCTGCTCCTGGCCTGGCTACTATTCCAAGTTGGCTTGCGACATTCACAATCGCTCCTCTCTGTTTTGGATGCTCGGCTAATGAGTCTTGCTGCAGCATCTGGGAAATCGCCGCTCGGGACACCAGCCAGGTGCCTTTGTAATTGATATTATTGATTCGATCGAAGTCTTGGACTGCTGTTTCGTGTGATCTCTGGGCCGTTCCTAGAACTCCGGCACAATGAACCGAATAATCAACGCGCCGGAAAGTGTGCGTCGTTTTCTGTAGAAAAGACTCGACAAATTTGGGATCGGATATATCGCCTTCTGCTGAGCATACTTTCGCTTGGGGGTTTATTTCTGATATGGCTCGGCGAGTATTGGCGAGTGTTGCTTCATTGATATCGGTGATGGCAAAACGTGAGCATCCAGATGTAGCAAATGCTTTTGCAACAGCGGCTCCGATGCCTGCTCAGACGCATCCATTAGTTTTGCGAGTACAACAGACATGTGAAGTGATTACTATCTATTGAGATGCTCTATCTCACCTGTGCCACCTGCGCCAGTGATCAATGCCACCCCTGGAAATCTGGTCAATGAAGCCATTTCCGAGTCCTGTTTTGTGATATGGAGCGTTGATCCTGCAGTCAGCAAGGCCTCATTGATTATACGATGCCCTTGGATCCCAATCATCAGATCCCTATTTCACCCTAGAGTTACAGGGTCATCATTACGTCTTGGGGTGACCCCAAATTTCCTCGATCTACCCCAGTTAGCAGCCTATCAACGGCATCACACTTCCGGGCTCTGTGGGGACTTGGAGTGGATGTTGGGGTCGCGACTGATAACAAACTGGACCTAACTCTCTTAGAGGAAAGTATAACGGGCATCACGAGCCATGGGGTTAGGTAAATGTCTCATATGTTGGGCACTGCTCCATTCATTATGACCCCAACGCCCCCAACCCCCCTTCATTCCCCAAACCTCTCAGTTTCGACACACAAGAATGCTGCCCCACAGTGCGTTCGATGCTTACCCCCAGAGCCAGCCAAACGGACACTCGAATGGCCAAAGCCATAAACGAAGAAGAACCTTTACTGAAACGGAAGGGGTAGAGAGGAGCTTCACAGGGGGTGGGGGTAGAGTGGTACGTGAGTGTCCCCATTGTGGGAGGACGTTCAAGCGGACTGAACATCTGGAGCGTCATGTCCGTACTCGTAAGTGGCTTTGATGCCTTGGATTGCACCTAATACGGTGTTGCAATATTTTCGATTGAAGCTAATAGTCGCTACTCATTTGATAAATTAAAGACACCAAAGAGAAGCCCTTTGTCTGCCATTGCGGTGCCGCATTTGCTCGAAAGGATCTGCTTGTTCGTCATCGGCGGATAAGTTTACACGAAGGCATTTCACCCACAGAGACCTCTCCCACGACTCAAGCCGCAGAGGCGGACCTCGCTGCTGCGGTGTCACTTTCTGGCCTCAGCACAGACCCTTGGGCAAATCAACAAATTCAACCCGGCACGCTGCCTCTGCAACTTGATGGCCGAGATGGGAGGAACGTTGACAACCGAACGCAATATCCCCAGGAGCTGCTTTCGCCGAGGCTGTTTGGCGCTGGTGAACCGCCTTGCACCGAGGATATGAGTTGTCAAGTGCTCGGTGACTCAATACAATTCGATCCGCATTTCCGGGAATTTGCCAACTTTCTAGATGGCGTGGGATTGCCAGCCGAGTGGAGTCCATACTTCAACGGCCCGGAAAAAGAGAACGAAAACGAAGTGATTGAGTCGGAATTACGACAATTTGTTTCAGAGTCGCCATCTCCTCGACCGAGGCAGAGGGCAGGGACCCCGTTCAGCTCCTGGCTCCCGTCAGCTCCGACTGGAAACAGGATAACGAATTACGCTTCAGAAAACAGTACGTGACCCCTCTGTAGACACCTGAGCATCCTAAACATTGACTGTGTTTCTGTATGCAGATCCTCGAGCTGTCGACCCTGAAACCCAGCGCTTCAAGATTACCGATGAGCAAAGGGCGGGACTCAAGGCATGTCTTGATTCGTTCTCGGATGTCTTGGACCCAGCATTCAGAATGCCCTCCCGTCACGCCTTGACCAGATATATAACATCGTGGTTTGAAGGCTTTCATTCCCACATGCCATTTATTCACTGCCGTACATGGAACGTCCTCGACCATTCCCTAGAGCTCATTCTGGGAATAGCTTCGATAGGGGCACAGTATTGCTTCGAGCACTCTTGTTCAGAGCGCCTGTTTTTTGCTGGTAAAGCCATCCTTATGGAGAGGTTGAGAAAAAGTCTCGATAGTTTAGGGCCTAGAATGAGCTCATACCTCAACCTCAACACCCCGACGTTGCATCGACGCCAGGGTACGGACATTTCGCCCACTGATCCCACCGAGACGGTGCGAGCGCTTATTGCGTTAATGGGTTATGCGACTTGGGAACCGAAAGCATCCATGGTTAGGGAAGCCTTTGCTCTTCAGGGGCTATTGGCTCAAGTCCTACGAGATATTGGCCTAGAAGAGGACGATGAAATGGCAGACGATACTCCGCCACCAGCCTCTGCTCACAGGAACGCTGCTCATAATAACTGGTTAGCGTGGGTTGAACAAGAGTCACGGCGTAGATCAAAACTGATCGCCTTTTCTTTTCTTCACACCCACAGCATTGCGTACAATGTGTATCCCGTTCTTTTGAGCAACGAAGTCAAACTAAGGCTGCCGTGCTCAACAAGAGAATGGAAGGCAGGAAGCGCGGCCCAATGGCAAGCCGCCACAAAGGAGATCAAGAAACAACAGCTGTACTTCCAAGATGCTCTTTCCCTTTTGTTAAGGAATAAGAATGGAGCGGTGCCCTTGGACCCAATACCCACGCCTCTGGGAAACTACTTACTTTTGCATGGCCTTTTGCAACGGATTCATATCGTGCGTGAGCTCAGTCTACCTGTCTCGAGCGATATTGCGGCATTGCCGACCGAGGAAGTAGATAAACTCGAGTAAGTCACACAGCTTCAGTTTGGCTTGTATATTGAAAGCTGACGTTTACACTAAAAGGCGAGGCCTTCGATCCTGGACGACCGGGTGGCAGCAAGCCGCCGAGTCGAGTCTTGATCCCAACAATGAGAATGGTCCTATTCCGTTCACATCCAGCTCCCTTCTTGCACTAGCCTACGTCCGCATACATCTAAATCTAGGTCCATATAGACAGCTGGAGACGCGAGACACTTCCTGTATTGCGAAAGCACTCAGTCGCTCGCCCTGCGTCGAGCGAAGTGATGGCGTCATCGCTGCCCTGCTGTACGCGGTTCATATGCTGTCCATTCCAGTCAGGCTTGGCATAGACCGCGTGGCAAGGAGCCAGGCCTTCTTTTGGAGTGTTCGGCACACTCTGTCAAGTCTAGATTGCAGTATATTACTGAGTAAGTGGCTGGGTAAATTAGGGGAAACCATGGCGTCTGCGCCTTTGACAGGTAGGCGATCTCCTATGAATCAATTTTGTAACTATCTGCTCTCCGTATGAAAACGCCTGACAGATGATGGGATACAGATAGCGAAGACCGCATCCTACATTGGGTACGTAGCATCGTGGAAGAAGCGAACGACGTTGTCGATTTTGAAGATGAAGAGGAACCGCCCGGCGATCTTCGAGAGCCACGCCAGCTCGGCCTCGCAGTCTTGAAAATATGGGCACATTTCTTCAAGAGAAACACTCAATGGCCTTTCATCAACATTATAGGGACGGGCCTTGAGAAGTACAGAGAAATTCTTATTCGTAATTCGTCATAAAATATCTGTCAATTTACCCATATATACATTTGAGCGATATTCATTTTAATAACCATCTAGAGGTCCAGGAGAGCATATTTACTGAAGACTGCTCCCTAGAACCATCTCAATAACATCGTATACCTTTGTGTGTCTTTCCGCATCTGTGACTATAAGCACTCGGCCGTCGCTAGAGAATGTAAGCTCAACGGCCTTGCCCAATGCTGGCTGTGCTGTGCTTCTAGATGTGTATTCCTCAATCATCGACCATGCCTTCTGGCCAGTGACTGCATTTAGGATGACCAGAGTTCTCTTTTCTCGGGTGTCCAGGCTGTAGGCAATGTACCGACAGTCTGGACTGATGCAGCATGTGGTGTTTGGGATCTCATATGTCCGTGTCCCGTTATGGGTAAGATTCCATACGAGGACATGACGAACCTTGACATGCACTGGAGTAAGCCTCCAATCACGGTGGCCAGGAATAACCGAGTGTCTGTACGATCGGCAATCGGCTGGGGTCCATATAGACACCACCAGATTTTCGTGGGTTTCCAGAGCACAAGGTGCAGCAGTCTCAAGAGCCTTGTACTGCCAAGGGCAGACGAACCGATGAGGGGCGTTGGAAACCTCTCGATAATCCGATATGTCCCAAGCAACCAGCATGGTCTGATGCTCAGGGGGTGCTTGACCAAGCTTTGGAGGTCGAGGGCCGGTGGCTGCTACAAGGACTGGCGAAGATTGCGAGAGCGCAAGCTGCGGACTATCCAGGAGCAGAGGAAGTCCTGCTTTGCAGACGTTGATACTGCGCACTTTGGCGAAAGGCTTCTTGCGCCTGTCTGTAGCCGCGTACAAGTCAATCGCGTTTTCGTGGGCCCTGAAGGTTGCCAGAGGATTCCAGCCATCCTCAAGGGTCTCGAAACGGGCTGCTACCCACCGATCTGCCTGATCGATGCGCTGGAGCTTCTTTTTCTTGGCCCAGTTCCAGATCTCGATGGTGTTGCCGAGCCGCGTGCTCGCAGCGATGAGCTTTGCCTTGTCAGAAAGGATAACATGGTTGTGAATGGGAACCTTGCAATATTTATTGGTGGCATGGAATAAATCTGGGATCTTGATAGTGAAGCGGAGGGCCTCATATTCCATGTCCCAGAAATGAAGAACATTCTTGCCCTGTTTCGCGACGACGGTGGTTCCAAGTTTCGACAAGTCAATAGAGCTGATTGGTTCTGGGTTCCGTTTCTGGAGCGTATGAAGTTCTTTGCGGTAGATGGCCTTTACGCAAAGATCAAGACCCCGCTCAGGTCGTGGGGGCCTTGTTGGCGGCTCTGCTTTGGAGGCCTCAAGCTCATAGTCCCGCAGTGCTTCATTTATTGACTCTGGGGACTGAGGCTCGGAGGACCGTCGTACATCCTGAAGACGTTCTTCAATTAGAGGCACAAGAGGCTTCACTGAAGCAAATGCCACACTCTTACGTGCCGAGTAGGAGCGAGATGGTAACGATGAGCATTCTGAGTTCAGTGTGGATGCTCTGGAGCTTGGTCGTGAATTGCTTCGCAAGCTCGAGGATCGAGCTGGGAACGGTGGTGTTTTGGGGACAATGTTCAGCGGCGCTTCACATGCACTCAGCTCGCTCATGCTTATAAGGCTGCTTGCAGAGGAAGAAAACCTTCTATACCGAGTAGATGAAGCGGCAATGCTCAGGCGTCTGCTTGGGCTTCTCACGAGCAGAGCCTTGTCGGGTGATGAGTCCGACTCCTCTGTATTGCTGTCTGCATTTTCGGGTAAAGGCCAAGAAGGCGACAGATCTTCGGCTAGTGAAACCGATGAACTGCTCAGCGCGGATGAAGTATTTGAGCCTGTATTTGCATCTTCAACCTGTTCTGAGCTGTATCGGCTTGATGTCGATCCCTCTGATGCCGGGGCAACACTTGGTACTGAAGACGTAGTCGAGCTTATAGTGTCATATGATGCCGAGGAGTCATTCGAAGCCGATGAGGTATTTGAAGCTGAGGAAACATTGCTGAAGGTGTGTTTGTGACGACCGATATATCCAGTGCTCTCACTGGTTGGTGATATCTCAGTCGTATTCATGCCAATCAGGTGATACCTATAGAGCTACGGTGAGCATTCAAATCACGCACAAACGATGAAGAAAAGACAGAATGATAAGAATAGTAATGATTTCTACAATAAATCGAATGCACACAGAGGAAAGGCGGTGGCTTACGGTAGTCCCGCAACAAACCCGTTAGGATCAGCCTGCTCCTCATCCACCACGATCGGCTCTCTTGCTACGAGCTCCTTTGATTGAGACTGCCGCGCCGACTTGGACCTAACTATGGGATAATACATCCCGGGAGTGGAAATACCCATGAACTCCATTGTGGCTGTCGCTGGCTCGCTGAATGCCTAATGGTGCGAGAAGTGATTTGCGTGCTGAGGGCCTGAGGCAATCTCAGTATTGGCCAAGGCCAACCCATGTGTAGGCACTTAACCAGTAATGCCAGGGGATTTGCCTCAAGATCACTCTTGAATGAGACGCGAAATGCGGAGTAAGTGCTGGTCAGCCTGGTTCAGATTTCCAGAGTGGGAGAACGTGGGTTAATATCGCAAATTCTCGCAAGCAGCACACAGGGAGGTTGGCGCGATCTTCCGCTATCCCACACCTCACGGCAAATCTAGCCCTAGGCTCCGTTTCAAGTCTCGCTGTTACGTGCAAGGAAGCTGTTGTTCCGGACCCATCGTCCCGCGATTCGTTGTTACCTTGGCTACCCCTCACCCACATCTTCCAGATACCCAGCCGATACAGCATTCCGGGGGCAGCCTCTCCGTGAGGAGGGGCAGTACGTGGCGTGGCGTCAGCTGGTCTTCATCTGCTTTACAAAATACCTAGACAAAGTAGGGCTTGCATTGTTCAAGTAGGTGTTTGGACATTTCGATAACTACGTTGCTATGCGGTGTAGGATTTTTTTATCAGCTTCTTGGTTTCTGGTCCTGTAGCTCATGCCGAATCTCTGACCTGCCATTTATCGCTAGGCCGCAAGGTCTTGAATGGTACCATCCAAGCGTGATCGGCGTGAGAGGAGAGCAGGGGTGGGTGGTGTGACCATTGCCCGGAAAGCTGCTCGCCTTAGTATGCAAGGTGCAGCGAACGTCTTCCGCGAGAGCCTAACACCGAGAAATATCATTATCTACTCTGTATCCTGGAGCACTCTCGTTTCTCGCCGCAACTTGCTTCATATGTCATCTAGTCGTGCCGATTGCACTATAGACAATAACTTAGAACTGGCTCCCAAAACCGTATGAAAAGATGAGAGAAAAAAGTTCTTTGAGGACTTCATTGATAAGAGGCATACAACTGTCTTTCTTCCCCACAAGACCTTTGTCAAACGGGCGCCAATGTAGAAGGTTTCATTGGCCTATGAGGAGTTCAGCATAGCTACAATGCATAAATACCGCTTTAGGCTGCTGCGAGGGCGAGATGCCTTGGATAAAGTGGCACGTGCAGCAAGGTTACATTGATACCATTGCTGCCGATCTTCGGGACTTCCTGTTCCATGAGGACAGGTTGCAACAACTGGGGCTTTTGAACCCGACCTGCCGTCTCAAACTACGAGAGCAACGGGTAAGGGGTCGGGTTTGACGTCAGCCTACTTGCGCAACGTATCATATTCTACTTTCCCTTTGAGCTCTAGTATGTCGCTAGGCACTCTCACGGAGTTAGGTAATACTAGGCAGCTCTTCTTCTTGTATTGAGTATAACATTGCGGGTAGTCAAATTCGGATCACAAGACACAGTCGACTAGAGGCAATAAATATAAAATGAGAAGGTAATGTGAAGAATCAAAAATGGCAAACCGAGGGATTTATGGTTGGCCCCATCATGGCTTTCAACTACCATGAAATTCTCAAGGAAGAGTTTCTTGATATTCGCCTATAACATCTTAATTGCTGAACCTTAGCTAAACTTTTGTCGAACCGATCTACGGCAATTGGCGTGTCACCGCGCCTTCTGGTCACAAATCCAACGAGATCCCTTAGAGTTCATCGATGTATCCCTTCTAAGTACATCGGATCTATAATACAGCAATATTCTCGCTAGATCTCGCATTTGATCTTGTTTGTATGCTGAAGGAGCTCAAGTCGAGCGTGGAGGGGTGCTCTATTCCCTGTATCAAGTGCATTTCCAATTTGATCATATAACGTACCATGTCTGCCCGACAACATTGAGCAGTGACGTGTAAGGGTGCCACGCTACTGCAATGGCGACACAGCATATTTTAATGTCCGTCTTGAAGGACCAACCTTGTAGCGACCTACCAGCAGGTAGTTCTGATGTGAATCCATATGTAACATCTGAAGCAACCATGCATCACGCCGCCAAGTGGCTCGCAGCAGAAGACCTTGGTAAGGGAAGATTCATTTTGCCCACCCAGAGCCGACTGTTTCTGCCTGTGCGTGGCTAAGAGCTCGGCCGAGCGCAGTTTCTATTTGCGGGTTGGGGACTTTCTCAAGGGTGCTCAAGCCAAATTTTGAAGAATTGTTGTCCGTCGAGCACCTTGCTGGTTTATGCCGAAAGAGTCCATGTAGAGAAGCTCATGAGCTGTGGATGACATCAGTCCACGTTGGCAAGCCGGATGACGTACTAATTCCCCAACTCGGTTTTTGACGTTCGGATCTGAAATCTTAAGCTCGTTGAAGCAGTAGATGGCTAGTTCATTGTTGAAGATACCTTCATATTGCCTCGAATGTAGGCCTCGCCTGATCTTGGGCTAGGTCCAACTCGCTTCTCAGCCGTTTTATTGTGATCTAATTGCAACGTGATAGTATCTCGCGCGCCGACTTACCAAGTGATCTTGTCAGTTTGGATTTCTAGCAGGTCGTATTCATTTCCTAATACTTTAACGAAAGTGAATATGTCCTTGTCCAGCCCGACATTCCGGGAGGTCCAAGATAGTGTTTCAGTGCAGATACCTCTCGATTTAAACCTGCTGCTCATATCCATCTAGAAGCTGAGCTGTATACCCGCTGCAGCGCATCAAACAGCCTCGGTCTTGTCCTTTTATTATTCTTTATATGTGCTAACTCACCCTACGATGAAAACAAGTTCCATGGCAGGGTTGGATCCTTCTCGGCAGGCTTTAACGTATCCTAGTATCCTCTAAAAGTATCTTATAAATAGACTCGGGCCCTTGTACCATTTTGGAACCAAGTCTGATGGACTGCAGGGCCTAAATCGCCGCAGGAAATCCATGCTAATCATATCGTGTCTGTTTCCTTAGGTAGATTCCGGCCCTTTTGCCTCAGATAGAATTTTACCACAACTCTCGGAAATGTTGCTCTCGAATGCTGTTTTCTACCAGTCCGATACCCGACAACTCCTCATGTGTGAGTCAGCATTTGATGATGTCATGTCTTAGCGTGCATGTTGATGGGAAATTTCCAAGAGCCGACAAGCCGATCCGGTCCACCATGTCGGTTGAGACTTTTTATACCATTCTTCTAGCGGCTTGATGCTGGCAAGCCGCCGATGCCCTCATTTGGATGATCGAAACCTAAAATATCTTGCTTCTGGAACTTCCAACTGTATATCCATTCGATCGGCGTAAGATGGCACTTCCTCTACCGGTTATCCGGGGTGGTGCGGGGACGGCTTCTCCTCCTGGGCCGGGGCACGGCTACGAGTCCCCGACCGAGGAGAACTATCGCGAGTATTTCGCAACAGCGCCAGGGACTATGACGCCGGTCTCTCAAATTCATGTTCGTTCTCGGCCGGCACTTCTCACTCGACCGTCATACGTGGCAGCCCTACCCCCCGATCCCCACGTTCTCAGTGCAAGCCTAGCGGCTCTGGACGATGTAGTTGCCACGGCCGAAAAGATACCACCAAATTCAAAGGTTTCCATTAAAGATCGATTAAAATGTTATCAATGGACTTATTTCACAATGGTGCGGTTATTCTACCTCCGTTCCGGCCGGTGTCTCAAGATTACTCACTGAAATCGTAGACTATGGCAACCGGAGGTGTTGCGAATGTCATATATGGCTGTACGTGCTTTCTCCCTCATCATCTATCTAATACATTTGAAAAGTAACAGTTTTGAGTTAGTGGGGTACACCTCTGCCTGGGTGAATGGCTTTGGACTGTTCTTCTATCTGCTGAACATTGTTTTATTCTTGAACAACTGCGTCTGTATATGCGTTCGCTTTCACCTTATGCGCAGCAGCTTTATAAAATCCTTTACTGATCAATTTGAATGTTTGTTCATCCCTGCATTTGTCAGTACAATTCTCCTCTCTAACTGCTTTGTTCAAAATGCTTAACTTTATAGTTCGTATCGTGAGTCACGCCTTTTCACAGCCATGGCCGGATAATGACTGATGTGTCTCAATGACTTACAGCATTGCAATTATCTTGACCAACACCTGTCAGTATGGCGTTGAGCATTCGGGCTTCTGGCTTTTTAAAACCTTGCAGGTTTTATTTTGGATTTACGTCGCGTCGAGTGTCCTTGCCAGCGCCGGGATGTATCTAATTTTGTGGTCGACACAGTGAAGCAATCCCCTCGCCTGGTGAGCCATGCCTCAGAGGAAGCCCGTATGCTAACCCTTATACACTAGAGTATTCCCAGTCCATACGATGACTCCTACGTGGGTCTTTCCGGCATATCCCCTTCTTGTGATTGCACCGTTCGCGGCAAACCTGATCGCCGCTGCGGAACGTTCTGGGAACTTATGGGTGCTGAATAAGCCTGCCGTTGCCATGTGCGCCGTCACTCTACAGGGAACAGGGTGCTTAATAGCGTTCATGATATCTGCTGCCTTTATTTACAGATTAATGACTCAGAAGCTGCCCCGAGACATCCAGCGGCCAGGTGTTGTGAGTGTTTCGATGCCAGCAGCGCTATCATCTACTCGACTGCTAATACTCTGGCATCTTAGTTCATATCAATTGGTCCATATGGCTTCACTGCCGCCGGGATAGGTAAAGTGAACAGCCCATGCATAGCTCACGCGTGTGTCTTGGCTCATTCCGCTCATCTTTATTAGTGCAACTTGGACAGCAAGCCAACCTTATCGTCCCCCCTAATTTTTTAGGGTCTGAGATGACCGTGGATATTTTCAAAGTCTTATCTGTTTTGGTTGGCCTTTGGTTTTGGGGTCTCTGCATATGGTTCTTCCTTGTCTCACTTGGCTCCCTGTGGAAGTATGTCCGTACGGGAAGCTCGATTCCATTCCAAATGACTTGGTGGTCGTTTGTGTTTCCCAACACCGCACTTGTACGTGATCCGACATCACACCTTTACGTCCAAGCCTATTTGCCGTACTGACGAGGAGTATTTGTCCTTTTTTAGGTTACGGCAACTCAAACTATGAGCAAGGTCTTCGATAGCAAGGGTATTCATATTTGCGCTTGTGTTTTGACTGTGGTCCTAGTTATTGTATGGGTTGGTGTGTTTATCACAATGCTTCACTGCTTGAGGACCAAGAAACTGCTTTACCCCAAGCAGTCCAAATAGTCGAAATTGCAATTTCGACCGACAGAAATGCGCTTAATTGCTCTTTCGCGACGATATCAATCTCATTCGATAGATAAAAATGAAAGATCCTACAACTAGGGTCAATACGATAGCATTTGAAAGCTAGAAAGCATCCCGAACGTTTGAGCTTCAAGGCTTTAATCATTCAACGAGATGATAAATAGAGAAGCTGCTGATGTTTGTATCCAAACGGTGGATTTGTGGGGATTCATACAAAAGCAAAAAGAGAGGTCTCGGAGGGAGTCGAACCCTCGCTGACAGGATCAGAACCTGTAGTCATGACCGTTAGACCACGAAACCATGTTTGGTTGCACGACCGCACTGAATAACGGCTTATGATTTTGGACGTTCGTCTCCGGTTCTGAGACGTTTGATTCAGATCGTATTGCGCAAGGCTCAGCCGCCTCTGCCTCTTTGACATTGCCCTGGCTTAATGTAACTGAAACGAAATCTCATGTAAGCGTGGAAGCGACCAAGGTGGGCTTGGCAGTATTTGGGATTTGGGCTACCCTGTACCGCAGTCAGCAGGTGATGCTGAACAACGGGCCAACTGAGGATCAAGTTAAATCAATCCGTTTTCTTAAGTTTTCCACGATCGGGAGTAACCGGATCCATACTACTAAGATTAACAGCCCGAGATATAGCTTAGTGTGAGGCAGCACACAATTCGCATGCAGCTGATGTTAGTAAGAGCTGGGGGGAAATCCTTTGATTTTGATTGGCTGTGGATGTTATTGCTTCGGTCAGTTGTTCGGTAGGAATACTCATTACGGCCATAATACAGTGATGGTGCAAGACGTTTCGGATAAGGGACAGCAATAACATGGTTAATATGCTTGGTAGGCTGAAGTGGATGAGGGTGGATGGGTAAGCTCGAAACGATGGAATCGGAATCCCTCTCGGTGATTGTAAGACGGGGGAAAATCTACCCATCAAACATGTGTCCTCACCGCGTTTGAATAATCCGAGTTCGTCAAACACAAGTCCTTCGACTTCATTGCTTATTCGAATGTAATTAGTGCAACAGTTTATGACACAATCCCCCCTGAGATTTAATCGTGTAAGTGAAGACGGACTGGATGGAAAGGGAAAAGTACCTCCAGTGTGCGAGGCGTTGAAGAAGGTAGCGCCGTTATGTTCATGTGGTCGAGGACATGAAAAAGTTAGAAATACCACTCCACGAGTAAGCCATCAGTCATCTGCGGATCGGTCTAAAGTTCATATAGGGCCGTTGAAACATACATTCCTTCGGCGTTATTTACGTACTACCCCACACAACACTCTGCAAGTTATCAGGAATATCGATGAAACTCACCTATTACAAGTTCCGTTGCAACAGGGCTAGCAAAAGGACTTACCTCCTGGCTCATTATGATCAGACCCCAATATGTCAAACGGGGGCCTTAAGTTAATGGTTGGCGAATCTCTATGGTACGAACAATAAATCCAGTTAGTAGATGCTTGATGAGGTAGGATTGTGATTAAGGATTCGGCTAAGCATGAGTACAACACAGCCCCTGCAGAGCCACCATCAACTGTAACCTTCGAATGCCAACCACATGACTGGCTAATAGCTCAAAGAGGATGCGACTCCGCGTTGCTGAACTGATGTCGCGCCTTATTCTCATCATCTATTACATTGAAAGAGAACTTACTCGGTGTCTTCGAACATGCTGTGCGAAAAATGCGAGACCTTGATCACCTTGGTAATAGTTACTAAGTGCCGATGTGAACACTTTATCCACAATTCCGCCACCGAATTCAGTACGGCGATGAAGGACAATTGTTTCACATGCTCGTACCTCTGGAGCCTCGTCCAGGAGCACCTCGAGGAATTGGACCCCTCACCCGAAAGTCCACATGCATCCGCGAGGGAAATTCCAGTCAGTCGAGTCAAGTTCCGCCGCGACGAGGAGATGACTCTTCAGATGATATGGTCAACAGGCAAAAAATCGATCCATGCACGCTTCACAGCTTTCCCAGTCGGAGATCCTGCCTCCGCCATGAGTCGAAAGGTAGACGTTAGCACTTTCTCAACGAGTGCGCAACCCGGCCTTTGGCGTCAATGGTTGCGGACCTGCATGGAGTCCCATGAGAAGTGTAGACAAAAGCAGGCACAGTTACAACCTTTCATGCCCGACCGGCTGATTGAAGTATGGGAAGGCAAAACTAGCAATGAATATGCGTGGAGGCTGGTCAGGGGCGCTGACCTTGGCTCGGTGCCTTATCTGACATTCAGTCACTGCTGGGGTACGGCACAACCGGTACAGCTTATGAAAGGGGACAACACATACTGCCATTTCCACCCTGCGACCTTTCTACCTAAAACCTATCAAGATGCCTTTTCTATAACACTCACGCTAGGTTTCCGGTATCTTTGGATTGACTCCCTGTGTATTGTGCAAGATGATGAGCTGGACTGGTTTTTCCAGTCCAGTGTGATGGGGTTTATCTATGAGAATTCTGCTTGCAATATTGCAGCAACTTGGGCAAGAGATGGCTCGGAAGGTTGCTTCATCAGAAGAGAGCCATCGTCTATCAATTCACCAATTATTAAGCTCCCGTCCCAAGGAAGACAATTGGTTGATCACCATATCCTGGCAATAGACAGTTACTTGGATGACGTGACGAGCGCGCCATTGAACAGCAGGGGTTGGGTCACTCAAGAACGTTTCTTATCACGGAGGCAATTCAACTTCAGCCGCAAAGAAGTTTACTGGGAGTGTGATGAATTGATTGCTTCTGAGCATTTTCCGAAGGGAGTTCCAGACGAGCTCTGGGATCTGACAACCCTGAATCAAGACACCACACCTGGGGGACACCATAGTTTGGATTTCGATGACGAGTCAAAGCTGCGTCAGGCCTGGTCGGCACTGGTCGGCCAATATTCTGACTGCGAGTTTTCACGGAACTCCGATAAGTTTATTGCTCTGGCCGGACTAGCCAATAAAATGCGCGATGCTACGGGTGACGAGTATGTCGCTGGACTCTGGAGGAAGGACCTCCACAGGCAGCTATGCTGGGTACCGGACATCGACTCCCGGTTCAGAGTTGACCGGTTTACAGCAACGGCATACGCAGCACCAACGTGGTCGTGGGCAAAGGCAGAGGGTCCTGTGATGTATGACCTAAGGTACACTGCACGAAAAGAAGACTCGCTCTCACTTGCCGAAGTAACTGATTTGATTATCCAGTCGGATGATCGGCTCAACACTCACAGTTTCGTCTCTTGTAAGCTGTGCCTTCGAGGCATTGCTGTCTGGGCTCGTGTTGATCCAGCGGGAGACCGAACTAAAATGGAAAACTCTTCCAACTACACACTTTCCTCGCTGAGCCAGGCTGGTGGCTCGGCGGCAGCATGTTTGATTGGGCCAGAGTTGACGATAGAATGGGATGAAAACTGCTCTCTTGAAAACATTGGTACAAGCCGAGGGCAGTTTATTTTGGCCCGTCAACAGGAGAAACTATTATTTATGCTAATTTATATCGATGACGGACCCCACGTCTTTGGTTTGGTGCTGAGAAAGTTACCCAGTCGTTAACACCAGATAATCTCTTTGTCAGAATGGGCAGATTCACTGACCTCAACGAGGAGCTCTGGGGAGTAATGGAGAGCAGGCTAAAATCGCCACGACAGAAATGGACAAAAGAAGGGTTAGATTTTGACGACGAAAGGTTATCAGATTTGGTGCAAGCCGTCACAATCGTCTGACTTTGCATCAACTAACCACTAGCTCTTGCGCCGTACACTTTGGCTCAGATTTATTGTGTTGAGATGTCGGGCTTTGGATCTTCCATTGCTGTTTTTATTGCTGTTTTTAAGTTAATACTCAATTTCTCTTACGTACTTTGGCTCGTACCAGTTGCCCAGTACTCGAATTCCTCCTCATATTCCTGTAGAGTAAAATCTAATATTTGGGGGCCTAAATCCGAAGATAGTGGCCCCCGGATTTAGGCCCCGTCTCAATTTATTAGGTATACAACGGTTGGGCCTTCCAACGCGGACATTGGAGGCTGTTCGGGTCCGATCCGGAAGGTCCAAATTCAAATCCGTTTCCGCGCTATCCTCTACCAGGGCACATTTGTCGAGCAACGGTATTGAATTTTCCCTCTTTGGATTGTCGGTGAAATCAATCTACGCTGATACATCCCCGTAAGCCGGGTAATCAGCCGTTTGCTGCCCAGCTTACACCTAATTTCGGTACATGAGAATCATCCGATCTATATGCAGCCCCAAGAAATCAAAACTTAATATCTAAATCTTCCTGACTTTATGTGTCCGGTCTCCGAGACTCTGCTTAATTAATCCACAGTTGGATCAACAAGAGCATAAGGGAAAACACGGGAAGTAGACAGGGGTATGGTTTGGTCGGAGTGCAGTTCACCAGCAGTCCCAACAGCCAACAAGTACTCTACCCCTGTTTACATAGGTGGGACTCTTACGTAGCAGTGCCATAGCCTACCCATACGATCAGCCTTGTAAATTTATTTATATACTAGGCACAGTCACAGATAATTCCACTTTACTGCGATGATGCAGATGGCTGAAATAGTAAAGAAGCTATTAATCATCGAATATATGTTCCGTTCTAAGCTTTACGAGAATAATATAATATATCGATATGCCCTAGCTTCGGCAACCTGTCCCATATGAGACGAAGATGTCAAGCCACCTGTTGAAGGACGGCATCCAACTCGCAGGGCTGGACCCCATGACACCGCCAAGCAGTGTCTGGAGACAAAGTCCTAGGAGCAGGGTAGATAGAAACTACGGGTAACAAGGTCGTCCAATTGGTCCGTCTCGGCTTTCCTTTCGATAGGTCGAGTTGTGAGAGACCCAATATTCCCGTGAAGAAGCCATGTCTTGGCAGTGGCCCATCTGACGATGAGCCATGGGGCAACTCCGCGGAATTCCGAGCTTTATGAAAGCTGAGGATACCTTCAAATATCGTCTTGGTCCTATAATCATTATTTTCACGTTGACAAGCCTGAATCCTTTTCTGCTTAGTCTCATAGAGCCAATGGCGCCTATTCTACGATAATCTGAGCGAAGAAAGCGGTGTCACTACCGGGCATGACCTTGGCCCCCAATAATGAATTGTGGCGCGACGAAGGCGATGAACACATGTGGCAAAATGTGCTTGAGGCTGATACAACTGCCCTAGCTGGGCTGTAATCAAGTGCTTGTTAGTTCTGAGGTCAGATTCGCAGGGTTAGGGATTGTATTGTAAGGATATCCACCAAATATACCGTTTCTAATTAATGGTGGCAGTTGTACCCATGTAAAAGCAATTCGCCTCGATGGCCATTTCTTCCTCCTTCAGGTTAAGCGCTTGACCTCGGCAGTTCTCTAGGTTGCCCACGCGTCCCCGTCTCACTTAGGGCTGAGCATCGACTGGGGCGAGCGAGTCAGGACGGGCATAATGCCTACCGTCTCATGAACGGGTAACTCGGCCATCCAGGAAACTACAGTAGTTGCTTGGCAGAGCCCCTGCAAAGCATGATCCTTGTTTGTTTAAGGGATAACTAACTTGGAAGCCTAGCTTGTTGTGATAGAAAAGCTATATATTGTTGCTCACTATCGTACAACCGCTTTCTATGATTGCTGTCTGTCAAGCCGAAAGTCATCCTGCACTTGTTTGATCAACAGTTTCCTGTCGCCACCATGATCTTCCCCTCGAAGAGCCTCTGGCTTGCGGCTCTCATAGCTTCCCAAGTGCCGGCTGCGTTGGCGGCAACGACAACCAGAAGTGCCGCTCCATCCCAGACTATGAACGCCTGCCAGTCCGTGGCCAGTTCCCAGAGTCAAGCTCTGTCAAAGATTACGCTACCGAAAGCTGGTGATCTGGGATACTATGTGAGGTTCGATGCCCAGAAAGCATTCGAGTGTATAAATTCAGTGCCGCTGGATGTCAATGTCAGCATCGCAACCATCGACCTGCTCAAGCAGTACTACGAATTTGATACCACTATCGCCTATCTGAAGGACCCCCCAAAGTCATACCAGTCGCTACCTGTCGATGTCCTGGGACGTCTTGACCAGGTTGCTCAGAGCCTAAGCGATGGAAAATACAACAGCACTTATGAGATGGAGGCAGCAATAAAACAAATCTTCATCACCGCTCGTGAAGGTCACATGAAATACAACGGAGGCGTCCTCGGTATCTTTTCGTGGGTGCTCCCCGATGGTCTCATTTCCGTTTCCTCCGACGGCAAGTCCCTGCCTGAAGTCTACGCCTCTAATGATGTGCTGCTCAACAAGAACAACATCTCCCCGATTGTCGAGATCAATAACCAGACCGTGTTCGACTACCTCCGCAACTATATCGAAACAAAGGCTCCTACCGGCCTCATTGAATCTCACGCCGACTGGAACGCAATCATGTACAGCTCACAGGTACTTTTCGGCACTATTGGATCTAGTAGCAGCCTGTCATACAATCCAACTCTATTCCAATCTACCGACTTTTACAACGGCCCTTCGATCACGGTTCGCTTTGCCAATGGCACAAGCTCTGAGTGGATCTACCAGGCCACTTCTTCCTGGAACCTCCTCCAGCAGAACTTGACCAGTCCCAGTGCCATTTTCAATGCACGAGTTTACAGCACTCAGCTTCCTACGCGTGCTGAGGACGAAGACGAAACCTCAACTACAACTACTCGCGTTGGAAGCAGAGCTACAACATCGGCCCAGAGTAGCGCACCAACCAGCACAAGCGCTCAATTCGTTCCTGTCATTGGCTATCCAAAGGGCCCCATTGTTAAGCAAGAAAACTTCACCAATGGTGGTTTCGTGTCCGGGTACCTCCTCAAGAATGACTCTGTCGGTGTGCTCAGCTTGCCCAGCTTCGCCACAGCCAGCTCATCTTCAGCTTCGGCCGACTCGCAGAGCTTTAGTGACGCCGTCGCAGAGTTTATCCGTGAGGCCAAGGATGCCGGGATGAAGAAGATTGTCATCGACCTTTCTGGCAACACCGGTGGCACATTCCTGCTAGGTTACAACACCTTCCGCCAGTTCTTCCCCGATACCCTTCCCACTTTGTCTTTCCGTGCACGATCTACACCCAGCCTGAGAACTATCGGCACCATCGTCACCAAGGTACTGTCGGACGAAAACGCCCAAAGCGATATATATTCACTTTTCACCGGACCTGGGAGAGCGGCATCTTTGAGTACTCTTCATACGATGAATCTCAACGGAGAAAACTGGGCCTCCTACGAAGAGTTCTCCAACCCTCGTACTATTCATGGAGGCAATTTCACCCAGACGGGTCGCTACAATCTTTCTGATCCAGCATGGGCCAGCGGTGTCGATATGGGCCCGTATCTGGCGGGCTACGGTACCAACAAGCTGTCTTACGAACAACCTTGGAAGGGAGAGGACATCACCCTTCTCCTCGACGGCTGGTGTGCGAGCACCTGCACTCTCTTTGCTGAGCTGATGAAGACCGACGGCGGAGTCAAGAGTGTCGTTGTCGGTGGGATCCCGCAATACGGTCCCATGCAGGGCATCTGCGGAACGCGTGGCAGCAACATTCTGGCCCATACCTTTTTCTCTTCTGCTATTACTGCGATCAACTCATTGATGAAATATGCAGAGACCAGCATCAAAGGCGGTACTGCCGCCCTACTTCAACAGCTCAACTTGACAAGCAGTGACATCCGGTCATTGCCCGCGCCACTCAGCAGTTCGCCCGCCAAGGTCTTTGACAACTCAGTCAACGCCTTGGACGAGATTCGCGCGTCCAGCCCCGACAGTCCGCTCGCTTTTACCTACGAGGCTGCCAACTGCCGCATTTTCTGGACTGGGGACATGGTGCGCGACCTCACCCAGCTGTGGCGCGCCGTGGCCAAGTACTCAAGCGGTGATACCTCGGTGTGCGTGGAGGGATCTGTCGACGGGCCTGGTTCCAAGTTCAACGAGACCATCACAGACGACCCGGGCTACTCTTATAACAAGACCTGGGAGAATGCCAACTCTACCAAGGTGCCCGAGGGCAAGAAGGCGAGTAACGGTGAGAGCAACGATGACAGTGCCGGTCTCGCGTCTTACCAGGTCAGTATGACTGTGTTACTGGGGGCCATGTTCGCTGCCCTGTTCTGCATGTAAATAAACAAGAAAATCGGGAGATACAAGGTCAGGTCGTCGTATGAAAATAGTACTTCTTAAGCTGGGAACATCCTGTACGTCTAACAGATCTTACTGCATATTTACTACATATTAACTAAATCCACTGGGTGTCTAATGAATGAAGTTGAACCTAAAACACAAAGCACAATGTAATTTATCCTATTGATTCTCTAAAGCAGGATTTTCACACTTAAGATCCCTACCATCCGGCACTCGTACTCAAGACGCGTACGGCAATGTTGATAGTGGTGAGAGAGCTACCAAAGGCTAGCTCTAGGTAGCAAAATCATACCACATGTAGTATTGTGAAGAAGTTGTTAAAATTCAAAACGGTTGTTGAAGAGGTCCTACTAGTACACGAACCCCCTTTGAGTCCAGCTTTGGCTGTGGCGTTATCATGTCAATGGCGAATTCAACATCGCTTCTATCCGTCTCGTGCAACCTGAAACGATGTCGCCTGAACATGGTCGCGAGGCCGATGTAAAGCTCAGAGTAGGCCATGTTCATCCCAATGCACATGCGGGTGCCCTTAGAAAAAGCTACCATGTAATGACCCAGAGGCGTGGTCCCGTCCGGGCCCACGGGATTGTTCAGCCAACGCTCAGGCTTGAATGTTTGGGATTCTGGAAAGACGCTCTCGTTATTGTGCATGTGATAGGCGTCCATGCTCACTGGCGTCCCGGGGGGGATGTTGTATTCGGCGTATTGCCAAGGTGAGCGAGGGTTTATCCTGGGGAGCCGTTGGCACAATCCGTATGCCATTCTCAGGCCTGGTTAAATCAGCCTTCCTGTTGCACCACGCCTAGGGAAGAATCCGACTGCAGAACAGCGAGATTCATAAGTTATATCTTACTCTCTTGAATGACAGCTGACAAATATGGCAGCTTCTCCAACTCTGGTACGGATATCATTCGACTTGGATCCGGTACAGCATGTTCGAGCTCAGATCGTAGGCGTTGTTCAATTCCTACATTGGCGAGAATGTGGTAGCAACCGACGGTCAGTGCCCACTGTGTCGTCTCGACTCCGGCCGCAACCACGCTCATAGCTTCATTTTGCAGTCGGCCGGCAGTGAGTTCGCAAGGAGGCAGGTTCGAGGACAGGATGTCGTGGAAGACGGTCTTGTGAGATGACAGCTTTGCCTCCTCATTGCGTCCAGCTAAGATATCTTTGATCTGTAACTCTAACATCTGTGATAATGAGTTAACATGGAAACTGCTAATCGATGACCTGGGGATCACAGTCTCTTTCCAAATTGAAGGTAATGATAACCGGTTGTTAATGGAATGACATACCTCTTCATATTCGATTACTGGCTTCACAGCCGGGGCTAAAATTTTCACCAGCCAACTTGGCAAGGTATTCATCACTGTCAAGAAGATAGGGAAGTGTGCGCGAATGTGAGATGTGAACAGCATGTCGCATACAGCTGTAGTGAACTGGGAATCAAAGTCGGGGCAATTGATGTAGCCCATCGGCCTTGCAAAGACGACATCGGTAATGATATCAGAAGTCATAGCACCCCACATCTGGCCAAGATTCAATACCTTGCTTATACCTGTGTACTCGGTCGAAAGGCGATGGGACAGATGGTCAACTATGTCTTGGATAAGATGGTTATATGCGGACACTCTCTGTTTCGAGAAGAACGGGGCTATTGCGGCGCGCCGAGTCTTATGTAGGTCGGATCCAGCCGTCGCGAATGACGATAGCGGCATATTAAGGCGGTCCGAGAAGTACTGCATTTTATCGTAGGGCTTACCGGTCGCATAGATCACGTCGTAGTAGTCGGGATCATCTATGTGAAGCTCCTCTGGGTTGATGCGCACTATAGGTCCTGTTTGCACGCTGTCAGTTTCAGAGGCATTCATTAATAATAAAACCATGTTCTTCACAGGTCGACCCCACGATGAACTATAGTGATATGTATGCCAATGTTTTAGGGTCTGGCTCTTTTTGTGGTGCAGAAAAGACGGAAACATACCATATTTCTGGTGCATGCGCTGGATTTCGAATGTGAACTGTCCCTTGTGAAAGATGTCGTAGAATATTTCGTACCACTGTGTTACCGAGGCTAGCTTTGGGCCGGGGAACTTGGCTAAAGGATGAAAGTAAAGTCGATGAGTTCCTACAATGACCAGATAAGCAAACCACATACAGAAGAGACTTGCAGCTATTCGTTGCCAGCTCCATCCAGCGAGTGGCTCCACGATCATCCGATACCACATTGCCATGGGTTTCTCTCTTCCACAGATGATGACAATGATACAGAGCTCAGAGCTATTTTACCAAAAACACACTGAGTGTTAAAGAGAACAGAATAATCAACGTGGGATGAGTCAATCTTTAGTACTGTAGAGATGTTATGGTTTTTCCCTTGCCGCTAAGTTTGCTGACTCAAAATGCTACTGAATGAACCGAGAGGCAGCACACATTGCCAACATCGATCACATTGTCGACACGTCACCAGGCCGAGCGGTCACTGATCAGCACTTTTAACCATAATCCTTGTACCCAAACAAGATGTGCTCGCATGACTTCGATTTATCTGAAGGGTTGCGAAGTCATCCCATGTAAGCAAAAAGGCACACTAACTGAGACTTGATGTCTCGATTCTGCTTAGTCCAAGCAGAAGCATGTCACCCCAAGCTGCAACAATACATCACTGCACATTTACGGCTTGGGGAAGGACCTCGAAGACTTCGCATAGCCTGCGAAATAGTTCGAGGGAACGGTATTCATTAAGAAACGGTTAGGGGTCAGGTTTGAGTGCTCCAAGGCTTTTTAACAAATCACGACCGCCAGATTGCACCAAGCAGACATAGCTGAGCGAAGTGATTTGGTGTGAAAATCACCTGAATAATCGCAGCATAGAGTCTAATTACTGGCATATTGGATGTTTGGTGTGTTCGTTGGGCGGGGCAGCGCCAGGAGTAGTATTGCGGTAGTATTCCGTTGAAAATACGGAACGAGCGTGAGAGCTCAGCGTTTACATCGTTTGTATAGTTTGGTGAGTTGACTTCTATCGTGTGCTTGTCTAGCCACATGTTCACATGCATGGTGTCTAACTGGGACACGCGGTGATGCGCTGGCGAGTCTATCTTCGCATCAGTGTCAAAACATCAACACTACAATCCTCTCCCCAGACCTCTCCGTACATCAAGTGGTGCCATCATGGCAAATTCCGTCAACTTTAGCCGTAGTGATCCTCTGATAGTACGCTAGAGTGGCGGCGTCATAGATCATCGGCGTAGTGGCGGTTCATATACCGGAAACGCAATACGGTTGTCCCCCATGGAGCCCACTTTCTCTTGCCGGCCGGATATCTTAGATGCAAGGTAGTTAGATAGTTCCCGTGCGGGCGCCATGCATGCGGGTGCCGGGTATTAAAGCGGAAGGGGGCTACGTGCGATGTGTTAATTGGCCACAACTCAGCTATGCGGTGGTATGTCACTGTAGTAAGTCAGACTCGCAGTCGTGAACGCGACGCTAGGTGAGCAGCAGTGATGTCAAGGAGCGGTAGTGTAATGGAGACACTTCGGCGGAAGCTCGATGGGTGATTGATGTCAATTGGTCTCTGCACACCACTGAACTGGGTAGTATGCGCACTATCAGTACTTCCTGAGGCAATTAGAGCAGAAACTCAGCCCATCGTCAGGTCTCAAGTGATGTCCATGTTTGGCAACCTGAACGCTTCGGCCATGTCACATTGGAAATAGAATGACTAGATACTGGAACAACTTTGACGGGTGCCGATTTCGGATGCTGGAGAAGAGAATCAACCGAATGATGGTGAAGGTAAGTGAGCGTGTTTAAATACGGTAGTCTTGGATGAAGAGAATAACGTAGCGCTCAAAATGACCACGGATAGAGGCCAGCTGCTTGATAGGTACCTGAGGTAAAGTATATAAACGAGCCACTATACTGCTCCCACACACAAAACACCGCCAATCTATAAATAATAATAGAGGTAGAAGTGCATTAACCACACAGTACAGCCTAGCAGCAATAAGTGAGTAAAGACGATGCGAGCGTTCAACCGAATGCCAAACTAACTGTTAGATCGGTAGGACATCGATTCGTGTAGGGTAGGTAATTTAGGCACCCAAATGCATTGCAGTAGAGGCCATCTACTAGTAGAGGCAGAATGCTTTTCAGGATCCATGCCATTCCACCTTAAGTCTTATTTCAATCTCTCCATGTGCATTGAACTTTCATAAATGAAATGCATTATCTGCATCTATATGACCAATTTGTTCTAGAAGTATTTCGGCGTTTCCTCCCTCGCACTTTTCTCACATGCAAAACGCAAACTATCGAAGAACGTTTTCTTAGCCATTGAGAGTTATGATGAGAGTCCGTTCTAGATTAATCGCTACTAATCAAATAAACAGAGTCGTTCATGCAAAGATGAGCCACATATTCGGAAACTTCTTCAAACGTCGAGTTAATGAGTATACAGCACCAGCGGCCCGGCGATGACAATACCTGTTGGCAGTACATAACGTGAACCGTTACCGGCCCTAACATCCCAAAAAGCTTTCCCGTAAACACTCCCAGTACACGATAGCACGTCACACACCTGTAAGATACCTCGGAGATCGGATTCACTTTTCAGGGTAGGAGGAGAGCAACATCATTAAGTTGACAAGAAGAACAGGTAAAGACCGTGATATTTATGAAGCTTACTAGGCTACTATTTAAATCCCTGATGTGAAGTTCTGTATGAAAAGGGAACTAAGCCGTGTGAGCAATCGATGACGTCTACACACGTGTAGTTTACTCAGTCGAATGGGGATATACCTCATTAAGCTACGCCTCGTCGCTTTTTCCTGACCACCAGGCACGGATATCATTCCACGCGTGCTGGACACCAGAACCGAAGCTGGTCGACTCCTTCCGACGAACCTCTTGGAAATAGCTGGAGACTCGCCGAGCAAGCTCAAACCAGTCCCGGATACCCTGAGCCCATCCTGTCGGCTCTTGATCAGGTGCCTGTTCGAAATGTAGAGGCGACGCATCATGTGATTCGATCGCCTTTCGGAGAACACATTTACCATTTACAAATTTGACGGCAGTGCTATCAACAGGAGAGCGCAGCACCTTTGCGGCTTCAGTGAGAAGGAAAGGAGTACGATCCTCAACTTCTTGCTTAAACTGAAGTTTGGCCGGTTTAAACCTGAGCTCGGAATAACGTCGCCTTATCAGGTTGCGCAACTCCTCTTTACGCTCTTCCGCATTTTCAATGAGATCAAGACCAGGAAAGGCGTCAGGAGTTAGCACACCGCCAGTGACCCCATGATGGTAAATGTGGACGCCGTGATACCGCCGATTAGAATCTGAGGGTTCGAGGGCTTGCTTGACGATTTCATCCTCTAATAGACTTTGCATCCTCTTATATGCTTGTTTGAAAGCGCTTTTGCTGTATGAGTCCCAAAAGCCCGTCACAAACGTGACGTTCCTCAGGAAGGCTGGCCCGCAGAAACACTGCACCCAGCGAAGGGTCTTGACATCTTGTTGTTCCAATCGGGTGCCTGGGCGACCAATGACGAAGAGAACGCCAACCACTTGAACGAATGGACCAAAGGACATCAAACAAGTTATGGTATCTCGAAAAATATCCAAGTCGTTGCGCTTTGGGTCACCAAAGCCCGCGGTATCGATGAACAGATACTGTTCGTCATCGATGATGGCAGGGCAAACGGAATACTCCTTAGTACCTAATTACAGACAAGAAAAAGCTTGATCAGCCATTGAGTACTTGCATAAGGTGGAGAGGCGTCAGATTTGCAGTGACTTACCCGCATCAATGGTTTCGCCGGGGTTCAAACCCTCCAAACCAGTCAACTCTGCAAGAATGGTCGTCTTCCCCGTGCCGGTCTTGCCGACAACGAAGATGAGTTTAGTTCCTGCGAGACTTTCGTCTAAAATTAGTATCAACGATTCAATTCTGATCCCAAAATAAGAACTTCGTGATAACGTACTGTTTCATTACAAACTTGACAACCTCTTCAGTCGCCGCGCCTTTGGTTTCAGAGACCAAATTAATCAGCTTTTTGAAGGCCCAGGTCCAAGCTCTAGGCGCCTCTTCAATGATCTCAGATGCGCTGTATTGCAATTATTAATAAGTCAATCTGAAAAGTAATTGATCAATGCCCAAAAGGGTTCTAAGTACCTCTCTGTGGAGTGAACAGCCATGTTGGGAACCTGCTCAGCTTCAGGCAGGCCATCGTCAAGGTCTTTCTTGCAAGCTTCAGACGAATTCTTGATTTCAATTGCAGGAAAATAGTTCATGTCTGAGCGATCTTTGGGGTGGGACTGAGGCTTCATGGCGGTGGCGTGGGTGATAACCTCTTTGGCAGTAGCAATCATGATGTCGTTTGAGTGAAAAGTAGATATGAGAGTGTTGGCAAGTGTGACAAATTGTGCGGAATCCCTTCTATCTTGATTGGTTTTCTGTGTAGAAAGAGAAGGATGAAGGAAAAGAAAAGAAGATACCCAGAGGGAAAAATAACCAACTTTTATAGATTTCATGACCTCCTGTCTATCTCGGATATGCAGCATTCCCAAATAAGACATTTCGCTTCTAAGACGCCCGGTATCAAGCTCATTGTACCAATTATACGTGGGCTTTCTGTATTGTCTAATTCTTCGCATGCAGATTTTACTGAAACCTCTTCGGAGCCGGAAGTATTTGAGATTGATTGGTTCACCACTAATGTTCGCCCCACACACCTGTTGGATCTGCCCAATCTGAGCTGCAGATGCAAGCAGCAGGGTGAGCAGAGCGAGCAGAGCAGGTCTTGGCAATACCAATTAGCAGTTTCCAATGACGTGTCGACCCCGACCGGCTGTGTGGCCGAATAGTATTTCGTAGAAGGGTTACATCATTGCAAGACGCTCGGCTTGTTTTGGTTGGGCATTAATACTGCCGCCCGCAACTCAACTTGGGGTATTGGGTTGCACCTGCTGATGCACCAACTTCCCTCAGCTAGATCGGACTGCTACACTGCGTACTCTCATACTCATAACTCTCTGTTCGGTATATATTTTTATTCTGAATGCCCGTCGACGTACTTCTCTCAATCTCCTGCATACAGCTCAACGCTACTTCTATGAAGATCTACCATCATGGCTAAGCCTAATCTAACGGATCGTTCTGATGGTCTTTCGAGAGCTTTGCGTTCGGAAGCGATATGGGCAAGTTTTTCTCCAGCAATCAAGGAGCTATACCTGGAAGAAAATCTTCCAGGTTGGCTCCTGGAAGATATCATGAGGACTCTCTACGATTTCCGGGCCAGGTAGGTTGTTGTCAGTTGATCTACTGTAGCTCTGTGCTTCATTGAGGCAAATCGCGTCATTTGATTATTAGCCTACTCTGATTTGACATCGTCGCAACTTGCTAACACCCGTCGTTCCACCTAGTCCAAGAGTGTATCGAGAGCGATTTCCCAAGAAAGACAATGAGAATAATGGCATTCAACCAATCAGGGGAAGGACGCGTCAGAAGGTCAAGGATGAAATGGTAACAAAACTACACGTGATGTGTGCTAGACCGTTCCTCTTCAAGACGCCACTGAGGCCGCAGCCAGCACCTCTGCGATATAGACCCCAAGAGAAAATCATGTACTCAATTCATCACTTCCTTGATTCCATGTTTATCTTCAAAGGAAAGCATACTTGGTCTACAAACCATGTCGGCTTTTTAAGTCCAGCCGGTGAGGCGCCCCAGCTTAGTGCATGGCAGCTCATTGAGTCATGTTGTGACTCGGCTTCAACTTCGATTCGGTGCAATCAACTTTCTCAAGCCCGAGACACGCTGTATGGCATTAATCATTTGTTTGACTTGCTTGCGCGTCTCCCGGATCCGTTGTTTCTTGGGAAGATATGGCGTTTGGCTCTCGTCCTTCATGGCCTCGATCGTCGAGCTCCTCTCCTCAAAGCCAGGTCAACCATCCTTCGACGCTTAAAGGCCACTGCTTGCACAGCTCAAGGGTTAGATAGCCCTATCTCCATCATCGTCAGCTGTCTTCTTGACGTAGATGAAGCTGACTTCACGCCAACCATGAGGCTTGGGTTTCACGAGACACTCGTTATCCTAGACCGGAAGATCAACGATGAAAACATCACCATGCTTCAAATGTGGTCGACATATGCTCGGTACTTCTCTAGACGCCAGTCCAAACTCATCAAACGAAAATCTTCCCATCCGACGCCGCAGAATCAGCCAAGGTCTCAAATGAAGGCAAGAAGGAAAAAGCAATCCGAAACGCCGCCTCAAGAGCGATTGAAGGATCACATAAGCAAAGACATTCTCATGGGAAAATTTTCACAGGTTTGGCATAAATGCTGGAACGAGCAATACTTGCCGGTCAATCAGTGGCGGGCATCAGATGTCTGCGTTCTCATCACCCAGCACTATGCCTACGCGGCCTTCTGGCTGTGCGACAAACAGTACTTGGGAGTGGGAATGGCGATGAATATCATTGAGGATACGAAGCCTGAAATTGACAAGCATCCCGTGTGGTCGGTCAAGACAATAGCTTTCAGTGTTGCATCTAAAATCGTAGCCACCTATCACCATCATCGCGGAGAGGTTGATCAAAGCGAAGAAGTTTTGGATGATGCCATCAAAACATTAAGCCATGGCGACAATCTATGTTTAAGCAAAGCCATGAGAATTTGCTTGACCCTTGCTTCGTGGCGGCGCGAGCGGGGAGATCTGCCTGGATCTCAAGAGGCAGAGATGCGCTTGCTGGCGATTCAGGACAGCATACAGGGAGTGAGAAAATGCCCGGATTGTAGGCCAAGTCTTAAATGTCAGGGATGTTTTGATGAGAGCCGAGCAAACTGCAGGAATTGCAATAAGCCCGCATCTGAGAAGAAACGGACATCCTGTCTAACTTGCAAGACCGCGGGCTCGAGCAGGCGAAGGGTTATACGCCTCAAAACTGAGCTTTGGACCAGTCACGGGCTCATACCTATTGCTGTCAGCAGTTCCCAGGAGAGTCGTGAAAATCTTCCTCTCCGGAAAGGCAACCTTACCAGCGACCAATTTTCCATCACCGGATTACCCAAATCATTGACAGTCCATGACATCTTGAGGGCAATACGAAATACTGGACGAGTTTTCAGCAGCCGCCTCACGCAATCATCTGAAGATCCGCAGACGTCTACATTTTACATTTCATTTTTCGATACTACATCTGTGAAAAGCTTTTGGGAGAAGCACCGGGATGTTGGACTCCAACTTGGAGATCATTACGGTTCAGTCCACCAGTCGGATTCCAGAGATTCGATGCATGGCCGAATGATGAGTTCTCGAGTCAAGGGAACTTGGATCCCGAGCAGGGTCCTAATCATTTCAGGGCTGGCTAAACCAAAGGAAAGCGAGGAGTGCCCAGAAGTAGAAATGCAAGAAATACGTGAGGAGACGACAAACGAAGTGACAATGGGGGAATTCCCACGACTCACCCAGAACCACATCCTCGAGCGCTTCAGGGCGGTGTGTGACTTTCAGCTTGATGAGATTATTCTCCTTGACTCAGGTGACACAAGCTACACGATTGAGGTACGATTTAGCTCTTGGAAGCGGGAAGCAGTCGTTTGCATGAATAAGTATCGCTTGGAGTGGAAGAAGTTTGGCATCACAATGAGTTACGGTACTGATCCTTGTGATTGATTTTTTTTTCATTTTGCACCATCTCGACTCAACTTCCCGCACATGTTTGTAGCTCGGTAAATCAGGCAGGCTTGATTGAGCCAAAGAATGGAATTAAAAGAACATTGGCTTTCATACTGCTGGGGTCAATGCCATCAAGCCTGCAGAGAGAGTCAGCACGATGATTAAACTTGATTTCTATTCAGTCCCTTATTATAGGGTAGCCGTGCGAAGGCAAGTGCCTCCCGTGATCGCGCAATCAGAGAAGCTTACGATTGAAACGCGATGCTTATGTCGCAGGTTTTAGAAGAGAGGCTAGCTAAACGACAGTGAACAAACCCTAGAGAAGTCAACTGGTGTTCTTACCAGCTGATGCGCACTGACGGTGGGTGGCATAGATTACTAAGAGGCAGCTTTTACGGAAGAGAGCTTAAGCATAAAGTTAAAGCAACAACTTTACGGGGCCTTGTGCAGCAGCAACGGATGTATGTTCAGTCAGAAGCGGGACAGAGTAAGAATGAAAATACCTCAGGCAATGCGTTTTGACTGGGGACTCTGGGGATTGACGCAAGGTGCCTAATTGTGCTCAAATGAAGAGCACGGATGACTGTTTATAAGATGAAGGCCTAAGTTGATGTACACTTTATGACTTGAAATGAACATCTGCAACACTTCGGCTCTCATTCTACGGTACATGTCTCCTGACTTCACTCGGCTTGCATCATATCTTGGCATGGTGGAGTTGCTGTACCCCTCTTTGTTGCCACACATGATAACCAATAAGAAACACGGATCCTTCAAGTTCGCATTGCATGTCCACTCTATAAAGCCATTTAAGATCATGCTACGGTAATCACATCCGCCTCTACTGACCGCCTCCCTTACCGTGCCTCGAAAAACATCGAACAACGAGTTACCGAAGCAGCTATTCAACCAATTCCTCAACATGTCAGGCCTCCGAGATCAGCTTCTCCAGACCGCCAACGACGTTATCGCTCGGGTCAATTCTATCACAAGTGCCGAAGTATGGAAGATTGGTCGAACCGCCGATGCCACCCATACTATATTCCCCTCGAGTCTGGGAATTCCGCCAAGCATGGACAACGACACCTTGGGCAAGATCCTTTTCGATGTAGTGGAGAAGACTCCAAATTGGGCGGTACGACAAATGGACGGCGCTACCCCCATCATCGACGTGGAACAACGGCTCATCGTGTTGCGCCTTTTTGCCTCCGGCGATACAGAGTTTGGGCCGTTCAATATGCAGTACATTCTGAATCTGAAGACAACAGATGATGGGAAGCTTGTCAAAGAATCATGGGAATTCCTCGATTCACATCAAAGCTTGAAGACGTCAGGCCGGGCATGAGTTTGAGGGCGGAACATCGGGATTTGCCCCCTTGAGCAGGAGTGGAGAAAAGAAACTATACTTGCTCTATCTGATCATCATCATCACAATCATCAAGTCAATTTCCTATCTAGAATAGGGGGTATCTACTATATTAAGTAAAATATATGTTATTATCTAGAGAAAAATCTCACCTATTTTATAATTCCCAGCAGACTGGGACTGGAGACTTCTTACTGAGACTAAGAATAAGAAATATAGGATCAGATAACTATAAATTCCAAGATATATAACTTTATGAGATATATAGCTAAGCTAGATCTAGATCTATAAGTATAATAGCTATTAGTAATTAGAAAAGTCAAGGATTATTTAAGTCTTGATTCAACCCCGAGATATTAGCTAAGCGGGCTTATACTCGAAGAGTAGCTAGGTTTGCTAGGTTTGAACCAGCTGTCTTTAAAGGCCTTCTAAATCTAGGCAGTAACTAACTGGAATATTCGGGCGCTCTATTTGTTTATAAAAAGAGAATTATGCTATCTGGCCATTTCTTTTCACCCGCTGAACCACTCTACTCTTATATATTATAGCTAAGAGAGACTTAGTAGCTCTGTTACTATAGAGTCTTATTATCTTAGATAGTAATAGCTCATGAGATTTCCATCTGAGCCTCTCTGTCAAAGTAGTACTATCAGAGATTCCCCCGGACTTTATTGACGGAGACAGAGGCCCGGATACTATCCAATGGTCACGGGGAGGTGGTCTCCGTCGGCCCGACGCAGGGTGACAGGGGACATGTCAGATTATTACAATGCTTCAGCAGATGCCGTCATGGTTTGCGGACGAGCACTAGCCGTGGGTTCTCCATAGTAGAGCTCGATGCGGACACTTGAAAAGCCACTCTGGAGTGGAACCAAATCTGCGGCTAGGAGGTTGCCCGACAGATCGTTGCTAGGGCCAAGGAGTCAACTGCCATCATAATCACGACGGTAAACAAACGTGCAAAGACAGACGAGTCGGTGCTGGCAGTCATCAGTCTGGGCTTAGAACTCCGCTGAAGATCGGGTTTACGTGCCAAGAAACGCGCAGTCGCACTCACGACTCACATATGGCATTATTTCGCGACGAACTTAGTCAGCGGAATACGTCTCTGCCTGTGACTTCACTGGCAGATCATATTCTCTGCAGAATTATTTCGAGCTGGCGGAGTGGTTGCATGCAACATAACACCGGGCTCTGGCATCTTCAATTGTTGTTTAACCTCATACTCAAACTCTCTAACGTACCATAGTACCATAAACTTGTTGAACGACGGAAGCCATTGGTCCTTGTACTTGGATATATCACCACCAAGAGGATTTGAGAGTCTACTGTTGCTGAGTCAAAAGTAAGTTTGATCGGACCGGACTCAAGAAAGAACGTGGCATCTGACCTGCGACCGACGCTTTACGTCTCGTCAGTCGTCCCATCCGGGGTTGAGTTGCAGACGGGAAGAATCGGGAAAAGCTCCGTCAATCTTGGGGTGCGTTCGTTGCTACTGTGTGGTTGCACCCGTATGTCTTGCAATGTTAGGTGCTTGTTTGGGCTGCGGAGGGTTGTGGGCAGTATCTAAAACAGCATCTTTCATCATCTCACTTTCTACATCAGGGGACGGAAACGCAGATCCCGTCCGATGGCAATCTGCGAAAGCATGCATCTCAACATTCAAGAACGGTACCAAATGCTGGGTCGTGACAGAATATATAAAGAGCAGCTTCGCCCTCAAGGTTACTACTGCCGTATGTTCAATCCTTAAATCCATATCTACTCCTAAAATATAAGTGCCCCTATCAAAAACGATCAAAATGCTTCGCTTCGCTGTAGCCTCAGCCTTTTCAAGCCTCCTGGCTGTTGTAAATGCCCACGGGGGCGCTATGCACTACATCATTGACGGAGAAGTGTACACCGGGTATGTGACCCAAGCTCACCGAAATACTGCTCTTTGGGCCAAGAAGAAGGCTGATGAGTGATTCTGGGTATAGCAACTGGGACATTCAAAACAACACTGAGGGAAGCATCGGGCGCCAGTGGAACTGGGGTGGAGTCTCGAAACTGGAGGACCCTTACTTCGCGTGCGGCAACAATGGCGTGCCGCATGCCAACTCGTACTACGCGCCCATTGTGGCCGGCAATATAGTCACGGCAAACTACTCCCTTGACACTAAGAGCGAGGAGGCTGAGAGGCCGTGGACCTTTGGGCACCCGTACGGTGCAATGCTAGCTTACATGGCCGCTTGCCCGGAGGAGGGCTGCGAAAGCGTTGATCTCAATGCTCCCATCTGGTTCGTTTCTGTTACACAAGTGCCCAAGGCCCGAACGCCGTGCCTTGTCATTAGCCATATCAGTTTTGGCCAGAGGAAATTTGCTAACGTTAGTTTCAGGTTCAAGGTCTGGGAGGCCGGCTTGATCAGTGGCACCTGGGCCGACGGGTACTGGGCCATGAGGGACGTGTATGAAGGCGCCGAGCTGGACATTTCCACCCCAGCGTCTCTCAAGCCTGGAAAGTACATCTTGCGACATGAGATGCTCAACCTGCAGACTGGACCCGCACAGTGGTTCCCACAATGCATTCAACTCGAGGTCAGCGGGTCAGGCGACAGTCTTCCATCAACTGAGGATCTCGTGGCGTTCCCTGGAGTATATGACAAGGTCAGTGAGACCGATATACTTTGAAGTTTCGGAATCTTTAGTCTCTTGGAATTTTTATTACTTACTCTTTTCGGTTGCTGATCATTTCTTCTTGCTAGGATCTGGAGAAGAGTTTTACTATTAAAGGGGGCAGCCCATGGTTTTACGTCACTCATGGTAAAGACACAGTAAGTCAAACTCTCTTCGTGCTATGGATTGCTGTAACTGACTTGGTGAAGGTTTATCCAATGCCTGGGCCAGCTATTTGGCAAGGATGATTAACCAGAGATGATGACGCCATTGGAAAACACAATGGGCAACTTTGAGTGGATAGCTAAATTTACGGAAAGGATTTGGCCTTGTTGATTTCCTGTGGATGGACGGTGTTCTTATGCCAGAGGGCTTAGACGGTATCCACACAGAGGAATACGAATGGAACTATATCTTGTCCATAGGCACACTTATATCTTCAACGTACAAGTATAGGATGGTTCGTTATTGCTTTAAATATACGTGGTTTTCTTAAGTGACGACATAACAAAAGAGCCCTCTCACGATCTGTTTTGTAGCTTGCTTTCATCATCTCCGTCGATGTACAGACTCTCGACGCTTTGCGTCGTCCCGAGATCCATTGATGAGCCGATTGGCCAAGAGCCCTCCCAGCGTAGATTCCACCAAGTGCCGCTTGCCCTTATTTGGGTCCTTGTCAATGACGTGGTCGGTTACAGCAGCGCCGACAGCGGCCGTCGCGACTCGGGCGCCCTTGCTGCCTGTCCACGTCCCGGGTTGGTGTCGCTGGCGAATGGCCTCGATGGCGGCGGCGTCAACTGCTGCTTTGGCGACGTGGCCGAGCCGCTCGTTGGAGAGAGAGGAGCTCCTGGGTCGCCTGGAACCGCCGTGGTCTCTATGGTGAGCACGGTGATGGTGGTGAGGCGGTCGGCGCTCAGGGGATGGGGAGTGATTTCGATGTCCGTGGTGATGTCTGGATCGCGGTGGGCTTCGGAGCCTCTCCCTGTGAGCGTGATCTAGGCTCCGGCTTCGTCGGTAGGGCGGAGATTGGGCTCGTGGTCGTCGAATAACGTCGCCATGATGATGATTGTGCGAGCGATGATAGTCCCTGTGCGACGTGGGAGGATAATCGTAGTAATAGGGATCGTTTGCGTACTGGTCGTGATGACGAGGCATGATGGGCTAAGATTAATGGGGAAGGGATAGGAAAGGCGTTCGATGTTTAGCTCGACACGGTCCTAATCAATTGAAACAATACCCCCGGGGGATATATACTCGTCTAACATTGGTTTGGGCTGACAAGGAAATACAGGCCCTGGTACGTCGTGATAGTTGCGGTGATGATCAACATCAAACTGACATCACACCCACTCTGTTCACTCATCGTTAGTGGAGTAAGAATCCGTTCGTAACAAATCTTACTGTACGTCATACGTTACAAGATAAACGTGTGGAGATAGTCTATTCCTTGCCATTTTGCCTCTTTGGCATGAAAACAAGGAGTTGGGAGAAAGGTGTGGCGAAAAATGAGCAAAATGGCATCCATTTGAAAGCCATACCTCTCCTTAACGGTAGAAGCGATTAGGACAATATGATTATGGAGCCAAGCCTTGGTGGAATATGGCATTTTTCCAAAACCGCATTACGTTGACATGAGAAATCCATGACATCCTAGCTGTACAATGTGACCGATATATGAAGTCATAGCTATCCCCACCGCTTGACGCCATAGCAAACCCATACCCGATTGTACGAAGTGTTTATGTAAGAAAGAAGAAGAATTATTCAAGCTTAAACGGCTTCCAACTTCTGCCTATTCAGCCTAAGCCCTGTGAATCATCGGGGTGCCAGGAACGGCCTTCGGACGTGTCATTGCTACGAAGCGCCTCATGGGCGGGAGGCTATCAGAGAGAGAACCTAGGCCTGGTCAAACTGCCTAGAGTTGGTCATGCCCGAACCAGAATGTACTTGATTTAAAGGAACTTAATAACTAAATGAAGCCTATACAATAAGTACATATATGATACGATAGGTACTCATGAGGGCGTTTTCTTAGCTCGATGGTTTTCACTGGGCTTTTGCCTGCCGGATCTGACATGGAAATGGTTTTGCAATTATCCTGATTGACGCGATAAATGTGCAATTGGTAATCAACATGAGCCCATAAGAATCTTCCTCGATATCTCAATCAGTCGCATGCCCCAAACTCATGCCCATATCGACAGCAACTTGGATCCTCTGTTTGCTTAAATCCAGCAAGTCCTGGTCAAAGGAGATCCGTCCATTTTGAAAAGCCACCATGATAGAAGAGCCTCCATATTGAAAATGGCCGAGTTCATCCCCTTTCGCAACATTGGCGCCAATCTGTTGGAATTTTTCATGTATCCTGAACCTATCAGTCTCCGCATCGGTAACGCCCGTATCAAACACTCACTTAACAGATCCAACATTTGTTGCGCCGATGGCCACGAACAAAACATCGCCAAAGGATTCGGTTCCAATAACCAAATACACCCGTCTGTTTCTCGTCAAGATGTCCACATCACTCTGTAGGGCGATGGCGTCCACTTGGTAATAATCCCCCGGTATACTTCTGAACACTTTGACCTTGCCGGAGACAGGCGAATGATACCGGTGATAATCCTGTGGCGAAAGACGAAAGCTCGCGACAGCGGCGCCATCAAATTGCGACCCCAGTTCGGTGTCCATCACTAGGGTGCTGATGCTGAAATTCTTGCCCTTGATCCATAGACGTTTGGTCTCCGCGACCGACTCATAAGCGACAACGCGTGAATCTGCAGGAACAACAGCATGAGCAGGGTTTTGAGGCTCATGAATTGGCCGCGACCCATCCTTGTGCGCCCTGACGAAGAAGTCTTCGAAGGTGCTATACTCGTTGATATCTGAAGGCTCGTACTCGTTCATGTCTATGCCAAATTTCTCAATAAATTGTTTTATATCCTTGCTGGATTCGGGCGTTCCTTCTTTTTCACCTAATTCAAATATGTTAAGATTTAAATCCGTCTATCAAGTATTGACATAAGTCTTCCAAGAGTGCTTACCCTGCTTGATTGTTCTGTTATGCGTGTACAGTCTCATGGCCTGAGTTGTATCTACCCATTCCGTGAGAGGGTTGAAGAGTAAGAGAAGTTTAATCTTCCTCCACAGAGACTGCTTCTCCCGCTCGAGACGCCCAGTCTAGATTTTGCTCGTTAGGAATGTCCTTAGGACCTGAGACACACTTCATACAAACCTTCCGATCACATGAAACCCAGCCCCAATGTGCGTTCTGAAAGACCTGTTAGCCACGATGTATGGTTGGAGAAGGAATTTTGGGAGTATCACAGGATGCACCCAGGACATCACTTTGTCCACGGCTCCATGGAGCACTTTCGTCCAGTATTCCAAATTCATCTTAACAGATTTATTTTCTTGATGACATGAAAGCAACGGTTGAGGAGAGTACAAGAATTAGAATTGCCAAACAGGAAAGCCATTGGATGTGGTAAAATCAGATGCAGTGATGTAACAAAGATGTATAAAATGACGTTCTGTTGCGAGGCCCAAGAGACGACAATGACGTCCCGAGCCATGCCTCAAATGAATTGCAATGTAACCTCATTTTTGCGAGTGACAGGGAATTCCCATAGGAAAACAAGCCTAAGATTCAACCAGGCCAAAGCTAGGGTGTATCTATTCGACTCCAGTAAATTTTACTACCGGAATCTCACGAGTTTTCCAAATGCAGAAATCGTTCATCTCCTAACCGGCATCTTGATTAGACATACTGATAGATCATGAATCTAAAGCACTCAGTATTCCTCTGGCGATATGTTCCACGCGTTCTCTATCCAGCTCTCAACATACCGAGGCTTAATTGCTTATCAGTCTGTGGTATCCTTCCATGGCTTTCTTAGCAAACTTGAAAAGATTGTCCCCATATTTCTGTTCGAATTGACCGTCAAAAACCTCAATACTAAACCAACCCCGGAAGCCAGTAGCAAGGACTGCTTTCACGAATCCCTCAATTGGCAGATAACCACCGTCGAAAGGCAACGGTCGGTAATCGTGACTCCAACGACCACGAGGCCGCAGTCCTGACTTGTCTGGCTCCCGGCTTAAAGGCTCGGTCATGTGATACGCGTCGCTGATCTGGAGGAAGTATATTCTGCTTGCTGGCACTGTATTGGAGAGCTCTTGGAGGCTCTTCCTATAATTCTCGTCCAACTCCGCTTCGGTGAGCCCGTTGTCCAGCTTGCCCGAGGATGTTGTCGGGTCACCCCATTCGCCGCCCGCCCCCGAAGCCAGGAGCGGAAAGACGCATTTGACCGTGCGCGAGGATGGATCGAGATCATGACTGCACTGGGAACAGACATGCTGCAGGTTGGATCGACAGACTCGCCAAGCATCACTTCAGATGTCGACCAACTTGCCGGAGATCTGGCTGAGCTGGCTGACCTTCTTGCGGAGCGAGGCTACGGACTGGCCTACGAGAACTGGTGCTGGGCCACGCACGCGCCAACCTGGAGGGACGTATGGGATATTGTGCAGCGTGCCAACCGCGGCAATATCGGATTATGTCTCGACACGTTTCAGACGGCGGTTTGATCTTGAGATACTGAGCTCCGCCTTCGTCCTCACTGTTCAAGCTCTCCAATCCGAGGCCTGATTTAATGTAGTCTAGCAGGTAATGAATGCCGGTTTCATGAGGCTCCCGTCCCACGAGAGCTCTTGCCAGGTGACCTGCGAGGCCGCGGGCGTGCGAAGAGTCCCCATAGCCATGTTTGACAACCCACTCATCAACTGTAAGGTCCTGGTCTTCGGGATAGTCTTTCCAGTACGTGATATTGACCGCCTCGGCTGCCTCGGTAACTTTGCCAAGGAGACTGATTTCTACCGCCGCATCCTCTTCGTTACCGGCCTATTGAACAAAGCTGTTAGATTACGCACCATGCTGGGGATTTGGCCATCTCACATTCGGACTACCGGGAGGAATCCTCCTGGCTTCACCGTCGGGTCCTTGAAAGACCGAGTCACCTGCAGTGTATTGCACCGCGGTGTCCAATCCAAACTTGTCAACGAGGGCTGTGACTCTCGGCTGAGTGGTGTTATTGATCCAAGTGGCACCAAGTTCAATGATGCCATCGCCGCTCTGTCGCTTTATTGATCGAGACCTGCCGCCAATCACCTCCTTGGCTTCGAGGACGACGGTGCTCAGGCCGGACTGCTGCAGATCATAGGCCGACTTGAGGCCTGAGAATCCGCCACCTACGACGACAACGTCGACTTCAGTGCCAGAGGCTATCGCATCTGTGCCGGCGATCGAGGAAAGGGAGGCCATTGCTTGCAGTGTTGTTGCTAGAGGTCGAATTTTGAAAAGGGATTTCATGGTTATAAAAGCTTGAATGGCTGGGTGCGTGCTAATAGTTGATCGTGACTGTCATGAGGAGTTGAGGATATCCGCAATACAATCAAGGAGACATCCTCGGCCTTTTATAGACTCCATCTTCCATCTGAATATGAATTCTCTCTTGCATTTTCACCAAGATGAATCTGACAATGACGATAGTTTTCGTCCATCGTGGCACAGCGAGCATCATTCCCTATTCTGGATGCCGGAACGCGGCTTTCTTGGCTGTGCAAGATGCGGGCTCCGTTCCAACCGCGCTTTGCATGACGCTAACCTTCATCCAAGCCTCTCTCCATGTCGCCATTGCCGATGCTGGTAATCCTTGGCAGATTACGTGGGATGTCCGCGGACCCCTAAGGCTCATATTAAGCATGGATTAAGATCTCCTTCCCGCGACTTGGACCCATTCCAACCGCGCTCGCGGGAAATATTCCCACATCGTGTCCATCATGGAGTCGAATAGAGACACACGCCGTTCTCGAACGAGGACCGGGTGCTTGACCTGCCGCTCTCGGAAGAAGAAGTGCGACGAAGTCAGGCCGCGATGCGCAGGATGTCGACGCAATCTACTTGAATGCAAATGGCCAGCATACATCGCCTGGAACGGAGGCAGCCAGACAGATGCCAAACACCCGCGACCCAAGGATGATAATCGCACCGATCATCAGGCACAAGGACAAGCCTCTCCTGGCCCTGGCCCTTATCCGAACATTTACACCGGGGATGACCGGGCATGCGCACTCACACCTTACTCCGTCCTCTTGCTTGGGCATTTCGCCAGGGAGACAGTATCCTTCTTCGCCATGACCCCTCTTCGGAATAATCCCCTCCTCATGCTTCTCATGCCTCTCGGCTGCATAGACGATTTGCTCATGCATAGCCTCCTAGCCCTCGGCGGCGCCCACTTGGCACACAAGAACCCTACCAACATGGTATTGGCAGATTCGACCAGGTTACATTATGCAAACCTCATCAAAGGCTTAAGAGTCGAAATTGCACGACTCGATGACAACGACCTGGAGTGTAAAGAAAGACTCCTAAGTGTTCTGGGAATTACATGTCTTTACGAGGTGAGTTGAATCCATCCTTCGCTATACCCCGGGTGCACTAACACCGAACTGAAGATTGTCTCCGGCGATACCCAAGGAGCAACGTTCAAACACCTCCATGCTAGTCGAAGACTTATTTTGTCGCTCCTCGGTGATGAATCGACTAAATCTACATCTTCGATAATTAATTCCGAAAGACTAAGCTTCAGCATTGAGCTATACAGGTATCTGGTATTCTCGAACACACTCACGCCATATGGAATCACTTCAGAGCGTTCCTTGCCTTTGGACCCATTTCTTACGAACATTGAGGAGCCTCAAATGACAGGACCTTTGAGCTTTGAGCCTATATTTGCCGGAACCTGCGGGCTATTCCGGCTTGTGCCATTGATAAGCGTGATAGCTTCGCAAAGGCTTGATGAAGAGTCGCGAGGTCTAGATTTACCATCGCCGAATCTTGCTAAGATGGGTGATGATCTCTACAACCGTATCCAATCTTGGCGGCTTGACCCCCGGTACCAGGAGGGAGACGCCGACAGACGAGAGCAAATCAGCCGGGTGGCCGAGATGATACGACTCGGCCTGTACATCTACCTCAGATCGTCACTCGCCGGCTCAGTCATCTCCGACGCCGCTGACCTGTGTGCCATCCAAGAATATATAAGCCAGCTGTATAACTACGCGCATGTGGTCCTCCCCTCTCAGTATACTGTCATCTTGCTGTGGCCCGTCGTGATTGCGGGGTCCTGCACGCTCATCCCCGATGAGAAGAGTGTGCTCCTGCGTGAGATATACTCGTTGAAATACGGTATGAAGCACATGGCTATTATTGGGGATGTTCTGCAGCTGCTGTGGGATGATCCGGATCCGCGGGCGTATGGCCCTTACGGGTTACATTTTATAATGCAGAAGCACGGTTTGAGCGTGGGAATCGCATAAACGGCGATGGAAATCCGAGGGGTTAAAAGTGACTTCATCCATCGCAAACGTCCAGTGTATAACGGGATACACTCATGTCAGGTCACCATCATTCCTTGGTATTCTTTTTTTTTTTTTTTTTTTCAAAAAAGTGATTTTTTCATAATGATGGGCAACATTTTTCATAAGCTTTTTTACATAATGACGGGTACCTATCTACATGAGCTTTTTATTTTTATTTTTATTTCCTTTCTAGACTCATTGCGCGTTGAACAACAAGGATCGGTTCAGATTCTGTTCAGTAACTAAAACGCAATGCTATACCTATGAGCGACGTTACATGGGGGCCTCACCTTAGATTAATCATAAATATGGCCAGATTCAAAGACTGATATGAACAAGATGTTTAGTCTTTCTTCTCAAAGTACTTTTCCCGCTGTGAGTAGAGCTTTGGATCTCGCTTACCTCCTTACATGTAGATCACGAGTTGAAGCTACCCTATACGGTCTGACTCCCAACACCAATGCCCATCAATTGCTACCAGTTTCGCTGTTGATAAACGCAAAAACTATTTAAAATCTACTTCTATTTAATTCTAAGTGATCTATTTTACATCAACATATCTTTTGGTATGTTTCAAAACAAGCCTGGGTTCACGATGACAAAGAGCAGCTCCTCTCTGACTTTCCAGCCAGTACCTTTAGATGAGTGATAATCCCGTCCACTTGTGTTTTTTTTCTTTCAATGTGAAGATGAATACTTTCATCGCTAGAAACCCACAAGAACGCCTGTTGCAAGGCTCAATGTTGCTGCCTATGATGAAGTCTTTTCGGTCCATCATTCTCTTTGCACCAACACGCGCCATTGTCATGGCATTGTTGAACAATTGCCCCGTTTCTATTGTCTCATCCGGGGTTTCCGCTTTCAGTGAGTTATGACGCTTCTGGCGCCCGGTTTCTTTTGGATCAAGGGCAAATGAAACGGCACGTGGGCTTGGTAAAATCGGGGCAGCCAACCAAAGACCCTTGGACAAGATCATCCCACTGGGCAATCTCCCTGGAACTGGACTGTTGGTGAGTTCAATGGGACAGGGGTGAACATAGGCAGCAGCAGTTTGGCCACCAACATAGCCGCAATCAACCATCTTCATATACCTCATCTCATCGCCGCCATCACGAATACTCCTCTCTTCATCCAACACATACGTGATAATCGCGCCAGAATGGCCATGGCATCAATTTGGTACGCGGGTAAGGCCGCCTTTTTACTAGGCGACATCGTCTCTCCGCTCTATGCCGATGAGGTGGTCCTCGAAAAGAAGCTCAAAAAGGTGGCAGAATATACCCACAAACCGTACGTCCCAGGCTCACCCCATCGTGTCCAATCGCTGCTGACTTCTCTCAAGGCAAGTCCAAGTCGACCAGCTCTGCGACGTCCTATTCTCGGACGTACTCAAGTGGCGCGACCGCCCAATCCAGGCGTTCAAGTCGCTGCAGGTGATTGACTACTGCGCGCACGAGGGCTCGCCCCGGTTCAAGGAGTGGGCGAGCCAGCTGCCCAGCTCCCTGGACACTGTCGTGGAAGAAGAGGAAAAGGTAGAGGAGGAGGGCGGCGACGGAGGTAAGGACGATGAGAAGTCGGTGCAGTTCGTGCGCATCAAGAAATATGCCGCGGAGCTGGCCGCCCTGTTGCGCGACGAGGCGGCCCTCAATTCAGAGCAGGCGGGCTCCACCATCTGGAAGCATAGGATGAACAGGAAGATCCTCAAGCCCTGGGGTGCGGGCGATTTCGTCAACGTGCGGGATGTGCCGGACGGCGCGGCTCCTCCTCCGCCGTATGCTCCATTGGACCACTCTGTTGGAGAGTCCTCGACGAGCCCGGTTGTGGATTTGCCTGAGACGATCGCTGGTAGGCCTAGCAGCCAGGACGTCTTCCTCAGCTCGCGGCGGAAGGCTGCCACCCTCGTTAAGGATTCGATGCTGCAAACGACATTTGGCGACGATGGCCGCAGCTTCTATCATGTGTCATATGTGGCTGATGCTGGAAACCAGCAGCGGCAGGTAAGAAGAGAATCCAGGTGGACGAGGGAGCGCAAGATCGGGTCGTCGGCGTCCAGCAGCACTTGGCTGGAGAAGTGCATCAGCGGAGAAGAAGGCGGCCAGCTCCGCGCCGTGAAAGAGATCCCCAAGAGAATCTTAAGCAGAGCTGCTGATGCTTCGGGCGTCGTGGATTATACTAAACAACTCGAAGCTATTGCCAAGTTCTCACAAGAGGAGGTATGTGGTTTCTCGTCAAATGCCCCGATATTTTGAAACTCAACAAGCCTAACACGAGACGATTTAGCACAGGGCTCGTTTCGTGCAATCCTACGGCTGGTATGAAAACGAGGATGCCATACTAGTATCCATGGAGTTTCACCTCTTCGGAGACTTGCGGCACTTCATGTGGTTTAAGTTTCCCGAAGAACATGTCAGACTGATCATATCTCAAATCCTCGCGGCCCTGGATTTGGTGCACGAGGGCGGGTTCGTGTACGGAGCTCTCGAACCATCGGTAAGGCCTATTTCAAGATTAAAAAACTTTCTTATTTATACGAAAGGCTAACTTTACCTCAAAGAACATCTTCGTGGTAGACACGGCACCACGATGGTGGGTCAAACTCGGTGACTTCGGTCTCTCAAAGAAGGCTGCAGAGGTGGAATCCTTCCGCACGAACGAGAAGAGTCTTCTCTACCTGCCGCCCGAGGAACGCAAAAGGCAGCTTCTGCCCCCGAAGGCGGTCGACCCAGATTTCGCCGAGGTCGAGGCCATGCGCGAGGCCAAGCGTGGGAAGATGATAGATGTGTGGGCAACCGGAGCCCTTGCCTTCCAACTTCTCACCAACCAAGCTCTGCCTGAAGATGTTGACAGCGAGTCTAGCAGCGAGCAGTTTCCTCGCCAGATGCTTATTGATCTCGGAGCAAGCGAGCCTTGTATCGACTTTTTGGATCAATTGCTTTCCACGCCCCCAGACAAGAGGTTGTCTTCTTCTCAGGCTTTGGCACTTCCATGGATCGGCAGAGCTCGTGAATAAGATATATAGAGGTATTGGATTTGGATGGTATCCTTAATAGCAGTTGTATCAAGCATGGCCTTCTACTACAAATTACCTTGTGATAGACCCACAGATGATTCGTCTCCAACTCGTGATTCTACATTTTGATGGTACAAGATGGATCGAATGTATTTTTTTGCTTCTTCCCCTTCGTCGTTGAATCTCCTGATTCTACATGCGCTGAGCCTGGGAACACATATCCTCGCTGATTCGCGACCAACTGAATTCCTCGTCGTGTAAACCTCGTCGTGTAGTGGGTGTGACCAAATACCCAGAACTTAACGCCTTCCCAGCTGTTGTCGCCTAGTAGCTCACTGGCGAAGGCCGATGTCCACGGATTCTGCGCATATTCTGGTCGTGAGGTTCCCTCTAAACACGGGGCGTGATGCGTTGCAACTAGAATCGTCCGGTTGCTCTCCTTCGCCAGGGGAACCTGGTCGCGAAGCCATTCAAGTTCATCTGCGTGAACGCGGTTATGGTCGTGAACAGTCCAGTTCTGGATCTTTTTGAAGTCGCTAATCTTGTATTCGACAATCTCAAGTGCCGTCTCTGAGACGGACGACCAGAGGGTGCAGCCGAGAATGGTGAGGTTCGAGTTAGGATCGTCCCAGCGTGACTTGTGCAGGAGGACCAGCTTTTCTTGCAATGCCGGCTCCTTGGAGAGTCGGTGCGCCTCGGCAAGTCCAGATTGGTATTCCAGGCCGTAGAATTCGTGGTTTCCCAGGATCAAGAACACCTTTTCGAACCGCGAGACTTGTGCGGTGAGAAACTCGAGATAACCGTCGTAGTCGACGAGGCGACCAATGTCCCCTGCTAGCAGGAGGAAGGGTGCCGCGACAGGAAAGGTGTACGTGGCGTATTGGCTGCCAACCTCCAGGTGAAGATCAGAGAGCACTTGCACGTGTGCGCCTGAGGGTGCTTGCAACCATTCCCGGATCTTGCTCAACATCTCTAGAGTTGTATGTTGAAGTGAGGTTTGATGCGAGTTGGCAGATTTCGATGGCTCGATTCCTCTTAGCGCATAACAAGGACAAATGAGCTATGTACTGGAACCAATTCTAGCGCTATTAGTGGCCTCTTTGGCTCTCAAAAGGGCACATAGGTTGTACAAAGGTGCCCTGAAAAGCATGAATCTCCATTTGTATTGATACTTGATGGTTTATATATCTATTAAGGTCTGGGTTCCTAGATCTTCCTTCTTCGGGCAATCAGCCTCAAGTATGAGCAAGAGAAAAACACTGACAGACATCGTGATATGGCCATTAATAAGCACTGAGAGGTGGATGATTTCAATCTAAATCAGATCAAAACCAATGATAGCCCTCAAATAATTGACTGATGCCCGGCCCTTTTTCGTAAGGCTCCGAATAGATAAAGACGTGAGAGCCATCAGAGCCTCACGGTTACTTAACTCGGATAGAAGATGAAACTTGAACGCTTTCGAGTCACCAGGCTCGCCATCCATGCGGAAAGACGCCAACGAATCACTCTTGTCTCCTTCACTAGTCGCCTTATCGAGAACTCTGGGATCTGCCAGATCGATTCCCGGCTCATCAAGGCGGTAAAGTTTGAATTCTCTTGGGCTCCCCAGAACTCCTTCATCCTTCACTACCCGTCTCCACTGAAAGACGTGATTCACAGTAAAACGGAATATGACGGTCAGCCCATCCTCCGTGAGGCCTGCTCGTAATATCGTGGTTAAGGGTATCTCCTTCTTCGCCTCCTTTGTCCCTCGAGGGGCTGCGACATTGATAATGGAGTCCAGTGTGGTTGTCTGAATTCCCTTCGCGATCTCGCCTCCAGCCGCGAGCACAGCACCAGTCTTTGATGCGCCGCTGTGTAGAACCCAAAATTTCTGGTCTGCTGCATTAGTAGTCTCCTCTTCTGATATAGACACAGCGAACAGTTTGCGCTTCGACGCATCGCTGAGGTATTCGGTGGAGGACTTGGATGACGTGGAGTGGTATATCAACCTTCGCGGTATATTCGCCTGGCGCACCTTGACGCATTTGCCAGTCAGGGGTTGAAAGTTGTTATGTCTGATCAAACGCGATGTTTGTGCGTGGTTGAGTAACTTGGCCGTCTCCTTGTGCCCGTTTGAGGCTGCTGCAGTGAAGGGAGTCTGCCCTTCTTCATCACACGCCTCGATGTCAGCCCCAGCATCACAAAGCAGCTCCACGACATCAACATGTCCATTATGGGCTGCCGCATATAGGGGGATCGATGCACCGGCCCCGGTTGACACTGTGGCGGCACCTTTGCCAATCAATAGTTGGACAAGCTCAACATATCCATTGAGAGCTGCAACGAGCAAAGGAGTCTGCCCCTGGCCATCTGAACTAATGAAATCAGCCCCTCTGTCAGATAACAGTTGTACTATGTTGACATAGTTGTGGCTAGCGGCTGCCAGCAAAGGAGGCATTCTGTGGTTGTCTCGTTTGCTAATATCAGCCCCTTTATCGGCAAGAAACTCCACCACGTCAAAATGCCCATACCGAGACGCCGAATATAAAGCAGTCCATCCATCCTGATTGGGCGTGGTTATATTAGCCCCTTTCTCCCACAGAAGTCTCACAATTTGCAGATGCCCAAATGAGGCTGCCACATTGATAGGCGTCCATCGTTCGATATTGGTAGCTCCAACACTGGCTCCTCTGCTAACAAGAAGCTCGACAACCCTTGGATGCCCACGGTAAGCGGCGATATAAAGCGGCGTACTCGAGCGCTTATCTCGAGTTTCTAGGTCCGCTCCCATATCTAAGAGCTGCTGGGCCAGTCCAAACTCTCCCTTGTTCGCTGCGGAGAGGAGAGACTTATCCAATTCACTTTGTATGGTCTTCTCCTCCTCGGACATAATGAGGTAGTCCAGCGCGGCAGGCTGTACGGTTTTTTCGACGGTTGTTTCGATGGTCTTGCCTTTGCCAGGAATCTCAAGACTGGGTATATGCTCAAAGCCCATCCCGGTGAGTTTCGTCGCTAGGTCCGTTATTTCTTCTTCAGTGCACAGCAAGCTATCGGGGGATGAGGGCACGGAGCTAAAAGCATTAGCTCTATGAGTTTCTCGTCGATCCGGGAGTTCGTACTCATCATTATTCGTGAATGGCACAGCCGGAATAGCCAGTCTAGGTATGAGCTGGCTCACCCACTGATGCGCTATTATCTCGTTGATTTTTGGTCTCTCGCTTGGACTTTCAAAGGTCGATCTGAAAACGAAATCCAACCCATCCGAACTCATTTCGTATCCTTGTGGTAGGATGTTGCTTGCATCTTGTATATCTTTGCATTCAAGACGACGCTTCCGGAAATCGCGTACGCCTGTCAATATATACATGGTCATGGCGCCGACTGCCCATATATCCGTTGATTGGTAATTCACGTCCAAATCTGTCTCTGAAATGTCAACGAGTTCAGGGGCCATGTACTGGAGAGTGCCAACTGCTCTCCCAGATACAGTAAACATTGAGTCTGTTCTCTTGCTGATCCCGAAATCCGCGAGCTTCACCCACCAGGAAGCAGGAGCATTCGGCTTCGGACATTGTTGAATGAGAATATTCTGTATTGAGATTAGGGTGACATCTTTGGCCTGAATTAATTGAATATTCTCACTTGCGGTTTGATATCTCGGTGCGCAAGCCCAGACTTGTGCATAATAGCCAGCCCTTTTAGAACTTGGCTTATCACTTCCTGGGTCTCTCCCTCGTTCAAGCGCGCTCGATCACGTATGTAGGATTGCAGATCACCTTCGGGGAAGTACTCCATCGCAATACACAGGTTCCTTTCGGATTCATACCACCCCAGCATCCGGACGAAATATCTGGAATACTAGCTCGCAATTAGCCCAATCCAACTCTTTCTCACAATACATTACATAGAGGATGGTACCTTTTGCTGTGAGAACTTGACCATCGTTTCCAGTTCTCGTACTTGTCGCTTCTTTCCAGCATCTCCATCGCATTGTATCGTTTTCAAGGCTCGTAGCTTGTAGTGCCTACCGCCGCTTACACAGGTTTGGAGATACACCTGTCCCTGGCCGCCTTCTCAAATTGGAACCCTAGACGTCTTCCATACCTCAACTCGTGAGGGAGTCGAAGGTGGCTGGTCCGGGTCTTCAACGATGTGCGTCACATAGCGCGAGTTTTGGGCTTGTTGTGTTTCCAGCCTGTAGTCCTGCAATGCGTCCCAGCGCTGTTCGCTCATTGAGACGTGGGAAGGTGTTCCTGACCCCGGATTCCACACGATGCTTTACCAGACGCTTCGACTTCAAGATCGTTACAAGTGGGAGAACTTTTCGACCAGTCATGCGGGGAATGGCCAGAGGATTGAAGGCTGCTCTTTGCCTCAACGGCTCAGCCACATCGGATGCGACCCATAAGCGGTCCGTATGGGAAGATCCACTTGCAATGTAACGAGGTGTTCGCACAGCTGAGTGCCAAGTGGGTGGCACCGGAAATAGCACACCCAAATGAAGACCCAAATGATCACCTAAATAAACACCCAAATAAACATCTAAATATCTAAACAAATAGCTCATATTAAATAGAAATTAGAGAATATCAATATTTAGGCCTGGATATTCTGTTCCTTTACATTTTATAGCGAGTATTGAAAGATAATAGATCAAGTATGTATCGTTAGAATGCTTAATGTGCCATTTCCAATGTCACCCACTTGAGTGCGTTCTCGGTTTTGAGGCCTATCCATCCTTGCCACGACAGATCGCGCGCTTACTAGCGGTGTATGCAGCAGGTGGCTGAGTTTTTCGGGGCTTCAGACTCTATTGAAAGAATGTTTAGTGATCTTTACAGGCTACAATTTTCCACGCTATACCCAATGCCCCAGCTAAATGTTACCCCGGCGAACCAATGAAAGCCTCTAGGGTTTCACAAGAACATGCGAAGAGTAAAAGTTCAATGACACGCGGTGATGACGTCTTTCCACTACGAAGTTCAAGATCATACGGATGTCTGCGAATAAGAACCTAAGACTACCAGGAGTAACTCTAGTAGCGGCTCTAAAATCTCAATACTAAAGAACTTAATCTGATATAGGAAGTATATATACTCATTAGTCTGAGGGATACTTATTAATACTAAGCCTACTAACTCTGAAGAGAAGTCCCTCTATTTATCTGGGTTCTGCCTGAAAGAACGGCTTTGTATCTTGAAGCAGAGTCAAGTGCCTGGTTTGGAGAGAAGATAGTATATACTAACTTACACATTGCTAGAAGAGGCGGCCCAAGCAGTTGTTTGCAAGAGGCAATACTTGTACGAATAACCATGTCTTATTCTCCCTGAGAGCTTCAAGTGTAGCGTTTCGAAGCTAATTCAGGTGTACCTACGGTGCATACATACCACTGTGGTGACAGGTTTCAGGCGTGCAGCGGCTCCCAAACCTGTGTTCGATGGCGCTTACCGCTCAAACTTCGGCAAGCTCAAAATTCCAGGCCAACCAACACTAGGGCGACCAATTCTTTCCATCATCATGTGTCCCTCGTTCAATTGCGCGTGCCTACAAACTCTTTCAGTGATCAAGCATGAAAACCGACGCTGACTGCCAATCTGTTCGTTCAGATGACTCGTTTCGCTACCTTCTGCCCCAGGTTGGCGACTCCGAGGAGGTGGAACGCTATGAAAAGGGGGGGTTTCATCCCGTCCATCTTGGCGATCGCTACAATGACGGTCGCTACCGGATCGTCCACAAGATTGGCTCTGGAGGATACTCGACCGTTTGGCTGGCCCACGACTCTCAGCTTTCGACCTGGGTGGCTCTGAAAATTGTCGTGGCGGACAAGTCGGCAGTTTTCGAAGAAAAGATCAAAATGTGTTATGACTTCACCTCGGCTTGGGCAGATGGCAGGATTGTCACCTATAACGAGTTTTTCAACATAGATGGTCCAAATGGGCATCATCTATGCCTAGTTCTTCCCTTCTTAGGCCCATCGACGTATGCCATGTCAAGCTTTCTCCGAAGCAGAATGCATCCAAAACTAGTTCGTTCCGTCATAAGCCAAATCGCGCGAACGGTTGCGGATCTGCATTCTCATGGCCTCTGTCATGGAGGTAGGCTATCCGTTGGAACCTTTCATCATTCACGATTCCGATTCTGATCTATTCTCTAGACATAACCCCAAGTAACATTGTCTTTCACCTCCGAAACCTCGATCATCTCGACGACAAGGGCATCTATCGTCTGTTCGGCGAGCCGAGGACCGCGCCGTTGGAGACAGAGTCAGGCGAGGTTCCTGGATTAGAAGCCCCACGTTATATTGTTGGATACCTCGACTTTACGGCCTCTGGAGAGGGTCTCATCCGCGACGAGGTCTGCTTGATTGACTTCGACCAAGCCTTTCTGGCTTCAAAGCCGCCGCAGAAAGTCCTCGGGACTCCCCCTGGATTTCTCGCCCCAAAAGTTGCTGTCGGCAAGCCCGCAGGCCCCGCAAGCGATGTCTGGGCTCTTACATGCACGCTCCTGCATCTCAGATCTGGGACTTCTCCATTTGCCGAGTTTGCCATGGATGCGCCTGCTGATCAAATGGTGCCTATTGCTCAGTACCTTGGTCCTCTACCAAATTTATGGGGAGATCCGGTATTCGATAAAGATGGGCTCCCCATCAAAGACGGCAAGGCTGGTGTTCCTCTATCGGATTTCCTTCGTCCTGAGAAGCTGTCTTTGAGTGACGAGATCAACCAAATCTTTGATCGTCCCCCCGACTATTTGCATTGCCAGAACCCTCCTGTCGGATCCGAGATCTCGCGAGAAGATCCATACCCTCCGTGTTACGAGACCAAATTCTGGAGGCCGGGTTCCATCAACATAGACGGGGTCTATCTTGGGGGGTACAACGACGACGTGGACGAAATTATAAAATCACTTCCCAAAATCTCCAAGCATGAGGCTGACCTTTTGTACGACTTAGTATCTAAGGTTTTTGTGTATGAACCGGAGAAGCGGCCTTCGGCGGAAGATGTCCTCAGACATCCCTGGTTTCAGTTTCAAGATGATGCTTAATGATGGATACGCTGAGCCTGAGCATGGTTTTCGTACTCTATTTAGAAGGTGAATTTTCTAATTCCCACTTCGCATCCACTTGAACTTCGAGGAGATAATGCCTTTGACGATGCGGACCCATCTAAACAGAAATGGCTCGATTCTCATCTCCGATTTGCCCTCGGTATGGGTTCTGAAGCAAGTCGTTAAAGACGAACAAGCACACGCTCCCCTATGTTGTTCTTTCAAGCCCGAAACTTTATATAGGTCCATACCAATGTGATAACAAAATAAAAACCAAATGAACCTGCTATCACGCTCCAATTCACTAAGTTAATGATCCTCCCAGCCGTAATGTCGAAGTCGATGCATAGAAACATCATACAAATGTCCTGGTCCAGCTCCAGGGCAGGCGGCAACGTTGTGCAGGCATCAGGAGGAAGCATGGTGGCCCTGGGATATTCTTGAAGTATCTCTTGGTATGAGAGAGAATTTTAGCGATGACGAGTTTACGGGGGGGGGGGGCAAAAAAGAAAGACGTGCACTGAAGTCGTGTATACTTCACTTCTGCTATGAGTTGAACATAAGTCAGCAAGATTCTGCCTTGTGAGACAGTGGCTTTGACAGGCGTGGAACCTCGCGACTTTTACCCAAGCCGTGCAGTAAATGGACGAGTTTGATTAGTTCAATTACTGCTAGGTAGTAGATACTAGAGCCATCAGGTTTCGGAAGAATGTAATACTACGGGCTAACTGTCTCACCAAGATATTTATGGAACGGGCCGGTAGACAGTGAGTCCTTGCTCTCCCCAAGCGTTGGATCTGTTCCCGTATCATCACACCTCATAATTATGTATCCTTTGGTTATTTAACACGGCTGATTGAACTTCGCATACGCCCAACGTGTATGCTCATACTCACTTGATTTAAAAGCTGGACGGGGGAAACACTAAAGACCACCAAGCCGTGATTGTCATTTCAGGAAAACGTGGTACAGAAATTGTTTTCATTGAGATTAGCTACTTTATGAATGGGTAGGCATGACAACCTCGGCCTTGCCGGACTTCAGCGCCTGGCTGATTGCCCATCTAGATGTCACAGTCTGCTGCTGGGTGTAGAACCGGATGCCGGGACGTCCGTAAAAAGTGGTTGCACCGCCTCCAGCAACACTTCGCTTGTTGCCGGTGAAGGAGAACATAGGCAGGGGCACTGGAATGGGCACATTGATGCCGACTTGACCAGCTTGAATGCCACGGCGGAAGTAGTCAGCCGCGGGGCCGGAGGATGTGAAGATGGCTACCCCGTTACCATACTCATTGGCATTGATAAACTCGATACCCTCATCCAGGGATGCCACGTCAGCACAGACAAGAACTGGCCCGAAGATCTCCTCCTTGTAACACTGCATGTGCGGCTTCACGCCAGTGATGATGGTTGGGCCAACCCAGTTTCCGTTGGCGAACTGCTCGCCTTGGGGCTTGAATCCACGACCGTCAAGAAGGATGGTGGCGCCCTCCTTCTCAGCCGATGCAATCAACTCCTCGATCCGCGCCTTGCTCTGGGGAGAAATCACAGGGCCTAGTTCAGCACCAGCCTCGAACCCGCCGTTAACAGACAGCTTCTTGGCAATCTCGACCAGCTCGGGCAACCATGTGGTGGCTTCTCCTTGCAGCAAGAGCACACTAAGTGCCATACAGCGCTGCCCAGCAGCTCCAAAGGCGGCTCCAGCAATGGCATTGAGGGCTTGAGACTTGTCGGAGTCTGGAAGTACCAGGGCGTGGTTCTTTGCGCCAAGATTGGCCTGCACTCGCTTGCCGTTGGCAGAGCCACGGGTATAGACGTACTCGCCAGCCTTATTGCTTCCAACGAAACTGATGGCCTTGATTCTGGGCTCGTCAAGGATAAAGTTGACGGCCTTGTGCGCTCCGTGGATGACGTTGACAACACCCTCGGGGAAACCTGCCTTTTGGCAAAGCTCAGCAATAATCATCGCGGCACCGGGATCCCTCTCCGAGGGCTTCATGACGACTGTGTTTCCTGTGACGGTGGCAACCGGGAGTGACCATAAAGGAATCATGGCAGGGAAGTCTGAATTAGTCTCCAGTTAGCAACGATGGCGCACGCACGCTGGGAGCATGGAAAGACGTACTGAAAGGGCAAATGACACCAACGACACCCAATGGCTCGAGATAGGTCCTAGTCTCCAGATCCTTTCCAAGACTCAGAACCTCGCCCTTGAGCAACTCAGGAGCACCGCAAGCAGCCTCGGCTACCTGCAGCCCACGTAGGACATCACCCTTGGCATCGGCAACAGTCTTGCCCTGCTCGATGGTAATCACGGCAGCAAGACGGTCCCAGTTCTCGCGGATGAGGGCCACCAGCTTGAACATGATTTGCTGGCGAGTAAGGACCGATGTCGCACTCCATGCGGGGAAGGCCTTCTCGGCAGAGTCGACGGCGGCGATGAGCTCGGCATCAGTGCTCTCTGGCACGCGGGTAACGAGCTTGTTGGTGGACGGGTCGTAGACATCGATGAAGTCCGTGCTGGAAGAGATATAGAACTTGTTGTCGAGGAACCATGGCGTGATCGAGGCTTCACCGACTTCGTGGCTGTTGGGGAACTCGGTGGTGGTGGTCGGCAGCGACACCGGGGACTGGGTATTGACTGCCATTGTGAAGTAGGACACGGACGAGAGGGGGATGAGGGATCTGTAAGTAGGATCAAGATCGTGAAAAGACTCCCTCGTGTGAGAAACAAGCCAGGAGATTCTCGCGAAGTTGGGTTTTATTCTCCGTGAAGCGCAACAGACCAGGATGCGAGGAGAAGAATGGGCAAGTGGATCGTCGCTGTCTTTCTGATGCCAATTACAGCTACAAGCACACTACAGGGGAGAGGGGTGGCACGCTACAGTGGGCGGCGCTATCTTATCTCCAGGTCCTCGGCACAGCGGGGTGCCCACTGTCGCGAGCCCGGACAGAGGGGTGCTTAGCGGTGGAGGGCCTGAGGACTTGCGCTACAGCGTTATCTGCATCCACTAATTAACCTCACACCCTGAGCGGATACCTGAAGCCATCTTCCAACGAGCCAAAGAGCACAGGCAAACACACATACTTTGAGACAGCGCTTCTGGCTTCCCGTTCGATTGCTGCCCAAGAAATGCAGATGTCGTACGGTGATGCCTTGCCAACAAGGTTGTAAAGGCCTTGCTGGCTGTCGATGTCTCTATTACCCCACAGTGATCATCACTACGGGCAGCGATTGGAAGCAGAGGCAGCACATGGCTCATCTTGTCCGGTCTCGTGACATCTGGCATTTTTCATTACTCATAGCGCCCGCCTTTTCGTCACCGACTTGGTTCCAACCTAAAGAGGCTGGTCAAAGGAGAGCATGGGGTAACAGTACCAAGAGTGCTTTCGGTTGAATTCATTCATCTCCCGGCCAATACTATGTACAAACAGTGAAACAGATGCTATACCCAAATCCCAATGACTACGTGTACCTATCAAACATTGCTGTGTATGCATATGCATTCGTCCACCCCGTTCAGTCAGTCGTCCCATAGAATCGGTCACCAAAGTCACCCAATCCAGGGGCAATATGGCTACAAGTGAAAAACCAATTAGCACCAGATCCTCGGCAAGCGATGTTAATACTAATGTACTCACTTTGATGCAGTCAGGTCGTTGTCAACTGCAGCCGTCACAATCTGCATGGCCGGGAACTTCTTCGTCACAACGTCCAACCCCTTTCTTGAGGCCACCAGGTTCACGAAAGTAATGTTGGACTCTTGCACTCCATTGTCCTTCAGAACCTCAATGGCCTTTGCGGCCGAACCGCCCGTGGCCAGCATGGGCTCGAGAATTAACACCTCTGGGCACATGGTTAACCACAGTTCCAGGGCTCGTGCTCTATCAAAACTTACTTTTATTGGCGATATCTTTCGGTAGTTTGCAGTAGACATAGTGCGGTAGACAAGTTTCCTCGTCTCGCTGTATCAAAATCTTGCCGTAGCTCAATGGGCCTCTAGAATAGTTTGAAGAATTAATCAGCAATCAGAATTTCTATGCAAGACAACATAGGATCAAGAATGAGTGATTTTCTCTTACTCACAGGTACGAATTTCGGAGAGAGTTCTCCATGCTAGCACCAGCACGCAAGATGCTGACGCCGCAGATTGGCTGGGAGTGAGACAGCCCCGAGAAGACAGTCCCCGTCGGCGTGGTCACATCTCGGCTTTCTGTTGGTAGCAATTCCAACGCTAACCAGATATTGTCAGTCTATAGATGACGGGATATAGCGTGGCATGGGTTACGGTACCTGCAGGCATCAACTGGGTGCAAACCTTCTCGAAGGCATCAACGAACGCGGGGCAGCCGGTCTGTGCATCCCTAATCACGGTCATCAAGCTCACCAGGTATTTCGTCTGAGGCAGGACGGTAACCGTGGGAGATTGGCCGTTTGTGATCGTGGCAGTCATCTTGATGGGATCTCGTCTAAATCTCTGGGCGTCTAAACTTCGTAAACTGTCAACTACTGTCAATCTAACAACGTGACCGCGGGCATTTCTATAGACAAAGCCTTTGACCTAGTAACCCCCAGTGGCGAAAGAGGCGTGTACAAAATAGCATCTGTGCAATCATTGGTTATCTTGTAGCTGATTACCATGAATATTTCCCCAGGTTGTAGATAAGCATGATCTCCTTTGCGGCAGAGCTGGGGGCGTGTTTCTACGCAGGACTCCACACCACCACACACGCCTCCTGTTATCTAATCAACCTCCTCGACCAGTACGCTGGATAGTGATGATGAAAATCGAGATGAGCAGAGCGTTGCTCATCGAGTATTGCACTAGTTATGTCGTAAATATACGGGAAGAGTATGAAGTTGTCCTCCTGGGCCGAGACGGGGCTCGAATCAGCATTCCAACCGAGCCGAATCTCTATCAACTAAAGATACTCAGAGCCTAGAATCTGCAAGCAACATGACTGGAAAGAGGCTGCATCTGCTTAGTGGTAAAGACCTTGATCCACTATTTCCGGCAATTAAGGCTACGAATGCACGCGTGTATACTCATTCTATCATAGGCACTAGCCATCCGGAGTTTGCCAAAGCAATCAGTCTGCAGTATGTCCTTCCTTGAGTTTTCATTTTATTTCCGGATGCAACCATAGACTCATTTGTACTTTGTTAGAATCGACTGCGATATCTCCCAAGGTATTGAGACTAGTCGCTTCTCCAATGGGGAGACGTCCGTGACCATCGCAACGTCCGTCCGAGACAACGATGTTTATATCCTCCAAACTGCATGCGAGCCTGTTAACAATGTCTTAATGGAGCTGCTAATTGCTATTAGTGCATGCAAGATGGCATCTGCGAGGAGAATCACAGCCGTGTTGCCCTGTTTCCCGTATTCACGGCAAGACAAGAAGGACAGAAGCAGGGCCCCCATCACTGCCAAACTCATCGCAAATATGCTCGAAGTGGCAGGATGCGACCATGTTATAGTATGTTTCTCCATTTTTTTCTTCTCAATCCATGATATTCTAGTAACTAATATTCCTCCCAGACTATGGATTTGCATGCTTCTCAGATCCAAGGCTTCTTCAATATACCTGTAGACAAGTAAGGAAATGTTCGGTTAAAACCGCGTCGATAGAAGCTTAAGACTAACTTTCAATATTCAATAGTGTGCGTAATTCAATCCCAATTAGAAGCAGATCTGAACTAATAAGAGAAAGCTTTACGCCGAAAGAGCCATGATCGACTATATCGAACGCGAGTTCACAACCACCGACCTTGTTATCGTGTCCCCAGATGCCGGTGGCGCCAAGAGGTACAGTATTCCTGCCCTTTCCGTCTGACGCTTCAACCGACCAACATTGTGAGGCAGGGCCGCGGCCATTGCCGACAAACTCGGAGTAGACCTAGCCATCATCCACAAGGAACGCAAGGTGGCCAACAAAGTAAGTCGGATGGTGCTGGTGGGCGACGTCCAGGGCCGCAACGCAGTCCTCGTGGACGACATCGCAGACACCTGCGGAACCCTGGCCCTCGCCGCGCAGGTCCTCAAGCACCACGGTGCAGCCACGAGCAACGCGGTGGTGACCCATGGCTTTCTCAGCGGGCCTTCAGTCGAGGTGATTGAGAGCAGCCAGCTTGATCGGCTGGTTGTTTCCAACACGCTGCCGCTACCGCCGCATGCCATGTCATGTACGAAGATTCAACAGATGGATATCAGCTATACGATCGCCGAGGCTATCAGGAGAACTTATAACGGAGAATCGTGAGTTTCCTCGTGCCACATCTCACCAAGCATGTTTCCCAGATGAGACTAACATATGCTAGGATATCGGTGCTTTTTAGGTAGATCACTTGGAGCCATTTCATAGGGTTGGGTGAAGAGCTTAAATTCTGTGACGAGGTCATCATGTAATTTACTACGGAGTATTACGTTTTTTTCAAGTCATGATGTTATTTACTACAAAATTGAACTCTAGATGGAAACCATGTATCAAGCCGGTCATATCTCATATCTGTCCAAACAATAATACATCCATTTGATGGTTCAAGCCAATTACGTCTAGCATCACATTTCCATCAACGTAACAGCAAATGATTACAATGAACCATTTCCAGTGAGCAACTCCTATGGTCTATTAGTCACAGAATATAGTTTTATCTTAATGCTGTATATTTTGATAAATGATTCTTCGACGGCGTCCCCTTCTCAGCATGATGGTGTAGGGTAGCTGTTACTAGAGAATTGCTGCTGATAAGACGCTGTTAATGACACACCATAACTCGACAAAGGGCCCGTCGATAACGGTCTTGGCCATTCATATTCCCACGCCCTCCGCCGATAAGCTGGCACAAAGGTCCCTCGGCTGTTCTGTTACCATGAGCAGTGGGAGCTCGCCGCATTTACCCTGCATGACACAAAACTGATAAGCAGATATACCGCAGGGCTTTAACAGGCGGTGGCCGTCGGAACCCGCCGACAGACAGTCTATTTCTCCGTCCAATGTCACTAACCTTCCTTCAGGACACTAGACTGGGCTGGAAGACTATTCCGTGGTGTGTCAAGAGTATTATTCACCAAACATGTCTCGAGCGGCTCTCACAAACATTGCCAGGCTGAGGGCTCTGTATGCCCCAAGAGCTCTCAGGCCAACCGTATTGTCATTGGTATCCCACAAGGCTACGCCAAATGCCACAAGACACCTGACTGTTAGTTCGAAACGAAGCCTAACAACATCTTCCATCAAGCTGGCAACAACAAGCCCAGTTGTGCAGAAGAAGCTCGACTCCTTCATCCCAGTATGTTAACCACCTATCAACGAACCAAAACGCACCCGCTAATCCCAACTATAGCTGATTGATTTCTCAAAATTCCTCCACGGCTCAGAAACAGAGCGGAAACAAATCGCCGCCGAGATTCTGGGCGGCTTCCAAAATGCTGGCTTCATCTACCTCCAGAACCACGGCATCGCCCCCGACGCCGTCCGCACCGCCTTCGCCACCTCGGCGCGGTTCTTCGCCGAGCCCGACGAGGATAAACTAAACCTCTCGTGGCTCAGCCCGGAGTCGAACCGTGGCTACTCGGCGCGCGGGCGCGAGAAGCTAAAGCGCGTGGGCGAGGGTGATGGCGAGGATGCCGCGCCGCCCGACATGAAGGAGAGCTTCGAGATTGGGCGCGAGGGCGACCCCGCGTTCCCGAACCAGTGGCCGAGGGAGGGGACCATGGTGGACGGGTTCAAGGATACCATGTTAGGGTTCTATGGACTGTGCAGGCAGCTTCATGGGAATGTCATGAGTGCGATTGCTGTCGGCATGGGGCTTGACGCTCAGTACTTTGAGAGGTTCATCAGTTCGGGTGATAACACTTTGAGGCTTTTGCATTATCCGGGTGTTGATGCCAGTGTTTGGAAGAACGCCAATGCAGTCAGGGCCGGCGCTCATAGTGTGAGCTCTTCCCTTGCGATGAGAACTGATGAAACATGTCACTAACTTTTCTCTAGGACTACGGCTCCCTCACTCTTCTTTTCCAAGATGGACGGGGAGGGCTGCAGGTCCAAAGCCCATCTGGAGACTTCGTCGATGCCACCCCAGTCGAGGAAGCCATCGTTGTAAACGCGGGTGACTTGCTCGCCAGGTGGAGCAATGACACCATCAAGAGCACTATTCACCGCGTGGTAGAGCCACCGGTCAAGGAGGCCGACAGCTACCCTCCTCGATATAGCATTGCGTATGTCTTTTTGTGCGTAGTGCTGAGCGGACTAACAGCTAACTGATAATAGATACTTCTGTAACCCTAACCACTCTAGTTTTATCGAAGCATTGCCGGGTACGTTTGCGACGGAGGACTCGAAAAAGTACAAGGGAATACAGACGGGCGAGTATTTGGTTCAGAGACTCACTGCCACTTACTAAATACATGACGAACTGTCGAGGTGTAGTACCGCCTCTATCGTAACTAGTATATAAACCAACACTTCAATATCAAATAAATCTCATCAGGATATAACCATTTTTAAGACGGAAAAAGAAAAACGAACGAACAGTACAAGCTAAGTGTGTATTTATAACTACATTTGAATATTTTAGTATGCGACCGCCTATCCATATCTTACTTGTTTCTGCTCCTCTCCAAACCAGTCTTCAGCCTTCATCTCCTCGCTGGAGGCATAGTTGATGATGGTACTCTTAGTCGTCGTGTAAGCGTTATACGAATCGACTCCATTTTCGCTGCCAACACCACTTGAGCTTGTTGCTCCTCCCCATGGGCTGCTAGGGTCGTTGCGATGGTGTGTGTTAACCCACACTATCCCCGTGGTGATGCTCTCAGAGACCCTGTAGGTTCGGCTGAGATCCTTGGTCCAGAAAGCAGCCCCGAGACCAAACTCGCTATCGTTGGCGAGGTCGATAGCTTCTTGCTCAGCAGAGAACTCAGCGACGACAATCACAGGTCCAAACGCCTCCTCTTTCCAGATCTTGCTCTTCAAGATGCTGTTCCCCTCCGCGGCCGACACCAACACGGTAGGAGGATAGTAGAAGCCTTTATCGAAATCGGCCTGGTCGAGCTCCGAGAGCCCAGTCAAACGCGCACCTCCACATGCAGCAGTAGCAAAACCCCCAGATATGGACTCTTCGACAAGGCCCTCGAGGTTCTTCATCTGCTTCTCGGAGATGATCGGACCCATCATGGAAGCCACGTTGGTCGGCGCCCCCATCCGTTTTTGGATGCTCTGCGCCTTCGTGGTCAGCAGCTCCAGGAACCTAGGCAGTATTGACTTCTCCACGATGATTCTCGTGGCAGCGACGCATGTCTGGCCGCTGGCGATGAAGGCTCCAAACGCCACTCCGTTTACGGCAGCCTCGAGATCCGCATCTTCGAATACAACTACAGGCGCTTTCCCTCCTAGCTCCGCCGTCAAACGAGCGAGGTTGCCGCCCACGATAGATCCGATGGCTCGACCAGCTGCCGTGCCGCCCGTGATGTCCACCTTGCGTACCATAGGATGGCTGACCAGCGCCTTGCCGGTGGTGATGCCGTAACCAGGTATGACGTTGAATACACCGTCGGGCAAACCAGCTTCCTGGAGGATAGGACCAAGGAGCAGGCTCGTCAATGGTGTGAGTTCACTGGGCTTCAGCAAGACCGTGTTACCCGCCGCGAGGGCTGGGGCAAGCTTTTTGACAGCAATGAGAAGGGGGTGGTTGAAGGACGTAATGAGAACGACAACACCGAGCGGGATGCGGTCGATCCAGTTGTGTAGCTTGCCCGAGGTGGGCAGAACAGATCGCTCCTCGGTGCGGAGAAGCGCGGCGTAGTATCTGAACCAGCGGACGAGGGACGGGACCTGGGCCTTCATTTCCCTGATGGCGCGGCCGGTCTGCTGAACCTCAAGTGTGATGAGGCCATCGAGCCTGGCGATGAGGAGGTCGGCGGCCTTGTCGAGGACATCGGCTCTTGTGTGGCGCGGGAGGCGTGACCAGACGCCGGATTTGTGGACGTCCTGTGCTGACTGAACAGCGGCATTGATCTCATCTATGGACGCGGTTTGGCATCTAACAGGTTTTATTAGTCAGTCGAGTCATTGATCATCCTGGGCTCGACTCACTGTGCAAAGACCTCGCCTGTCGCAGGGTTTTTGATTGACAGCCTGTATTCATCCCATGTTAGAGAAATCTTCAAGATCTGAGTTAAGGTACGAAAGACGCAAACAACTCACACCTCGCCGCTCCCTGAGACGGTCTTGCCGCCAATCCAAGGAGAATATGTGTCCATGGTGAGAGGCTTTCGAACTATGAGGCTAGCAAACTTCCAGATGCCCAATCGTCAATCAAGCTCTCAACGACACGAAACAGTCTTCCTTATGGTGTCGTTCCCCGCACTCGACACTCGTTCACTTCAGGCCTAGCGGTTGTAGGTGAAGATTCCACTCACTGGGTGTCTGGGATGAATCTAGGAGGGGTCGGTGCAGCGAGATAAGGGTGGAGGAGGGGTGCATTCTGGATGAGTCCCGCAGTGGGTTGGTTGTTCAGGTGCGGGGAAATCAACGGATTCTGTCGGTCTTATCTTATCCGCTATCCAGTGACTTATCGGTCGAATTGAACAATCTGTGGCGTATTTTAGGCTCGCTGCTTCAAGACGTTGCGCGCAACCACTGAGTCGGCCTTGAAAGCGATAGACAGACTGACAAATTGGGTCGATCAAATGATTGAGTAGCAACCCAAGAATCCGGGGGAGATGTCATCAGATGAGGGCTTTGAGCGTCTCTCCTCTTTGACACTCCACAGGACGGGAATGACCATCACAGTGGATTATGACACGAAGAAATTACGTCCAGATTCATGCGTTGGAGCAGAGTATTGGACAATTAAATTACCTGTAGTGCTTCCGCCGGGAGCCGACGGCAAGAGACCGTCCACTAAACGTCGGGGCATTACAGCGACTCGGCAACTGGAAATGGTGGGGCTACCCCTCATTACAGGGGCCCAGGCGCCAGCGATAGCGAGAGGGGCAACTGGCCACAGCGACATCGCACCAGCGAAACCATTGAATTGTTAATCCTCCAAGTCCCTCAACCCAATTCACACTGCCAACCTCCTCTCAGTCTTGCCGTAGCTTCCAACCCCCTAGACGTAGATATACCTGACTGCCTCATTGATGACTGACTGGCTGCCGTTGTGGTGATTGTCAGTTTTGCCTGCGATTGACCCGTTGATGGCCTCTCCAGCCCCAATCGCAGTCGTGGATCTGCCGCCGGACCTGAGCTTCATCGCCAGTCCGCACGCGCAGACTGACGCCTCTGACCAGTACTTTAACTGTAAGCCAGACTGATGTGCCCTGTTGAGCACATAACCACATCTCCCCCATATCCCCTACCAATGACATACTCACCCGTTCGCCAGTGTCCACCTCCTCCTCATCCGCCATCCCGCAGATCCCCCTGTCCGACACATGCATGTCGTGCAACGGCTCCGACAACAACCCTCAGCCATCATACTCGCCCTCCTCCCAAGGCCACCACTCCTCGCAGCACCAATATCAGCATAATCAGAGTCAACACCACCGCAGCCAGTCCCTCTCCACCTCCAACCCTCCCCCCCAGGTCGACGGCATCATCCCCATCGCCCACAACTTCATCAACAATGCCCTGATCCAGTCCAAGACCCGGGTCTGGACCAAGACCTACGACCCGTCCACCCAGTCCTTCCTGACCCGTGTCCCCGAGTCCACCGTCCTCGAGGTCCAGCAGGCCGTCGCCGCCGCCGCCGTCGCTCAGCCTCACTGGGCCGCCATCCCCTTCCAGCACCGCCGCCTCAAGCTCCTCGACCTCGTCCACGCCATCCAGCAGCACCACGCCCGCATCGTCCACTGCCTCGTCACCGAGATCGGCAAGACCACCCAGGACGCCGAGAACGAGGTCGAGCGCGGCCTCGACGCCATCATCGCCGCCACGGGCGTGGGAAGCGAGATGACGGGAAGCGCATGGCCCGGCCACCCTTCCTCCACCCACACCACCCACGAGGCCCTGGGCGTCTGCGTCTCCGTCACCCCCTTCAACTTCCCCTTCATGATCCCCCTCTGGACAGTTCCCCTCGCCCTCGTCACCGGCAACACCGCCATCCTAAAGCCCTCGGAGCGCGCCCCCAGCACCTCCATGCTCCTCGCCGACTGCTTCCTCCACGCCGGCTTCCCCCCGGGAGTCTTCTCCGTCGTCCACGGCGGCGGCGGTGTTGTGGGCGTCCTCCTCTCCCAGCCCGCCGTCGCGGCGGTCCATCACGTCGGGTCCGAGATTGGCGGGGAGAGGGTCTTCGAGCACGCCCGCGCAAACCGCAAGCGCGTCCAAGTCGAGTGCGGCGGGAAGAACCACGCCGTCGTCCTCCCCGACGCCGCCAAGCGGTCCACGCTGTACGCCATTGCGGGCAGCGCGTTCGGCGCCTCGGGCCAGCGGTGCATGGCGCTGAGCGTCGTCGTCTTCGTCGGGTCGTCGAGCGAGTGGCTCGCCGAGCTGACCGAGATTGCCGGCTCGCTCGTCGTGGGCAACGGCGCGGACCCGGCGGTTGGAATGGGACCCCTCATCTCGGCCGCGGCCAAGGAGAGGGTGGTCGGGGTGATCAACGAGGCGGAGCAGGATGGCGCGCACGTCGTCCTCGACGGGAGGGACTGCTATGTCGAGGGGTACCCACATGGCAACTTTGTTGGGCCGACGATATTGACCAATGTCGAGCCGTATATGCAGTGTTATCAGGAGGAGCTGTTTGGGCCGGTGCTGGTCTGCCTGCAGGTGAACACGCTGAACGAGGCCATCGAGCTGATCAACGAGAACCGCTGTGAGACCTCCCGAAAATGCTGCTTTGCTACCGAACGATTGCTAACCATGTTAGATGGTAATGGCTGTACCTTGTTTACGTCGAGTCCGGCCGCGGCCAAATCATTCCAGGATGAAGTGAACGTGGGACAGATTGGTATCAACGTCCCCAACTTAGGTAGGGAGTCCGTCTTCGCATGTTTTCGGTCGAGCTAACAGGCAGCGCAGCTCCATCAGGCGCGATACCACGGACCTCAAACAAGGAGTCCTTCATGGGAGGTGAGTCTTCCTCCCCTTGGTAACCAATCCAAAGAAGATTATGGCTGATATTTATATAACGTTAGACATCCGAGGCATGGGCGCTGCGCGATGGCAGTTTTTCACCAACACAAAGACAGTCACGACACTGTGGCGATCAGATTAGCCAGCGCCTGCTGAGAATTATGTTTATTGCAAGCTAGTTCTCGAGGACTGCATCATAAGAAGATATGTGGAGGGTCGTCGCATTGTATTCGAGGCGTTTCTGGGTATCCAATCTGGGCATATGAAGACTAATAGGGCGTTTCCCTAGTTCGATGCTGCCCTCTCTCATCATTACCACCAGCATCATATTTCTTTTTGCGTTTTTCTGGTTGTTAGAATCAGGCTTGAGGCCATAAGTAGACAGATGAAAAGCTTAGAACCTATCAAAATTCACCGCGCCGCGTGACTCGCACCCAGAACTCGTCGATTAGCCAAATGCCCTGCAGGCTGTTAGCTGGTCTTCAGACAACGCATATGCCCGCTTGCCCACAACTTACCGCATTGACAATCTGCGCAGGTCGCTCAGGGTTCGCAATCTGGAAATCAAACCGCCGGAGCAGCTACAAATGCCGTATTAGTCCATGTCTTCTCAACGCAGCACAGGTTACAGCGGCCTCACCTCCACAAAGATCTTGTTGAACTCCATCAGCGCCACCGTCTTCCCGAGACACTGCCACTTCCCCGAGTGGAACACCAGATCGACCGTGCTACTCATCTCCTCCAGCTTGTCGCCCTTGGCTTCCAACCACCGCTCCGGGCGGAACATCTCCGCGTCCTCGCCGAACATCTTCTTGCTGTGGTGGATGCTCAGGGGCGACACACCGAGCTGCGTGCCGCCGGGGATGAACTTGCCGTCGATCGTGTCGCCGCCGGGCGGCACCGTCTTGAAGAAGGCTCCGCCAGCGGGGGGCTTGATCCGCAGACCCTCCTTGATGACGGCTTGCAGGTAGGGCAGCTTGCGCGCCTCGGCGTTGGTGATGGGCGACGAGATTGTGCCCGCGGCGATGCCAGCGTCGATCTCGGCCTGCAGCTTGCGGTAGGCGTTGACGTTGGTGAGTAGGTGGAGAATGACGATGCGGATGGTGGTTGCCGAGGTGTCGCTGCCGGCGACAACCTGGAGGAGGGCCTCGCCCGACGCTTCTTCCTGTGTGAGGCCATTGCGGATGAAGGAGCCGAGCATGTCAGATTGGGGGACGGCGTAGGGGCCGAATCGCTTGGCTACTACGCTCTTGGCGACGCTGTGGGTTTTGTCAGTTTTCTGAGTGTCAGAGAAGAGTACTCGGGAAGAGGAGCGAGGGGCTTAGGAGTGGTTTACCCTATGAAGGCACCGAAGCCGAGCTTGTCGCTCTCTTTCGGCAGCAACCCTCTCAGCATCGGGGACTGGAGCATCCGGGCAAGGGTGGGAATGTTGCTCAGGATCATCATGATGGGGATGAAGGAGGTGGTGATCTTAATGTAGTCGTAGACATCGTCGTCGGTTTGGAGGTAGCCAAAGGCATGGCCGAAGGCGAGATGGCTGATGACGTCGAGGGTGAAGAACTGGCCCTTCTGACCAAAGTTCATGGGTCGGTAATCGGATGCGGAGGAGATGTACTTGGTCTCAATGAGATCTACGAGCTTTGCGATCTCGTGCTCAATGGTGGCCTCCATTGATTCATTCTCCTTGCCAGCGTACTGGATATGTGTGAGCGAATGGACAATGCTTGGGTGAATCAAGGAGAAACGCAATTGTTCACCGGGCCTCTTTCAATCACAATGCGAGCATTGAAAGTGCCAGGTGAACCGGCCAGAAAATCAAAAAGAAAAAAAGAACCATGTTCAAAATCTCGAGAAAAAAAGCAATAACAAGAAAGAAGGAGAGTAATTACCCCGGCAGTCATCTTGTTGCGCAGCTTGGCGTGGGCCTCTCCGTCGCGCATGCAGAACAGATTGTCCCGGGTGGGGTCAAAGCGCATGGCATCATACCCTGGTCAAGGGCACGTATGATCTGTCTCAGCGGTCATTGCTTCTAGAACCAACATGCGCCGAGCGAACCCGACAACACGGAACTGGGACGAGTGGCAAAGGGATGGGAAGGGAGGGAGCCAGATGGATCATGGGGGCGGGCGCGGCTTACAGGGTCCTCGTTCGTAGGCGCCACGGAGCGAGTTCATTCGTCTCAACACTTCCGGATCGTCGGTAACCAGCTCGTTGGGACCGATGCGCACAAGCGAGCCTGTAATGTATGGCCGTTGTCAGTCAGCCATGTCACACCGTCAACAGTTGTTGAGACAGACGACCGGGGAAGGATCGCCGACCGCTCAATTGATGCCCAGGGAGCGCATAATCCCCCCTCGAGGCACATACCGTACTTGTCATTGGCAGCTTTGATGGACTGCGGCTGGCGGCCCTTGAGCGACTCCCTCACCATCCAGGCTTTGGAGAATGCCGCCCAGAAAGGCCCGGGGACGTGGGAAAGACGGTACCATTGGACCAGCGTCTGGACCAGGATCGCTCCGCAAACAATGGTCCCGACAGTGGTCAGCAGAGCACCTGTGGCCGACATGATGCTGAAGGACGGCGATGTGGGGAGGAAATCCATTGCTGGTTTGCAAGATTCCTTGGTGGAGAAGGGAATATGGAGGGGAGAGGCGGAACCACCTGGGCTACGGCGAATTTATTTGGCAACTTCCGACAATAAGCAAGAGGAAAACTGGCATCGGGGATGGGCCTGGGAGACAAGGGGACGAAAGGGAAAGAGGAGAAGGAGAAGGAGAAGAGGCCACCCATGCGCGAGTGAGGACAGTTGATGGGACGGGGGATCCTGTTTCGCGGCAGGGGTATGGAGGCAGGCAAGCAGAGAACCAGCCCGGCCGTCTGGACTCTGGAGACTCAACCCCAGCAAGAAGACGACGGCAAGGCGGGCGGATAGCCGCAGGCCAGGTGTATCTAGTCGTTAGCGGACGGGCTAGGAGCGCGGAACTGGCAGGAGTTTGCCAACAACTCACTAGCGTTGAGAGGTGGAGGGAAGATGGAGGGAGGCACGGGAAGTAGGATGCGATGGCTACGGCGATGGGAGCCAGAACGCTATGGTTTGGTTTCAACGGCCGCGTTTGTTCCATTTGCCGCCGCCAGGATATCTCCTTGGGCACGCCAGTTGGCCCCGAGGATCCGACGGACTGGTTGGTGGTAAAGTGGTAACCATACCTTTGGGAGTGGAGGAGGCAAGTGTCTGTCTGAATGCGCTGGACTGGGCCCTGACACCCATTTTCACGGCCTGGTCCTGGTCCTGGTCCTGGTCTTGGTAGTGGGATTGGATCGTCGTGCCAATCAATCAAGAATGTGGGCCACGACCAAACCTCTGTTTTATTTGCTGTCCGGCTGCAATCACATGTACATACGTACATCATATTGTACCCAGTCCCGGGTCCAAGGTTCATGCAAAACACAAAACATGTGGTTCACCCCTGCCCTGTCTCCCTTGTTGTGTCTTGTCTTGACTCTTGCCGAGTGCTGGCGGCCGACATCCGGGCCATCTTGTTTGCTAGCTGGCGCCTGCATATCGTTGGCGAAGGCTAAGAAAAGCGCGGCGAGGGTAAAGCAAGCTGTAGTAGTAGCAAATAGGCGCCGGGCGTGAGCTTCAGAGCTTCGGTGGGTTTGTGGGATTTCGCTCCACCGTGTCTCCTCACAGTATCCGTACAGTTCTCTGCGACGATTTTCGTGCCAACTGTGGTGTCATTCTGGTGCGTCGCAACGGGCTGACCTGCGCGTGAGTGCACACATTGGTACATGCATGCAGATGCAATGTGTACATACGCCTCTGCACCGTTGGAATGTGCGCAAAGAGGAGGCGGGGTATGTACGTTGCCGTGGGCTGATCTCGCCCGTCGCCTAAGGTTCAACGGTGCGGCGCTGGGACGAATGTGGATTCGCAAAGACGGACAGTCCAATGGAAACGGATGGATATGCAACCAGGGATGAAGACAAGCAGCGCTGGTGATTGATGGGCGTCATCCCGAGCGGTGGTGGAGGGATTGATTGATTTTGTGTGTGGCAGAGGAGAGCTGAGCTTGGTCAGTGCTTGTCTCATGCGGGTCACTTTGGCCACTGTGCTTTGGCGCTGAGCTGTGCTGGGTGAGAGCTGCGAGCCAGTCAAGTGGGTGACATTGAAATTGAGACACTCAAAATATTAGGCTGGTTATTGTCGTGTCTGCGACCGATTTGTTAAATTATTAAGTGCTAATAATATATACTGTGCAGGCAATACAGTATATATTGTCACTTTAGTTCGATTTATACTACTGGACTTCTCTATTCATTTGTAGGAATCAGTCTGTTCTATTAGGTGCCTCATTTCTCCTGTCACCCACTTGCCAGTGTGGGCGATCTATTGGGGGGCCATGGCGCTGGCTGGCAGGGGTCCAGGGCTGTAGCGCACGTTCTAAGGGACGGCAGCTAACCACGTCGGGGGGCGATGGGCGAGGGCAATCAGGCTTCCGTGATAATGCAGGCACTATCACTGGCTGGTGGATGAGGGTCTCACTGCAACAGCCCCCATTAAGCAGCCAGAGGCGGCCGAAGGAGCTTGCCGTAAGTCCAACTCTCGACAGCAAATGGCACATCATCGCCAGCCGTCCAACAAGTCTGGTGGTTCCTGCCCCACCGTCCACCTGAAGTCCATCCACTGACATGCGCCAAGGCGCACTGACGGTCTGATCTTCCCCTCCCAAAGTCTATCTGTACTTTCTTTTCATTGCTCAACGGTCCGTACTCGGGTTCCCTCGTCTTATGCCATTTATTCTTTTCTTTCCTTTCCCATTGCGATCCTTTCTTCTTCTCCAAACCACCCGCGGCAAACCCTTGTCGGCACTCGCGCAAACCACCAAACACCCTCATCGACCGATCGCCAAATCCGACGACGACCAAGTCAAGCCCAACTCCTTTCCAGTCTAGCCAGGCGCAAACGAGCAGCACCCCTTGTTCATGACCCAACACCCAGCCGCGGAATGAGACAAAATGGGCGCCGGTGACAGCCCCAAGGAAGAGCATCCTGAGAAGACCCAGCAGAAGAGCAGCCCCAAGCGAAACCCAACGCGCAGCCCGCCAAACCATCCACCCGACGCCGATGCTCCCATCTTGATCCCGGGCGAGGACGAGATGGCGGCCGCTCCTGCCCTCCTTGAACCCGACGTACGAGCTTCTTCCACTCGACCAGCTTTGTTCCAGCCAGCCATGGATGGGCGGTGGTGTATTGGTGGCGTCGCTAACCGCCTGTCGAACAGGACTCGGAATCAGACAGAGACAATGTTTTTGACGATGCAGATTCCGCTTTTGACAGTGTAAGTTGGCCGGGCCAGCAAGCTGCCGACCAGCGAAACAGAGTCCGAAGCGCAAGATCATGATGCTAACTGCAGCGGACTTGACCCAGACACACTCCTCGACGACGTCAATCAGCGAGGCCATGATTGAGCAGGTCAAAGAACATGGCCGCCAGTACAAAGGCTACCTGGGAGCAAGTTTGTGCCACCCTTTCCTCTCCCCTCTCTTTCTCTCCTGTCTGCTTAGAGCTGACCTAGGGCCAACTAACTAGAATACGTGCTTCCGATGGACGAGGTATTCCGCCATTTCTCTTTTCTTCCCCATCTCCCTTTGGCCCTCTTCTCAGACACACCCAATGCAATGACCCACACACACGGCGCTCTCTATAGCGAAACGTGTTGGATGATTGATCACGTTGGACACACAAAACGGGATTCCACAGCATGAATAGACGCAATGCTAACCAAGCCTGGCTTACTCGACATAGCAAGAAATGGAGCGCCTAGGTACGTGGCCGCCCTCCCATCATTATTCACATTTTTAGTCAACCTCCGCCCCACCATCCATCCAGCACATCGACTCATCCAAAACAGCTGTGTATGTGTGTCTAACGAAAGTGGCCGGCCTCAGATCTCCAATGCCATCTCGTATGGCTAACATTAGATAAACGCCTTGCCATTGCCCCCATCAAGAGCCCTCGTCGGGCAATGGACGTGGGTTGTGGCACGGGTATGTGGGCTATTGATTTTGGTACGCGTCGCCCTTCCCTCATCCTGGATTGCCTTCACGGGCGCAATCCCACAATCTATTGATACTAATTTCTCACACGCATACAGCCGATGCGTATCCTGGAACCGATGTCGTAGGCGTTGACATTGCACCAACACAACCAAACATGTATGTTCCCATGGCTTCACTCCCCACGCGAATACATCGATGTGTGCCTTGGGTCGGGGAGTGAAACGAGGCTGACGCGATGCATTCTCCTCCTGCAGGACACCTCCGAATCTTCGTTTCGAGCTAGACGATCTTGAACGCGAGTGGACTTTTACCAGCAAGTTTGACTACATCCACAGTCAGTTGATGATTGGCGCCTTTCAAGATTGGCCGAACTTCTTCAAGCAGAGCTTCGAGTACGTCTACCATGTTACAATTCCCCCTTGTGCCAATACCCTTGCCCTGTCTCGGCCCGTGTTGCCTCAATTACTTACCAATTAATTCTAGGAACCTGGAAGAGGGCGGATACCTCGAAGTGGCCGATATCGATTTCGTGATCAAATGCGACGACGACACCCTCGAGAAAGAATCAGCCCTCAACGTCTGGCATGAGAAAATGCACGAGGGCGCCACCCTCGCGGGCTTTCCCCTCGACGCGATCAGCAAAGTCCCTGACATGATGCGCGACGCAGGGTTCGCCGACGTCGTCGCAATCCCGTTCCCATGGCCCATCAACACCTGGCCCAGGGACCCGAAGCACAAGGAAGTCGGCAGGTGGGCGATGGAAAACTTCACCATGGGCTGCGAGTCGATGAGTCAGGCGCTGTTCACGCGGGCTCTTGGGTGGTCAATTGACGAGCTGCGAGTCTTCATGACCCAGGTGCGCCAAGACTTGAAGAACCGGAGAATACACGCATATTGGAATTTCTGGGTGGTCTATGGTCGGAAGCCGGGCCACGGTTCTGGGTAGAACGCGCCGGTTGTTTGGGAAGGAGGGCGATGTTCTAGAAACTGCTTCCTTGGTTGAGTACGCTCATCTTGATCAGTGACGCGATATACGAGCCATGATGCGATTACGACTTTGCAGGGTTTGTTTTAAATTGATGGGATTGACTATGGAAAAGGGGCTGGGGCGCACACATCCAGGCGAGCGACTTCGTACCTGACAAAACTGCAGCGTGTCTACTTCAAGTTTACTATGTTTCCTAATATTTTTTTCCCCTCCAAGAACAATTCACATGTCAGCAAGCGACTTGATTTGGGATTTGTTCCGCGATTTGCTGTGCGTTTGTTGGTGAGAATGGGGCCAGAATGGGTGACGTAATGGCCATGTGCTTATGCTGACGGGAGTCTGTGTCCCGCGTTAGCTCACTGGAGAGCAATTGAAAGCTCTGGCCACGTCGGCGATTATTGAGGATGCAAGACGGCAGCTAATACATTTTCATTAAACTCATATGCACTCGATATTTGTGCGTGCCTCCATGTTGGGTGCAGCATTGTGCGATCGCGAGTTGCTCCCACACAGCTGGGAGCCCCTGGTAGTAATTCGGCCTGTCGCGACCGCATCAACACCCACGTTCTGCCGCAGTCAGGTACGGACACTTGTCAACAATGGTAGACCTCGCTGGAACTTTAATACGCATCTGTATCGAACCTCCGCGCGCTGGGGCAATCAGTCCCTATCGAGCAGGGCTCACGGAAGTCCTTGACGCTCAAGCCTTTGAAAAACTGATGCTAGAGTGGGGGAGATTGCATTAGTATCACGGCCAGAGTCAAGGTAAAATCCACACAATCAGACTGCAGATTAGCCAGCTATAGCGAAGATTTCAACTCACCAACACCTTATGCATGCTATAACTCCTTCTTCAGCGTGTTTCTCCTGCAAAAATCAATGGCCCTCCTCAAGATACCTGACTTCCTATTCTTGTAAGTTGAATAAACCACCATAGACTTGAATCATTGTCTTCGTTGGATAGTCTGTAGGGTAGTTACCTGGCCGCTGGTGGGAGTTACCAGCAGCTCCACGTAAATTACTCCCCCACCAGCGGCATCGGACCCTGAAAGTCTGACTCAGGCCGTGCACTTACAGCTGCTGGCCAATCAACAGCTCATCTTCTACGGCGGTGAAGGGCAGAAAAGAAATGGTCCACCCAGCTTGATCTCTCAGCAACGCCTTCAATTGCTTCTTTATCATCGCAAGACTGCTTTCTGATTGCGAATTTCCCAAGGCACGCATCCCCTGACCCCAACAGATAACCCCCGCTGGTACCACACGCCATCCTTCTGGCTGCGAGCCTCAGCTGACAAGTACCCCGCGGTGCAGCATCCCGGTCGCAAAATTTCTGCCCCTCCTTCCATCGCGTTTCTGTGAGTGGCATTACCCACGACGACTTCTCAGCCGTACGGGCAATTGCATCGCCAGTTTCTAACCTTGCCGCATGTGGCTCCCTTTCAGATCCAGACGAAATATCTCCCTCATCATGTCCTATTTCCCCATCCTCCTCCGCGCGGAGCAGAAGCCCCTCGAGCATCGATCCTTCTCGCCATCCGTCATCGGCTCCCTCGTCAAGGCCGGCCACCCCGTCTCCGTCGAGCGCTCGTCCACCGACCCCAACTTCCGCCGTATCTTCGACGACGAGGAATACGAGGCCGTCGGCGCCACCCTCGTCCCCACCGGAACATGGCCCAATGCCGCCCCGGGCACCCTCATCGTCGGCCTCAAGGAGATTCCCGAGGAGGATTTCGCCCTGAAGAACGACCATCTCGTATGCCAGACCCCCAATTGAGCGGAATCCCAGCTATACTGACGGCACGGCTAGAGCTTTGCGCACTGCTATAAGCGTCAGGGTGGATGGGAGCAGGTCCTCAGCAGATTCCCCCGCGGCGGCTCGACCCTTTACGATCTTGAGTTTCGTATGACCCCCCACCCCCCACCAACCACCAAGACTTAATGGCACTTCCCTTTGTCGACACCATTGGCCGACAACTTGGAACTGACTTTTCAACCTCGGATAGTGGTCGATGAGCACCAGCGTAGAATTTCGGCATTTGGTTTCCATGCGGGATTTGTAATTCTCTCGCCAACTGCCCGTACCCAAGAATACATCTAACTGTTGATTATAGACTGGCGCGGCGCTGGCAGTTAAGACCCTGTCCTGGAACCTTACCCATCCAAATGGCGAGCCACTACCCTCCGTCGCGAGTTACACCGATGGCCGAGGCTACTATCTTAATCAGGACGAGCTTGTCGAGCAAATCCGAGGCGACGTTGCTGTGATTGAGAAGGAGCTGGGCCGCAAGCCTACTACTATGGTTCTTGGGGCCCTTGGACGTTGCGGAAGAGGTGCCTGCGAATTGTTCGCTGCTGTTGGACTGGAGTGAGTTTCTGCTCTCTTTCCGTTCTCTAAGTGCCGAGAAGACCCCCAAGAAGAGTGGCACAACGGAGTTCCGTGGATGTTAACTGGACTAGGACTACTTCGTGGGACTTGCCCCAAACGAGAGTACCCGGTCCTTACAAGGCCATTGTCGAACATGACATCTTCCTTAATGCTGTAAGTCGAGGGCCCCTTTCAAGGAGTTCTGGATCTCCCCAAGCTGATCTCCCCCGCTCGCAGATTTACCTATCCGAACCTATCCCTCCATTCATCAACCAGGAGCTCCTTGCCCAGCCTGGCCGCAAGCTCGGAGTCGTCTGCGACGTTTCATGCGACACCACCAACCCCCACAACCCACTCCCCATTTACAGCATCAACACCACCTTCGACGAGCCCACCGTCCCCGTCGTCATCGAGAACGACCAGAACAAGACGCCTCTGTCGGTCATCAGCATTGACCACCTCCCCTCTATGCTGCCGCGTGAGAGCTCGATATCGTTCAGCGATGGCCTGAGAGAGGCGCTCCTCCAGCTGCACCAGAAGGACACTTACAGGGTGTGGACCGATGCGGCCAAGCTGTTCAACGAGAAGGTTGCAGAGCTCCCCGAGGCTCTCCGGGTCAAGGAGGCTTAAATTGGTAGACTAAAATGATTGGAGTGGAAACCGGGCAGAAAACGAGATGTTGATAGATGTCTGATGAAAAGATAGAGAGGAATCCGTACAGTAGGCAGTGAGCTCTCACGCAAATGATGTCTTTAGAATGTCAGATTAGTATCCGATGCTCTCACTGAGCCGGCACTGCCTTAAACGATGACTATTGCCGGTGTAAGGGTATAAGTGATGTCTCGGTGATCTATGACCAAGTCCCACTCAGGCGTCGAGTAAGGCAGACTGACTTCGCTTTAGAGTAGAGAATAATTCACCCACTAGTGAATAAATTAAAACTATTTGCTGCACGACAAGTGAATCTCCACTTGCTCTTGGATTTGCTATTGTTCACCGATGAATAATCATCTGAGTTTATTGAGCCGTTCTAGTACGTCAGTTTTTCTCCCAACCATTTGATGAGTGATCTGTACCGCTTTACTGCGGTTAACGCCGCTGCAGTGCTACTTGACTGTCTATATTAGGGGATGGCTGATGGCTGGTTGAGTCACACAATCAAAAGTGCTTGTGCCCAAGCCTCAATCCTGATCCATTCCTCTGATTTCTTAGGACCAAGTGGTGGGCCGAGAGGGAATTGCACAGCTGAAGCGGCATATATATCACCCAACATATCCCAGTGCTGCCCCAGATCCGGCCTACTCTTCCGCGCCTCTAGAATCGATTTGCATTCTCTCGATTGTAATTACATCAGACAAAATGGCAACTTACCCCGAAGAAGTATCGCGAGAATCTTCATCGCTTGCCTCTTCTGAAGATTTGCGGGAGTCTCTTTATGCCTCCTCTTCTGAAGGGTCCGGCGACGGCTCGAAAGGACGACGAAGGTCGCTACGGGCCGTAGTTTTATTAACGGATGCGGCAGTCCTGGTCTTGAGTCTAGGCCACCTTACGCTTCTCATTTTGCTCATGTGTTACCATGGTCGCGCTGTTGACGCGAGCTACGATGTTCTTCAATCTATTCTGACTACTGTACGAATTAATGATATTGCGGCGTTTACCACGGACTCTTTCAACTGACTGCTTATATCAGATTGGGCCAATATTCCCCATGGTGTTTTCTTTCATCGTTAGTCGGCTTTTCTATCATGCCGCTCGTTATCGATTGGAGAATAGTTTCACTTGGGGCACTTGAACAGTTAATGGGAAGTCGAACTGTTGGCTCCGCAGTTGCAACACATTTCGAACTTCGTGCGTTTAATATGCTTGGCCTTTGGATACTCTTTGTCTGGGTATTTTCCCCGGTTGGGGGACAATCATTCCTCCGTGTCCTCGATGTGACTTATCCATTAGCCAACACGTCTTTGTTGTATATGAACACACGGCAGTCGGACCATGGTTTTTACAACAGTTCTTTTAAAGATCCCTCCTACATATCTGCCTTCTATTCAAGTGATTCTGGCCGGCCGGGCCCGAGCGATCCTTGGGGCAACATCAAGATTCCGCTCTTGGATGTTGACAGTAACTCTAATGCCTGGCATGATATCGACCATGATACGGCGAGCTATTCCGCATTCGTTGGACTTCCGATTGTTAACGTATCAGTTGGGAATAGCACGTTTTATCTCGAGTCACTTTACTTGGAACTAAATTGTGATCGCGCCACGAGCCACGCACTGGACAAGAACACGCAGTCGTTTTTAGAAGCCGAAACCCCAATTAGCGAAATAGAGCTAGATGATGCTAGAGACGCATTGCCTCTTGGTGATGGTGGTTGGAAACGAACCTGGCCAGTAACGGAAGGCGGAACATTCGTGAATGGCTCTTGGTACGGGTATCAACACGCCCGATCCCAAGATGTGATGTGGAATATTGCGATCGATCGGTTTATTGACAAGTTTTGGCTCACGGCAGCGAGTGAGAGACATAGTACGAATCCAAACAAGTACGATTATTACGGCTTCCCTAGTATGGGTGCTTTCGAGAACGAAACGGCAATTGAGGCCGGTCCAACTTATCTGCTGTTCCAGGCAAGACGAAACGTCACACTTGTCACGGATGGAATTTATGAATACAAGATCGAGGTCGTTTCTGTTGATGTTCAGAAGGCAAAATGCCTCGTTCTTCAGAAATATGTGGAGTCCCGCGTCACTTGCTCCCGAGCGCCTCATGAATCAACAGCAGATTGCAAAGTGGTGTCACAACGCCCATCGCAGAAGCCGCACCCGTCGGAGAACCTTTCTATTCTCTCACATCCATATGTGTTCGCGTATTTGTCAAAAAAACTTCCTACCACACTTGTGACCAGTGGCGTGAGTGACCCGACTCTTTGGAGTATCTCTGATCAACCAGAACCTCACGATGGCGAAGGATTGAATGTCCCAGACTTCACCAATATCTCGACATCACAATTGAGTCGCGGGCTGACCAAGGTAATCAACTCCTACCTGCTGGTAAACCAGGCAGATAAGGATCTGCTACCCCGGCAAGTAAGCAGTTTATTTCCGCTGCTTGACTTTGAAAACAGAGAATATTTCAAGTATTGGAGCTTAGCATCAGCCGAGACAATTCAATTTACTAGGGTATTCTGTGTCTCCTGGCCCTGGATGACTGCTTGTTTTGCTTCGTGTGGTGTTCTGGCTGTTTGTGGAATTATGGGAATCATTTTGGTGCATCGTGGGAATAGCCCAGAAGTACTAGGGTTTGTGTCTGCCATCGTAAGGGACTCCCGATATATCAAGATTCCTACCGACCTTGAGCATATGAATGGGGAAGATATCTCAAGGAGGCTGAAGAGTGAGCGGCTGAGGTATGGATACACAAGTTTTGAAAGTAGGGGTACACCTCAGATGGGGATTGGTCGGGAAACAGAAATCACAAAAGTCGAGGGGTAATGATCTTGGAATCACTCTTTTAATTATACACCAGCGACCTGTTGCTCTAGATGGATCCATTTGGTGATCTGTATGTTAACTATACTATTACGAATGCTGAACAGGCTGTGGCATACCATTTGGGGCAAACTGAACCTGGCGAATACAGCGACGAGATAATTGGCACACGTTTGATGAGAATCATTCAGAATCAGAAGGATCTAGATTTTAGCAGATCCTTAGATCCCGCCACATTACCCAAGACTTATACCGTGGACAGCGCGACTGGGGAGAATGAGGCTGATTGGAGCCACGGGAGGGCATTGCCGCCCCTCTTTTTGACCAACGATGTTTCCACTGCCCGACTTCATCCCCTCAGTCAAATTGCAAAACTCACAAACCTATTAATTACAGTCCAACCCTCTGCACCCACACACTGCGACTTCCTTCGTCCATCTCATCGCCGTCCCTTTTGCCTTACTGTATTCCCCCAAACCAAGCGCACCCTTCCCTATCCAATTACATCCTATCACTCCATTAAAATGGCGCCAAATCTGCAGCTTGGCCCCTCACAGGCTTCACCATCTGAGACAGCCATGTTCAATCTTCTGAAGGCGAACCTCGAGTTTCCGGCTAGCTCAACGGTAAAGGCTAAGAAGCTTGTTGACGACATGATCTTCATTTACACATCGACTGAGGATAGCCCTTACTGCTCCTGGCAGCTCTGGCCTATGGTCGTCGCTCTCGCTGCATGCATTCCACCCGACCACGAATGGCAGGCCAGCCTCGTAGAGGCGCTGCACCTTGTCCGCCAGTTGGATGACTCTGTCGCAAAAGATGATAGTGGAGTAAGTATTGCCAAAGCTGATGTCCCTATAACCCTTGCGAAAACTGACAAGTTTCTGCCGCAAATAGGAGCCGTTCAACAAACTACCAGACCTCCTCATGACGATTACCGAATACTGGCATGGATTTCACAGTATGGTCACAAGCACCACACTCCCAAAATAAATATTAATGCCGCCCTCTCTAGATATTTTTACCATAGAGGACAGTGATCCTCTTGAACCTGGCCAGCTTGAACAGCTCGCGAGATGGAAGAGTGTAAATTCGTTTCTTGCTAGAGTTACTACAGACGATTATGTTGAGCTGCTAAATTCAGGAATCGACCAAGTGGCCATAGCACTCGAATCGGAGCCTGCCAAACAAGAGCCTGTGGCAGCGTGCTACATTTGGGTAGCAACCGAATGGATCATTCATTGTGGAAGCATCATTTTCAAGCTAATGCAAGGAAATCCCAAGATATCCTATGATCTTCAAGGCACTGGAAGTCTTTGCAAGGATGCCCCCCCGCAGAGCACTCAGAGATGGGAGTTCTGGAAAGAGCGGCTAGCAGAATTTAAGGGAGATACTCTCATAACGTCACGGGTTCAAGAAACTATCAAGGTAATGAATGAGATCCAAAGCAATAAACAACAAGAGGAGTAAAATTGGTCATATATCTAGAGTAGCGAATTTGAAATTAATTCACTTGTCTGATTGGGAGCACAGAGCAGGAGCGAAGGGTGTGCATAAACATAAGACGGACGGTCAGGGACAATCGTTCCTTGATTAGTCGTGATGAGCATCCTGGTGCCTAAGAGACTGTCGGTACCACGTGAGGTATATGTTGGTTAAATCCAGGGCGTGAGCGTTTAAGTAAGCGTGTTTTCTAGGAGCAATCCCAGCCGCAAGCCACAATCCTACAGCAGCAGTCAGCTTTCCAGTTCCTTCAATCTCCCATCATCAATACAGCCCTGTGTTAACTTTACCACGGCTGATCTATTGCAGCACACCCTCTCGCATCCTGTCCAAATGCAAGCCCTCCAAACAAAGTAACTGTCATGGCCAGCACCTCTACAGCCCTAGATGCATCAAAGCCAGCTGTCATGCTTGATCAGGTAATTTCTGGCATTCCCATCTTGTATATTAGGAGGAAGAAAAGAAATAGTAACATTCAGACAGCTCGGTCAACGGCCTGAAACTGACGCCATAATCAATATGATCAACCAAGATACCATCTCCACGGCCAAGGCAGTCGAAAAAATCACAGCGCTCACCACGGCGGTTGGAGATGCCGAGTATTCCACCTTACAGATGCATGCCAGTGTTGTCACTGTTTGCATGATTCGCGCCGCAAGACTTTTACCACCTGATCAGCAATCCAAGTTGATTGACTTTGCTCAGCGTCTTCAACAAGTCACCATACCCCGCCCTCACGATGGCGGGGTATTGGCGCTCGATGGAGGAGACGAAGATGAAGAGTTCTGGTCCGGCATGCCCATGCTCTCATTGCACTTGGCCGACTATCACGCTGCAGTTGGTAAGTGCAACCTGTTATGTGTTGTAGCATACAGAACCAACCTGGTCTAACCTAAGTGCAGCTAGATTTGGTACTCAGGAGGAGAATGATCGGTACTTTGAGAATTGCACAGCCTTCGTTGCTCAATTATCTGAGGCCGGATTTTTAAACTGGAAAGAGAATCTCGGCTGGAGTTATGGTGCCCTGATATGCATCCTCAATGTGAACCGTAATGTCAGGAAAAAGGACATACGGCTGGCCTGTATATGGCTTATCTATGCACCCGCAAAGCTTTGGCTCAACATTCAGCTGAGCCAGACCAATAAATATCTCGATGTTGTTGAGAAATTTACACCCGAGCACTGGCCCAAATGGAGGCAGGTTTTGCAAGATTGCCAGAACGCATCATCAGAGGAGTTTTCCGACAAGGATACGCAAGAGCTGATAAAGCGTGCTTTAGACAGTATGGACAAAACTAAGGCAGAGCAGAACAGCAGTATCTAAAATAAGATAGATATCTACACAGCGCTTAATAAATGCTTCGCTGTCGTAAGCTATTTGACTGACAGACCAAAATGAGCATGTCGGGGGGGGGGGGAGGCTGCATTCACTTTCGTAGTTAGAGTATGATATCCAATGTACCAGTACATCGTATATTAGGAAATGACCCTAGATTATTATGAGCATTGCAATGAAATGACTCTTGCTCGGTGCACTCTTTTGGCTTGTTATTCAGATTGATGCTACTAACGCTGAGTGTAATCCCCTGCCGTTCCACCAGGACTTTGAGTTAGCAACTGGCATTGGCATTCGGCACTCTCCCGGACACACTTCAGGCCTGGTGATCATGGTGGTTAACCTTCAAGTTAGCGGTGCTTGGATTCTTATCACTGATCACTGCATCGTCCATGAACCCCTTGACGTAATGGGGATTCAAGGCCGGTTTACACGTAATAATTCGGAATGACTGCGGTCGAATCAGAATCTGAAGTTGTTGCAGAAGCGGTTGGCAGCAAACTCGGGGTTTTTGGGCATGGTAGGGATGTATTTTTGGGTTCAAAGCTGCACGGGTTTTTTTACCAGTAGGGATTCTGTATTCCTATTTTGTTCGGCCGAGTTATTCTTTGCAACAAGAGATGGCTTAATGGGGAGATAAATTATTTCCATAGATGCTTCGCTAGTGGATGGTGGAAATCAAGGATGACAACAAGGGGAATATAGAACCAACGGGGAAACGGGCGATAAGAGAGACATCGGCTCACATCCGGCGACAGCTCTTGATTCAGTTGGAACCTAGAAACAAGTTTGAAACGCATATTGAGAAAGTAAGACAGAGACATCGTTGAATTTGAGGACGAGGACGATATAGCCGCTCCATTTTGGATTTCTCATGTCCACTTTGGTGTCCAAGCAGTAGGTATGCCCAGCACAGCAACCCAATCGGTATACACTACGGAAATGGCAATATTAAAGGAGCAGGTAATAAGAACAGAATTCGACCTCCCATTATCTTCCCACAACTAGAGGTAATCAGTAATCCTTGGAGGATAGTGTGGCATCCCTAGGGGTGCTACTGGGCTTTCTCCAGTCCTTTTCACTTAAGCTGATCCAGCACTAGAATTGCATGTCACTTGGAAAGGCTTTGGCCAAGGTTTGAATTGTTTAGTTAGTTAAATAAAGTCACTTTGTTGAGAAACACCACATTGGCAAGGCTTGTTGTGGCGATGTTCTTTGTACTACTCTTTGAATAGGTACCAAGATACCAGACCAACGCCTTGTCGCCACCACAATCCCATTGTTCTCAGAGATAAAGCTGTCAGCTCGCCCCACCGAATCTTCAGGCAATATTCTTAACAACAGCTCTTGTTCGGTTTCTTCGCCCTTAGTGGATGTTTTCGGATACGCAGGGTTTGTCCGTGACGTGAAGAGATTTGTTTAGCGTAACGTTTGAGTCTGACATCCCAACTATAAATGTCAACCAATTCCTCGGCCACCTTCTTCCATTTTCTCATACACCTGTCATCTACCGGCATCGAGAATTCCATCACGATATTTCTCATCCGGCTACCGGCCAGAGGCTTCTTCTCTTCATCCGCCTCGCCACAAATTTCACTACATTGATCATCAAACCACACACCGCAATTTTCTGCGAGATTTCACATGGTTCTTCAATATGGATGGAGAAAAACGTAGGTTCCTCTGCTGTGGCTGCTTTGGCTGCTGTCTCGGTTCTCTGGCAATGGTGCCCGCTGGGCTGATCTCCCTTACCATCTTGGCGCTTGCTGGTTTTGCCATGTTCGCGCTCTCAAAGGGCTTCCGTAACGGCTGCCCCTGTTAATTTTTCCCTTGCAAGTTGTATGTAGCGTTGGGACTCTGTGGCCCCTTGGTGCCTGCCTCAACTACCAATGGGGGCGTGCTTGATAGTGCAGCTTATCTACAACTTCATAGACGACATGTTCGTGGTCCTCCAAGTTTGAATCAACATGATTTGTTAGCCTATGAGAGATAGTGAGCCAAACGTATGTGCAGACGCTAGGTCGGAGGGTTAAGGATGAGGCCCGCGACAAATGAGTCTCCAATGAGTGCGCACCCCTTGCGGTGGTCTGCACCATCAGAAGGTCTTTCTATCTAGCCTTCTCGTGCTGGTCCTTTGACACAGCCCTTACCGCAAGCCGATAAATAAACCAAGAAGAGAGGTTTCGTGGGTCAGTTTAGTCTTAATAAATTATCGACGTTTATGGGATCATTATCATTCTCTCAACGTTCTCACCTTATAAAGTGGGGTGGAAAGATGATGGACGCATGTGATCAGAGCACCTCCTGCGCGATGCAGACCAGTAACTTGTATGTTCGAGACTAGAAAGGCCCCATTAAGTACGTATCCGTCCTATCGGAATTGAATAGGAGGTTGGTGAGGACAGGAACCTCTTCGACATGATGAGCATCCTGATGGCGAACATGGGCAAAGCTCTCAAAAAGCTACTTGGGGATTCCTTCAATCCTTGGTGAACCGCCAGATGACTTTGCCACCTCCCAGATTCTTTCAGCTTCCGGATTCGAGCAGCCGGGGCGATAGCCGAGCGATCAGCGTCTGACGGATTTGGGAAAAAGGTAATCGAGAAATTAAAAAGCTTCACCATCAGACTATTACAGTCAGTAGAATATGTAAGACATAATTCTAATATCCACATGATACAAGGAGATAAGCGGAGAAACAAGCTTGGCATCGTATATATCGAGCTATGTCGAGACAAGCACAAAATTGGGCGCTTTGGGCTCGCTCTAAGCTGATGGCACTTGTGGCATAATATTTGATGTAATGTCTGGTTCCACCCCCTCCCCCAATAGTCTTTAACTAAGCGATAGCCCGGGTCATGGCATGCAAAACTGACCAGAAGACTGGATGATAACTTAGTGGCCGCAAGGGCAAGGCGCCCCGATCGCCATGTTTGGCGTGCAGATACCGCAACCGTGGCCATTTCGAACGCATACCTTTCCCTTGGTCTTGGGGAAGTACTGGCAAGTGCCCATGAGACGAGGCGCCTGAAGTCGTTGTTAGAAAAGAGACATTTGGACAGGAAAGCTATTTCTTACGCGTCGGAAGATATCGCGCTTCTCAATGTACTCGTCACGAGCGGCGAGGTACTCCTCCTGGGCGATTTCAGCAAGCTGGCGGGGGGAGAGGCCAGCATGCTCATCCTCAGCATACTGCGCGGCAGCGAAGCTGGAGAGGGCGAAAAGAGAGACGTCAGTCTTGACGAAATACATTTTGAGAGGGCTGGGAACGGAATAGAAGGTGATGTTTTAAAGCTGATGGAAAGCGTGAAGCAAAACAGAAGAAATGTAATTTTATGCAAAGCAAAATCCTAAAACCTGGATAGAAACGATAGTAATATACCTCCGCTTCTACCTGACCCTTGACCACTCTTGTCGGATGAAGTCCGATGGAATATACTCCTCTCCACTAGCACCCAACACGGTAAGTGGTCATGAGCATGGCGGGATGCTAATCCAGCACATTTAACTTGTCTTGTTTTTGCTTCTATATTAGTTCCGCTAATAACTAGCCAATCCTTCGTAATGGGACCTTTTCCAACAAGAGGAGGACCCAAGCCGCTGGTGAATCCGTTGGGAGACCGCAGGGCCAGGGCCTTGGTCTGTCAATAGACTGTTCCCACTCTGATGAAAGCACGGATGAAATTTCATGAAGGAATAAACTTCTTAGTTTCCGCGTCAGCCCCCAGTAGTTGACATACTCTTGCCGTAGCGAGGAAATTGGCCCTGAGCCCGCGGAACAATCGGCCAGGTGCCCCCTGGCGGCTTTATTTTCGGCATTCCAACGGGGTCGCCACATTGACAACAACCCCGGACGTCAAATTAGGCATCCATCAAAGTATCGAGCCCTCAAACACAGTTGCGATCTTCCAGAAGCGAGTGAAAGGCACGTTGGTGATGGAATTACCCAAACTCCTCGTTCGAAGTGAAGCCAAATAAATGGAAACCTTGGCCATATCAAATTCGTCACATGCTTGGTTGCCATGTACGATAATTCATTCCATAATCTGTATTCTATATTCATCACGGATTCACAAATTACCTCGCTTAAGGGGGTCTCAAGAGATGTATCCTCAAAGGGAGCTGAAATTAATCCTAGCTAAAAGCTGGAGTGAAGTCCAGTAACTGGTAAGCTGGGATCAACTTAGAATTCGCAATCCGATAAATAACGGTATAGTTGAAATGGAAAGGAGCGTTAATAAAGCCTTTACGATGGTACCGTAGCAAGGGAAAATAGAGGGGGAATAGTGTTCGTCGGATCCCCTAAACTATGAAGCAACTCCAAGTTTGCAGGAGTCAGGGGAATGCAAAAGCTGCCGCTGTTAAGAACAACAAGCCAGGTTAGTGTGAGCTGAGCTATGGGACTTGGGGCTAAGTAGTCCAATTCTTCATGTATTCTCGTATTTCAAAGAGCCCAGGGGCACATACCGCATGTGAGTTGTAACCAGCTCGTTTTAGATAATTAAGCCCCGCCTATGATTTTATAACAAGGGTAAGAACGTATGTCAAGTGCACGCCACCTGGACTTCCCCGAGGCCTTTACTCAGAAGGTGGGGTGGTATGTGTAGTGCTTCCTCCGGATTAGAGTCATAAAAAAGCGATACGGGACACAAATGAGAGTAGGGAGAGGCGAGAATGTCCTATACCTTACTGTAGACGTATCGCTTCCTAGACTAAGCCAACTGTCATCAGTAACTGGTCGTTCTTTCACTTCTTCTACGGAGACAACAGTTGCGGTATTTTCAATTTGTGTGGTGACGAGAACGACACTTTCAAGGCATCACGTCTGAAGGGATAGGGTAGCCAGCCTCTTGTCCACCCTCAAATGTCCGAGATTGACCGCTGGTTTAGAAAATAGCTCGAGATCACTTGGCAAAGAGTGGCTTGCCCAGAATCCCCAGATGGTTTTTCCTCTTGCCTGTCGAATTAACATGCTCATGTGCCATATTGATTGGTACTGCACGCTGCTACTTCTGGATGGTCTGATCTCAAATTCGACATTGAGTTTATGGATCCTAGTACGAGGGGAACTCACCGCATTAGCTTTATCATGTGGAAATGTAACCCAACATGACGTTGATGGAGCGGCATTCACGGCCAGGCATCCATGGAGCGTGGAGCAAGGCGTGAGCTTTACTCCCGTTTTGTAACTATACTAGGTTCTCTTCTGGACAATAAATCACCACCGAATAGCAATCCTATGCCACTGATAAGAATACCCTTTGGTCCTCACTTGAAGAATCGTACCGTAGATGAATGAAGTGGACTGAACGCCCTGGCAGACATCCACCGCGTTAGCCTGCGGCATTATTGTAAGTGGATTTGGTAATTTTGGCCAGAGATGAATACTGGATTTTTGGTTATCTGGGTAAAGAGTGGTAGCCGACGGGCAGAGGTTTTCTTGGGACCCTCCCAAGTGGGTGACATAAGGGATGAGACACCAAATTCTTGCGTCTTCTTTTATACCGTATTATGCGGCAAAAGAGATATAATAAGACTTTAAAAATATGTTTTTCTTTCTATAGCCTTTGAAATATATTATAGTCTTCTTCTTGAGTTTTTAAGATGATTTGGGGTCAAGTTGTGGCGGATAAAATATAGAGCCTCTCCGGGTATGGGCGCTTGAAGTGCTGGTTTGGTGTCTTATCCCTTGTGTCACCCACTTGCCTCCTAATACACGGCTGGTCATTGTTCAAGTCTAGAATTAGGTAAGAAGGTACCATGGAATCGGGGAATTGATCTGTTACACCCCAAGGATTGGACTAGATTAGGATCTTACAGCAGCTCGGGCGGGAGCCAATCATCCACCCTTGAATCGCGAGACCCATGTCATATAAGAGCCAGTAAGCTGTCAAGCTGTCTCCTGATACGCTTGCACCGAACCTGTCCGTGCATCGACGCACGACTTGCCGGGCAAGGATGTTCATTTACTTGCCGGTCAGGGATTCGTTCCGTGTCCTCAAACCGTTGCCGGACCAGAGACATGCTGCGAGCCGGTCAAAGATGCCGAGCCAGGGTGAGCCGGACAAGGATGACTGACTTGACCCTGTACTCAATGCATCAACCTGCAGCCAGCATTTTTTCAGCAGTCCTGGCCATTGGAATTCATCTGCTGGACGTTTAATAGTATGGGCGAGGGCAAAACAGGCAAGCGGTCGCGTGCACCATGAAAAAGCGAGAGCCCTTCCCTCGGGTAAAAAGAGCCATCGAGTTCTCAGCCATCGATGTGAAGGGCCTTGTTTACGCCCTGAACATAGATTTGCCTGTTTAACATGATAAAGTGGGCAAAAATCGCTCTATGATGCACCCCAGAGTTACTCTATCTGGCCGAGAGCATAAAGGAGGTAGTCAAATTACTATTTTCGTTCTCCCTGGAAGTGTTTAGGGCCCTTCCTCCACCGTTGAGAATCCATCGCCTCATAGACATAGCGCACAGAGTCATAGCTTGGTCAAGCAACCAACCATCCACGTTGTATGGACGAAACCCGACATCGTGGGAGAATCGTGGAGTCGCCGAACCCAGCATGCCTCCCTTAACAATTTTAGTGCGGCCGAAGATCAGAGCTCGAGGCGCCTATGTGCTAAAGAAAGCAGTCTTGAGAAAAAACGAACTCAGTCCTTTCGCAAAATTTTCACATTCTATAATTGGGCATCTACCCAAACACGAAATGAGGAGATTGAAAAGTATATAAACCACTCTTTCCTCTGTCTTTTGGAGTTGGAATCATCCATCAACAGCTTTCTTAGATCATCTCACAGTGAATAATCTTATGTTCTCTCCTTATAACAACCTTTCAATTCCTTCCAACTTTCAAAATGCACTTCATCAAGTCCCTCGTCTCCCTCGTCGCCCTCGCCAGCTTTTCTGCTGCGCAGTATGCTGAGGATGAGGAGTACGTCGGTCTCTCCCGCCGTGAGGTCTCCGAGATCGCTCACGGTGAGTACCTCGCCGCCCGCGATGAGTACATCGAGAAGCGTGAGCTCTTCCGCCGCGTAAGTATCACCCTCGCATCCCTGGCTCTAGTTCCTCTTCCCTCCTTGCTAACCGGGTCCCCAGCTAGGTGGTAACGGCTCCTGCATGGGCTCTGGCTTGCCTGGAGGCTCCAAGTTCTGCTACAAGAACGGAAAGCCCTGTGGTCCCTGCCGCAGTTCTGCCAAGGTTGGCGAGTACTGCCTCTGTAATAAATAAGCGGCCTTGGCTACTGGGTGCCAAGCCTTTGATACTCACGGTCATTCGCGAGTCTGTTCTGCCGGAGAGAGTTTTGATAGAAAGTTAAAATAAAAGAAGAAGTCAGACCTAATAACTTAATATAATAAATATAAAAGATTATAAAAAAAAAGCTTTATTAGTCTAAGGCTATAGTTATATAGTAGAAAATTCTATAAATCTTTATACTAATATAATAGGTTATAGATAACCAGGTATAATAGTCTTATTAGAGAAATAGGCTTTATTATAGTACTAAAGCTGAGAGAAGTAAGTTCTTCTCTAAGGGTTTACTATAGGATTTACCCCTTTTACTAAAGAAGTCTTACCTGATTTATAAGATAGTAATATAGTTATATAATCTTATTACTTATCTATTATAATTAATAATTTACTTACTATTAGAATAAGTTATATATTAAATAACTACTAAAGCTGCTCTCTTTATCTAGCTTTCTTTATATATTTATATATTAATCTATATAATTTAGTATACTAAATAGAAATCTTTTTAACTTATAAGATAAATAATCTAATAAGTATTAGTAGCTCTTTAGCTAGAGTACTAATACTGATATATTTATAATCTTTATTATTTACTAATAATTAAAATTATAATAAAAAATAAGATTTTAATATTTTTTTTTATAGATAATAAGATTATTTATCTAAGTATAAAGAAGCTTAAGATTAATACTAGTAATTATAATCTTACTAGCTTTATAAAGATTATTAATACTAATAATATTAAGAAATTAGATTAATCTATTCTTAATAATCTCTTTAAAAAGTAGATTAAAGCTCTATATTACTTTAGTAAGGATATTCTTAGATATATACCTAAGGATAAACTTAATAATAAGACTATCTTAGTCTTATAGAGCTAGAAATTAGAATAGTTCTAATTTTTTATATCTAAAATAGAATTATTTTAGTAGAATACTATTAATAAGAAGAATAAGTAGGACTATATAATAAGAAGGGAGGAAAAGATATAGAAGAAATCAGGGTTCAGCAGAGGATAGTCTTAATAAAAAAAAGCTTTTAAACCTTCAATATAATGGAAGATAATACAGTAAGGGGAGTCTGTTCCGCTTGAGAGCTTTTATTGATAAAAGTGTGGTAATTTGGTGGAACCAGGGGACCAAGCAGTCGAACTCTCGTTGTGTGAGGAGGCGGTTGAGCGAGCTACTCACCAATGTACCCTAAAAACTGTTTAAATATACCGGTAGATGTTAACTTGCGATGCTTGGGAGTTTACCTAGGACACCAAATCGTCTGATGTGATTTCTTTGGTTGACATTTGGACTTTCCGGAACACTAAGGCCTCTTCTCAAGATCCTACTTCTGGAACTGGCTGTCTAAGTTTTCCTTCTTCATGGCTCTAGCCTTGGGTTAGCAGAGCTTGCTTTTGCCTTTGTATTCATTGTGTTGAGATGTCTGGTCTAGCCTCTTCCATTGCTATCTTTTACTTTGGACTCGAACTCTGTCACCGTAGAACTGGACGTACATCATAATAAGGGGACGGCGCGGCCTGCACCTTGCTAGTGGTTAGAGAGTAGATGACCATGGCTGTTGCTGTGCCTCTCAGCCCAGTCCCGGTGCTTTGGTGCTGGTACTGGGCCTTGTTCCTTCGCATTCGGTCAGGAAACTTCAGACATTCCTTCCCTGACGTAGGGCGGATCTCTGAGGGATCTTAGCGTGGTGGCTCCCCCATCCTCTATGGGTTCAACCCCATGAACAAAGGGACAAGTCGAGGCGCAATTGCCTGATCTCAAAACGGTTTATGGATCACTAAGGCCTCTACTTGCCTTTTATGCCCTCAAGCTTAATTTTTCGTGCTAAACAGTACACCTGTACCGGTAGGTGAGTTTCAACGGCCAGGGTTAGCTCATGCGTAGATGGCCACGAGCTTGAACGCCCTGAATAAGCGCTTTATACCCCACGAGTCATACTGGAACTACCGGCATACGGAAGTCAGCATTTGCAGCATCGGGGATGTATCCACTTGTTATTAGAGCATCCTAGTCTTATTGAAGGATCGTGGCCATGAATCCCTTGCCAGTAGACTAGCGAGAAGCAGAATTCATGCACACGATATAGATCGGATTCCAGCCAACCAAGGAAGTCGACAAAGTGGATGAGCAGCCAAGGCGCGCAAGGGAACAATAACCACTTGCTACTTTCTATATCTCGCAATGCAAGGTTCTATGGCACCACAGAATGTCGTTTCTCAGTACGGCTACATCGAGCTGGCCACTCGGCTCAGATAGTTAACGATCGGGATCAAACATAGGTATTTTAGAATCACTTTGGATTAACCTTTTAGTCATCAGAGGCTACATCTCTTACTTACCAAGAATATGAGAGAATTCGGCTCAAGGGTGATGATTTATAGAGGTGGCTCTGGTCTAATACCGCTATATGCTTTTCGGCAATCCCTAATCCCCTGACGTGAAAGAAGAGGTGAATGTCCAAAAAAAAAAAAAAAAAAGCAACCCTGCAACGGATCGTCCCGCGGGGCTAAGGTATGGCTAACAAAAGCCCTTCGAGTGACTCATTTGGTTGATGTACTACCTGGACGGCAGGGCGGTCTAACGGCTTAACCCCATGTCAGAAGATATGTGAAGGATTATATGCTTCCAAGAGCTTTCTAATCCTTCGACAATTTGCCGGCTGGAAAATAGAGTATCCTCGACTAGATATCGTCTGTGTCCTATAAATGCGTAGATAGCTGGTTGGGTACCAGTATTCACACGATGTTTCTATTTTAATCATCCTCACGAACCTTTTCTTAATTTTGATTACGGGCAGAACGCCTCTCTTACATTCTTGCTACCTCGTTGTAGCCGGGAGATCGCTGGTACAAGTGGCACCAGCCTTTTGCACCCTAAAATGGTGTACCTGAGATCTGCATTCAACTAAATAAACCCCGAAAGACACAGGCCCGGAGCAACCTAGCAGCGAAGGAGACGTCTTATTTCACCCACTCAATTGCATGTGTATTGATTTGTTGATTCATTTGATGTCTTGCTCGTATGCTAATAATTGCTAATGCTAGGAGCAAGAATAAGTCAGATAAGAAGCAAATGCAGAAATCACTGCGGATTCATCCATCGTGCCATGCCACTGGTTGCTCCCTCCCCCATTGTGAAAGACCTGTAATTCCATTTTCAAACGCCGTAACCAGAACAGCCAAGATCTCTATGTTTGTTTTGCCACGATATCATTGTAGCTGATAATATTGCAGTGGTCCTTCTTTGATGTAGCCTGTCACTTCGGGGGTGCATAGCCGACATTCGTGTCACCGTCGCGAAAGCTCTCGATGAGCGCTTCTCTGATCTCCTCTGGCTTGGCCGTGTCAGTAGCGTGGCATCGAGCTTTGACGCCCGCATTGCTCTGTTCTTGCCCGCTTCTTTTCGACCTGGCCTTTGCGCGACCCACAGGTTGTATGTACAGCCGATGTACATGCGGCGCCTCGTTCTTGTCCTTGTTCATCTAAAATGGGCAAATCATGTCAGAAACACTTGATCTTCTTGTAGGAGCGATTCCCAGGTGAAGGTAACTTACTCCTTGATGATCAAGGCGTAATCCTAGATCATAGTCTCGGGCGATTGTGTACTCGCCTTCTCTGAAGTTTTTCAACTTCTCGTCAGGGATGTCAGCCAGAAACAACTCGGCATCTTTCGTTTTGCCCGACATGTTGAAGCAGCTCTGGATGATTGGAGAAACGAGAGAGTGATGTAAACGATGATGGAGAACTTGGGGTTAACCTGAGAGGATAGAATCGAAGTTCAGTTCATTTGAGTAAAACTGAGGTGAATTTGGAGTGGATTTGGGAGGTTAGGATCGAATCTCAGTTTATTTGCATATTTAAACTAAGAACCTGATGTTAATCATAAAGTGAACGTTGGAATACGCATGATTCACGCATAAAAGAGTTCAAGCGCGTGGTTGAATTGTAAATGGATCGTCACTGAATCATCACTCAAGTCTCACTGAATCATGGCTGGATATGACAATGCTGCACTGAAAGCAAGCTCTAATCATAGAGCATAATTTTGTAAAGCCAAAAGCGTCATTGTACACTACCTTCATTCCCGCTCAAAACACGAGATTTGTACAGCTATTCATGCACTTTCCCGACAACACAATAGAGCTCCTTTTACATAAGGCAGGGACCTCAATTTCTTGTTTAATACGAAACAATTCAGCTTAATCTTGTATTTACTACTAGGTTGATTGTTAATATCACATACAAATTAACCCTGGAGGTTCTGGGTGTGCTATGTGTTATATCAGCTGCTTGCCATTGTAGCTCACCGGTGCTTATCCTAATCCATAGCCTTGGTTATTCACAGGCTATTCACAATCATTGAACAACGGCCATAATCATTTATGACAGTGCTATATATAATGGGCAACCGTGGAAACTAGGTAAGGATTTCCTTTTGTCTGGTTGGCCTAATCTGTGACATCATTAAACAGTAGCCACGCTCATTAAATAATACCACATCCCTATGCTGTATACTAAGGGCGCACATTAACAAGGCACACATGAGTGCAGAATTTTAGGATGAAGCTGCTGCAGGCTGTAGGGGAGGCGTTCTGCCAACAATGAAGATTGAGAAAAGGTTCGTGAGGATAATTAATTCATACTTTCACCTTGCCCAGGAAACAGACGATGTCTAGCTTCGTATGTTCCCGGGGTTGAGACCAATCGGTTGAATGCAGATCTCAGGTACACTATTTCAGGCGCAAAAAGGCTGGTCCCACTTGTACCAGCGATCTCCCGGCTACAACTAGCGAAAGCGTACGAGCCTGACCCGAGGCATCATAAAAAGTGAGACCATAGGCCGGCTCTAAAGCTTGATCGTGAAGTACTTCCATTGTAGTAGTTAGAGTGCTACAATTACTTGTTTCTAGGCGTTGAGACTACTGTAATTATTTATTTTGAAAGTATCGACATGTCCCGCTCATCAAAGAGGTGTGTGGGGGTGTGGGGCCTCGTAACGACCAATGCAACTTGGCAAAGGAGACTTTCTAAATGTGGGTGCCTACATGTACTTTATACCAATCTTAGGTACCTAGGTACCTAGCCAACTAGATTGAAGTATTTAATCTGCCTTGCTTCCTCTCATGCTGCACCTCTTCACAAGCTTAGCATCAAATCTCAATTGCTACAAGTACCAAGTTTTCGCATACCCATTTGGAGGCACGTACCTGCAACGCGGTCTCCTCGTCACCTCACTTCGTGGTACCTGAAGCACGTGACAGGCACACAACAACCGCGTCGAGAAAACCTTTTGCCAAACACTGACGGTTCACCTCCCAAACACTGAAGAAACATCCCGCTCATGGTTGACGAAATCACCTGCCAACGATTGATGAAACTACCTGCCAACGACTGAGGACATCGCTCACCAGCTTGGTCTTTGGCTTCTCATCATTAGCTTTGCAACCTTCTCTTCTCAGGCTATCATCCCCAGCTGCAGCCAGGGCTGCTGCTTGCACGAACGATGGCCCGGCCTCAATACCTCCCCGATTCCAGGACCAAATGGACTACTGGGTCCGACTCATATCCTATCTGGCCGTCAGACCCGGAAATTTCTATCATCAGCGAAATTGCGGCATCGGTCCTGGGCTTGCCGACTGACAGCCTCAGCGTGCGATTCCTTGATGACGGCGCCTATCACAAAGTGTATGACATCAGCCAGACGAATATTTCGCCCACCTCCGTTGCGTATCTATTTCGCGTCGCGGTAGCAGTCGACCCTGTACACAAGATGGAAAGCGAGATGGCGACTCTGGAGTTTCTTCGCCAGAAGACTACTATTCCTGTGCCCAAGCCTATTGCCTGGAACTCATCTGCCGCAAATCCACTCGGCTATGAATGGGCACTTTTGGAAAAGGTCCCAGGAGTGGATCTTCACGATGTATGGCTGAATCTCCCATGGGAGAAAAAGGTTAACATTGTTGAGAGCATCGCTGGCTATCTTGCTCAGATTTGGAGCCTGGATCTTCGATTCCCAAAGATCGGTTCGCTCTACCGAGCCACGTTTGTCGACCAAGAGCACATCACCAACACACCCCCATCAGCTACCCCTGCTAACATTTCTTCAATCTCCATGTCAAGAGCCGATTCTGCGTTCAAGGAAGGCTTCAAGATGGGGCCTGTGGTAGATGGCGCTTTCTTCTCCGACCGTCGTCGCTATCTCGAAAGCGATCGAGGGCCTTACACCTCCTGCTCCGACTGGCTTCGTGCCCGAATCGAGATTGAAAAGGAGTATATCAGAACAGGCAAACTCCTCATCGAAGAACAGCAGACTATGGAGAAACTAGAAGATGCGGATGATCTTGCCAATGAGATAGGCATAGGCCTTGATAAAGACGATGATTTCGATACTATTTTGGACACCTGCGATGGCTATATGCGGGCTCTGCCACTGGTGTTTCCGCCACCAAAAACGAGTAAGCTGTCGGAGGCTCGCTTCGTTCTGCGCCATTGTGATCTGCGAGGAGCGAATATCATTGTCCACCCGGAAACGTTCAACATCACAGGAATCATCGATTGGGAGAGTACCCGCACCGTTCCCGAATGGTATGGCTTGAACTATCCCCTGCTGATCCAGGATATGGATCCATTTACGTCCAGGCCCTCGAAGTCGGCCGTGGCCGCGCTCAAGGAGGAGGGAACCATGCCCGAGGACCGACTCGACATCCTTCGATTCCAATGGAGTTTATGGGAGAAACAAGACCTGCGTGAGGTGTTTGACCGCAAGCTGGAACAGCTGGGCTTCAGCAAAGACTGGCGTCCCAACTCGCCCGAAGACGATCTAAAATCCCGATTTATCAAGGGTGTTCGCGACCTGGCCGACTTCTGGCCAAGGTCCGCGAACATCCTGGAGAAAATCGAGTCGAAAACCCAACTTGCCCCGAAGGTAACAAACATCCCCCTCCAAGTCACGAGAGATGGCGCTTCAGGCTGGGTGACGTGCTCATGATGGTCTACTCTAGGTTGCTCCTGACGCAGAAAGCCAGTGGCAACTGCCTTGGTGACATCTTCATTTACCCTACTGGGTGTTGACACGCAAAGGGACCAACGAGAATCAACAACCATGAGGACATGAGAAACTCTTGCAGCGACCACTTCGTCTGGTCCAAGGAAAGCAAAGGATTTTATTCCATCTTCTGCCTTCTGTTTTGATGCATATGACTTATACCCAGTGCCTCAGACTGGTTTCCATGTCGAATAAATCTGTATCATCATCTCGATGACTTTAGACTAGGTCAATCAATATGAGGCTATCCAACAGAACAGCAAAGAAGGCGGAACCACTTTGATCTGGCGTACGCCTGCAGAGTTATGAATCCTCCTCTTTCGGATAGACTTTGTCATGATCTTAGAATAGCTACTCAATGTAATCATTCAATACAAATTTGTAGCTAGGTCTATTCGTGGTGTGGTGTAGCTAATCCCCCATAAATTACCTCCATTCCTTCCACTATATTTTCAAAGCTTAAAAGCATTTCTATTGATGCTATCTCCTCTGATTCCTCCCTCTCTTCGTGTCATGCTGTCCTACTTGTTCTTTTGGATACCTGCAGATGACTGTAGTGATCTAGCCTTAGGCACTAAGTGCTGAAGTGCTCCGGTTGGTGTTGTAGGCTGAAGTGCTTGGATTGGTGTAAGATGAACAAAGGAAGCCAGATGAAAGAAGGCAGTTTTGATAGTCATTCGACGAGCCGCTGTCCTGACAGCAGGTGAGTCATCGGCATGAAGGTTTAATAGAATATTCCTGTCGTATGACTGTATCTTGGGCGAGGAAAAGCTATTATTTTAAGCTTTCGTATTCATTGTGTTGCGTTATCGGGCCCTGGCAGCTCTCATTTCTGTTAAACTTTGTTCTCTTTTCTCTTCGGTATTACCTCCTTTCACAGGCAACATCACCAATAGCACAAGCTCGACTCAAAGACGGCTAAATAGGAGGTAGGAAACATGACTAAGTTCTCCTCTGAGATTAGGGCTCCAATGCTCGAAAAGTGGTCGATCATTAATAAAATCTACTACCCATAGGCGCAGATTACTCTACAGCATCGCCTTCGGGAAGTCCCTCATAGCCTGTCTCACACCCAAGTCGGCCAGGACTTCCTCAGCACCACCCAAGATGGCATCAAACTTATAAGTCCGGTTGAACATCTCAATGTATTTGCCCATGCCCGTCTGGGTGATACCGCGACCGCCCCAGATCTGGACCGACTCATCTGCGACCTCGTGCGCCGCCCGCGTAGCGCTCTGCTTGAGGAGGGCAATGGGGCCGGCGAGATGGCGGGCTTGCTGTTTGTATGGCATATGGCACATCTGGTAGGTGATGGTTTCGAGCCAGGCTTGGTTGGCCTCGACTAGGGAGATCATCTTGGCAAGCCTAAGATTTCATCATTAGCATGTTGAAGGTATTGGATGAAGCTTAAAGACCTACTTTAGACGGATGACGGGTTGGTCGATCAACCGCTTTCCAAAGACCAAGCGTTGGTTTGCCCATTTCAGACACTCTTCTACGATCTTCCTGCTGGCACTGATCGAAGCACCTGTTTTCTCGTTAGCTGGCGGGGATTTGAAAGAGCCTAGGCGGTCAGGGAGAAGTACAGATCATGACCCAGCGCTCGTGGTTGAAATTGCTGAGAATAACTTCGATGCCCTTGTTTTCTCTGCCGAGGAGGTTCTCCACGGGGACCTTGACGTTATCGAAAGTAATGTAAGCCGTACCGGCGGTGGGCGAGTACGAAGTCTTGATGGGCTTGGTCTCGACGCCCTCGCCACGCTCGATGAGCAAGACGCTCAGTCCCTTGTCAGTCTTGACGCCCGTGACGAAATAATCGCAGAATGTGCCGTTGGTGATCCACTTCTTCGTTCCATTGACGATCTATCAAATCAAAGTTAGCAGAGGTTTCCTGGCAGCGGCATCAGAGTTAATATACATAGTGCTTCCCATCAGGGGTCTTGGTAGCCGTGGTCCTCAGGCCAGCGACATCCGACCCTGCAAAGGCCTCCGTGATGGCCAGGCAGAGCTTCTTCTTGCCACTGAACACCTCGTCGGCAATCTTCTGCTTCCACACGGGGTCGTTGCCAAAGTTGAGCACCGCCGTCAGCCCGATCGTCATGCCACCCATATTGCCGTCCTGCGCACCCCGCGCCATGATCCGCGCCATCTCCTGCGCGCTGACGAGGTCGTGGAAGTAGTCATACTCTTCTCCCTTGACCGCGCCGCCCAGCAGCTCGACGCCGTGGAGGTGCTTGCCCGGTCCCATGCGCATGTGCATCAGACCCGCCTTGCTCATGCGCTCGATGGTCTCCTGGCTAATGTACTCCCCGCTGGCCTCGTTCTTCCAGGCCTCTTCGTACAGGTGCTTCTGCGCGAACTCGCGGAGGGCGCGCTGGAGGCGACGGTGCGAGTCCTTGAAGTAGGGGCTTCTAAAGGGCGGCGACAGCCAGAGGGGCTCAGCGTAGGGCACGGGGCTCAGGTCGCCGGGCTGGGGGGTTATGACTTGGGGCTTCTCGTTCTCAATCGTGCCGATGGCGAGGTCGCTGTACTTGGAGAGGACTTCATGGCGATGGAGGTTGTAGAACGCGGTGGTCGCGTCCTGGCCGGCGACCTGGCGCAGGACGGACTCGCCGCCGGGGTGGGCATCGACGAATTCGGTGAGGTCGTATACGGTGCTGTCGATGATGCAGTAGAGGGACTCGTCGGTGGTGTGCGAGCGAACCTCCTCGCGGGTGAAGGTCTTGGAGGATGCCATGTTGGCTGATGGCGGCAGTGATGATGGGGGTTTCGGGATGGGGGTGCTTTGTCGGATAATGGTCGAGAGAAAGTGATCCAAGCTCAAGGGAGGAGAGGGAGGGTTTTATTGATCCAGAGCTAGCTCACACAGCCGCCGCTAGAGGAATGGGGAGCAGAGCACAAACCCCCATACTCAGACGGAGCCGAACCGTGAGATCTGTCCATGTGCGTCTGGGGAACTTACCTAGAGTCTGGGGAGACCGCGGCATCAGCATCCAACGGCGTTTCCGTGCCTCGGGTAGTGGAGCTGGATGAGTGTCTGTAGTAATCCAGACAATGCCATTGGCTGGTTTGATTCGCTGACTGGGATGCTTTAAATGTGCCAAGGATCACTCTAGCGGAGCAATAACCGAAATAGATAGTGGGAAGGCTGGGAAAATAGAAAGCTTGGGTTCTGATATCTGGCCTCTCTATGTCCTTTCATGGGCAAGCAAATGGCGATTTAGCACTGTCTCGGCAAATGCGACGATGTGAATGCTCAGAATGTCTCGGCAGGCAGCTCAAGCCCGGGAAAGGAGAGAGAATGGCGGGAAATTGGATTGTGAAACAACTCCTTGCCGGCTACACTATTGACCCGCAGCGCCTGTAACCTTTCCAACCTCCCATGTGACACTGTGATTTCATTGTTCTCGGCACATTTACCTTTGTACATGCTTGAAAGCGGTCCATGTTAAACGTGAATAAAATCTTGACTATTCCAAATCTTCGATGCCTCTCGCAACTTAATCTCAGGCTTGTCCAATCGTCATGACCGAAATTGCTCCGCAACAATGATTTAGCTTTTTGAGCAGAAGGCACCTTTTTCCGGCTCTGAAGTCAAATTCAGGCGCTTCAGAGATGGCGCAATCATTTGGTTGGAGCTCTCGAACTTGTTGAACAATACTCCGAACCTGACATATTTACCAACAATCAGGCGCTAGGATGAGACCTCAGGGCTGAGAAGGGCGATACAGTGAAGACGAGACGTGTCTATTACATCGACAAACCGTCCTGTCTGCGGCCAGCCAAGCCGGGTCATTTATTGACATATCTTTAGATCGTCAAAACTTAGTTTCACGGAGCCAAAAGAAAAGGATATGTTTTCTTTGAGTAGCTCACGAATCCAACTCATGGTAGAGCCTGAGATGTTAGAGTGGAAAAAAATATCACCAGCCTCATGCAAGTTAATATGATGACATCTTTCAAGGATACGCTTATGGTCTCCATATATAATCAAGGTGGGAAGCACCATGTGGGAAACGAAATGTGGTTTCCGCCGCCGTACTAATTTCCAGGCTTCCTGTTCACCAGTTGCTTTTGAAAGAGTATACACCGAGTAGGTAGGTTTTGCAGTCAATCGGGCATTTAGATCGTAATTGGCTTTGACGGAAGAGAAATAGAATAAAGTTCAACAGCAATGAAAGTTGCCAGGGCCCGACAACTTAACTTAATGAATACGAAAGTGGCTTTGACATTTGTGTTGTTGTAGGTCTCTGTTGTGCATCAGACCACGCGCCTCCATCTGTAAAGCACCCTTCAAAAGACACGTTAGCCTTTTACTGGCATATACAGACATACCTTCATCAACGTTGCGATTAGATTCTCCTGGAGCTGGACTGATTAACGAGGAGCAATAAGATGTGAGCACAATTATTTGGAATACCTGTGGGCTTTTGTCGACTTGATACGTTTGGTTTTCACACAAAACGGTTGACCAGCAGCTGCATATTGTAAGGGCCAAACTGATGCTACAACAACGATCGAAGACGCCATAGAAATCATTGACCAGTATCGCAAAGCTGTGAAACTAGCAAAAGGAGCGGGATTTAACGGAATTGAGGTGTTAACCCTAGGGTAAGATAAATTAATTGGACATGTACAGTTTGCGTTCCTTGCGGACCTCGATGACTGGTGCAGAGGAGGTAATCATTGAGATTTGGGGGGCCCAGGCGCGTTGGGATCAGGATGTTTCCCTCCAACGACTACAACGGCTCAACTGTCTCTTACAAAGAGGCGTCTAAGACATACGACTCCTCCATAAAGCAGGTCATGGAACACGAATTTCGGTTTATCAACCCTTCACGCCGAGGTTGCGCCATTGGCCAAGACTAGCATGATTACTTCAAATTCAAGCCTTGCCCTGAAGGACTAAGTTGACTGGATGGCTGCGAGCCCTCCACGAGGTAATACCGCTTATGAAGTCCGGAGGGAGCCGAAAATTACTCATGGTTAACCAGGAGTGTCGGTTGCCGAAGAGAACCAACTCTTGCAATCGGGGAAAGTTGACTTGATCTGCTTCGGGCCCTTTTATTTATAGCCCAGTAAGATCGGATCAGGCCTCAACTCTATTATCTTTTCTACAACCAACGTGATCCGTGCGCTTTCGGTACTCAGGTCTCACGCTTGGTGGAGAATGCCTGCTGTTGCAAGTAGAATGGGTGATACTCCAATTTTTTGAGACGATGACTACTGAAGGGTTGTTGGAGAATTCTGGTATGACAGGTTTTGCATAACAAAAAGAGGCTAACTAACCATAGTTAACCTGACAAATGTAGATTTATAGCTCTGAATAGCATAGAGTAGAAAGGTGCTGAGTATGGCGTGAATGGCTAATTAGGCAACCGAGAGCTGGTTATGTCTTTATGCATGAGCTGAGGGAACGAGGAGAAGACCGAGGCAAACCCTAAACGAGATATGCTAATGTTTGGTACATTCAACATGTTTGCATGATCACGGCCGCTAACTGGAACTTGACAAGTAAAGACGGGTGGCTGATTCAAGGTTGATCTGTATGGCTGCAAAACAACGGGGACACAAAGCTGGGCCATGCCGTATGTGTAAAAATTGGCTTGTCTAAACTCGCATTGAGTCTAGGCCGTGTTCTACAACAAACCCCCGTCAAGCTGTGGATGAGACCAATGCCAACATTTACTTCGACTGGTTGCTTAGCCGCTAACCAGAGGATCAAACCAAGGTAACAGGAGATGAGTTAATCCACAGCTTCTCTCAACATCCATGCAGCATATTATAACATCAGGATGTGCGTCACTCATCCAAAGCCAAAACCTGCTGCACTGCCTTCTCATTTCATTCTTTGTTCAGCCCGCAGGTAGCTACGTCCACTTACCATAGTTTTTCTATCACGGGCAGCGACCCTGATTTCAGCAGCCTTAGTTGGCTCGGCTCTAGCCTTGGACCCCATCTGCGTGAATGTCGGAGGCCCAAACTTCGTGATTAATTCAGGTTTCAGCTCAGGCACGGCCCGATGGAACCAAATTCGAACGGGTGCAGGGGCCAACATCCAAAATGGCGAACAGGCAGATGACACATATGGCCCATTCTGGTACGCCGTGAGATAGATATCTCGCCAGGTCGCTTGCTGGCTAATATCGAGGTTACAGGAGATTTCTTGCGAGCACAATCAACCGATCTATCTTGCAGTCCATCTCGGGAGCGACCATCGGAACAGAGTACGTCCTATCGATCAACTACCAAGGCTTCATACCCCAGACCTAGACCTCGACAGTATCATCCACGTCTTGCACCATACGCGCCGCCACCATAGCATCCAACGTCTCCACGACAGTCCTAACTGAGTCACTGACTCTTTCAAAAGATGCTCAGCCCTAGGCGATTGCGCAGGTTTCATTTGTTGCCCCAGCATCCGCGTTCAACCTTCAAATCTTCGAAACCTGCTCCGTGACGAGTACAGCACCAGGGACCCAGATGCGTTTTGACAACATATTCCTCGGGACATCGACTCTTGTTTGCACACAGCCTTCTAGCACACAGCCCTCCAGCACTCAGGTTTCCAGCGCACAGGTTTCCAGTACCCAGGTTTCTAGCACTGTCTCCAGCACCACTTCTAGCATCGAGCTCTCGAGTTTCCCCCTCTAGCACTAGTATTCCCAGTACTGCCTCAACTTCAGATGTTTCCAGCACTCCCTCCAGCAGTGTGGTCTCTAGTACTCCCTCTAGTACTCCATCCAGCACCCAGGTCTCCAGCACTCCCTCTAGCACTGAGGTTTCCAGCAGACCATTGAACACTGAGATCTCAAGCACTGAGGCTTCTAGTACTTCCTCCAGCACTCCTTCCGGCACTCCTTCTGGCACGGAGATTTCTAGTACCGAAGTGTCCAGTATTGCCTCAACACCTAGCGTCACACCATCCAACTCTCCTTCCTTTGACAGCTACTGTCGCTACTCCAATCGACTCCCTGAGTTTCGATTCTACGGCCATCTCTGTGGTGACTCCAATAAATTTCAATAGCCACACGCCTATTCCCTCGTTAACGTCTGTCGATGATTCAGTTGGGACTCCGTCATCTACGCCCACTACGACTAAGACAAAGAGGCCATGCAAAAAGAGACCTTCCCCGACGCAGACAAACCCTGGGGTCTTTTAATTGTTTGCAGCTGGCGAGGAGCGCTGCAAAATGAAAGGTTGTTTCAACCGGATATAGCAGCCTCTCGTCGATAAGGCTGCTAGACGAGCCCACCTTACATTAAGTTGAGCCTGTTGTCTGTTATGGGAGGCTATCATTATTAGTTGTTTTTTAATATGAGTGACGCATGTTGCTCTTATGACCTACGGTTTATCTGTACATGGCTAATTATTCTTACTAGCATGATCATGGAACGATGTTGCAGAGATTTTAGAACATATTATACGAATAAAGAAGCGTTGACTCGGTAGTTCCAACACTTGGAGTATTATTCTCCAAATTCACAACAAACACGATTTCCCTGAGGGACAACATATAGACGATGTCAGCTTCGTATGGTGGACATTGAGATCCTCCTAATGCTTGGTACCGAAGTCCATCCTCATGACGATGATATCATAGAGTAGGAATGGATGTGACCCAATCGATTCTCCTTTCTTCTGCATCAACTGCGGTATTTTTTCTACTGCCATTGTCATCTAGATCGTTCGCCATTTTTACCAAACTGAAAGCTACACACCGTTCATTTGTTTCATTACGCGTCTGTCCTGTGAGCAAGCATGGCCCAACTCCAGCCCCGCGACTACACAGTTGGGTGGATATGCGCCATCAAACCTGAGTTCATTGCAGCGCAGGTTTTTCTAGACGAACCTCACGAGGATCCGGAGTACATATCTCAGCATGACAACAATACTTATGCGTTGGGCAGGATGGGAAAGCACAATATCGCCATCGCTGCTTTGCCGATGGGGGAGTATGGAACCATCTCGGCAGCCACTGTTGCAAGGGACATGATGCATACATTTCCAAATATTCGAGTTGGCCTGATGGTTGGCATAGGCGGCGGCGCTCCCAGTGACAGACATGATATCCGGCTCGGCGACATCGTTGTGGGAACTCCCGGTAATGGAGAGGGTGGGCTGCTTCAGTATGACTTCGGCCAAAATATACAAGATCGGGAATTCCAAACCACTGGTTTCCTAAACCAACCACCCCCATTCCTGCGGACGGCACTGATGAAACTACAGGCAGGCTATGACATCCAGGGTCATACGCTTAGGAGTGAGGTCGGCAGGGTTCTTGAGAAGAACACGAGACTTCGTAAACAGTTCCGTCGGCCGGACATAAGCACGGATAGGCTATATCAAAGCGAAGTTACCCACGCAAGTCCCGGCGAAAACTGCGACAAGATTTGTGGTGTATCGGGGTTAAAACTACGACCAGAAAGGGATGAAGACGACCTTGGAGTCCATTATGGTTTGATTGCCTCTGCAAACCAACTGATGAAGAATGCATTAGTCAGAGATAATCTGGCGTCGACCAGAGATATTCTATGCTTTGAGATGGAGGCGGCGGGATTGATGAATCACTTTCCTTGTCTGGTCATCCGAGGCATATGCGACTATGCTGACTCACATAAGAATAAGGATTGGCAGGGTTTTGCAGCAATGATGGCTGCTGCCTACGCAAAGGATCTCCTCAAGCAGATACTGCCGAACAAGGTCGAATCTGAGAAGAGTATTGGAGAGATAATTTCGGGTAATTCCTTCAATAAGTACATATTCCAGCAGATACTGACTACTTGCATAGGTCTGCAGATTGCCACAGAAGAGCAGCGTGATCTTTCAAAGGACCTCCTTCAGATTCAGAAGGATCAAATCAAACCAGTCAATGGAAGAACAACGCTGTCACCAGACATTCCGACTCATAAGCAACAGTAGCAACACCACGTATGAGTGGTATAAAGACAGAGTGGAAGAAAGAATCGGAGACACCTGTGTCTGGTTCCTCAAACATCATAACTTCCAAAGTTGGATGAACCAGGAGTCTGGCCTACTATTGGTCTCGGCAGATCCAGGATGCGGAAAGTCAGTCTTGGCCAAATACTTAATCGATAAAGTCCTACCTCAGTCACAAGAAACTATTTGCTACTTCTTCTTCAAGGAAGGGGACCAAAATACTGTTCGGCAAGCACTATGTGGCATCCTTCACCAGCTCTTCTCTCAGAAGCCAGATCTACTTAAGCATGCTATGACACCATTTCGTTTGGATAGAGAAAAGGTGACACACTCAGTGCCATCCCTTTGGAAGATCTTACATCATTCTATCAAGGATCCAGCCACAGGTCCTGTTATAATAGTCATAGATGCCTTGGATGAATGCGCCAACGACGAGTTCATAAATCTTGTGCAGAATATCGAGACTCGGTTCCAGAACGGCGAAGCTAGCAGGTTAAAGTATCTTCTGACAAGCCGACCATACTCTGGCATACTTTCCAAGTTTCATAACTTACGAAACTCACCTCCAAATATCCATATACGTGGAGAGGAAGAGTCTAATACAATAAGTCAGGAAGTGAATCGTGTTATCGCGTACCGGATCAAGCAGCTAGCAAGAGAGAAGAGCCTCTCACAAAAACGACGAATGTATCTCAAGCAGAAGATGCAACAGACTCGCCATCGAACCTATCTCTGGGTGTCTCTTGTATTCAACTACTTGGAGAAAGAAATATTCAAGACCACTGCCAAGGGAATTGATGCCATTCTTTCGGTACTTCCTACAAGTGTCAACGAGGCGAATGAGCGACTCCTTAATAAAAACAACTCTGCAGATCGCTCAGTAGTTCGAAAAGCGTTAAGCATCGTCTTGGCAGCAAATCGACCGCTGTCATTGGCGGAAATGAATATCGCGATGAGTGTTGAGGGTTCCCATCAGTCGTTTGGTGACCTCGACTTGGAGGATGACACCCATTTTCAGTCACGCCTCCGGTACTTGTGTGGGTTGTTTTTGTCAATTCACCAGGGCCGCGTCTACTTCCTACACCAGACAGCTCGCGAATTCCTGCTTAGAGATTTCAAACCCTCCACTAACATCGGCCTCGAGCCGCGCTGGCATCATTCGATCACGCTGCAGGAGGCTCACACCATCCTCGCAGAGACTTGTGTCCTCTATCTGAACCTTTTTGACCCCAACTGTCCTACACCAGACACAGAGGAAGAAGTGGATGCGTTAGTGAGCATCCACCCCTTCTTAAGTTACTCTGCAAAGTATTGGAACGATCACTTTCGCCGGTCTCTTTTGGCAGAAGGTTCTCCCATTAGTCGCTATGCTCTCAAATTATACAACCCAAATACAAGCATTTACCGGCTATGGCTCACTCTTTACTGGGCCATAGGATACAGACAAGTGGAGGAGTCCCCTTCAAACCTCACAGTGGCATCTGAGAGTGGTAATTACACAGTCTGCAAGCTCTTGCTGGGAGATGGTGCGTACATCCCCAACAACGCGCTGGCGTTGGCTGCTGAGAAGGGGCATGGATCTATAGTTGAGCTGCTTCTCGACGCCGGCGCCGATATTGAGGCTGGCGCGGTTGATGGGACTTACACGTACATAAGCCCGCTGGTGTACGCTGTCGACAATGGGCATGAGGCTATGGTCAAGCTGCTGCTCGAGAGAGGCGCCTGTTTTGGGGGTGGGAGAGGATGGAATGAGATGTACCCGGGCATAACGCCACTGATGAGAGCTGCTGGGGGTGGGAATGTGGCTATCGTCAGGCTGCTGCTGGAGAAGGGTGCCGACCCTAATGAGGCGGAGTATAATTGGCAAGAACTGGAACTCTACAGTTATGTTTCTCATTTCGAAGAGGGTAAAACTCCACTGATGCTAGCTGCTGCAAATGGACATACTGGTGCGGCTAAGATCCTCCTCGAAAACGGGGCTAGCTTTACGACGATCGATTCTGATGGTCGGACACCACTGATGCTGGCCGCTGGAAATGGACATACAGGCGTGGTCAAGGTTCTGCTCGAGAAAGGAGCCAGCCTTGTGGCTATCGATTTGCATGGTCAGACGCCACTTCTGTGTGCGGCCGAAGGTGGGCATGATACCGTAGTTAAGCTTCTCCTTGAGAAGGGCTCCAAAATTGAGGAGAGAAGTCCACAGACGAGAGACAACAAGCCCATGACGCCGCTATTGTGGGCCGCAAAGGGCGGTCACAGTGCTACAGTCAGGCTACTTCTCGAGAAGGGCGCTTGCATTGAGACCAAAAATGTCATGAACGGAGGCATGACGGCGTTCTCATACGCGGTTGCTGGCGGGCACGAATCCGTGGTCAACCTGTTGCTCGAAAATGGGGCCAATCCTGTAACCAGAGAAGATTCGGACCCAACCTCAATAGCGTTAGATATACTATATTAAGCAGGGTATTGTTGTGTTACTCATTGGACATACGACTTCTTTCGTAGGCTGTATAGGTACCTCAAGGGCGCTCATCAAGAGACCCAGGATAATCTAGACCAAACAGCCCTACTATGGCCGCTCAGAGTGTACATGAGTCTATACATAGGTTGCTCATCGAAGTTACAGGCTCAGGAGTCTACTTATTAGCTGTCTTCCATCCACGTATCATTATCGACTGTGGAGTAGCTAGAATCTACCAGGTCAAGTGAATGGGCATGACGGTGACTATTTATAGTAAAAACCAGCTGACTCACCATCACAACGAATGAAATGGGCTGCTGTTCAATATGCATGTCGCCCATTGATATACTCCCCACGCCTCATGCATGGAGCTCATCGGGACTTCTGGCAAAAAGGTTCGAACAACCACGCAATCATGTGAACATAAGAAGTCTGAAGCAAAAAATGTCCAGCAAACAACTCATTTGCAGATTTTATCCCAGTACCGAAAAAACATCAATCCTTTACTGGGATTCGTTGCAGGGGTGTTCCTGTATCCTTAGTCATCAAGATGCAAGAAAGGGGTCAGCTGAGATGTTCAGCCTGCACAACGTGGATGCGCGCATTCAATCCATGCATGTGTGATTCAACAGGAGACACCGACACAACAGCAGCGATTCCCGCTGGCTTAGTCAAGAATGAGTCCGCCGAACTGGGCCGCCAGGGTGTACCGGCTGCGGAGGCTGCCTCACCACATCACCGACGCGACGGAGGCGGCCCGGTTGCTTGGTGAGGCCCTCGACATCCCGCCAGACGACGTGGTTGTCTACTCGGTGGCCCATACGTTCAATCGTCTCGAGTCTCCTCCCTCCAAGGTCGCCACGCTCCAGCTCAAGAGCTCGCCCGGCTCGCTGCAGCTCGATGACGGCAAGGATGAGTGGAAGATTCCCCTCCCTGGGACGCTCGATTATCTACTGCTTGATACCCATTTCTTGGGGATGACGGTTCTCAATCACGTTGACGCCAGTTCGCACCATACCGAGTATGCCCTGTCCTTTTCCGAATTGCTTGTGCATATGCTAAGCACGATTATCCATTCAGCTGCATTGCCATCTCCGGCTTGGCAAGTCATCCCTTTGGATCTTGGCAGCCTCACGGGGACGACAAGACTTTTATGTGGATCAGGGATGAAGCCTCAAGACTGATATCTGGAACCCGGATGCTCCTATACGGCTACAACTCTCAGTTGATAAAGAGCGAATCCTTCCAAAAGATCAGCGATATCTCACTTGGCCTGATACATCAGCTCAAGTACGGCGGCTGGGGGCTTCCGTCATCAAAGCCGATCGTCTTCCTAGCTCACAGTCTAGGCGGTATCGTGCTCAAGGACGCCATCTTACAGATCGCAGGCCTCCAGCTCTACGCGTCCATCCTGGACAAGGTGAAGGGGGCAATCATGTTTGGGGTTCCGAGTTTGGGAATGCATCAGTCGCATCTGATGATGATGACCGAAGGGCGGCCCAACGAGATTCTGGTTCAAGATTTATCACGCGATAACGGAAGCGCATATTTGCGGGATCTCAATACGCGATTCGACGGTCTGGCCTTTCTGAAACGAGCTACCATTTACTGGGCCTATGAGACCAAGGAATCTGTAACTGCGGCTGTAAGTATCAACACGCCCGTCTTATTTCATCTATATTAATCATTCCGCACAGCTGCAACCGGATGGGACATGGGCGAAAAACGGGTCTCCTGAGGTTTTAGTCAACCCTGACTCGGCAACCTCATACCGCAATACGAAGAACAAGATCATGACGATTCCGATTGATAAGGATCATTCTGGCATGGTCAAGTTCTCTAGCGGAGACAGAGATCTGGAGACCATTCTGCTTATACTCGCTGAGCTCTGTGACCAGCAGGACCATAGAAGCGGGATGCTCTCGGGGGTACAAGTTGAGGTGGAGGCCGAAGATACAGAGCTGAAAATACACAAGCCCATGTCGTCAAGTGAACAAGAAACTTTTCGACAGCTACGCAAGTATCTATCCTTAGAAAATAGTAAGTGGATTTCCAACAAAATGATGGAACTCCGGTGAGATGCTTACGGATGGTTAGAAATGTATGCCGACCTACATTCGCGAGAACTCCACACTCGCGTCGACCAGATCGAAGATCCCTACGAAAACACCTTCAGCTGGATTTTCGAGCTGCCCTCGTTCTGCAAGTGGCTTCAGGACGGCTCAGGGCTCTTCTGGATCAATGGCAAGCCAGGGTCGGGCAAATCGACTCTGATGAAGTACATCTACCAGAGCGAGACGACGTGGCAACTCTTGCACAGCTGGACACGGAGCACCACGGAGGTGAAGGAGCTACAAGCTGGGTTCTTCTTCCACTATCGAGGGACGCCGCTGCAGAAATCGTTCGAGGGACTGTTGAGGAGCCTTATCCTGCAAATCTTTAACCAGATGGACAGTTTCAGGAAGCGATGGGGAGAGTTCGAGTCCCTTGACGAGCTAGAGACCAAGACGCTCAAGGAGATAGAGAAGTTGAGAAGGATGATGGACCTGCCAGGTTCAGGGCCAACTCCGATGTCGCCACGACAAGTGGAAGCGAGGCTGAGGAAGGAAGAGGAGAACCTCTACTACTGTCGGACGACTCTATCACGGATTCTTGCGGACTTTAGGCCGTTTGAAAATTTGCCCACTACCAAGTATCTCATTCGCGTGGTCGCAGAGTACCACAACTCGACGGAAGGTTTGATCCCTCGCCTGGAGAGGATTCTCCGCCTGTTATTATATCAAGATGTTGTCAAGATGGATGTTGTTTTATTCTTCGATGCTCTCGACGAGTACGACGGCCACACGGACATGATAAGTCAGTTTCTGCACAACTTGGTGCAGGCGTCTACATCAAATGTTCGCGTAAAGATATGCTTCTCCAGCCGGCCTTGGAAGGCTCTGATCAAACAATTTTCCGACTCTCCCGGGTTGTCGTTGCAAGACCACACGCAGCAAGACATCGAGATGTACGCCGCTGGAAGACTAGGCGGCTCTACGGATCCAACAGGCGACATCCTCTCTCTCGTACCCGTGATTGTCGCCAAAGCAAGCGGCGTCTTCGTCTGGGTCCGGCTTGCGGTGACCGAGATCATCAGCCTTTGCACCAGCGAGGACAGCAGCCATTCCATCAAAGACATGGAGAAACTGCTCCTCGAGCTCCCCGACGACCTCCACTCCTTCTACGAGCTCATCGTGGAGCGGATCGCGGTGACGCACCGCCGAAACACCTTTGCGCTCCTGGAACTCATCATCCGCCAGGACAGCCCCCAGACCGTCCGGGCCATATGGCTGGCCGTGCAGCTATCGAGATGCGCCACGCTGGAAAGTGCCATCAAGCAAATCCAAAGCAACCAGCTCCCAGAGGACATGCGATCGGACATTCTGGCGTGGGGCGGCGGCCTGGTCGAGATCCAGGACACTCAGGTACAGCTGATGCACCAGACGGTCCTGGAGTTTGTCCTCAGCGTGTCGTTCAAGCGCGCCGTGCTGGGCAACCTGGCCACCGTGGTGGCGGAGAATGGGCATTCGTACCATGTGAAGTATCTGATTACGACGGAGATCAGGAATATTCGGTATTCTCAGTACATGCCCCCGGAGAACTCTACGCAGTACCATTCTCAGCAGTCGGAGCTCACGACTGGGCAGAGCCAGCTTCCCTTCCTTGAGAGTGTGCCGCAGGATGAGTTATACATCCTGGCCACGAAGACGAATTATTTTCCACCCCACCCTAACGTCCCTTCGATTCCTATCTATGCCTCATTCCACGGGCTGGCCCTCTGTCTCAAGAGGTGGCTGGAGAAGAATCCCGGCACCCTTGGTAGTATCCCTGCCGAGGTATCCTACTGTCCTCTACTCTACAACCTTTTCTTCGCAGGTGGTCAGGAGAGGTTCCAGGAACGATACATGGAAATGGCCAAACTACTACTAGATAACGGGTTCGACCCCAACCGAGACCGAGACTTTTTCCACGCGCTCGTCACCCGGATATGGGATCTGAGTTTGGAAGCGGACGAGGTTGGAGACCGCATTCCGTTATCAGCACTCTGCCAACTGGTCGAGCTGGTCCTAAGCCACGGCCAGGATCCGAATATCTTCAAGAGATTCGGCGCCAGGGGCGAGACGACGGCGCTCGCAACGGCCCCTCCTATGCTGGCAGCTGAACTGATCAAGCACGGGGCGGACCCAAATTGCTACAAGACGGCCGGTGACTCGCCCCTGAGCTGGGTTATGAGGCCGGAGTATATCCTGACGTCGATGACGAGCATAGGGAGCGCGGACGAATGGAGGTATCAAGTAATCGGGATTCTGTTGAAGGCCGGGGCTGTCATCAAGCCTGATGATCGCCCGACTATGAGAATGTGGCTCGATAAGTTCCACACCGAGGGCTACGACGTGGGGTCACTGCTGGAGATCTGTGCTGCTCGAGGTTGCCAGATCGCTCTTAGGGATATAGCACAGCAATCTGTGCCTCCGCCTGCAAGAGAGACATATGCGCCAACTACACCATTTCAAGGAGGCAGAGAAGAGGGGCGAGGTTACAGGGGGGAGGGGCAATATAGACCCCCGGTCGAAAGTGAATCCGAGAGGCAGTCCATGCAGCTAGCGTCGCTACAGCTAGAGTCTCTACAAGGGAGTCTAAGCGGCGAGCGAGAAGAGAAGAAGAAAGGTCTCCGTCACAAGGCCAAGAGGCTGCTGTGTTGGAGATGACGAGGCAACGGGAGACTGCATCTGCTTAATAGTTGCTAACGACGAGGTTTGGAGACGATGAGGCTCATTTGATGTATTAATTCATAATCATTACGTGCTCCGTGTTAACCCAGACAGAAACAGAAACACGAATCCTCTTCATACATGTACAACGCCTAAGGTTTCCCCTTGTTGGGACATGCCAGAGGCCCTAACGATGCAAGATCCAACGGGTCTATGTGCCTAGGAGGCGAAGCTGATGGATTGGAGAACTGAGTTCCCACTGAGAATAAATCAATCGACGTCCCGCCCTTGTTGGTGTGAAGGGAAGATGTGCTCATCACAGACGTGTTTGTATTGTGAGGTGCTGTCAAGTCTGATGTGGAAGGAGGTAGCTTGGCTTGGATGTGTTCAAGTAGTTGCATCACACTCTTCTTCTTCGCATCTTGACTCTGATGAAGCGTGAAGGGGTCTTCAGCGGCTGATTGGGATAGCCAATGGTGAATCTGAGGAGGGTCTTTGTGGTCATGGCCTGGGTGCTGCGTAAATGGTTTTCCAGACATGGCTGCGACGAGGGCTGCTTTCAAGTGCAGCAGGTATAAGATGGAGAAACGACAAGCAAGATTTATTTAGAATAGGGAAAGAAATCAAAAGAAGAAGAGGGCTGGATGGAGCAATGGAAGTGAGCATATTGTGTTTGGATTGCCAGGGCGTGGAATATATTTATACAACATGGCGACAAGAGCTGTAGGTAATATTTGGGAGAAGGAAGAAGGCAGACACTGGCCAGTATGTGCTGTTGGTGGTCTGCACCGTATGGACCTGGCCGAGCCACCCTGGACGCGGTGATCAGACAAGCCGGTAAGTCTGGTATCTGGGTACGTACCTATTTAGGTGGGTGGATGGCTTTTGGATCCGTCCCGTGTGGGAGCCCCAGTTTGCAGGAGAAACAGCCAATCAGGGTATCCCATGAAGTCAGCTACATACCAAGAGGGAAAAGCCTGGGCTGGATGTAATGGAGAAGGTGGGCGCCTTCCTGCCTGAGATGTGAAATAACTAATACATCCCCCCACCTGGGCTGGACACGCCGGCCTGGTAAGAGAGCAATACGGCCCCAAGTATTGGTACTAACAGCCTGCGCCGCCAATGCAGCTGGTCTCCAGCTAGATGCTAGGATATGAGGGACGCTCTGACCTTGATCCCTGCTCCCGTTTGCCGTGCTTTTTTTTTTTTTGCCCTTCAGCTGCATATCAAGGGGCTGATTGGCGGGAACGACGAAGCTGACATGGGATCTCTTGGTCGCTGCTGCTCGGTAGTTCCTCGGACAGCGTAAAATTCATGATCTTTGGTTAACACACCTGTACGTACCAAAATAATGCACCGCTCGTCATGGATGGGTCGCATTACACACAGTTGAGCCCTGGCCATGTGTGCATTGGAACAGCCCGGCAAGTGCACCAGCACAGCTCGATCCGACTTACGTACGTCGCTTCATGGTTTTTCTTCTGTATTGAATTCACTTCCCCCGTACACATGTTCTCCTCAATGCATCTGTCGGGGCGAGCCTTGGTGCAGTTACGCAACATGGTCATCCGTTTCGCGGAGAGCTAGGCTGCTGTAACCTAAAGTCCCTGCGACATGAAGGTAATTGGCAGCGAACTGGTTCAGCAACGTGGCGTAGCCAGATCGGTGACACTAATGCGAGACTGAACGAAGTCGTACTACTTCGTACCTACGTACGACAGCGCCAAGAGGGGCCTGTTGCCAAGTAGGCCCTGTCCAGCTCAGCCAATAAAAAGCCCCGAAAGCGGTTTTGCGCAACAAAGTGTGGGGCTGACTTGTCCGACAGAGATCGGGCCCGCCAGAATATCAGCTTGGGAGCGGAGCGCCCGGAGTGCCCATTCTCCCGCGCCGTGCAGGACGAAATCATACACTGTACATAGCATGACGCCATTCCACGACCCTTTATCAATTTGTAGGTGCTATCTGAACCTTTGCGCTTACACGTATTTGAGGTGCGCTTAGATTTATTGGCTTTCCTACGCGCGATCGGGATACTAGCACTTCTCGGTGATCAACAATTATAACAGAATAACACTGCCTACTGCCTCTAAGTATTTGTACTTATCCCACTCATTCTAATCGGGAGTTTGCAAAAATAAAAAGTGAGAGCTGAGATGTCCCTGACGGCAATTACCAACTGAGCTACCCTATACCTTTAGAGCAATACAGTAATTGAAGAGAACTCGGAAATCCCACAACTGCGACTCGCTGTTTTAATTGATCTTTAAACAGTCTCGGAATTCACCTTCTGATCTACTTAAGGGACTCATCGAGATCTAGAATCTGTAACACTAGCTGACAATGACAACAGGCTTGGTGAGCTCAACCTAGAAAATGCTGGCCTAAAATGGTATTCCTTTGCTACATTAGAGAAGGAAGCAGAAAACATACATATAGAATGAAAAAAAAAAAGAACCATATTCTGAACATTAAAGAGGGAAAAGGGAAGCATCAGGTTTGATTCTGGAACTTGAAGTGCCTATGCCGCACAACTTGTTACGATCAACGAGCTAGAATAATGCACGGGAGTTGGGTTCTGGTGTATATTAAAACTCTCTTTGGGATGTACCTAACTGTATCGCTTAGTCATAGGGGAAATGTTGTTTCGCATAACTGACTACCAGTAGGAGTATTGGATGGCTTAATTCGCCGCTCAGATAATGCTGAAATTTCTGTCCAGATCCAAGAAGCCCGAGTGATAATGCTTTCGTTTGATTTACGAGTGCGCAAATTGAAATGCTCTATGCAACTCAATGGAAATATTACTTGGACACTATACTCAGAATCGTCTGCCATCGTGTCATCTGTGAATCTGTCTGAGTAGTCAATCTGATTGCCCCTGAGATAGCTGAGTTTCAAAGCGCTATAAAGAAGCTTAACTATGCTTATCTTAAAATTCAGCCGCACTGCTAAAAGTCCAGAGCTCCACTATAGAATTCACATCATCCAATTCGAAACAACCACGTACTGTGATTACTATCAGCCAAGCCAATATAGTCTACCTTAGCGTTTACTAACGTGGCACAGCTGCATGATATAGCTTTATGATAATAGCGAATGGTCAGGTAAGGGTACCTGGTAAATAGTCAAAATAAATATAAGTAAGAGCCCGGGCCTGAAGTCTGGTGGAAGACAAGGCTAATCTGAGATATTAATTGATGCTACGCAAGCTATATACGCAATGATTTTTAGTTGGAATGCGTCCGACTTCCCTGGCGATAATTATTACTACTATATATACAGCAATCATTCCATTATCTATATCAATGGCTCTATTTCGGAGCCTAACTGGGTCTGTAATGCAAGCTTCCCTGCAGACGCTGACATCGCAGGAATAGGTGTGAGTATTTTGTTGTTAGCTATTCAATCAAGCAGCTCCAAGCTGATTAATGAATGAAGGTAATCATAGGCTTCGTTTCAACTGCATGGTACACATGCGCTATCGCCAGTATCGCGCAATTCTGTATCTTCCTCAAGCAAATCTGGGCGTTTCTTGAACCTCGGAACCCCAATACCATGATCCATTGGCCTCTCCTTCAAAAAGTTCAATGGAAATTATCATCTCGAGTTCACGCAACCTCTTTTCTTTCAATTGAGAACTTTCTCCGACAGGATCGCAGTCGCGTTTTAAGATTTGCTCAGATATTGCTGGACTCCTTGTGCGACATCCAAATTGTCACCAGCACGGCAATTCTTATTGCAGCCCTAGTTCAAATACGGTCAATATCCTTTTACCACGAAGAATTCGTCTTTACCTACTATTCCCTGACATTGAACTCGTTCTGGGCCGCTCGTGCTGGTTATATGGACATTTCTGCCAACGGCAGCCCTTGGTACATCCGTGTGAGGACTTTGGCCATATTCTGCAGCGTTGTTACCGCGGCCTTTTTCGGCGGCTATATTGCCCTGCGTGAGAGGAGTGGCTGGGATCCATTCTCTAGCGGACGCTGCTTTCTCAGCCACGATAGTTCTACCTACGGAACAAGGTGGCTTTGGGTTGTAGGGCTTATCTCTTATGGTATATATCTGCTCTTCTTCCTCTCAAGCGTGAGGGATCGCGATCGAGGTTGGATCCAAAAAGCATCTGACACGTTCAAAGTGAACAGACAACATCTACAAATATGGTATCGAAACAGATGCATCAGTGTGCCAATCGAGATATATAGTCAATATCATTGGGTTATTGGCTATCTGGTGGAGCTCTTCTGTTACATACCTATTATTATCGCATGGCTTTTCTTTCAGTTTCTGGCATTCTGGTCGTTTGGAGACCAGGAGTCGCTACTAGTCGTATTGGTGTATATTGGGTTTGCCTGCTGGAACACTTTCAATCTCATCGATTTCAAGGTGTCCAATGCAGCGTTACTTGAAGGCTCAGAATTTGGCTGGGGTTTTGGTCAAGTTATGCCCATCTGCTTACTGGTCTTGATATTATTTAGCACCTATGATGCAGCGGAAAGTAAGTCTACTTTTGGAATCCTAGGAATATGCTTTGACGCTTTTCATACTGATTCCGTATAGAAGCTCGCCCGCTAGTTTAGACTACAGGATCCCGCTTAGTCCGTATAGTAATACATAGCTTAGACTATACCAGGGTATAATAATAGCTATACTTATAGCACGGCGGTAATATACCTTCTGCTTAATACTGGGTAGGGTTTAAAAAACTGTTACTAGTAGTAACTATAACCCAGGACTAAGACCTAAGAGTTAGTATAGGATATATAGGATATCCTAAAAACGAAACATAGGAAAAGATAGTAGGATAAAGCGAGGTATTCATATATATGTATATGAATCCCGGTATATGGCGCTGCTTGTGTTTCGCCCCTCTTTTATGACAATCCGTGATGATAGCCGCCATTGGCCTCGGTTGTTCACGCAGGGACCCTAGACTACTTCGTCATCTGTTCCGATTGGTCAAAGTACTCGAGAGCTGAACTTGTGTGCCACTCTGCCGATGAGAAGGATGTGGGCGTGTAGATTCTCGACTCCCTGTCTTATACTAAAGGCATCTCTTGGTGACTCCAGCACCCCACCTACCTCGCCCAGAAAGAGGGGTAGATGGCTGTGGGATCCCTACATGAGTTCCATAAGCTTTTGGATTTTCCTATGCGGGACCAGAATCAGGTAGGACTTGGTGATTTATTAGCCTCTTGCGTTATGGTTGTAGCTGTAGAACCTAGGAACCAGACAGGTGATGAAATGATTGCACCTCAAGGTTCCCTCTTGCCAAACTTAATTGTGAATGGAGACTAGAAAATTTATTCGAGTTTTTTTTGTCTTGTGTTATTTTAAAAACTAGACAGCCTATGGCTTGTTTGGTTTGGAATATGACTAGGCTTTGGGCAATGTTTCTGCTAAGAAACCTAGTTCCGAATACATTCCCATAAACACATTTGAAGTTAAACCAGCGCTGGTCACAGAGTGGAAATGAATAACACTCCGTTCATCGGCTTCGATGGAGGTCTTCTTTGAGGACATATTGGCGTTTTTGGGGAAGAACAATTTATTGAAGACTGAGAGAGAACTTTGTGGCGAAGTATGCCGATCAGCCTCGTCCATTATCCCTACCTCGTGACAATTACAAGATGCAAGCTTGTTTGCGGAGATAAGATGCTTATTGTTAAGCATACCCTCAATACCCGCAGCCAAGTTCAGTCTATCCATCCACTCCTCCACGCCTGGTGTCATTGACAAAGCTTCTAACGAGCTATGATGCAACTATCATAATTCATTCTGTTTATCCCATGTTTCTACATTATTCAGCGAGATTAGTTTGTTCTGCAAGTGCTGTAGGCATATGAGCCTTCATAGATGTCTTCTAGCCTTTTGGGTCGTATGCCGCGGCTTAGACCGGGAATTTCACGCTTTGTTGCTGGATGGAAGTTAAATGACGGATAAAATAGAATGAAGAATTCTCGAAATCCGGAACTTAAGAGGGGCTGTGTAATATAAGACGATACGCGCTCTATAAATCCGGGAATCGTATTGGTAATCGCATGAAGAATGGTAGCTCCTATCCCTAGGTCTAGAATACTGACTGAATGGGAAAGTTGCATCATCTTCGTTCTATATTATTGAATAGTTCTATATAACAATCCTACCTAACATTTCTGGGCAATAATAACATGAGATGCCCTCGGAGCTTATCGATCGGTGCCTAACACCTCATCCAAGGACGAAAGAGCAGGCTTTCCATGATGCATTTTAGTCGACTTTCCTCTTCTAGCCCAATGCGAGGCACCTTTGTCAAAGCTCACACGCCATTCTCATTTGGCAGCTCGGCTGTCGAGCACTGGCTGATCGGCACAACCCCTGGCACCTGAGCTGGTAGGGACGGCAAGGTCCAATCATGCCGGCAATTGATATCAGTAACCTACAGCGGGGTTATTTCACCTTGGACGTAGGCAGAATCTAGAACGCCACCAGTTGCCTGCTCAGGCGCTGTGTATAGCACCCCGATGAGGCAGGTGATCACCCTGACCCTTTGAGAGTGCTACGTAATCCCGGGGGCTCTTCTCTTACAGCGTTGCATGTCAAGCTTGATTGGAACAAGACTGGATGTCACCTAACGAGTAAAGTTGAGCAAGCGATGCACTTTTGATCAGCCGATACATGAAGGTTCACTTGTGTTCTGAGTGAATACAACGCTATGAGATATTTGTTGGGCGAGAGTTACAAGCTGGGAGATTTGCATAAGCGAGGAAGCATCGGGGTTTCGAAAATGATGCCTTGGGTCGCGACTCGTCACTGGCTTTTTGCTGCGGGGGAAATACATACTTAAAGAGGAGCCTCGCATTGGTTTACCAGTTTGCTTTCCCCTCTCTTCATCCCCCTCATTCATCTCTCTTCTATCACCTTTGGTTGGCAATCCCCAATCATGAAGTTTCTGTCAATCATCACGGCATTGTTGCCACTCGCAACTGCTAAAGTCACCTACGAGGGATGGAAAATCTTTCGCGTTGAGACTGAGGGCGCCTATGAGGCGATTGAGCCCGCCCTCACGGACATCGGTACTCTCCTCAACATTGACAAGGGATATAGTGCTGTCACTGTAGCTGTAGCTCCGGAGAAGTTTGGTGCCTTTGAGGCTCTCGGCCTGACCACCACCGTTCTAACTGAAAACTTGGCTGCCGACCTCGAGGTTGAGACTCATGAGCCCTATGAAGGTCAGTATTCGGATTTCTTTCTATTTTGATATTTCTGCATTTAATCAACAAATCAAGCCAACTGTTTCAAAATGATAGACTGACATTTTATTTTATTTCATAGCTACTGTCAAGACTGATGATTTGGAGGCTGCTGCCCTCCCATCCATTACTTACTTTAACGCCTACCATACGCTTGCCGAACACAACCAGTTCCTTGTTGATCTCCAGGCTGCCTTCCCAAGTAACTCGGCAATTTACTCCGTCGGTAACTCCTTTGAGGGTCGTGCCATCCAGGGTATTCATCTTTGGGGTACGGGCGGCTCAGGTTCCAAACCAGCTATTGTCTGGCACGGGAATGTTCATGCTCGTGAATGGATCACTGGCGTGGTATGTTTTCTGTTTTTCTCCACTGATTTTCGGGCCTTTGGAGTGTTTTTTTTTCGCTAACATCATGAAATACAGACTGTCGAGTATTTGGCATACAAGATCGTTGAGCAATATCTTGCTGGCGATTCTACCGTCGTGACTGCCCTCAACAACTATGACTTTTACATCACCCCTATTGTCAACCCTGACGGTATGTTAGCTCGCGAATCGTACATTTGAATATCGGGTAGCTGATACTTCTACAGGCTTCGTCTACACAAGCACGGAACGTCTCTGGAGAAAGAACCGCCAAACACGTAGCGGCGTATCTTGCGTGGGCACCGACATCAACCGAAACTGGCCTTACCAGTGGACCGGCTCCGGCTCCTCCTCCTCCGCCTGCTCCGAGGTCTATCGCGGCGCTGCGCAGGGTGATACTCCTGAGAACAAAGCCCTTCTCGCCCAGCTCGTGTCCCTCAACAACGCTCGGGGTGTCAAATTTTACCTGGACTGGCACTCATACAGCCAGCTCGTATTACTGCCTTACGGTTACAGCTGCAGCGCCACTGCCCCTAACCACTCGACGCAAATGGCCGCTGCGTCAGGCGTGGCTTCCGCTATCAGGGCCGTGAACGGGCTCACATTTACGTACGGACCGACTTGCTCAACCATTTACCAGGTTAACGGCGGTAGCTTGGATTATGTGTCGGCAGTACTGGGTGCGGACTTTTCTTGGTCGATTGAGATGAGGCCTTCGTCTTCCAGCAGCAATGGTTTCGTTATCCCGGCCTCGAACATTGTTCCCTCTGGAAATGAACAGTGGGCTGGTATGAAGTATATGTTCACCCAGCTGTAGAGCAGTTGAAGTACTTCATAAGTATTGCTCTATGAATACACAATTCAATGAAACAAGTAAATTTCGATTGGAATGTAGTAGGATCACTGTGGGCATCGTATTGAATGTTGACTTTGTTTCCCTGTGACTTACTTTTTTACTTGGCCCACCAACAATGTTACAGTTACAGGACCTTAGATCATCCTTCTGCATAATAACCCCTCACTCGAATTCCACCCATGGAAATAGGCTGATCAGGGTGGCTGTGCAGAGTGGCTGTGCATTAGACATATATGACCTGATCAACTCTCTGTTTGTGAAGCAACAAACTGTGGCGTCGAAAACATGGCTGAAGCTCTAGGTCTCGCCTCTGGCATCGCCGGACTGCTTTCTCTGGCTATTGAAGTCACCAAATTGAGCTACCGATACATCCACGACGTTCGGTCAGCCAAGAGCACGCAGAAGCAGTATCTCAGAGAAATCGCTGCTTTAACTGAAGTTCTCCTGCGCATCGAGGAGGCAGCTCAGGCCATCGAGGCCCAGGGCACACCAGCCACATTATTGCTGACCAACGACGCAATTCAGGGATGCGAGAGTGAGCTACAGCAGCTGCGCGCCCAGTTGGAGAAGCCTCTCCCAGGCTTACTTTGGCCCTTTAAGGATAAGGCGATTACAAGTCACATTGAAGAGCTCCACCGGTTCCGCAGCATATTCTCCAGCTCTCTCTCCGCGCAAACGCTGATCACGGTATCCGCAACACAGCGGGAGGTGGCACGTCTTGGGCAACACCAAGATCTTCATGAACTGCTTGACTGGATTGGGAAACCGAATGACTCGTCCGCGATTGATCGAACTCCCCTGGAAGGAACGGGAAAGTGGTTTCTTGAGTCTGAAGAATACTCGTATTGGAGTAGGGGTGGCTGTTGTCAACAGTCTAGTCAGTTCTGGTGCCACGGCCCGCCTGGCGTGGGAAAATCCATGGTGGCCAAGGTGGCATTACAGGATCTGCGAACACGGCTGAAGGATGACAAGTCAGTTTGCGTCGTTGATTACTTTTGCGAGTTTTCGAACAGAAAGCGGCAGAAGAAGGATTCGATTTGGCGAGATGTTCTGTTCCAGATTGCAGTCCAAAACCGGCCTGTCGTTACCGAAACCCTCCTCAGCTGCCGGTCAAAGTCAAGCAGCACAAGACACGCCAAGAATGACGAATTAGCAGAGGCACTGTACGAAGTGTGTAGATCAGTGAACGTTGTTATTGTCATGGATGGGCCCGATGAGTTGGAAAACCCGAAAGATCTTGGACCCATATTGGATCCCTTTCTGAAGTCCTACAGTAGAATTTTCATTTCGGGTAGGGAATTACCAGAGATAAGAGACGCCCTTCACCCAATAAGGACATTGCAGATTGAACAAACAGACGAGAATGATTTGAGGGCGTATGTGTCGTGTCAGTTTGAAGCAAACGATATGGATGACTTGTTGGAGGATCATCCAGACTTGGAAACGGAGATTATCGAGAAGTCAAATGGAGTGTAAGCCAACTGCTGTTTCAGTTTTCAGAGGTCATTTTTTAACAATCATGCAGTTTCCTTCTGGGCCAGGTATTAGTCAACGAGCTCGTGCAATTGAACACCGTCAAGGAGATGAGAAGAGCTCTGAAGTCATCACCAGCACACCTTGATCAAGCATTCGAAGCTACTTTGAAACGAATTGACTCTCAATCCAAGTCGCGCATTTCCCTGGCTCACAGGGTGCTTGGCTGGATTTCATGTGCCGATAGAAATCTCACGGTATCAGAACTGCTTCATGGTCTTGTGACAGAGGACGGCGAGGAGGAAATCGACATAGAAAATCTTGTTTCGATAAAGACAATTCTGAAAGTGTGCGGCGGGCTTGTCATAGCGAGTGCTAAAAACGACAAGGTCGCCATGGTGCATAGCACTGTCCACGAATGGTTCCAAAACCGGGAAGGGGTCAAATGGCATGAAGATATCGCCAGGTCATCTCTTCGATACCTCACTTTAAAAGTCTTATCTGCTGGTCCTGCAACCAGTGCTGACGAGTTGGAGGTTCGTATGAACCATCTGCCATTTCTTCGATACGCGGCGCAGAATTGGCGCAACCACATCTTGAACGACGAAGTACTGAACGGTCTGACCAGTGCCGTCGACGTCTTCTTAGGAGATTACAATCTGTGTTCTGCTGCATTCCAAGTCAGCAACTTTCAAGGCCAACTTAAGGACTTGGCGGTCCGTTCGGCGACTTTTGACACAATTCCCACTGGCCACAATGCATTGCACTTCGCTGCGTATTGGAATCTAGGAGACAAGACGAGTCAACTACTAGATGCAGGGCATGATTTGAATGCAAGAGACTCCCAGAACTGGACTCCGCTTCATTGGGCATGTTTTTCGCGCAGTCAACAGACTGTCCAGGTTCTGTTTCTTCGGGGTGCTGATACTGGGGCCAAGGACTCAGTGGGCTGGACGCCTTTATTTTGGGCTGCATTACAAGGCGATACGAACTCAGTTGAACTTCTGCTGCAACACCAGTCAGATCACATGGTCCGAGATGTCCATGGCTGGACGGTGCTACGATGGGCAGCTGCAAGACGGCAGACGAAGGTGATTGAGATGTTGGTCAATCATTACCGGCAAACACACTGCCGGCCAGATGGCTCTACGCCCAATGGCTCAGAGTCCAAGACCACTACCAATGATGAAAGTGATGATGATACAGATGATATTCGAAGAGACCTGATCAAGGGCCTACGTGACGGCACGACACACCTACAGGACCAACCAGGAGCAGATTTTGTTGACCTCTACCACGTGTTTTTCGATGAAAAACTGGACATGGAGGAATTCTGGAGCAGCGACTACTTTGATCCTCCGGTGGGAAATGCCTGGCGCACAATGTCCAAGATGGAGAGGTTGTTCCAGCCTTCCCAGGATATCAGAGAGGCTGCCTTTCGATTCCAGAGGCGTGATTATCTGGGTGACGAAAGAAGAGGTTGGTCATCGGGTTTGATCCACGCCGCAGTCCGCGGCTAGGACTCGGTGGCTGTCAAGCTGCTTCTTGAACTGGGCGTTGATATCAATGGGGACAACCTTCGAACGCCGTTGCACACTGCCATGTTCCACGCAGACTCGACCATGGCAGAGCTTCTGCTCGAGAATGGAGCTGATATAGAAGCGCATGATTACGAGCACATCACACCACTTCAGCAAGCTGTTATAAACGGATTTGTGGAGCCGGCGAGGCTTTTATTGTCTATGGGTGCTGATGTAAATGCTGCCTATACTTTTGAAAAACCAGGCTCTCACCGTCGCCAAAATAGCCCTGCTATCAGGACACCCTTTATGCTAGCTTGCGGACTAGTGGAAAATAGAGAGATTTGCCTAGAGATGGTCAAATTGCTCCTTGACCATGGAGCGAGTGTTCATATCAATGATAAAGACAAAGGTCTCGCCGGTATGCCAGTTTTGCACTACGCCGCGAGCTCGCATTTTCCGGACATTCTAGACGCCGTTATTGATGCCGGTGCTGATATCATGGCAACAGATAATTACGGTCGAACCTCTTTTCATCATTGGGTACTTGGTTACAGGCAACATGGGGTGTTATGCGACCTGAGATACGAGGGCGCGTATTCTACACCTCCAAGCGCAGCAGCCAGCTGTTTGAGAATTCTAGTTTCAAAAGGCGGCTGTGAACATATGAACAAAACCGCAAAGTGGAAGCACGAATTTCAAATCAAATTGCAACACGAAACTGAACCAAGGTATTCGACCTTCATTAGCCAGGAGAGAACTTACTCGCCCTTAGCTCTCGCTCTGATTGAAAACGATAAGGAATTGTTTGATGAGCTGCATCGACTCGGCGCTGAGTTCGAGACAGATGCGCCTTTGGTTGTATGCCTTTCGAAGGCGGTTGAAATGATGAGCCCGGACGCCATTGAATATCTCCTTGCGAACGGAGCCACCTTTCCAGTGCCATGCATCAACGAATTTGCGGACCTTGACAAGATTCTGCTGTATCATTGCGCTTGATCTGGAAGCCTAGAATATCTAGAAAAGATGCTCAAACTTCTAATACCGCATGACCTTGACATAAATCAAGAATTCTCTAGGTATGGGTGGTCGAGCGACAGGCGAACCCTACTCTGGTGGGCGGTGTTGAATAGCTCAGTTGGCGCTGTCGAGGTGCTGACTAGACTGGGTGCAGATCCGTTCAATGGGGATGTTGAACAACTGGACTGTTTTTTGATTGCTTTCGTCGAAGAGAAGTTTGAAAATCTACGCTTCCTGTTAGAGTTCTCGGAAGCACATCCTCGTGCGGATCACTGGACGCAGCATTTAGATCACTCCAAGCTGGCGGGGGACTGGGAGATGCTGGTGGAGGTATGCCAGGCTTTGAAGAAAAAGGGGACTTTGAGAGACGTTGGAAAATCTCTACTCTCGAGAGCTTCAAAATCCGGGCACGCACTTGTCATAGGGGCACTGCTGCAGGTGGGAGTTGATACTGAGGCTGGCGACCGGGCCATGGCTATCGATGCTGCCAATTATAGCGATGAAGCTCTGAATAAGGGACTTCCGGACTTTGGAGTTGACGCCCTGTCACGGCGTCCTCTTCTTGATTTGGGCAGTGACCATGTAGTATCCTGAATCGTCCATGCATTCCTTGATTTGATGATCGACAAATGGGGCTCGTTATATATTGGAATTAAAGGATTCAGTCCCCAAATATGGTTACGTACTATCCACATCTCCCTTTCAATATTATTGAGGGGGCTCGCCCTTAGCCTGGGCCTCTTTGACAAGAGCCTCATATTGAGCAAGTTTCGCCTGGTAGATGGTATCAAGCTCGTTGGAGCGTTTACCAGGGCTCGCATCATCCCCCCCAAATGCACGAACGGCAGCATAGTAAACCTCGGCAAGAGCATCACAGGCAAACTTTGGTTTTTCACTTTTACACAAGTATTTCAGGCTGTAACACGTTAGAATAAAGGGTCCATACTGCTGGCATGCTCAAAACAAAAATAAAACCGGGCGACGTACTCAGACAGGAAGTTGTCGTCGATTTTCTTCTTCCCACTTTCGGTGAAACGACTCTGGTCACGGTAGTTCTTGTAGCCAAAGTCATGGCGATGGCAAGCAGGCTGATGTAGAGTTCAGTCAGACAATTACCCCCAGATTGACCAAGCACAGTTACAGTGCTGTCAACAAAAATAGAAGCCCCCTTAAGTGGGCGGGTGGAGTTGAAGGCCAAGAATACTTACCAGAAAGTCGAATCCGAGCGGGTTATCTGGGGACTTTGTGCAGCCGTCCGTGGTCCAGTCCAGAGAGGCCGGATCTTTCGCTGAGTGTTTCGCTGAGAAAGCGGGCAGTGATATGCTGAAGAGGTATTCGTCGGTGGTGGCAATATCGCTGCTGTTTGATCGCCTGGCAGGCATGCTGAAAACGCCAGCGGCAAAGGTAAGGACAGTGTAGAACTTCATTGTAGGCAGAGTGACACAGCACGGAACGAGACGGGCTGGGATGTGATAGCACGGGACGCGGCGAGTGTTGAACCGAGGGATGCCAAAGGCGAGTCGTAGGACTTAAGTACGTGGCGTGTTCGCTCTTATCCATTCCATGATATTACCTATTCCTGGAATATTCTCCATGTACTGTCTCAGCCTGATGACTGCAACCTGAGGATGAGCTTGGGTCACCTTAATCCCCTGCAAGCCTAAACTCAGACAGGAAGCTCTGCGGGTGGTGGAGATCTCTAAGCGCTGACGTTCCAATTCTTTCACCTAAAGCAGAAGGGATGTGTAATGGGCAATTGACCATTTAGGAGGCCACAAGGCGCTTCTGGTATTTCTTCCTTCTTCAGTGGAAGCGCCGATCACTGAGCTGGAGCTCACGCCAGCACAAGTGAAACTGAAGACACATGGGATAGACACGTAAGAGAGTTTGAGTCGAAAGTTTAACAATAGAAGATGCCAGACCCGACAACTTAACACAATAAATACGAAAGGTTAATAATAATAAAAAAGCTTCGCTAGCCCGGGGCTGCAGTCATGCGGAAGAAAATTCTATAAACCTTCCTACCGATGAAGGGGATGGACACAAATCGTTTTTTTCAGTTTGCTCTGCTGTTCGGCGGGCAGCTGTGTCAGCTGTGTGAGACGTTTCAGACCCCGACTCATTGTTACGTTCGTCTCCGCTGGAAACAGGCAAGCTGACATACTGCAGCAACCTCCGAAACAAGATAGATAACCTACAAATAGCATCTCCATCACCCTTCTCTTCTTCATCTTCTGCAACTACATTGACGGCACGGCTAGCTGTGCGGCAAATAGATTGCGCCTCGGCTCCTTCACATAAGGAATGGCGGAGCGACTTAGCAGTTATTTATTTATTTCGTGAATTCACAACCACTGAGTGGTCACGGCGCCACGAGGGCTTCACGTTGGCGCTGGCAATGCCCAAAAACGATGAAAGAACTCTTTGTTTCTCTTCTCTGTTACTGAAGCAGCTAGTTTTTATCGGCGAGTGTTTCATTTAGGAGTTCAAGTAGGCATATGTGGTATTACAAGTTGAGGAGATGAGCCTATTCTATTCTACATGTCACAAATTGAGGAAGGTATCGTGATGTTGTTACAGGTCGTCATACAAGCTCATAAAATCCGGTCGTGATCCACCATATTGTTGCTGTTAGTCTCATCGTTTTCCCCATCCGATCCCCGTAGAGCTCGCCTGAAATAGAGCTTGCTCCCTTCATAGCAGCCAATATACATGGCGCCTCCAATGGTTGCCGTCAGGAACGTCAGCACGGCTCCTCTGAACAGACCTCGCAGGCCATCCACTCGCAATGTTTCCCTAGCGACACTCAAGAAGTTGATACGTGACGGAGTCTGCCACACCCTCGGGGCCTCCAGATGCTTTGTGCTCGGCGCTGCAGAAGTACTGCCTCCGCTGACTGACAGCCGCATCCTGGTCTTGATCACGTCAATAGGCACCAGAAGAGCAGATGTGCATCCAGCTGCCACGCCTGCGCTCATCGCGGCGACCTTGACCTGCCCTGTGATGCTGGCCGCCGCCTCTGGATCCTTCTCACGCAGTCTCTCTAGCCATGTCGATTTCAGATACTCGTAGGTACCCATGGTTATGCAGGTGCCGGGCAGATGTGCCGCCACCATCATCGAATACCCCGTCCACAGCTTCGTCGGGTGTGCAGCGAAGCGCTTCATCACAGTCATGGTATGGCCCCCAAGAGCAGATGACTTCTCTCTTGGCAGACTAGCCGTGGAAACTTGAGCATTCTGCTTGAGCACCTCGGCGGGATTCATAATTGCACACGACACAATCTCCCCAATTGCGCTGCTGGCGACGTGGACCAGAGGCTGCGGCACATCGCGAAGATGGCCAGTTCTATGCGCCCACTCAAACCCGGCCTTTAGCTGCTCGTAGACGACCCAGAAGGCAGCCGATGCAGGAATCCCGGTGATGAGCGTCGGCCCAAAGCCCTGATAGAGCCCACGGAAGAGGACATTGCTCGTCTGGTACTGCAATGCATACGTCGGGGATTGCATGCGGGTGATTAGGGTGTCAATGGGATGCGTGACGACATCAACACTCAGTGCCGCGAGAGCCGAAGCCTGTCAATATGGTCAGTTTGCTGGTCCTTGTACGAACACGACTGTTGCCAACATACAGGCCAGACTTCTATCCCAGGGCCGGATGTCGACGACATGGCTGCTACCGCGAGAGCAGACACACTGGACCTGCCGTGGCCAAGAAACGAAGCGTGTCTATTGCCTCTCTCAGTATTTGAACAAGATATTGCTGATGATGATGATTTTGTCAGCGAATGAGAATTTCCGCATTTGAGTCAGGTCGGGTTTCGGGGTCCGCGGACTCGATACGCGCGTATCCATTCTTGTTAATAATCTAGGTCCCTGAGTCACTCATAGCTTAAAATGCAGATCTACGGAGTACTGTCAAATCGGCTAATTTTCCTTGAATTATTGGTGTCTTATGAGTTAGACAGGAAACATGAAGTGCATATGCATTTACCCCGCTCAGCATATGCCTCGCTTCTCTTTAGCATCACGTCAGCACTTGTACGCAACCCTGCCTCATATCAGTATTACAAGGTTATGCATTGCGAACCTGTTCCCATCCAAGACTACAAAATTATGAAATTTACTTATCTAGACTCAATATCTTGGGGGATGGCATCTATCTGCCTGGTTATCCCGGACGAGGGCCACCAGTTTCAGATGAACTGGGAGATGGAGCTCGCATCATAGGTATGATATTGGCAAGTAAGCCGTCGTATAACTGCTGACCTGCGCTATCCCTTTCACATTTGTCAGACCGTCATTTGCGTATCGCTCCTTTGGTCAATCTTTAATTATAAAAACCCATCACATAACCGCAAGCGACATTCCACAGGATCGACATTTCCACCAAGCAAATGTCATTATGGTGTTATAAGCCTCTTGGTCCACCCGCCTTCTCGTTTTTGATCTGACAATACATCATCCGCGTTTCCGCTGCACTTTGCTGAACGTTTTTTATCCCTCATATTTGGATCTAACAGTAGACACGATGACGACCAAAATGTCGCGCACCATCGTTGAATTCATCCCCTGGGACGCCGAATCGCCGGAGCACATACAGAGGTTGGTTCAGCAGCGAGTAGACTGCGGATGGCATTCTGGGCTAGTTGATGGACCGTGGAAGGAAGCTCAACAAGCAGGTACTAAATGTATTTATTGGATCGTGAGTTCTTCTTGTGAATTCTGAATGGCTATGTTTTGGTCCATTAATGCTTGTAAAGGTACTCTCCAAGGATGACGCAAACTACAGTTCCTTGATTCAAAAACACGTTTCTGCATTTCCACAGGTGAGTTTCTCTTCATAAATTTTGAAACTACATAGTGATTGACCATAACACTTTATAGCAAGGAACCCCGTTACAGGACTCATGCATACGCATTGGCAACATGGATCGTCAACCGACGGGCAAGACCTTCGTTCCTGTCGGCCATGTCTCTCTAGATACCGAATCTCCTGGTATAGAGGAGCTTAATCTTGACATCCCCAATTCGGGCGTCGTTTGGCTCAAAACAGGCTATGTCTCCAGGGCTCTTCAGTCCAGCGGGATCGGACGGGCGACTATGGACGCTCTTGAAGTTACGGCCAAGTCAGAGCCTCTTTTCGCCCAGACTCTGATGCTAGATACACTAAGCAAAGATGATCATAAGAGGGAAGACATTGCAAATTCTTTCTTTGGTGGCAAGATTCCTAAGGTGAGTTTGACACTTCGCTTTCTTGAGGCGATGAAGGTGGAAAAAATATACTAAAGAGGGATCCATAATAGGTTTCAAATGAAGAATGGTTCGGGTCACGGGGATATAAAACGATAAAAACCGTCCCGAACTTTTACAAGGAAAAGGACAGCACAGGTCGACCTGTGGAAGCACGGACTGTCTTTATGAGACTAGATCTCAAAGGAAGCACACCACATCTTTAATTTTTGTGATTTTCTGGTTATACTCGGCCCGCTATCATTTGCACCGGACCAAAAACTGTTATGAAATAAGACAAACTACTGTTCAGACCAATTCTAAGCTTGCATTATACATCACTACAATTGATCGTCACCGATACTTCTACTTCGTACCGCACTGAGACAAACTGACGTCAGTGGCTTCGTGGTACGATTCGATAGGGTCGTTGGAATGTACTTTGGATCGTCTAGCAAATCAAGGGGCCAGCCCGCCATGCATTATCGGGTAACTAGCCAATGACGGAAGTATTTTTACAATGCCTCTTACTGTACCAGGTCTCAGATGTGTAATAAGTATGCCGGTTGGCTATTTAATATCGGTTGTTCCCGAAACATGACAACTCTCTACGGCGATGGACCCTACTCTCTCCATTTCAACTAGGAGTAACCATAACACCGACCAATGTTTAAATTGCACCCGCCAACTTTATCGCCACCTCTTCAATCAAAGATGAAGCAGTACAAACTCTCCAAAGAAGGCAGCTCGGGTGGCTACAGATATGAGCCAGAAAAAGGCGATGCAGATTCTTTCACTGTGGACATCAAACAACGCCCAATCGGCGAAAACCCTTTCATATTCCTGTACCAAGACTCAAGAACGCAGCCAGACCACAAAGACATAATGCTTGCCGCAGGCCGACTTTCAACGTCCTCCAGCTTCAAAATCTACCTCGGAGACCCCAAGTGCTACTTCGAGGAATATGATAAGTCGCTCCCGTGTGAGAAGATGAATATTGAGCGCCCAGAGTCAACGTGGTCTCTTGATTTCGATGAGTTGGATCTTAGGAGGGACTTTATATGGAAGAAGACGAGACGAATTGCCGTCGAAGGGGTAGATAAGCCTTCTCGCCTGTTGGCTCGGAATTGGAAGCTCACTTATGCGAATGACCCCGACGATGTGCTAGCTATTTTCACTGGCGATCTCGGTTTGTCGCGAGGAGGCACCTTGCAGATTAATGTAGACTGGGGCGTCCAGTTTGAACATATGGTGCTTATTACCCTGGTGTGCCAGTTTTCGAAACACAAGCAGACAGCCAGCCGTAGTAGCGGCGCATCTCTTGTTACTCCTCCAGTATAGCATTCTAACATCAATGAGAAAACAAGGGGGAAATTGCTTGAATCATTCTCCTTTTATTCTACGAAAGCCATGGTGGAACTGGTAACCTGACTACGTTGAAAGTGGTGATCTCGGAACAGGACGTAACCACTGCCTCTTCATTCAGATACATGTGGCTATCTGTGGCAGATAGCAAGAGAAGATCTACTACAAAACTTTTAAAATGCTCGTTTCCGATTCCCTTGGCTCTCTAAGATATTATAAGATATTTGCTCTTTATATATCTATCTATCCCATTCTAATCAGTGTGTGCTTCTTTGGTCCACGTCTTTCATAGCCCTTACCAATGGCCTCATTATTCCCACTAATCCCACATCCTCCTCATCAGATGCCTCATTCCAACATTGAACCACTCAGCCAAGGTTTCCATCTCCTCGGCTACATCAGCCTTGGATTTTATCGCAGTATTGCACCTTATGAGCTCAATTTCTTTCCGGTATGCTTGGAAAATGTCCAACGGAAACTCTGGCGAGCTGCCATCTCGAGGAGCGGCAATCCACGTGTAACGCCCACGAACAGCGAGAGCCTCGAAGGCCGCTTTCATCAGCGAGAGCTGTCCCACGGTATCAACAACTACATCCACACCCTTGCCGTCGTTCAACTTCGAGACTTGCTCCTGGATGCTAGCTGCCGCAATTCGTCCGGGAAGGAGGATGTCCGGCTCATCCTCTGGGTTTCGAGACGCTTGGAAGACGCGCTTGCAGCCCATGGCCTTGGCCACCTGGACTGCCGTGGATCCGACCGTGCCTATGAATCTAAGCACTAACACCGTGTCTTCTTTGCCCACACGGCCTCGTTGTAGGCATCACCGCGCCGTGGTGAAAGGGACACCGACGGTGGCTGCTTAGATTTGCGACAAACGGATGGGTTTCCTCACTAGCATTTCCTCGGGGACGAGGCAGTACTCGGCGTGAGGGACATCGATCGTGAATCCAAGTTCCGAGTCGCTAGTTCCGTAGACCTCCCCTCCAACCCAACTGGAAAAGGAAGATGACGGATCAACCTCGACAACGACGCCGGAATAGTCACGCCCAGGTGTGCGTGGGAACGAAGTATATGGGAATAGTCCCTTCGCATTCAGGCGATCAGAAGGCAAAATGGCAGAGAAGTTGACCTTGACGAGGGCAAATCCCGGTTGCGCCCTCGGTTGAGGTTTTATAATAAGCGACAACCTCGGGGCAGCAGCGTTTGCTGGCTTGGTGATCTGAATGGCTCTCATGATCACTTTTCTGCTTGTAGGCAAAAGGTAGGTTTTGTAAGGGGATTTGAGATTTATGAATGCAGATGCCAATGTTCTGGAGGAATCCATGAGGTCAATGAAGCATCGAGAGACCAACCCTTTTATCCATAGGCGGATCATGGCTGATGAAAGAGCTACGCAATGTTATCAAGGTCGGAATCCGATCCGTATCGGGGCCGATCGCATCGGATCGGACAGGATATCCACGGTTAACCCGCACGCTGCCAGTGCTGCTCAAATATTTGCAAATCTCTAGACTTTCATCTTATTCTAGGATCTTTAACAGTCCATTCGACTTAAATTTTGGTAATCTTGGAAGTTTCAGTGTCCAGCGGGGCATGTCATCGAGCAGATATGCCACACAACAACACCAATATGAGCGTCTTAGAAGCCAGCGCGCCAGACAAAACCGACGAACCCAGTCATCGCGAGGAGCCTCCATGATCTTTAATTAGGGAGACACTGTTCGTCAGCGTCCTCTGCTCTTCACAACTCATGACCCAGGCAGGCCTCGCCCTCTCACTGGTGCCCTTACGGATCATCGGTGCCAGCTTCAACACAACAAATGCTGGAGAGCTGGGCTGGTATGCAGCTTCCTACATCCTGACTGTCGGCACATTCATACTCATCGCCGGGCGGCTTGGCGACGTCTTTGGGCACCGACTTGTGTTCATCATTGGCTTTGCCTGGTTCAGCCTATGGTCCCTCCTGGGCGGCATCGCCGTCTGGTCGGATAAAATCTTCTTCGACATATGTCGGGCGATGCAGGGGATCGGCCCGGCATTGCTGCTCCCAAATTCAATCGCCATACTTGGCCGCACGTACCGCCCAGGCCCACGCAAGAACATGATATTCAGCATCTTTGGGGCAACTGCCCCAGGTGGGTTCAGTATCGGTGCAGTCATGGCATCGCTGCTGGCAGAGAGGGTCTAGTGGCTCTGGGCTTATTGGATCATGGCCATAGCATGCGCCTGTTTAGCTCTGATGGGATGGCTCATCTTACCTCGGAGCCCGTCTGACTGGGCCAACGACAAGGACATGTCCATAATGGCTCGGCTCGACATGCCCGGTTCTCTTACGGGCGTGATAGGGCTGATACTGGTGAATTTCGCCTGGAATCTAGGTCCTGTTGTAGGCTGGGATGACCCTTAAGTTTATACTCTCTTGATTGTCGGAGTATTGATGCTGGGAGTATTTGTGTACATCGAGTTCCATTCCACGTCCCCACTACTCCCTCCGTCGATTTTCACAAAAGAGGCAGGCTGGGTGTTGAGCTGTATTGCAACTGGTTGGTCCAGCTTCGGAATTCTGATATTCTATTACTTTCAGTTCCTCGAGGTGATCAAGGGCGACACCCCGTTGCTGGCCTCAGCCAAGTGGTCAGGGGTGTCCGTTTCGGGTGCGATCGCGGCCGTGACGACGGGATATCTGATCTCACGTATCCGGCCCTCGCTCATCATGCTAATGGCGATGGTGGTGTTTACCGTGGGTCAAATCCTCCTGGCGACGTTGCCAGTGAACCAAACATACTGGGCGCAGGCCTTCTTAATCACCGTCATCACACCCTGGGGAACGTAAGTCAAATATTCTATCGTATAGGTTTACGAATAAATTGAATATGGCTAACTCCGTGAGCAGAGACATGTCATTTCCCTCTGGAACCTTGGTTCTAAGTAACTCCTTACCTCGAGAACAACAAGGCGTGGCTGCATCGGTGGTAAACACAGTTGTCAATTATTCCATATCTATCGGACTCGGGCTTGCGGGGACCGTGGAAAGGTATATAGACGTGAGCAGTCAAGATACTTTAGCTGGCTATCGGGCAGCTAGTTATATTGGAACGGGCTTGGCTGGGCTTGGGGTACTAATAGCTAGTCTATATGTCATTCTCGACTGCAGAAAACAAGACAAGTCACCATCATAGATTTTGGTAGATTGCTAGTCTATAGCCAATCCAAGAGCCCTTCAAATATATCATCATTTAGGGGCTGAAGGAAATCTTCCAACTCCCCATTAGCCATACCTTCATCTGGAGCGACTTCCTGATCCGATATTCCCACAACCCCCTGGAGAAGCGATATATCCTGTCTCTTATTCTCTGTGCAGGCTCGAACAAGAGAAAGAGCAATATTTAGTACTTCTTAGATAATTCTAAAGAAGAATCCGAGACAAATTTCCGAGACAAATTCTTGTAAGTCGGTTGGCTAGGTACGTGTGTCTCATAGGCCCAATCATTCTCGATAACGTCACCTCCGACGATTTCTCAATTAAGCAAGAGAGAAACGATTTGTCAGGATTGTATCAGCGGGGTTAGCTTTGGGTCCACGATAGAGCCCGAATGACCCAGCCACCTCAAGGTAGAGCCAGGGCGTTTTTCCGGTGGAGCTTTTATATTACTAAAGAATGACAAAGGCGATGTTGTTTCACATGACCATGCGACACCCAGCTGCATTTACGCCGGCGGAGGCGGTGACCAATCATCATAGAAACCGGATACTGATTCGGACTGTGGAGGAACGCGTCTCCAGTAGTTGAGAATATCACAGAGACCAAGACCCCGGGCGACGCAACATCTCTGTACTTTCTTCACTATCTTACCGCTAACCGCCGCAAGAGAAAGCACCATATGATTATCCCTCATCGTGAAATGAGGCTATATATAGATATATATTAGCCCAAAGCCTCTGAATTCCATACGATGGAGACCAACTCGCCTCAGATATCTATTCCCGAATTATCATATCGCCAAAATTATTATGAATAAGGACTTAATCGACCAGGTATTATCTATGCTATACGAGTATCTAAGCGGTATTGATATTTTGGTAGTAAGTACTAGCTTAGCTAGCCTGGGTTTTGCTATTAAAGCCTACCGCAAGGGGCACAATATTAAGATCCTTGAGCGTAGACACAAACGACTACGGTATGTCTTCCCTTTTGTATGTGTACATAATAGCATTAGGTTGATGATCTTGCAGGAGATTTCATAACTATTCAATCCTCCGCCCTTCGTACCCCCGAAAACTGGCCAGGATTCCTTGAGTACTGCTCAGCCTTCCACTTTAGAAAAGCTGGTACTATCTGTACTTATGATGGAACGGTCCTGGGCACTGTTGAGTATCCTCTTACTATCAGTCGTGCGAAGCAAGTGGCGAGAAAGCCATATGTAGTAAATGAGTAAGTGTTAGGTTGGGAAACGGGAAACTCTAGGAAAGACAAAACCTAGTAGTTGTCTAAAACAAGGGTATAATCTAGATAGAATTTCTTACTAATATCTTGTATTTATATATCAATACAATATATCAAGTAATATCCAGTAAATTACCCCTTACGTTTGGTTGGATCGTTTCTCCAAATGTGGTCCTCAATGTGCTTCTGATCGACTATACCAAGTGGCTGACCAAGAGCTGCTCTCTCAGTCGCTATCTTTCTAAAAGAGGGCCTATCAACCAACATAGAATTCCATTTTGCGTAATGGGGAAATTCCTCAGACGGGTCATATCCTGGGAGCAACTGGGGAACTGTCTCGTTGGTAACCACAAAGACAAGGTCGGCGAAGGTGACCTTGTCGCCGGCGAGATAACTCTTGCCGGTTTTCTTGAGATACTCATCGAGCATTCCAATGGTGCGCTTGATCGTCCATTCATAGCGGTCGACAGCAGACTGGACATGCTCTGGATGTTTGTATAAGAACCATGCATGTTGACTGTAGTACATGTGTTGCTCGGTGGCCTGGAACTGCATCCATGCCAGCTCCAAGTACTTGTCTGGACCTGAGAGGGAGTGCAAGGTGCCAGATGTATCATAGGTATCAAGAAGGTAGAGAATAATAGCGCCTGCCTGTTTTCGATTAGACTTTTAGTCACATACACAGCTAAGACATTTGGCCTACCTCAAAAAGTCTTATCCCGGTGTTAGGATCCTCAATGGCAGGAACCTTCGAGTTCGGGTTGAGAGACTTGAAGGGCTCCGAATTCATTTCCGGGGTTTCAAGGTACTTGCTCTCATAGGGAACATTCAACTCCTCGAGTATAATAGCGACTCGCCATGGGACAGGCCCTCTGGCAGTGGAGTAAAAGATGATAGGTTTGGTAGCAGACATAATGAGTTCCCAACAATGATAATAATTCTAACAATAGGTGATGTTGATTTCGAATGGTATCCAAGAGGGCAGAGATAATACGGACGAGTAGTGAACCGACGCATGAATACTTATACCCCGCCTCCCTCAGTTGGCGATGATCTCGGTACATGCCGATAATAATACTTCTCGGCCATCCTTTGCGAACTCCGGGCACATGAACAATTCCGACGCCGAATCGATATAGGCGAGAATGCTCGGAAGTACAGTAGCGCCTAGCAAAGCAAATTCCAGAGTTAGGTAATAATAAGTAAGCGACAGAACACAAATAGAGCTTGGTGGTTCCATGAGCTTTACGCGTATTGCACGGCTCTCCCCGCTGACTTAGTCCTATTAGGTTAGTCCCCGGCAGAATAGATTTCATCTTCCGCTGACTAAGCGCAAAGCCACTACCTAATTGTATGCTTCATATCCGTACACCACTGGCTTCGGATTTACATCACAGCCCGAAGCTGCGAGGTAGAGATAATGTAGGCCGTCTCTCCGTATTTCCAGTGAAGGCCATATTGACTAAAGTGTGACAAAGCATAGCAAAGGGTTAGTGAGGTTTTAGAACTGGGTCCTTTTACGTTTGGCTGCATATCTGTTTCACAGAGGAGAGAGCCGGCATGATAGTTGTTCGAGGGGCGTGGAATACGGAGAATTACACATCAAGAAGCGTTCGCTAGGAGGTCTTGAAATCGGACCCCGAATAGGTATATAAGTTAAAGTAATCCCCCCTCAGAAACACAAAGCTACATCGCTCGATATCTCACTTACTGCACTCATCACGTTGATACCAAACAATTGCAACTCTTTTACCAATTTCCCAAAGGAATATTCCGTACCGATATCATGACTGTACCTGAGTCTACTACTGATGTGGTAGTCATTGGAGCAGGGCCATCAGGGTAAATCCACCTCGAACGAGATACCTTTGTCTACTAGGGTTTTTTCTCTAACGATTCTGAATGCAGTCTCATGGCAGCCTTGTGGTTAGCGCGGTGCGGTGTGAAAGCACGCATCATCGACACGCGCGCCACAAAGGTGTTTAGAGGCCACGCTGATGGAATGCAGACTGGAACCCTGGACATCTTTGACTCGTTTGGCATTGGAGAAGACCTCTACAAGAACGCCGCCCAGGCGGTGGAGATGACATTCTGGGTTCGTCAAAGTTCCCTTCTGCCAGGTACTTGATCTAACGTGGCGCATATAGGCTGGTGGCAAGGACTTACCCTTGAAGCGCGTCGCTCGCTTTCCAAAGTGGTATCCTGAACTAGGCCAGTACCGTTTGATTCACACTAGCCAAGGTTGGATCCCTTCTCTCTAACTGCGAGGAAGATGTCTAAATATATACAGGCAATACGGAGCGGGCCCTGCTCGATGGCATCAAAGCCTTCAACGGACCCGAGGTTGAACGGGGAGTCACAGCGGCAGCTATTGACATCGACGAATCGAAGATAGGTGATGCTCAGGCTCACGCCATAAAGTTGACGGTTCGGCATCTCACCGAGGAAGAATTGACTGCCTCTTCAAAAAATGATACCGTACCACAGCCTGGGGATTTCAACTACAACCCGGCAGACGAGCCATATCTGAAGCGCAAAGCTTCCGGCAAAGAAGGGACCACTGAAGTTATCCACGCGAAGTTTGTCATTGGCACCGATGGAAGCCGAAGCTGGACTCGCAACGCGTTGGGGTTCGAATTTCTCGGAGATGATGCTGGGGACGAGAGTGTTGCAGGCATCCTGGACTGCGTCGCGACTTCAAACTTTCGTACGCAATTCTTGTTCCAATTCCTTTGCCAATGCTGACATGCGTAAAAGCGGACTTTCATGTTCAAACAATGATCGCCAAAGACGGGCATGGATGTGGATTCGTACCCAGGGAGAATGGGTTGACACGCATTGCAGCCCCTGTCGCCAACAGGGCAGACGCGACTCCAGAATCTATCATCAACTCATTGAAGGAAATCATCTCTCCTTACGAGATCAATGTCACCATGATTGATTGGTACGGAGTATTTGGTACCCGCCACCGAGTCTCAAGCTCTTCTTCCAAGCACTCGCGTGTCTTTCTCGCTGGAGACGCGCTGCATATCCATTCACCCAGAGCCGGGATTGGTATGAACTTCAGCATTCAAGACTGTAAGTGCTATACTCTTGTTGTGTGATACAAAGTCTTGCTAATGATTTCAGCGTACAACCTCGGGTGGAAAATCGCCCATGTTGTCAAGGGAATCTCTCCACTGCATATTCTCAAGACATATGACGAAGAGCGCGGGTTGACAACCAAACAGCTCATTGCTTTCGATAAAGCTCTATCGGAGCAAGCGCCCTTGGGAGGAAACTTTTCGGTCAAGGGAACCCGTCAAGGGCTACAAGACGGTCTTCCATTCACGAGCACCACAGCAATCGAGTACGAGGGTGGACCGTTTGTCGCTAAGGGGGGTAACTCGATTACTTCCAAGCAGCATTTGGCTCCTGGTATAATCGTGGGCAGGCGCATCCCCTCGCAGACGGTCGAGAAGCATGCTAACGGAGAACCGCATGACTTTGGAAAATCCTTTCCTAGTGATGGTCGGTACCGCATTGTTATCTTCGCCGGCGATATATCGCGGCCGGAGCAGCTACGCCGTGTGGAACGTCTGAGCCAGGTGCTCGAGCTCCCTGAAGCCTTTCTCCGACGATTTAACGGACAAGGCATCGCGCAGGATGTGTTTGAAACCCTCGTCCTACACACTGCGAGCAGGGATCAGGTCGAGATCGCTGACCTGCCTGCGTTCCTCTTCAAGAATGCCGATCCTGTGAATCAGGTGTTTGTTGACAACGATGATTCAAAGACCTGGACATTAAGTGAAGCGTATAGCAAGTATGGGATAAACCGAGATAGAGGATGTCTTGTGCTAGTCCGGCCTGATAGGTATACTATGTATATTGGCGAGTTGGAGGATGCTACCGAGCTGATTAAACTGATGTCCTCAGTCTTGATTTGATGCGGAAGCTTATCAATTATAGAAGGACATTTCAATATACGAGATAGATCTTCCAGTTTCGTCGCGTCCCCCGCTTTACCTCTTGCTTCCATGATTGAATGAGTGAAATTCATTCCGCCCGGGAGGACGAAGATCACAGGAGCCGCAACCTGCAAGCGGGTTGCCCAGGAGGAGCCTGGAGGAACGGAATCGAAGATGAAGGTTGGGTGTGGAATATTGTTTTTGCGGATGATTGGAAACTATATATTACGATACAACCTGAACTGGAAACCAGCTTTCTGGTGCCATCCTCAGTCGACTACCAGCCACATCACGCCAATTGTGTCGGGCTGAAACGTGCACCAAAACCTCGCGAAATATGCCCAAGTACTCTAAAACGGGTCCATGGAAGGTTGTGGTGTTAACATGAACCCTCCCGAGAAGCTTACCGATCATAAGATTTTCGTTCAATGTTTTGACGATAGCCCATGGCAGAGGCTACAGACTATCACGAGACATAAACATGGCGATGCGAACAATTTGGTTCCAGTTACTTTGAGAAGGTAGTCGCGGGGCTTAATTACAATCATCCAGTTTCAGCGAGCCTAGTTATCCCCCTATCGAGCGTCTTGAATTTGCCGACCGCTTTCGGCATAAGGCGCTGTCTTTCATAAGGCCGAATGCGATTCCAAGACGCGACAGACCATCCAAGAAGAAATGTTTCAGGTTGGAGCAAGGTGCGAGGCGGAGGTTAGAGGCATGTGTTGTGCGCTATGTAGAACGGGGGAACAAATTCAAAAGTGCGGTCGGTGCAAGGCGGTAGGATACTGTGGAAAAGACCTTCAGAGAGTGGATTGGAAGAGATACAAGAGAGAATGTGTGCGTCAAGACGTAGAAACGGCAGGGGAGAGTCGGGCTGCTTGACCGGGTTGCATTTTGAATAGTAGGAAATACATACGGACTTTGGTAGAAATGCAACTTCCTAGTCTTCTAGATCATACTTCTTTGGGCGATGACGATTGCGATACGGCCTAATCCCACCTTCTTAGCCCGGGAAAGGAGCTAAAGTGATGGAGGACTTGTCAATGTCGGCCATGGTCCATGTAGACGGGGGATTGGCAGAACGTATTTACGCTTTCTCCGGTAATCGATAGACAAGAATAACCATCTTCAGCTTATAGTGGTTGACTCTTGTAGGGAGGCCCTGCGGCACTGGCGCTCTCGAAGCCTTGTCGCCTCTCAGAAAGGGTGGACAGAGTGGCTCGACCATCGCAGCGGAGGGATCGCTTTGAAGCCGGAGTAGAGGATGTTCAGCAGGACTGGTGGATGGTAAGTCCTGTCGAGAAGCGCGAGAGATCACCATTCAAGTACCTCCGCTCTCCTCGGTAGAAAGACGCGCCTGCAGCCGATCAAGGCTTTCGAAGGGCATAGCTTTCCCAACAAACTTGGCGAGAGCAGATGGCATGACCCTCACGCCCCCTCCATCCAATAGCCACCTTGGAGGATTGTGTGCTGCGAGGCCATCAACCTGAGACATGTTATAGCTCCGTAATTCTCTCTTCAAAAGAGCCTATACCTTACTCAAGAGCCCTAAATAACTTGGTAATAGCATAGAGAGTAACAAAGTATCATGTTCGAGGATATCCCTTAGCAGTTGGGCCCTGGCATCAACTGGGCATATCAAAAGGTCGATAGGCTTGCCCCTGAATAAACGCCTGAGATTCATCAACACGAAAATACCGCAACTGGCCCCGTCGTTCTGCCTCACGCATATCTATTTTAATTGAGTTTAGTGAATTATTAAAAAAAAAAACGGTACTGAGAATTAACCTTGTTTCTAAAAGAAACAACATGGGATGAACGGCTCTCTCCTATCCAAGCTTTATGGCGCTCTTTGATCTTTGCAGTGCTCGTCGAAATGGGCAGGGAATCTTAGAAATCGCATTGAATCATACGCTTCGTGATATACAACACACCCATCGTCCAGTGCCCAACATCTAGTGGTAAATTGGAAAGAAGATGACATTTTAATTCTCAAAGTCGCGGAGCTCCTGTAGCAGCGTCTCTTCGTCTGCGTTAAACCAGAGTGAGTCTGTCACGCGAGCGGGCTTGATATGCCTACGGTGCGGCTAGAAGATAGCAAATAAGACTTCCATGATAAACTGTAGGACACTGTCTTTTAGGCTTCGACCTTTCGATTGTAGTTGCTTCAAGACTTTATCAACCGTCCATTACACTACTTCCGTCGATGTAGCTCTCCTCGCGAATGTTTTTTTTAGGGTGGGGTTGGTTGCTATCGCCGTCTGGCTCTGGAGTGAGAGCCTCCTTGATTGAAACAACGGTTTTATAAGGTAATTTGCATTTCCGGGGGGCTGTAACGCATGTTAACAATCCCAAAATATCTGGCAGATCATTGTCACCTCCTCAGTGATATCGTCATCTACTTCATTATCTGGCCCCATTCGTTGAACGAATTTAAAACGAGACTCCGTTATTAGGTTATAATAGTATTAGTAAAGCAGACCTTGATTATACCATGATCGCATCGCTTCTTCTTTGCTACGTTGTGTATAGTCGCCTGCAAGTGCTTATATGGTAGATTTTTAATGTATTTCTTATTCCCTCGCCCTTCTTTCGGGCCTCAGTGCTTAGCCTTGCCTAAAGTATCCCAGATAATCTTACTTTTCCAAGTTTCTCTTTGGACTCTTTTGCTATAGTGTTTATTTTTAGGGGGATAGTAAAGTAGGATCAGATAGCTGAATATCTAATAATACTATCCAGAGCAGATTTTCGCCTCATGTCTTCGAGATAAAGGTGCTTTTGATAGAAGTTAGTAATTCAACTAGACAGGGGGATACTTATCTGAAAATGCTGACAAGGGTAACGATATCGCAGGCACGTCGAGCATGGCAAGAACCAGTCGCATTTGCGTTTACTCCGACGATAGGCAAGACATACAAGGCCCGCCCTGGGCCGCCGAGATGTGCCTAGGCTCGTACTTCTGTTACCGTCTGATGAGGAGCTCATTTTCTCCACCTGGTATGATACGGATATAAGAAGATCTGGCAATGGTTCGGTTGGAAGATGCGGATCGGAGTTGGAGATGAATTCGGAAGTGGACACAAAGGCCACTTAGATGGACGTTTGATTGGCCTGTTTAGGCTGCGTCGGATCCGATCAGAAACTTGGCATTAGAAGTCCAGGGTAGCTAAACAACAAGTGCAAAAGGATCAACAAATACAAAGCCAGACGCTTGAACAATTTTATTGAAAAGTACTGGATTAATTAATATATAAAGCCTTCCCCTTTGGGGTTTAATTTATTCCTCCCCTTCTCCAAGGACAATGAGGCTGCCGGCTGCCTGAGACAAGAGCTGAAAAGACAAGTGGCTATGCTCTTCTGGACGCCTTATGCCGCAGACTAACCGTGACGAGGCAGATTCCTCCAAATGGGCTCACTCCACATCTCCCCTCCCATCTCCATCCTCGACTTGTCCATCATCCCTCGCTCTACCCATGGGGATCGTCGCATGCCTGCAGTCCCGAGATGGATCTGCACCAAGCGTATTATTTTCCCTTGGAGATCTGGGTCAAGATCCTCGAACTAGCCGCGCCTGATTTTTCCGAGTTGCCTCGTGGCCATGAGCGACGCAACTACTTGAGGCTCCGGCTCGTCAATCGTAAGTCATTCATCCGCCTTCAAATCACATCTCATCTCGCGTTTCAGCTGTCGCATTATCCTTCTCTTGAAGTTTCGGCATTTTGCTGACAAGTTTAGGGACTTTCGATCACCAAATCCTTAAAACGCTCTTCCGCAGCACCCATGACACCGCCACGCTGCTTCCAGAGCCAACAACGGAAAAAGCTGTCTCCTTGATGCTACTGCTCAAGAGCAAAACAGACAGCTCAGATCGTGATTCGACGCCTCTCTATCTCCAACAGTGGGCTCGCTTTATGAGCACCCAGAAAGCTTGGCAGTCCGATGCCCCAGATAGTCATTACTCATGGCTTGAGACAGCATGCTCTGCTATTGTGTACGAGCGTGGACCGATGTGGTCGCTCTTGTACCTCGTGCAAGCCAAAAACCAAGCCAGCTATCTCGATTTCGACGTCAATCTCCCGAATAATCTTCTAGACTCTTGTGATCCTGCGACGACCGGAGACTCTGTTCCTCTAAAAGAAGCACACGGCGCGCTTCAGTTAGCCTGCCAACACGGGAATCTCACAGCGGTCAAGGTATTACTCGGCAGCGGAGTCGATCAATCTGCTCGCCACTCTCTCTTTGGTGTCCCTCTATTCAATGCTGTCCGAAGCGGGCATGCGGCGATTGTCCAATGTCTCCTGGATCGCGATCGCAATATTCCGCTTCCACACCGCTACTCGTCGCTGCTGAGACTTGCCCTGGACCTAGGCCACTCTGAAGTCTTTGAAGTGCTTTTGAAGAGGTCCCGTGGTGAAGAAAAACAGTTCATAAACTACTGTTTTTCCAATGCATGCCACCAGGGACAAGTCGACATCGTCCGCACGCTTTACAGATGGTGTGACGGGCAAAACCTCCGACTGAGAAGAAACCCTCTGAGCTGGCTCGGTCGCTTGATGCCTTGGTGGAAGGATGAGGCTTTTTTTCTCAATCCCAACGTACGGTTGCAACATGCTCAAACACCTGTTTCAGAAGCTGTCAGGTCCGGAAACGTTGAAATGGTGCGTATTCTCATTGAGCGGCCGGAGTTTCAGCCTTGCCACGTCTCCGACTACTGCTGTCCATTACACGTTGCGGCGGAATGTGACAATGGAGAACTGGTTACCCTTGTCTTAAATCGTTACAAGAGAGACAGAAAGGACAAATTGGACAGAATATGGCTAACATTCAAAGACGCCTGCGCCAATGGACGCAGCTCAGCAGTGAAGGCCTTCCTCGAATGGCCAACCCTTGATCCCAACCTAAGATCGCACAATAGGAGCTGGTCCCCGATCGCGGAAGTCATTAGACTATCTCATCGCCCTGGCAATTATTTAGAGGTGATAAAACTACTCGTCGGACACGAGAAGCTGGACCCCAATTTCTCCAACATCGGACGGCGGCCGTTGGAACTTGCCATCGATGTCAAGAGCCACCCTATGGCGGAGCTCCTCCTCTCCCGGCCTGATTTGAACCCGAACGTTCATGGAGGTTTATATACACCCCTATCCGAAGCTATTCGAAAGAATATGCATGATACCGTGCGTATCATGCTTGAGCGACCAGACACAGACCCGAATCTACGCAGCGAACACAATCAAGACGGCACGCCACTCATCACGGCGATTCATTGGGGAACGCCCCAGATCGTCGAAGAGCTATTGAAACGGGAGGATCTGGACCCAAACCTCCCCTCGACAGTCTCAAAGCCCGCCAAAACCGCGTTGACTTCTGCAGCCGGATTTGGTGATGAGCAGGTAGTAAAATTATTATTGAGCAGGGACGGAATTGACGTCAACTTATCAACGAGCGAGCATACGCCTTTATCACAAGCAATCATGAGTCGTAAGCTGAAGGTCGTCGAGATGTTGCTCGGTCATCAGCACACAGACCCGAACCGTGCTCCGGATATGAGCGCAGCCATGTGTGTTTATTCAAAGGTGGCGGGGACGTCTGGGTATACTTTTACCAAGTCAACTACCACCGATGGGGCGGACGATGCCAGGACCATAGGCAAGAACATACCACTGTGTATTGCTATGGAGTTGCAGGAATACGAAGCAGCCTCGATGCTTCTGAGACACCCTGAGATCGATATCCATAGCACAGACGGAACAAATAGGACGCCTCTTTGGTGGGCCACGTTTGGAGGGTCACCAGCGCTCGTGCGACTACTTTTAGAAAATGGAGCCGACAAACAAATCAACATTCAGGACATTTATGGTTGGGCTCCCCTACATGTGGCTGCGAACTCTGGGCATCCGCAGCTGGTGGGTGATATCCTGGCCCATCCAGATTCTGATCCAAGCCTGGTTAATGAGGACGGGTACACCGCGTTACATCTCGCTGTCATTTGTAACAATGTTGATATTGTCGCACAGTTACTGGAGTCTCCAAAAGTCAATAGTCATCTGGTCACAAATGCTGGTGAAACAGCGCGTCAGGTCGCGGAGGGGTTGGGCTATCAAAGACTAGTTGGGATGTTAAGAGATAATGGCAGGCCTGATTTTAGTTAACTTTTTGAGCACATGGATTGTTTTTCTAAGTTTCAAATAACCTCACCAGTAGATTAATAATAACTACACGTATTTTTCATCATCCGTACCGAAAAATGTACCTATCTGCCGAAAGCGGAAGTCAACACCATCGTCAAGAAGCCTTCATATACCACAACGAAATGGAGAGTTCACAACAAGAAGGAAGCTTGAGTGGCGCAGCGGCTAGCGCGTGGGATTGCAGATCCTAAGGTCATCAGTTCAAATCTGGTTTCAAGCTCTTTTGCACTTTTTTCTTCCCTTTCAAGAGAAAATGATGTCTCATCTTTTTTGGTGAGTTGACTCACAGTCACTGTTGGTTGAGATGGTGGAGTCTGGCGGTCTGTGGCTGGTGGGGGTTGTGTGGCTGATGTGGCCCCGTGGACTCCAATGTCCCTTCTCCACCCACAGTTAATTCCAGCCACACCAGCCTCTCTCGTCCCCTGCCGCGCGTCCAGGTACTAACGGTAACTCTCTCTTCCGCTATCCACCTACCTACTCTCATTAGCTTCTCAAATCTTACTGTCGCATGCGAGTGATTTCGTAGGACTTCAGATAGTAGTAGCCTTGGCTTGGTGAATGGTCTGTGGTAGCTCGTTCCGTATTGGTTGTTCCCTAAGAATAGATTACCCTATAACAGACTGATCACCATTGTACCCAAGCTGATGGCCTATCAATGGGGCAAAATGTTCTAGAAATGATGGAAAAGCAAAATTTGCGAGAAAAGAAAACTAAGGCAAGCATGAGAGTACGTTCAGCTGATCCAACTTATGTCATAAAATCGGATTCATCTTGAAGTTCTGCCACCCACTTCGTTCATTCCCACCTTCCCCGCGTCACGTCAACCACCTCAATGTTGTCAGAACACGACAGCCAAGATAGGCTGCTTGTCGCGTAACATCGATCTTGCGTCATACAACGGCTTCTTCCTACCTTATTATTTCATCCAGGATTTTTGCTGACGATCTGTAGCTGAAACGCACTATGAGTTCACGCCACTGGCGAAAAGCTGGTTTTTTTGCGGGGCCAAGTTCATGACGTAGTTCAGATCGAGATGAGCGTTCAACGGTCCGGGGGCTGACAGCCAATCACAGTTGCAGGATCTTTTTCTTCCCTGGCAGTCAGAAGAGAAGGCAGTAGGGGCTTATGCCATGATAATTACGTTATTCGACTGATCGGTGCTGTATTTCGTCATCGCCACACCAGCTTCGTTTGGATTATATAGTATGCCTTTGCTCTCTGGCACTAGACTCCCTCTTCTGATTCTCCATAGCCTCCTCGGATCTCGATTCTAAAGAAAACCGAATTAACGAGATCACACAAGACCTCCACCCAAAATGGCCGACATTCTCCCCAAGAAGAAGACGAAGAAGGGCAAGAAGAAGGCCGCCACCAGCTCCGCCAGCGAAGACGAAGGTGGCTCCGACCTACTCCCCGTCGGAGGACTCGGGGACAGCCTGCCCACAAAAGATCTCACAAACACCGCTTCAGGAGCAGTCAGTGGAGTAACTGGTGCTCTGGGCGGACTGGGCGGAGAAGAATCTGGCGGCGGCGGCAAAAGCGACACACTGAAGCTGAGGCTGGACCTCAATCTCGAAATTGAAATCCAACTCAAGGCAAGGATTCACGGTGATCTGGAGCTGTCCTTACTGTAAGTCACTACCCCTCAATCCAGTGTGAAAGTTCTTCCGCTCTAATACTAATCACTCAGGGGATAGGAACTAAGGGTTGTCTCCCTTTTTCTTCTTTTTGGAGCGAGGGTTCCGACTGTATATTGGCGCAACTTTGGACATCGCAATAGGGATACCGGGCACTCATCAAAGCTTTCAATTCCTCCAGCACACGAGGCATATTTGGGAGGAAAACTTACGATACATTGTTTTATTAAATGCCATAACGTCTTTTATTTTTCACTCCTTTCTATCACCTTGAAGATATTGTGATATTAGGTCACTTTTGCATGGGTTGGTTTCGTACATCAGGCCCGCCGAGATTTTGGAGGCGTGGAATTTTACGAATATTCCTTCATTTGGTATAGATGACTTCTGTCGGCCTCCGCGATCAGATATTTACGAGAAAGAGATCTTGCAAATAAGTGCACAAATGCCCAGATCTTTGCTGCTATATATCCTTCCGTAGTGACAAGGCACGATTGTCAGCCCTTCTGGGTCCTCCACTATCCCCCAACTTCCAGTGCGCTAAGCCGCCCGTGCATACAGCACAAGCTAATAACGGCGCCTCTCCACCCACCACCACTGCAACACCGCAAAAAGGACTGCCCCCCGGGAACGTCGCCGATAACTGTGCGCGCCCCCCCAGAACCCCCCTCCTCCGGCTGTCTACCTGGTGGTACTTATTCGTATCCCCGTCCTCTTATACATCAACCACCTAGATTTTATCTCATTTCTCGATTTTGTGTATCTAATTACCGGTAGAATGGATATTTTGGAAAGTCGTTGAAGATACACGCCGGATCTTGCTTGAGCCACAGGGCTAGAGCCTTGATGAAATTACTAGCTATGTGGATTACAGTCGAGGGCGGCCACAAGGTTATGTATGACACTGTCGCTTGCGCCGCATGTGGAATTGATATTTTCGAGAAATGGGGAAACAAGTGGGGGATAAATAAAAAAATTAATAGTCTAATCACGGGATCGAACTTATACTACGGTATATTTCCGTACAGCTTATTGAATAAATTCAGCAAGGAGGTGCGAGTGTCAATCATTGGCGACAAGTCAATTCAATGTCTCTCATACCTATCTCAAACCCACCCACTTATCCACAAGCCCAGGTATCCATATCTGAAAACAAATTAAAGTAAATATCGGAAGTCTTTATAAGCTACTTTACTACCTTGCTAGGTACAGAGAGAGCAGGGGTATAATCTCCTGAAATTAAAATAACCTCTACTATCTTTCTAGAAGTCTTTTCTAGTATATTAATTATAAGTTTAGATTATTTTTATTAAATTAAGTTATTACTATTATAGGAGATAAATACAAGATCTATACCGGGAAGTAAGTAGCTGAGAAAGGTCACTTATTATGAAAGACCTTTGACGAGTATGCGGATGGGCCAGTATCAGGCATCATCAGTAGAGTACTATTTTGCCAAGCTAGAGACACAATGCAGTCGTTTATTGGTAATCATGTTTGTGTTTCATAGTGTTTGGTGACCGAGTTGGATCTTTATCGAGTACGAAGGCGAGTATACTGAGGTGGCTCGGGTGTCAGCACCAAACTTGGACTGTTAAGTCGTCGAAATCGATCCCAACTTGTCAGTGTGCGTGAAATATATCACCCACTCGCTGCCAAAAACTGAGGCGGCCGAGAGATGAAATTGACTATAGAGCGCTAGAGGATCAAGACTCAGGTATGTCATTCTAACCAGCGTTGCCCAAGACAGAATGCCGACATGCCCTTTAGCGAAACCCGCCGAATGCAAGCCCGCCCTCGGAATATCTAGCTCCATTCGAAATTCGAAGCTTTTCAAATATCTCCTCCTGGCCATTGGGATTGGGTTGTGTTCGCCGTATTTTTCTTCCGTTTCACAATCGCTATCATCGTCCGGGCCTCAGCAATAGATAACACTGGCTTCGAGCCAGATGACACAGGCTACGTGCTGTACAAGAACAGCCGTTTCAAGGATGTTAAAGCATGGCACACGAACCACGAACTGCTCGCATATCCGATCCGGCCTAGGCACACACACGACGAGCCATGCCGAAGGATGTGTTTATATCGATAGCATACATGGCTGGAGCACTCAATATTCAGTCGATCCGAGTTCTCATGAGCCTACCTACAACCGGTGCCAGATTGTGAGCTGCTTTAACGGTTTCAAGATCATCCCGTCCACAGCGCGCGCTTCAGCTACCATCTAACCAGACATCGTCCGCTAGTGGGCCATCAGGATGACTTCAACTAGCGCTCTTTCGCATCCGGGGAAACAGCTCATAGCGGCGTTCTACAAAGATGGAGAACTCTACCGCGGACGAAAGGAGCTGTCATGGATCGACTGGCTCTTCTTAGCCAACGACATCCGCGGGCGTATCAACCGGCGGTGGGTTTCGTTTGGCCAATTTGCCGTCGACTCGACCATGTCAGCCATGATAGCCATTACCTCGTGGGTGATGCCATGGAAGCTGGGATCCATCACTAGATTTCATCCTTACTCATGTGCCCTTCCGGGCGGCCGGCGGATGAGACGTTTCATGCCCAGGATCCTGAACGTCATGACGTTCCTCCAGTGGGTCGCTGGTGTGTATGTCCTCAGCGTCTATTTTGGACATCTAGGCGGCCGGGTCTCGACAGTGTAGAGCTAAGGCTGTCTCGCAGCCCAGATACTGGATGCACTAGGGTTCAGTATGTGCTCAGCCGAAAATTTCCGCAACAGATAGCTTGCGATTAAACCAATCACAAGAAACCCGGTCGTTGATCCGTTCAATTTAGCTTCCTTCGTTCTTATTAAGACACCGGAATCCCTCAACAGCGGTTGCAATTTCGACTTTCTTCTTGATGCCTTTAAACTCTCTAGGCTGGACTTGCAGCTATTGTAGAATGGGAGCTTACCTTCTTGTTCGTGTGAAGGCTGATGCCTCTGATCCTAGTCCCTAGTAATTACTATTAACTTTGAAAACTTCAACTAACTGCAGGATACTCCTAGAGAGCATTGTAACAGAAAGGACAGTCTTTGTGTCCCAGGTTCAGATTAGATATCGCTTTTTCTGTTGCTGGTAATCCAGGTCATATAGATCCGCTTTGAAAAAGTCCGAATAATCCCCATAGAAGGCGACTTGTTCTTGAACAGTAACTCTGTCACTGTTCCCAGCCCCCCTAAAAAACGAACCTCTATGATTTCCAACTCATTGGTATGTATATGCCCCCATCAATTCCTTTATCACCTTGCCGATATCTTTTGCTGCCTTACTGCATTTCCCCTCCGGCAATCTGCATATCACATTCCAACTTCTCTAATACTATTACTAGACACCGGTCTCCAGGTTTCAATGCCGATGTACGTCTTATAGAAGGGTCTATGAGATAAAAGTAGGTAAAATCAGCCCGGATTTTTGTTTCGTCGCAATAGCGTATGAACTCTGGAGCTGCGTCAACAAGGTCGATTAATGCTTCTGCAAACTTTAATCTTGATCCTGAAGTTAGGAGGGGGCTCTCAGTCCTTCCAACAACTAGTAAACTCTTGATCGCTATGCATAGGCGGACGTTGAACGCCCGGATCCCATGACTAGCCAACCGCGCTGAGTGCATTGGACTTGCATTGGGCTTGAGTTTGGATAAGACTCATGGTAGACAAAGTTGAGGAACTTGACCCTTCCTCCTTACTGAGAGGTGACCACATCTAAGCTGTCCGAGGTTTGATCAAAGCCCTGTATTCGGGCTTGACAAACCACCAACACTCGTTCTTCCATGTCATATCCCCATGGTTAATCTCAATGTCGAAGTTCCGGACAATGTGGGGAATTGCCTTTGACATCTCTAAGATACTAATGTTCTTGCCAATGCATGATCGAGAACCGGCTCCAAACTTTACAAAAAGGCGTCAGTTTATATCCGTACAATGAGTGAATATTGTATCCTTTGACTAGGCGAACTCGAGAAGGTGCAGGTGCAAGTGTGGGCAACTGAGTGCAACACGTAGGAAACAACCCAAAGCTCGCTTACCGCAAAAGATCCACCAATGTTCAAGTTCTCGCTTGGTTCTAGCCATCGCTCTGGACGGAATGTACTCGAGTCGTTGCCAAAAATAGCTTTGTTGTGATAAAGGGCCCATCCGTTGACACCCACCTCAGTCTGGTATTAGCGTCAGCTTCAAGGTGTCCACATTCATCATCAATGGTAATGGAGTCAAGTAGTACTTACGCCCGCAGGGAAGAACTGTCCCTCAATGACTAGGCCACCTTTTGGGACGACACGTGTGAGTTGTGTACCCACTCCTGGATGGAGCCGCAGGGCTTCCTTAATCACCGCCTGGAGGTAGGGTAGGCTCTGTGCTTCTTGGAAACTGAAGGGCCCCGATCCCGCCTTGATGTGAGTGTCCAACTCCTCTCGAAGACGGCTTAAAGTGTGTAGGTTCGTGTATAGGTAGTAAAGAATAGAGCTAAGGGCATTGGCCGTCGTGTCGGAGCCTGCACCAATGTTCAGATTGACAGCTTGTCGAGTGTCTTCCGCAGTAGCTTTGCCTTGCTTCTCCATGAGGAGCATCTTGGCCAGAAAGTTGCCCTTGCCTTTGAGTACGGCTTCGTCACCTAGCTCTGCTGCCTTTTGTCTGTACTGAAGAATCAGCGTGTCAACATATGCAACCAGTCCCGTCATGGGAACTGAGACGGGCAGGAATGCGGATATCCGTATCCACCAGGCGTGCAAGCTGGGTGTAAGGGCCATCACGGACGCGTAGTGCCACAAAGAATCCAAACCGCTACATGCGCCGTTTGTGTCTGAATTCGATTCCATCATGCCCATGGACTCGCCAAGCTACCAGATACCGACGTCAGAAGATAGGCCACGGCACCAGCAACGGCTCGCTTTGGAGTTTGAACTCACCGTAATAGTTCCAATAACGTCAAATGCATAGTACTGGAGAAACTGAGGCAGATTAATGACCTGCTTCTGGTCGCAAAACCTCTGCAGCTGCTCCACCAAGATGGCCGTCTGACCGTCAACGCCGCTTTCGTAGGACATCAAAGCCGTCACGGTGTACAGCGCTCCGATCTCCTTCTTTATCTGTGCGTGGCGTCGGGGGTCTCGCACATCGAAAAGATTTGGGTACGATGGTAAGCCAAAGGGGATATAAAAATCAGATTTAGGAAGGGCGTTGCCGATGCGATAGATAATCTTAACAGCTTCCATGGTGTCGAAATCGTATCGATTAGGTCCTATCTGAACGATGGGTCCTGATGGAAGATGAGTTTAGCATTGGCTTTTGTTGAAGTTGGAGAATCTCAAGAACAAACCCACCGTGGCACTTGTGTAGATCCACTATGATCTCGTGTATGTTCCCAGTGGCCACCTTTCTCATCTCCCAGATTCGGGAAATTTTCGCTAGGAAGGGACCGGGGATCTTTCGCAGGCTTGAAAAAAATAACGCGTAGATAAGCCACGCGACATTATAGGTGATAAAGGAGATGAGAGCTATTTGGGAAGAGGTAGCCCAACCATGCTTGTGTCGGAGGTCGCTTATAAGCTCGCTTATGAGCCCTAGGCCAGTCGTCGCCAGCATGTCTAAACCCGATGCTAAGATAGAGGGCAGTTAGAACTACAATACCGAGCCCTGATGCGTATCGGCAAATCACTACTGGTTGTGAGAAGAGAGATGGAGATCAGTGGTTGAACGGCTGTATATCCTCTTGGGTTAGGCGAGGAGCACTTATAAGTAGGTAGGGTAACCTTACACAGCCAACCCCTCACGCACCAAGTAAAGCCCGTTGATTGTGTCAAGCCAGCTCACGCGTAGTAAGGGCAAAAAACAAAGAGCAAGTATCGAGAAGAGAAACCGATGAATTCGTGCGAATGGCCACAAAGGTCAGGAGATGGGAATCGAGACAGTTCTGGACAGAGAACTGGGGAAACTTGGTTCTTAATCTGCTATATCCACCTCCCCACCAAAGATGTACCCCACCCAAGCCTTGCCCCACCGAAGTGCCACCCACCCCGCAGTTCACCTCGGTTCGTAGGAATGAGACGATTATGAAACACGATGAGAAGGAATGCTACACCACAACTAGCGTCAGGCAGCAGACTGCTTTCTATGACATCGGCAGATTGAGCATAGGTAAAAGAGACCGACCTTCGTCGGCCCCTGAGATAGAAAGCAGCACTCTGGCCACACCTATGTTGCACGCCTCAAACTTTCGGTACCGTTAGCTCTACTCTCTGGGGGGCTTCCCCGCAAGCTTTGATGCGTTTCAAGCTATGAAGCTTGGCTACTGCGGTGCCCTATCGCTGATATGTTACCCCTTGGGCTGCGCTAAGTTGTATCAGCGCCCGGCAACCCACCGTACAGGTACATTTGGAATCGCAAGACGCCGTGGGTGCGCCACAGAATCGCTACATAGGCCCTAGGAGTTGCGAAACCGCGTCATGATTGAAGAAGCACAGACTTGTCTTCGATTCAGTCAAATGAGGAAGCCCGTTGTTGTGGGCAGCGAGCTTGACAAAGGATATACGCGTGTCAACTATATCTCCTCGACCTGGTTACTCCAGACGCCTCTAGACCGGGAATGAGGCCCACGGCTACAATAGGTTGCGAATTCGAGGTGGCGAATAACGTTCTGGGGTTGTGGAATGTTGCGGGGGCACGTCTAGTATTTATAACGATGTTTTAATTATTCCGTAGAGTCAGACTTGCAACAAGTCTCTGTGCCGCCTTCCTCGAGCGAACCCATTAACGAAGATTGCCGACCCATGTCTTCGCTGCGGTAAGACTACCACTTGGTATTGAGCAGGGATTTAGGCGAATCATAGCCATTATTCCAATTCGTCCAACCTACATATCCGTTCAGATCTAGGTAACGACGGAAACACGATGGCGATATGGGTGGCGATATAGGTAGCATAGGCGTTTTCTTTGCGGCTCCTGCCGGCGCACCGTGTATACAATCCCCACCCGAGCTAACTAGGAATACTGACCTGGACTTTCCAAAAGGACAGCCTACCTATCATACACCTAGCGGATCTGTAAAATCTTTATATCAGATCAAGCTAAGCACAGTCTCTGCAGCGGATTTGAAACACCCATTCTTGCACCCCAACTTGCCTACCGTACATCAGCAGCACTTGTATCCGAGTCCCTACACCGTTATGTCAAGGCATAACAATATAGCATCCACCAACATGCAGACACGATATCCTTATTTCCAGGAGGCTCAGCAGAGGCATCGGAAGATATTTGACAGCGCCTTTCTCCGTCCCCTGGAGTCGGTATTACCTCCAGGCCTGGATCAGGCGCAGTTCGACCGCGCGATTGCCGAACTCGTTAAACAATTAGGGGCGGGCAGTGTATTCGTTGGAGAAGCGCTTAGGGACTATACCGATATATAACTACTAATACTATATCTATAAGAGCTTATAGATATTTATAAAAATATATACTTTATTCTTAAAAATATTATAAATCCCTTTTAAATAGTTATTTTTTTTTTCAATTTAAAATAAGAAGAATTATATAATTAAGAATCTATTAATTATCTTATTAGAAGCTTTATATAGTAGTATAATATAATATAATCTAGTAGTAGTTTCTTTATATCCTTTCTTAATTATAGAGTTTCTATCTCTAGATCTCTAAATTATTTTTTATATATATAATTAATTAGTATAATTATAAACTCTTAGAATCTCTTTTTATATTACTTAATAATCTCTAATAGAACTAAACTCTTTATAAATTAGTTTTAAATTTTAAATTTTTAGATATTTAGCTAATTCTTAGATTTATTAATAGGCCTGGTTTCCAAGCAATAGAGATACTCAAGCTCAATCTCCTCCTCGACGATAAGTTTCTACACACCGTGATTTTGCCCCTGTCATGCAGCTATTGGCACAACGATTCAAGACTGGGTTCAAACCTCGCGCGAAATCTGTGAAGCAGAAGGGTTTGACTTGTTCTGCGACTTCTTCGTACAGGAACGGAGTTTTATTTTTATCTACCTAACGACATTCGACAAGGCCGATCCGAAGCATGGGGAAGTGCTCCACAAGATCATGACGAGGTTTCATGAAGAAGCAAGAAAAAGGAAATTTGCCACATACCGAACTCACATTCTGGATACTGGTAAGTCAAATAGGTAGAGTTAATATGCGGTTGGACGCTAATGGCATACTCTATAGACCGCAATGCACAGGCTTTCGACTTCAACAACTATGTGTACCGTAGGTTTGTTGAAACTCTAAAAGTAAGCAACCCATAATTTTACTTTTACTGCAGTATACATTGTGTATATTCTGACACCAATATTATTGGATACTTTGGATCCAGAGGGTATTTTGTCCCCCGGCAAACAAGGTACCTGGCTACGAAAATACCGCGATGGAAAGGTTGATAGACAGTAAGGCCCTGTAGCCTGCAGAGGATAAGTCTCAGTGGGCTCAGGTTTATATGTATTAAAAATCTTTATAAACTATTCTATTATCGTATTAAATATAAAAAGAGTAAAAGTATAATTTCTAGATTTTAAAATTACTTTTACTATCTTTCTAGATACTTTTCCTAATCTATTAATTATAAGTTTCTAGTTATTTTATAAAATTAACTGATTATTATTACAGGATAGAACTATAAGATTTATACCAGGAAGCGTATAGCTGAGAAAGGTCACCTTGTCTCTGAAGACCTTTAACGAATGCTGGCGCATTTTGCTCGCCCAAACCACCTGCTCATCCGCTGAGAGATTCGAAAAGATCAGGGCTCCGATATGAACATAGTGACCAGGCTCCATCTCTAACCACTCAGAAGTCTGCATTAACAAGGCGATTAGCTGTTGGCATTTTGGAACATATCGTTAGGGTTGGCGAACATCTCCCTTCACGGGAATTATGTTTTCCGGTTGGACATCGGCCTGGACCTCACATGCTGCCTGTCCTATCTCAGGTACCACAGACGGCATGAAGCCAATATTGACCAGACCCTCGCTCTTGCCACTCTTTTCTCTCTCCGCCTTGCTGAGTCCTTTGTAACTCTGCGTCAAAGGAACGCTAGCATAGGATGACGCGGCAACGATGACGTCCTTTCCTTGATCTGCCAAATTCTCAACTTCTTGGATATTGCTGTGGCATCATCGAACATACTCGGCGGCTCTCTGCGATCGCCTGACCCGAGACTCCCGGACTTGAGTGGAAGAAAACGAACATCAATTCCTCTCTTGGCCACGGCATCTAAGACGTCTGAATAGACTGTCTCAGGCATGAACGAGCCTGGAAGCAAGAGAATACTCGTACTATTAGCCATTTTGATACCTGCTTGTTCTTCTTGAAGCAGAAAGAAGATGAGAGGAGGTTCTTGGACAAGCGAAATAGTTCGGGGAGGGGATCCGAACACATGCATTTACGACGCTATACGAAGTAGACAAATTCGGATTAGGGTCACCGTAATGAATTTGATGGACTATTCAACTGAAGACTGACTCGTTTGAGTTTGAACATATGTCGGCAATTAATAATGTCTGCTAGTGAAAGCAAGTTATTCCCGTAAATGCCATATTCTCTCCACATCGTGGACGACGAGAAAGCTCAGCCAAAAGATTGATGACCATATTGCGCTTTTGAGCCTTTGCTGAGAGAGGACTATATCACGATATGCTGTAATATGTCAATGATGGTTAAGAAAAGAAGAGGCCAATAGAAAAGCCTCATTCAGCCAGGAGTATGGGACTTGTAGTCATGATGGAGAGATCTCTTAGTTGATCGTCTCTTGTTGAGAAGCCAGCCTTGGGACAGACTTGATGCTGGTAGACTGTAAAGCCAGCCGAGTGTTCTTGAGAACTGGCTGACATGCCTCTGGATCACGGCTCTCACGTGCAACAAAGCCCCGCAGACCCTTGGATGAACTCACGGAGCAAGCCGTGTCTAATCCCTCCAGCTTGCCCCTTTTTCCGACTGGCCCCGTACAGTAGCGGAGACACTGTACATGCATGTGCCCACCCACCCGCTTGGCTTGTCTTATCAATCGCATCTGGATATCCCTCGTGCTCCGTACTCGGGACTTTTCGCCCGCCAAATGGTCATGCCGGCGCCTGGGGCCCAGATGCCTGTCTGCCTACCACGCTTAATATTAGGCAGCCAAGCCCCCCTTGCCAGGTGGAGGTTTGGCAGCCAGCACTTCCTTTCATCCTCCTTGGCTCGTAGATCGGCTCGGCCCACGGAATCTGATAATTCAGGCGGGGATGCTATCGAACGATAATTTAATACCTACCCTTCCTCAGCCCCCGGCTGTCCCCTGACCAAGGGGCCTACTGCCTCGCAAAGCTTCGAACGCCCCGACCTGTCGAAATACAACCTTCGCCTTGTCGTGACATTCGAGCTTGGCAGTGGCAACGCTCCTGAGATGGATTTCTTCTCCGTCATGCTGGATCGGAAGCCACACAGCCCCAAGCAGATCGCGAATGGCAAGGCTTTGGAGAAGTATTTCTCTTTTCTATGGCACGCGATTCTCATCTTAGCCGCCGGCCATTTTCTTCATTATGTCGTTGTTAAATACAAGAGGTCTTGGGAAAGGCTGTACCGAAACATTCCATATCCTCGATTGGATTTGCCTCCTTGGTAAGGCCTCCCAATAGCGCTGAAAGCCGATAAATGGAGACTTACAAAAGACTAATAACCATCAGTTTGAAGGATCAAGGACTGCCTTCTACTTTACTCGTTAGCATTTTCTTGACCACCAATATATTTCTCTTCTTCACGCCCATGGTTTTGTATAGACCAAACTATTGTGCTTCTCGACTTGGCTGGTGAGAGCGACTCACTATTGACTATTTGGCCTCATTTGTTAATTTCTAGATAGGCTCGCTGCCATGAACATGCTTCTTTGCGTCTTCTTGAGCTTAAAAAACACGCCTCTCCGCTTCATTTTACCCACATCGTACCACCGCCTCAACTTCTTCCACAGAGTTGTGGGTTACACAGCTCTCGCCCAGACGCTCCTACACGGCATATTATACACCGCACACTTCGGCATAACGAAACGCTGGTTCAAGGTAATCCAGGCAGGAGGCAACAGGGAAGGACTTTTTGCCGGTGCGGCACTTCTCATATTGGCTTTTGGGGTTTTCGCGCAGGTTAGGTACACGACATTTTACGCGACACATCTTCTCGGATTTATCGTCATGGCCATCTTTATGGGCCTTCATAGGCCTGCTTGGGAGAAAGTGCTACCGTACTTTGCCGTTCTCATGGCCAGTATCTGGGTTTTCGATCGGGTGCTCCGCTGGCTAAGGCTGGCATTCAACTTGATCAATAACGAAGCCAGACTGTATCCGCTTGAAGGAGGAGGAGTGAGGCTTGTGTTCAATAAGCCATTGCCTCGAGGCTCACCAGGGCTGCACTGTTTTGTTTGGATCCCCGGAATCCGCTGCTACAAAACCTACCCGTTCACTATTACGGCCAACTCAGATTCGGGACTGGAGTTGGTGTTAAGGTCTTACGACGGGTTCACAAAGGAGGCTTATAATTTGGCTCTGGAGATTCCGGGACGTACGATGAGGGCTTCCGCTCATGGACCGTACGGCAATTTGCCAAACTTCGATACGTATGACAAGGTGGTCATGATCGCTGGAGGGAGCGGGGCTTCCTTCACTTTTGGATTGGTGAATTTTCTACTGGCGTCAAAAAGCGAGCATCCTAGAGTACCTATCACATTTGTCTGGGCAGTAAGAACTCAAGGTTGGTTTCACAACGTTAGTGTTGGAGGTCACTGCTAATCAAGTTAACAGATGATATATCGTGGTATATCCCCGAGCTTCTCAGTTTAGTGAAAGGCTTCAAAAACGCCACTTTGATTATTCGCGTAACTAGAGAACCTTTGAAGATTTCAGATCCACAGTTGGAAGAACTCGAGCAGGCTCCTTCGGATTTGTGTACAACAAAGACAACCGCCTGCGTGGAAACAACGCCATTGTTGGAAGACTTTACAAGGAAAGCCGCGCACCATCTACAAAGCGCAGCAAATTTAGAGTGGGAAGGCGCAAAAGGCGAAGCTGACCTGAAGTTCGAAAAACTGCAAGTGGACCAGGCGATATGGGAATCGATACAGTTCCTTGACGAAACCACGCGGGTTCTGATCGCCACATGCGGACCAGGATCATTGACTAATGCTGTAAGAAATGCAGCGCAGGATTGTTCGAGGCATTTTAGACCTACTATAGATATCCTTTCGGAGAACTACGACTGGTAATTTGAGAGATTTTTATGTTTGTTATTTAGAAAGCGAGTGAATTTGACTGCTGGGGAGTCATTGGATCACGGAGGGGAATTTGGATGTGAGTGGGTTTCCTCACCGTGAGAAAACCCACCAGCTCGTAAATCCGAGCAACTAGCGAGGAAGCCACATCCCTGGTACAGTGTCGAAAAGGAAATATCTGGTCGTGTGACCGTTGCATGGGGGTTGATTGGGCAGCGTGTGATTTACGTGGCGCCTCACGAGGACCTAAGTGCGTGGCATATTTTATAGCCTTTATTGTTTCAAGTTAAGATCATTTATGTCTGGCAGGATGAGCTAAGATCCTAAATCAGCCCTTTGTTGTTGACCGTTTTACCCCGACACCCAGAGAACCTATTTTCCCAATCTTAGGCACCTCACCAGCTCCGGCAAATATTAACATATTCACGCAGGTCATTAGAACACAGCAGCTTCCTCCACAAACCATAGAACCGACCAGTTGGCAAGACCAATGACGCCCATCCCCCAGAGCGGGAAGCCGACAAAGTTATGTGCCAGACCCCAGCCGAGAGCTGATCCACCTATGCTCGGTCCAAAAATACGGGCGAAACTAGAGATGCTCGATGCAAATCCATGTACTGTCCCTAGAAGTGTAGGACTCGGCGCGGATTCATTGACCAGAATCATAGAAGCAGGCGTAATGAACACGCGGGCAAGAACCTGCAGTGACAGCAAAGCAGTAAGGCAAATCCAAATCACTGCCACGTTATCCGGAAGCAGGACTAGGTAGGGTATCAAGAAGTAGGCGGCAATACTGAGCGGCAAGAACATGCGATACGAGGCCAGTATTCCAAGGCGAGCGCTGAGCACGGGGTAGAGCAGTATCTGGAGCGGGATTCCGATGCTGCCAAGTATGGTGTTTACCAAACCCATACTTTTACTCGAGAGGCCGAGACCGCCGCTGAATCTGAACGGAAGGCTGGCGTGGGAATTGTCGTACCTGGGGGTTGGAAGCAGACTGAAGAAGACCGTGTTGAACGCAGAGCCGTGCAGGGCACGGAGGAAGTGTTGCAATAATGTGAAGCAGACATTTTTTGTGAACATGTCTCGGAATCTAGCCTGCTTCTTGGCTGGCTCTGGCTCGCGCGTGATTACCGGCTGAGATGTGCCAGGAGCGGTACTTGCTGCAGATGGAATGGACTGATATTCATACTCTTGCCCCTTTTCCTGTCGGAAAACCTTTCGAGCGATGAATTTCCCAAGCTCCCGGCCTGGGTCAACTTTGTCTCTCCTCATCGGGTGCGTTTCATCTAATCCGAGGATGATACAGAACGCTGCAGCGAGAAGAACGGAGGCGCACACGACATTCGGAAGCGCATAAGGGAATTGCTTCATCCACCCCATGCCGTCACGACCACCAAGGATTGAGCCTGGGCCGAATATGCTTGGTAGTGAATGAACAGGATCGGCCAGAAAGCCACTCATGAGGGGACCGATGATAACGCCGACGTTGAAGCACATGGGCAATATCAAGAAAGCCCTTGCCTTGTATCTGTAAACAATGAGTGAGCATTCCGATTGATAAGACTGGAATCGGGAAGCTACCGTTTGTCCGGGACAATTTCAGAGACCATTGTCCGAAGAACGCCAATATTGCCATTGAGAGCACCCGAGCAGAACCGGAAAACCATTGCGGACGTAAACGAAGGCGAGAACCCCATCCCCAGCGCACACATGGCCGAGCCGAAGAGACCGATGATCAGCACTCGTTTACGGCCAAACAGAGCATTGTCTGCGACGCGCCCCCACCACATTGACGTGAGGCATTGCGCCGCAGCGAAAACAGCTGTGAGATGGCCAGCCTGCTTCGCGATTTCAGATGGCTTCAGTGAAGGGTCGAACCATCTGAGTTGGTAGAAGAGGTAGGAAGTTAGTGATCTCTCGCTCAGAGGCTCGGCAAGCCGGGCGAAGACGATTACGGCCAGCTGCCACTTTCTAGGCATAGATGCCCAAGATACCGGCACCGGCGCTTTTTGAGCTGCTTCTAAGCCCACGGGCTCCTGGATGCTGTTGTTGCCGGTTCCCTGATACCCATTTTGCTCCTCTTGCCGTAGGGGTGTCCGCTCCTCAGGTGCAGGCCTTGGACCATTATCCTTCTTCCTTCGTAGCCAACCCATATCGCCGTAAGATCACAAGCTTCTCGGTCGCAAATAGACTGAAAAGAAGGGAAGAGGAGAACATTTAAAGGAAGAAGATACAGCTGCAGAGCAATTGGCCACTCAGACAAGAGCTTTTACAAGTAGCGGCGCCATGGGTGTTCACCCCATTTCAGGCTTGGCGTGGTGACATGCAGGGCCTCCTTGACCGGTGGGTGAGACAATTTTACGCCTGGAACTGGGATGGATATTCACGCAAGTCCCTGGTCGCTCTAGCAAGACTCGATGCCCACAAAGCCTGCCAGGGAAAACTTGCAAGCCTGTAATTTGGGTGGGGAGGAGTTGATGGTGTCCTCTAAAGTCTCCTTATCAATCTCAAAATTCGGACATTGGCGCACCTCAGCGGAGCACACAGTGTGGCCCTAAACGGAGAACCGTCAGGGTCCTTGGACCAACCTGGCGAGGATTTGAGTGATCTCGGACTGGGAGGCAACTAGCTTCATACTGGGATGCAGTTCTTCTTTGAAGATCCCTTAATACTACGTATATGATTAACTGCCCACTGCACCGCACTTATAACTTTGGAATATTTACGGCCAGTGTGAATCGATATAATTATGAATCACGCTATGTAAATGAACTTGAAGATCAAGCCAAACCACCACCTAAAACACTGAGGCTCTCCAAGATCTGAGGCATATGTAAAGAGGATTAATCCGCGCGGAGAATCAATAAGTTCTCCCTGTGGCTATTCCCCAGAAGTACGCCGCAGTCGCACCAGCCATCAGGAGAACAACCGCAGAGAAATTCACAATGTTGAGTTTCCTGTTCCACTCGTTTGTTGAAAACGTCTCGGCCTTCTCTTTCACGATATGGCCATTCTCGCTGCGTTTCTTACGTCCCCATTGCAGAATGCCCATTGTCGTGCTGGATAACCCAATAATGACCATGGCAAGTGAGACAAGTACAGCGCAGGCAGCTAGCACCACGTATAAGATGGTGACGTTGCCATAGCTGTCATTGTCACGATCTTGCACTACACCTGCAATCAATGACACAAGGATCGTCATGCAGTTGTTGAGGGTGACCTTGATCGCATATGCCGTGCCGAACACATCGTGATGAGACATGCTCGTCCTAATGCCGTCGATCATCGGTGCAGGTCCGAAGGTCGTAGCGACGGCATATATGGCGAAACTTGCCGCTGTTCCTGCGACGGTTGGTGCAAACGCCGCCAAGCACATGCACAGCAGCATGCCGACACTGCAAGCGAACATTAATGTAAGCCGATGCCCAAATATGTCCATGAAGATTCCCACCACAGGGACGAAAAAGAAGCCCAGAAATTGTGACAGCGATGAGTACCATCCTGCGTCGATGGCGGAAGTCTTGAATCTCTGCTCAGCCATCTCCGTGCCATTGGACGAGAAAATGGAAGAGACAGTTGTTTGGAAAATCGTAAGCAGACAGATGAGCCAGAAAGTCCATGGGAGGCGGAGCATCTGATCAAATCTAAACTTCTTGCTCCTGTCCTTCAGGTGCTCTCCAGTTGCAGGATCCTTGGATGTCAAATATCTCTTCTCACAGAAGCGAGTGAACCACCAGTAAAAGAGATTGGCCACATTGGTGAAAATGTTCATAAAAACAGCCATCCAGTAGACCCAGCTGAAATTGCCCAGGTTCTTGGCTATGACATTGGCAGTCGCTTTACCCACAAACGTGCCAATCTTTCCTAGGCCGAGTTCGAATCCCAACGTCGAGGCAAAACCTGCCGACGGCGGGAACCAGGCCGAGAAAAGCTTGTATTGGGCGACTTGCGTTGCAGCATCTCCAAATGACTGGACCACAACTCCAAAAATCATGAACTTGTAGTTGCGAACTTGAGTTGCTGCTGCCACCAAGATCGCGCCGAGACTGAACACAGCATTTCCCCAGAGCATATTGTCTATACTCGATGTATTAGCTTCAACTACATCTATATTTGTGTTTGTAAATACCTACTTGCACCGCCAAAACGATCCGTGATGGGCCCACTAATTGGGATCAAGACCAACTTGATGAAAGCTTCACTCGAACTTAGCAATGCGTATTGCGTGTTGTTGATGTGCATTTCCTGTTTAGCTGATGATTAGGATTATGGTCAAGTGTTTTTTTGAGAAACGCAGCCACTCGCCTTTTTCAGGGTGCTTTTCAATGCCCCAGTGACTCCGCTGCTCCAATGGCCTCCAAATCCGATCATGCTGATGACAACAATGGCAATAATCTTCATGGAGAGGGGAGCAGGCCTCTTGTCTTGATCTTCCGAAGCAGAATCGTCCTGTTGGCTCGCGACGCCGGGGTCAACAGGTGAGACGGTCTCATCGTATTGTTCCTTTGAAGATGCCATGGTGAGTAGAGATTGATGTGTAACTAGAAGAGCGGGACGATCCGGTACAGCATTCAGAACCAGATGCTGCCTCCAAGAGAGAGAACACAAGGTTAATATTTATCAGATTGCAATTGTGGATTCAGTGGTTTCCTCCCATGCCAGTTCCACTGGGTCCTTCGATTCATGCAATTGTACTCGTGTCATTCCTTGGAACCATCAGTACTCTGCCGCCTCACTTCCGTTGTCCGGCTCGGCGGCAGGGATATTCTAACCAAAACATCAGCAACACTCCTGAAGCAGCTGCTATTGAAGTGAGAAAAATGCTTGGTGGAAACATCATGGCCAAGGAAGTACACAGTGCAGGACGAACCAACCCTGGCTTTCTCCATCCACTAACTAGTTGCAGGGCTTGATCAAGCTGCAGATTTCTCACCGTGAGAAAAGTCAGTTGTGGATACATGCAAGGGTCAACCAGCCATTCAGCGTTAAGTATTGCCATCCAAACAAAACTGCATGCCATGAACCGGCTCACGGCAACATGATGGAGGGGGCCGAAGATTCTCAAATGATCTTATCAATCGATCAATTTCAAAATAAGCGCGCAGCTTGCGTGGCTTGTTGCTCAACTCGTCAGACTAATTTCGAAATCTCTTCCTTCGCAACCAGCCCGCCCGAGCGTGAATTTTCCTCTCTCCATCATGGTCTACGTCAACCCAGGGACTTGAAGAGTATGGAATCAACCCCAAATGAAGTAGAGGATCAGACGAACTCGGTTTTTCCCGGTCAATGTACACCCTCCTCACGGTCCAGGCCGTCATAGGAGCAGCGTAGACCAGATCCATGATAAGTTCAGACCTTTGTCACTGGATACCTCTTAGAGAGAGATCACCCCCAACCATTAAAGGCTTCCCAGTTATCTCTGGTCGAGCATAGCCATCTGCATTTTGTCCTTTTTGGAAGCAGGTGTATTAAAAGCATATGTATTACATTCACTGTCGGCCGAGAACTAAGGTAGATTAAACCCGTCTCAAAACCCCAACTTACTTTTTTGGATGAGTAACTTTGAATGACGTGACAAAGAATCGCTTGAAGGCGTAAACAGCCCCCAAGGGCCAATCTAATAATAATTGAAGCCGAGAAGACCATCACAACCATTCTCTCTCATTTTTGAGGGCTGCTACTCATCTGCAAATCAATATTAAGGGGGGCTTCATATGTCGCAACTTGATATCGTTACCTAGGTAGTCATGTGTTAATGTCTTGCTCGCTAAATCGGTTACTGCATGGGTGAGAGAGGGCTCCAATGCTGCTGATTCGAATACAACTTGGGCCAGGACGGCTCCCAACTATTAATACATGGCTACTTGTTGTCTCTTCTTTTTAACACGCGCAGAATTCTACTGTTTTTGCCTGTGATGCCAAGTCTCCGCAACACCATGACCTTGCTTGTATGTAGATTGAAAGGGTCGCGCCTATGTTTCACTGTTGAACTGAGTCTTAGAAGTGGCATCTACCATCATCTTCTTACGGCAGCATAAGATACTGAAACCTAAGCTCCAGGCAATGTTGCCGTAAGTGGACACGAGAATCTTCATGTCATGCATATTACTACATCTCCAAGGACGACTACTCTATCGATGCAGCTTCTAATACCATAGGGCTGCCATTGTACCATCTGCTTTGAGGAAGTGGCTCAAAGCTTGAGGACGGCATACTTCCAATCCGATGCAGCTTAAACTTTGGAAAAGAACGGCAATTATGTCTATGTCGGGGCTGGCGAGTGGGCAACTTTATCCTTGGAAGAGGGGTGGCATCTTGACCTTCAAGACCTCGTTTAGTTTGAAACTTTTACGCAACTTTCTAGAAATCAGTTCCAAATGCTTCCGGCATGTTTTTATCCTTTAGCTCAAACATTAGGTCAAGTTCATCAGTCGAAGACATTCACAATCATCATGGCGATGCTGACATTTGATCTTTGTGCTGGGCGCTTCTACTTAAGAACATTAAAAAATGTCAGCGTCCGCGCGTCAAGTTACGCGATCGGCATAAGCTAAGAAGACGATTTATAATCCCATTGTTATTTTTGTTTAGTTCAAACGTTACCGGCGCAGGATGAACCATTTTGGCGGCGCAGGATGAACCATTTTGGGGCACGGCTTATGCGACAACTTGGATTTGGAGGGATCCCCAGACCGCTTACTCGGAATCCGTCCTGTCAGAGAAGAGTACGCTCGGATCGGCCATGCTAAGCCCCGTTTGAATTGCGCATCGTCCATCCTAGTGTCTTGACTTAATTTCAAGATCAAGCTCACCGATATCAGGTTACAAGCATAAAAGCCAGATGACCCTCGCCTGGCAGAAGCGAGTATCAGCTCCCAGGACAAAGCTTTTATTCACTTCCCGAAAACTCTTCCTCTTTGTTTTCACCCTTCGGCACAATGTATTTCAAGTCTCCTCTCGCAGCGACGCTGTTAGTTGCGTCTCATATGGCGAGCTTGACAACTGCATGCTCCCCCTCTACCTTGAGCATTCGCAACGACAATTCGACCGGTCCTCCCATCACCTGGGGGCCCGATACCCCATCCGATCCCGCAACTGCGGGCTATTTCTTGAATCACTTCTCCATCAATGTCAAGAACCTGACAGCCACGCTTGACTTTTATTCTCGCGCCTTCGGTCTGCGCCACATCTTCACCGTGCAAGCCTCAGAACACCTGTCCATCGCGTACATGGGACACAGTCAGGGCGGCCGCAATGGCACGGGCTATCAGACAACCGCCGAGCTCAACCGCGACAAGAACAACGCCGCCGGGTTGGTGGAGATGATCTATTTCGACATTCCCGACAAGAGTCACCTGCAGGCTTCCAGCGTACGAACAAACACATTTGGCCACATGGGCGTAATCGTCCCGGATGTGGAGGCTGCCCAAGCCCGGCTGGAGGCCCTGCCTGGCGTGCGCATTCTGAAGCGTTTTGGAGCTCCTACAGAAAGCGAAGGCGAAGTTGCCATTGCGAATGGATTTCCACCAGAGGCGCTGGCCCAGGTCAGCGCCGAGGAACGTGCCACTATTGCAGCGGTGCTTAGTGTGATCAATGAGAGGTTCCTGTATGTTGCGGATCCGGACGGCAACATAATTGAGGTGCAGCCACAAGATTAACTTGGGCAGCATGTGAATGGATATATGCAATTAAATAGGCCACTATATAGACATCTTGCATTAGCAGGGCGGCGAGCACTCCGGACCAATATCTGGAAATTTGATCGGCTCCCTGGGTAGGAAAAACAAATAAATCCTCGCTGTTTGATACATACTTCCTCTTCTCGCAAGAGTAAAGCTCCAATGCTGGGTTGGGTGAGTCTTGGAGGCAAGATCACCGACTACTTTCAGGTAGCTAAAACCCAACATGTCAGCAGCCACCCCAAGGGAAAAAACCAACCGTCTCAAGTATCTAACGGCCGGAAGGCTAACATCCATGATTGAATTCAAGACGCCGTAACCAACTGCGCAGAAGAGCCGACTGTGACGCCCCTTTCGACCATCACACGGCAACAACCTTAACAATTAGGTCAATGAACCAATCCATGTACCCAGTGCTCGATCCCGAGGGATGAGGTATGCCAACTTTCGGATACCCAAATAATCTGGCAACATACTTTGATCCAAATGTCCATAAGAAGGGTCTTTTGAACGAGGTCGGCCGTGCATATCGCAGAGATTGTTGCAATGGGAGCCCCATTGGAACTGAATAGCACTGATGCGTAGGCATGTGGTAAATAGAATAACCCTTGTAAGAGCACTGAGTTTCCAATGCCAATTGATTTGGCCCAGAATCGCACACAATAGCAAGCCAAAAATATCATCGAGCCTTCCCAGTCAGCTGGTTCATTCTCTTCGGCGTTCGACGGCGTGGGATGAACATCCTGCATGCTTGGGGCTTTGCGCGGGCAAATTGACAATGGCGGCCCATGTTAATGGAAAGGTAATGTAGAGACCAATTCATTGCACCGGATGCTCGACATATTGATCGAGATGATATCCCTCGCTGTCTGCCAATTCTGATCCTTTCTACTAAAAAGCGTTGGTATGCGGCGCTTAAGCTCGAGGAGGTGGCTCAGTGTCCTCGCCAGCCCTTTCGGGATCGGATTGTCATTTCCAACAGTCAGTGGTTTGACTGTTGTCTCGCGCTTGATGACCAAACGCTGAATAGGACCAGCTGCAGGGCCTTTAGTTGACCTTTTGGCGCAGCCGCCTCAGCCTCGCCTCGCTGGACGTTTTGAGGACCAACAGTTGTGGCGCCTGAGACAGATCTTAAATTGATTCCCATGGGGCTTCCACTCTCCATGCAGGGTTTAATCTACCAAAACCAGCGAGCTCATCTGCGTCCCATTTATGAAAATAGCAGCTGCCAAGTCCACAGCCTCGGCGGATTCTTGCTGGTCGACTTATGGCCCCTTCACATACTGGCAGCCCGACCCCAGATTCATCCCACCTTCCGCAGTCGATGGTGAACGACTCCATACAGAAATTTTGGATACAAGGAAGACGGATCGTGGGATAAGCCACGCAGCCAACGGCCAACATTGATGTTTGGGCCCCAATGGCTAGGCGTATTTTCAACTCACGGCAGGGTACCAAACAGCGATTCGATTGTGACAATAGAGCCAGGTCCATGAATAGAATAAATTCTGATAGCTCAAGAGATACCACCATATTGATATAAAGTCTGAACATTCTTCGATGTCCTGTTCTATTCTCATCAAACCACAATCATCAAACAATATCCTACAACATCTAGAGCTGGCCTCTATTCGCTTCTTTCGTCTACAGTCTCTTCATCTGCTTTTGCTAGCTAAAACCATTTTTCTTCCAGCCTCTCCTGCAAGTCTTTTCTTTCCCTACTATCCAGCCCTTGCTATTTTCTCACACTCCCACCACCAATAACTTCACCAATCATTGTTCAAAATGGTCTGTCTCAAGCAACTGTGTCTCACTGCCGCTGTCATTTTCAGCATGGCTCAGACCACCATCGCCGCGCCCGTCACCGTCTTCGCGAATGATGCTGCCCCTGCCGAACGCGACTTTGATCGTGTAGTAGCCCCCCAAGAACTCCGTCTCATGCGACGCTCGCCAGTTGGATTCACACACATGGCCAAAGTGGCCCAGCGCAACTACGAGGATACCCTCCAGGAGCGTGACGTGGAGGACGGCCTTGAAAATCGCGATCTCGAGGATGAACTCGAGGCGCGTGATGTCTCCGGTCGACTCGAGAACCTCTCCAAGCTGTTTAACCTTGGTACAAAGCTAACAAATCTGATTGCCGCCAAGCGCGATCTGGGGGATGATCTTGAGGAGCGCGACACCTCTAGAAGACTTGAAAATGTGGCCAAGCTGTTCAACCTCGGTACCAAGCTGACGAATCTCATTGCCAGCAAGCCTGAGGTGGAGGCGCGTGCTGTGCGGTCCCCGAAGCTGCCGAGCTCTCAGAGAGTTGGCGAAGGATTGTCGGTTCTTGATAGTGCTATGGATTTTGGTGACAATCTTAAGAAAGTCATTATGGCCAAGATGGGCAAGCGTCATTTTGAAGAACTTGAAAGACGTACCTTTGAAGACCTGATCCAGGAACTATACTTTTGATTGTCTGCTTTAGCGGGACGAGCGGGTAGTTTGGTTTTGTTAATTTAGCTCTGTAGCGAAAAGGAGCTGGTAGAAATGGTGAATCAAGCGGTACTTTGTTAGGAGAATGTTAGATCGATCTGTGTTGGTGATGAACTCTCAAATCTAACGATGGGGTCGAGATAAATTTGGTTTTGGCCTCAGTTGGTAGGCTCTATTTCACTCTATGTTAACTCCATATTTGCAAATAATAGAACTGATGGATCTCTATAACTACAGCCAATGTTCCCTCCATTGGGTAAGATATGAATGGGCGGGCTCACTAGAATATGGGTGGTGGATGTCTAGGGTAGCTGGCGGACTCGAGTCTAAACCAACAGTTGGACCAAGGGCCAAGAATAGTTGCGGATCCGCGTAGGAGTGTGCCATTTCATGGCCTCAAAACCATCTGGGCTGGTTCATGCGCCTGGGCAGCTCTGCAGCTCTTGATTGGCCGTATCGTATCCCACCCATTGCGTCTTGGATGTGTGTCCTGTCAAGACTCGCTGATTCGCCAACCAGGGGGGCATTTCTTATTCTCCACTGGCCGGATGCACGGCTGCATGAAACAAAAGCCTCGATCAATCACGGCAACCATAACCTTGGCTGTTGATTGGAGCTTAGCTATTGCTGACTGAAGCTGCGCCACAAGTCAGCCAAAACCACCGTTTGTTAGCGCCAACGTTGCATTGATGATTTACGTACAAAGGAGCTGAGATGCCAGTCCAACATGCAGCCTTCAACCGGCCAGGCTGCCAGGTACCATTTCATCTTTGCATTGTCTGTGCCGTACTGGCCCACCCCTCCAACCGGGTGTAGGCATTGGGTGTAGGGCAGTGAATCACGGTGCGTGCAACCAACACAAAGCAATCTGATGCAATGGCTGGCGGGGCACCTGCATCTACGAAAGGTCCATTGAGGCACGTTGGCTGTGGTTGTGTGGCCCAGTGTCAGATTTAAGCCTTTCGTTTTGCTCCCGCGCGTGTCTTCACTCCTTCATCTTCTTCCATGTTTGTCTGGACCAACTCATTATCACCAAATCAACATGACGCACCCAGGACAGTCCTTTGAGAAGTTTGCCGACACTGGAAAGTTCGAAGGCGGCAACTTCACAATCACCCACCGCGACGCCAATGCAGTCCTCACCGTGACGCTCGAGGACAAGGTCCAGCTCCTCTCCGAGACGGGCGCCATGATCCACATGTCCGGCAGCATCAAACTGGACGCCAAGACAAAGGTCTCGTGGAAGAGATTTCTACTTGACGACATGACCCATTCGACTTATACCGGCCCCGGCACTGTGACGATTGGCCCCCCCTTCCTCGGGGATGTTTTCTTTCTCCCAGTCAACAGCGCTGTGGACACGAGGACGTGGGTGATGCGCAGAGAGGCCGCTCTCGCTTGGACGTCGGGTGTGACCAAGACGATCAAGAAGCAGAATTTCAAGAATACTTTTTGGCACGATGAGCCGTACCACGTCTACGAGCTCGGGGGGAATGGCATTATGTTCTTGACCGGGTTTGGTGCCGTTGATCGCATTGATGTAAGTCTTACCGCCTTGGTGCTCTTATGCCAACTAGCAAACAGTTCGGATACTAATGCATGTTGTAGCTGAAGGAAGGCCAAACTCACTTTGTTGATAATGGCCACTCAATAGCCTGGACTTGTAGCTACACTGTGGTCAAGGCGGGAGGTAGTTGGCTGAAAAGTTCGCGCACTGGCGAGGGACGCATCCTTCAATTCGAAGGACCGGGTTCTATATTCATCCAAACTCGCAGACTAGATGAGTTCGAGGAGTTAGTTCAGGCCTGCTTCCCGGATACGGAGTAATGGTCGCATCCCTTCTTTGTTTTCACGTTGGCTAGTACGTTGGGACGAGAGTATGAATTGATGAAAACTCCGATTATTCGGACCATCTGGTGGTGCCGACGGTATTGACAAATCGCAAGTCACCATCAGACTTTCCACGTGAACTCTCGTGAATGCCATGCCTATTACTTCTTGCCACTGCTCCAAGCGTCTTTACCGGCCTGAATATAGCCGTCCAGGATCAAGTTCCCTTCTTCGATGCCTGAGGGGTCCACTGGCGATAAATAGGGTCAGATAGATGCATCTGTAAGTGATAGAGATCGGGTTAAACCTCACTCTTGAGGCCATGGCTGGCCTGGAAGGTGGAACGATCACCCCAGCCCTCCTTGACGACTCCATAATGGGTGGGGGCCTTTCCGCTTCCTGAGCTGTTATTGCTACCGCTAGAGGGCTGATTAGATGAGCTTTGCGAAGGCATCTTGGAGATTGCTGAAGGCGCTGAAGATTGTGGGTTTGAAATGGCTGATGATGTTTGGAGGAGAAGGATTTGGTTCCACGGTACAGCTGAGGAGGGGTAAAGCGACCAAATCTGAATTGGCTGAATAAATTATGCAAGGCCTGTGTAATGTTATGCAAAAATCTAATTGGTGACGTTCTTCTAGTAAGAAGCCCGTAACTTCTGAGATTAATTTATGATTATTTCGTCGTACACAAACAAGACCGCAAGCTCATGCCCCAGAGAGAGATGCGTTTTCCCTAAAGTGCTGTGTCATCTTCCGCGTTGGACTTTTGATTTACCCGCTCATTTAGAATTGGTTAAGTTAAACTACAGTATAGGTAATCATGGACGCGCTGCTTCCCCCTCCAGTTTAGTAGCTACCCTTAAATAGATAAGGTGAGGGGAAATTTCAGACCACATCTTCGTTACCACGGTGGATATCTGCTGACCCTTGTCAGACCGCAGGCTTCCACTTACCCAGATCCAAAGATACAGTACTGCTTTGGGCAGTCCTTCGCGCAGTTGAGCTTAACCTACATGACCATGCATCACACACTTCCTGATCGGGAAGCTGCCAACACCGCAGAGAGGCTTCAATGGACAACAAAGTAAAGGTCTAAGCCATGATGCGAGAGGGAGATTACGTAGCTTGAGAAATTAAGAAGTATATAAGAGCTCATTGGGGGAGATCATCACTAGATCTCGGAACTACCACCGACTACCTTCATCTTCTCCTTCTGACTCGAAGTGAACCTACCTCCGAGCCCCCTTGTCTTTTCCCCGATCTTCGTTGACTGTTAATTGTAAATCATGCGCGTGTCGACCTTGTTAACGTTGGCCGCTGCATTGGCCCAGAAAGCCACCGCAGCCCCGGCCTCCAAGGACAACGCGACATGTCTCCCCGTCGTTGACCTAGGCTATGTGAGTATCCCTTGAAAGGCATACCCATCTCTCCACCTGCTTCTGGTCCCTTTTCGACGCCCGGCAAAGCTGACAAGCAAAGGAACTCCACCGCGCCCTCTGGCACAACCCCGATACCGACCTCTACAAATTCCAAAACATCCGCTACGCCCGCGCCCCGACCGCCAACCTCCGCTTCCGCGCCCCCCAGCCCCCTCTAAAGAACCGCACCGCCGTCCAGACCGGCGCCCAGACCGCGATATGCCCCCAGGGCCAACCGGTCTGGCAGGCCAAGACCATGGCAGCCATTGGCAAGTACTCGAACCCGGCCAACAACTTCACACTGGAGGGTTGGGTCCAGACGATCGAAGGCGGGATGGTTCCGCCGGGGAATATCAACCAAAACGCGACGGAGGATTGTTTGTTGCTGGATGTGCATGTTCCGAGGAAGGTGTTGAGGGCGGCGCGGAGGAAGGAAGAGAAGGGTGTTCCGGTGCTTGTTTTCGTGAGAACCAAACCCCCCAACCCTCTTAACATCATATATGACTGACATGTGAACAGATCCACGGCGGCGGCGGTGTCTTCGGCTCCAAAGACGGCTCCGGTCCCACCCGCTTCGAACCCTCCGGCATCCTCGCCCACGCCCGGTCCACCTTCAACCAGGAATTCGTCTTCGTCACCCTCAACTACCGCCTCGGCGCCCTCGGCTGGCTCAATAGCGCCTCTGTCCTCGCCGACGGCGACGCCAACGTGGCCTTCCTCGACCAGCGCTTCGCCCTCCAGTGGGTCCAGGACAACATCCACCTCTTCGGCGGGTCCAAGGACCACGTCACGGTCATGGGCGAGTCTGGCGGTGGCTCTTCGATTCTGCATCACTTGATCGCTGCAGGTGCGGATGGTGATGGGGGAAAGAAGGATGCGTGTGGGCCGGCCAAGAAGTTGTTTCAGCAGGCTATCTCGCAGAGTCCCGCTGATGTGCCCGTGGCAACCGGCAACCCGGAGGATCTCTACAACGAGTTCCTCTCCATCCTCAAGGCCGACGACCTCAGCGCCGCCCGCTCCATGTCCTCCGCCGCCGTAATCGCCGCCAACGCCGCCCAGGTCGCTGCCTTCCCCCACACCAACTATGTCCATCGCCCCATCGTCGACTCCGACACCTCCTTCGGCCCCGTCATCAAATCTCTCGGAGAAGGTCGGTTCGACAAGTCCGTCAAGGTCATGGCCTCGCACAATATCTTCGAGGGTGGGTTCTTCTTCGATCCGGCGGTGAAGACGGACGGGGACTTTGATGAGTGGCTGAAGAGGTCGTTCCCGGGCTTGGATGGGGGCCAGAGGAAGGAGTTGATGGAGAGCGTGTATCCGGCCGTGTATGACGGGTCGCTGGGATATGTGGATATGAACACCAGGCAGATGAGCGTGTGGGGTGAGTCGTCCATTGACTGTGCCTTCAACGCCATCGCCAAGGCCACCAAGGACAAGGGCTACGCTTGTAAGTCCCCCCTTCCCCCCCCCCTCCCTTATCTACAAGACAAAGAATAACCCTCACTAACACACTTTCTCAGACGAATTCGGCATCTCCCCCGGTTTCCACATCCAGGACCTCTCCTTCACCTTCGGCACCACCGCCACCGCCGCCCGCCCGTCCCAGAAGGCTCTCCAACTCGCCATCGCCAGCTTCGTCCTGAAGGGCGTGCCGGTCCTCGAGGGCGGGAAGGAGTTCCCCGTCTTCGGTGACAAGGGTCTGCTTGTTAACATCACAGCTGCGGGCGCCGTGCCTTCGGTGCCGAACACCCTCAACCAGACCAGGTGTGAGTGGTGGACGTCGATCGCTTAATTAATTACTGATGTGTGGATCTTGTCGGGGGTTTCGATGAGAGGGGGGGTTAAAGGAGGTTAAGGGAAGGATAGAGGTTATGATTTATATTTCGTTTCTTGTTTCTAGCATGGAGTTGCCATGGCTTTATGGATGAGGTATATAATCTCTCTCCGGGGTTTAATTAACTGCATGGCCGCATAAAATTGAGGTTTAGTTACTTTAACATGATGTTGTTTTTAACCGTCGCTGTATTCAAGCCCTTTTAGTTATAAAATTTAAGCATTAAACAAGGTCCTTGAAATAAGTATAGGAGATAAATCCTTTAAAAAGAGGGTATTCCCAGAAGACTAATTGTATATATTAGCTGCTGTAGAATGCTATTAGGATAGAAATTAAAGCTAGATTAAACAACCCCATAGTTACTCAGGCCTCCGCTACCTCACCTTATATATATACAAATAGACCTTAAGTGTCGTAGAGCAGGCTGCCAGATCAGAGACAGAGATATCATGGTGGCAACGTCTGTACGTACAGGAGACGATTTCGCTAGATCCCTTAGCGACATCATCCTCTGCATTGACGGCGCCAACGCCTTCCGGACTTGTCGAAGCCGCCGCATCAACTGCGAAGCGTTCAGTCGCCATTAATGCGGCAATCCCATTCCTGTTTCTGGCTCTTGAGGTGCTCTAGGGATGCAAGAAGCGCAGATTGGGCCAGGCTGTCATAATAGCAAATCCTCGCCAATATCAACAGCGCGGCAAGTAAATAAGAAATCGGTGTTTACATTTATCCGCTGCATAATCCATTCTTCACTGGCTCCTCCGTGTTTAAGCTACCAAAACAGGAAAATCCTTTGAAATGAGTAGTTGTTGGTGATCGCCGCTGGCATTCAACAGCGAGCGGAGTACGGCACATGACTTATTGCGAAGATCAAGCACCATGAAGTGGTTTGCAAGTTGGGCGCGCACGACCGTTCGGTTGTGACTCTTCTATGGCCACTTTCGGCTGTGTTCTTGTGAGGAATCGACGTCAATTCGAGTTCAATTGATTATACAGGAGACGCAAAGCGCAAGCGGCTTGCCCAAGAAGAGCCTTAACGAACGAAGTTTAGATTTGGCCATTTCAAAGGGTTGTATATTAAGATTTGGCATTGGTGGTTGGAAGTTTCGGTGACGAAGGACTTTCGTCCTCTGATGTCGCTGACGCCTACTGGTAGGGATCAAGAAGGCAGTGCTAAGCGCGCTCGCTTACTCCCTAATCTTGGATCTTGCGAGTGACTGATTTTGAGATGGCCAATATCCACTTTCTGGTGTTCCTGCTGGGTTAGGGGAGCACCGCCACGATTCTGCTGGGGAAACAGATCAGATGAATGCTGACTGACCCTCGTATGTCTGCGGGCATTTTCTACTAACGGCAATCTGGGAATGACAAGCCGAGATCTGTAGCGCAAAAATAGCAGCCGGCCCCAAGCACGATCAAGATACGAGCAGTCGCTGCCTTCTGGCGTCTTGGCTTGCTGACAGCTTCAACACCACGCGACTGTCTTGGGCGATGGCTCACTCCGCAGCAGCCTTGCCATCGTGGCCCAGCAGCCCGTAAAATCCAAAGATGAAAGACTGCACAAAGTCATCAACCGATGCTCACGAGAATAGACTGGCAGTGAAGAGATGGGATTTGTTATTTAAAGCCATGGTAAGTCCATCATCAAGTCAACATCCATCACCACAATCATCTTTATCTCTTCAACAACACATTTCAAGGCTTCTTTCTTTGCTTCTCTTCTCCATTGGAAATTACGGTAATAACAATCGAATACGCCTCTACCAACAATACTCAATTCCACTTCACAACCACATTCAAAATGCGCTACTCATTCATTGCCCTTGCCTTTGCCGCAACCACTCTGGCACTTCCTACGCCCACACCTGCTCCCAAGCCCAACGACGATGGCAGCTGGGCTCCTGGGAAGTTTGAAGGCGGAGAAACTGGCCATGACAACGGCCAGTGGTATCCCGGAAAATACCCCGGAAAGCGCAACGACGATGGCTCTTGGGCCCCCGGCAAGTACGAAGGGGGCCAGACTGGCCACGACGACGGTCAATGGAACCCAGAAAAATATCCCTCCAAGAGGAACGATGATGGGTCCTGGGCCCCTGGGAAATACGAAGGAGGCCAGACGGGCCACGACGATGGCCAGTGGAATCCCGATAAATACCCAAAGCGCAACGATGACGGATCTTGGGCTCCGGGAAAGTATGAGGGAGGCCAAACTGGCCATGATGACGGCCAGTGGAATCCCGATAAGTACCCAAAGCGCAATGACGATGGCTCCTGGGCTCCTGGAAAGTACGAAGGTGGACAGACGGGCCACGACGATGGCCAGTGGAATCCCGATAAATATCCTAAGCGCAATGATGATGGCTCTTGGGCTCCTGGAAAATACGAGGGAGGTGAAACTGGCCATGATGACGGCAAGTGGAATCCAGAAAAGTATCCTAAGCGCAATGACGATGGATCTTGGGCCCCGGGAAAGTATGAGGGCGGAGATACCTGCTTTGACGATGGAAAGTGGAAGCCAGAGCAGCAGAACAATTAATGGAGGGTGGACACCTTAATATTCACTGAGTATCATTCTTGGGCAGTCAGGGGGGTAGCCGAGCTTCATGCCATATTCGGTGAGTTGGTTATTCATGTTGATTATTGCATTTTCGTTTGTTTCCTATTGTCGGGGGAATTTGGTTTGCATTTTTATAGATCATAGCGCGTCTCATAGATTTAAAAAAGAAATAGTTAGAATGTCATTCTCTCTGATGGGGGTTTTCGGCCTATAAAAATGTCTTTTCTCCTCTTCTTTCTGACCCTTACGTGTATTGGGGAATAGACTGGTCTATGGAAGGTTAACGTGGCTGGCAAAAAGATCCGCCAATTACCTTAGGAAAGAGTGAGGGGATACAGGTCATTTTTGAGAACCGTACAATTGGTTTTTGTATTGACAACAGAATGATTTAGAGACGTCATATATATTGTGGATGCAAACACAGAGACTGTTGCAGCGAAATATGGTTAAGGTAACAACTAGCCCTGATTTCAAATTGGATGTTAGGCATCAACACAACCATTCGTCTGTCTCTTCTAGCTGGTTAACTGCCCAGAGCAGGCATCGCCGTTCACAATTCCAACCATATGATCTCGCCTTTGCGTTGATAGATAGTATCAGTAAACACAAGATGAACTCTTTGTGTAGCACGCCATCCTTGGGCAACAGTCCTTGGCGGTCTTGCAGTAACGGTACAAGCATTTGTCCTCCTGACATGCGACTTAGTATTGGAGCCCACAAAGGCTGTGGTCCTAACCACTAAAAACGCCCAAGGGGGACTTACGCGTGATTCAAAGGCCTCGGCCACATTACTGTCGGTGCTTCGCACGTCGACATCAACAACTTCAGCAATGGCCGCGGGGGAGGCCATAACAGTGCTGGCAATAGCAAATGCAAAGATGTGATAGAATCGCATGTTGGAGGAAATATACTGCGTGTCGGAGAGTAGATGATGTTTCTACGATATGGCAAAGGCTCGGAGTATGATTGCTAGGAGTGCAGAGATTCAGCAGGCAGGAGATGGTGATTTATACCGCTAGATCGCTTACATATTCTGTCTTAGTTTGTGTAGACATGACATGACCTCTGCTGCATCCAAGACAAAGAAGTGAAACAAATTCTGCACTCGAGGCGCAAGTGAGTCAAGATCAACACATCTCGGCCAAGTGACTATTCCCAAACAATTGTCGATGCAGTGAACTTTGGCTGAGAGGATGAAACATGGCGCCCCGCGACGAATGAAATGTTCCCTCGTGTTTGTCTCATCAGCAAGCCTTGTTCAAAAGTTCTATTTACAGCACAACACCGAAGCCTGGATGAACACTATGACGAATGCTTACGCCGCCACGGAAGGGAAAGTGCTAAAGATCGACACCTCGTGACTGCTGATATCCTCGGAAAGGACTAGACAAAGAGGGTAGTGGATTTTGTTAATGTGATAGCATATTGGCTCCAGCGAGTTGCCTGCCAGCATATCTTGTGAAGCGCTAAACAACACTGCGGGAATATTATCTTACGTTTGCTAAGAGTCTTGGTTTGTGAACCTTGGGGAAAGCTTGGTCACAATTCCATGTCCAAAGACGGGAAATCATGAGGCTTCCCATCGTGTTTGTGATGGTGACCGCTCCTAGAGGCGAGAGGGGAACGCCAAACTCTAGACATTTAATGATACTGAATATGTTCGTCTACAAATCTTCAAATATGCAAGAAACCTAAAACAACCTCCCCATCCGTGTCATGACCATGCTCGACTCTCAAAATTAGTTCTTCGTGGCCTGACAAAATCCGTACTTCGGTCGTCAAGGGGAATGTCATCTTCTTTGACGTACGTCTCCCTGGCCTGCTGAACCACGGTCACCAGAGCGATCTGGCCATTCTCCGGCTCAAAGTGCGGCTGCTGTCCGTTGAGGGAAGAAAGCGACTGGAGGCCTTTGTCGCTTGACTTGTTACCCGAGATCATGGCGTATCGAGATGCGGACCCTGACCCTGGGTATTTGGGCGTAACTAGGGAACTCCTCTTCGTTCCTTTTACGCGTTCTCTCATGCCGTAGAAGAGCACTGGCATACTGGGCATACAAGCGCATATCACTCCAAGATCCAGTTCCACAGCTGCCCAAACGGCCATTGGTACCACGTCGTCTAAATTGGGACATCCCATTAGCGTATAGACCTCAACAAAAATCAACAGATACTTACAAGTGGGATTTGTTTTTCCGATGAATTCTTCGATGTGCTTAAGCTTGTATCCCGTGATAGCGACAACTCTACATGTATCCATTTGTGTTAGTAAACTTCGGGGAGTTGGTCTTGGAAGAACACATACACGAGGCCAGTACAAAACATGATGGATATCAAAAGCTTTCTTCTCCATGAAAGCTGGAGCCTGACCACAAAGGGGAGCGGCGCGCCCATGATAACTGTACATAACCTTCGTTAGAGATTTCGGAATCAATCGGTGATCAACCTGGTGGAAGAGCGTAAGCCACATACATAGATCGCTCACAATGAGGATAAGCCAGATAGACCAAATGTAGGATCGAGAGTCGACGCAGTGGCCTTCCGCACCCCCGTCCCATCGCATCCAGTAGTATGATATGGGCGTACACAGGAACATGCTACCAAAGATTGCCGGCATAGATACTATTATGGCGACTGCCATAGCGATTCTCATAACGCGCTTAGCTGAATCGAATTGGAAGATGCGCATATAAAATAGGACGATGGAGATTCGGATGAGCATGCGGGTGAAGACGTAGAGGACGTTCATCACGTAGTTGACCTGTCGAGAAATGACCGATTAGAAGGACGAAAGAACAGTGAGTCGGAAAAGAGATCCTCGTACCCGGAGCAAAAATGGGATCTCATCGAAAGAAACAGCCCAGATATCCATGCCGAACCCCCTGCTTTTACCTGCCCTCGTGTAAGTTGATTATTCTCTCGATTCGATTCGCGGATAGAGTTAGACCTACAGGCAACCATCGTGGCAGTGTAGCCAATGCAGGCAGCCTGGCACAATGTCAGCCTTTTGCGTAAATATTGGCGACGTCGACATGGAGGAAACGCACCAGAGCCGTGAAGCTCATCCAATCATCCCACCAGAGCTTGAGTCCAAAAGCTAAACGTGATAATAATCGAACTCCCCCGGTTACTGCCGCCAGCGCAATGAAGGTAAGCGTGATGGGAATATAAGCGTAGGTCGTCGCGGGCTCGATGCCACAGGAGGCGCTCGTGATGTTTTTCGCGGCTTCACATCCTGTCCGTTAGTTTCACAGTAACTATAAGTTTAGATTGCGAAAGGAATTCACTCACCGAGTTGCTCTCTAATAGTGCATACGCCGCTCCTGATGCAGACAGTGGCCTGTTGCGCAAGAGCGGCGTTCCCGCAGGCACACGCGGTGTCAGTCAACGAACATGTTGAATTGTTGATGGCCGATATGAAACATTTCAGCTGCACAAACAGTTAACGAATCGGTCGGTCAGATCGGCAATATCCTGGCATCATCTCTCAACGTACAGCGCATGTCGGAAGCGTCGTTATGAGTGAAGAACTCATAGTTCCCGGCCTTGTTTGTTGGCATTCGCCCGGAAAACGCCAGCAGAAACGGACAAAACAGAGAAAGACTCGGCCAACTACGACGACATGATATGATATGATTAAAGTTTGTGGGTGCCATGGCGATTTGGTCGACCCCTATGTACTAGACCCAAACATGCATCACCCCGGTCGTGCATAGGGTCATGGTTGGCTGTTTACCACGTTGGGAGCAGAATACAACCATGTTGGTGTCATCTCAGCCCAGTGAATGTCAGAGTAGCGTTCGATTGCGATCCTTCAATGCTGCGTTGGCCGCATGTGTGACAGCAAAAGTACCGCCGGTTACATTACCCCTCGGCCTGGGCGCATAGAATATGTCCATTTTCCTCGGGCTGCATTCTCCATGACAGGGACCGCGTGCGACGTGCATGAGAAGGATTCCAAGGTAGCAATCGTTAACATGAGACCACGTTCTGCGGAGGGACGATTGATTCCGGAATGCGACATCCAACTGACCAAGCGACACCCAGAGATTCTCACTACCCTTTTAAACGACTACACTGTACTTCCGGAAAATGAGGAGTGATTGAAGAGATTGTGCCACACACCCAACAAGAAGAATCCCCCCTGCCCCCTTGCTTATGACCAGGTTGGGCGCACCATCTTTCCCCAATCCTGACATGGGACCAACGTGTGAAAATGCAGAGTTTTATTAGTCAAACTGTGCCTCAAATCCCTTCCTAACCCTGCCGCATATATACTCGTATTCTGAGGCAGTAGTGATCAGCAGCTATAGTGAAGGTATTTGAATCTTCCCTTCGGAAGTAGGCACGGCTTCCCCGCCAAGGAAAACCTCCTTGATCTCCCGACGGCTCTCCTCAAGAATAACTTTCACATGTATGTCACCCCTCCTGCCCATTTCCACACCTTGCGTGATGTGGTAACTCCGCGTGAGCGGTCCCCCCTTTCCCTCGCTTAGTGTCAGATACGATGACAGGGCAGACGCAGCGCTCCCGGTAGCCGGGTCCTCGCGAGATCCTAGGCCACGAGTTCGCAGGTTCCTAGTCCCGTCTTCCTGGGTCCCGAGATCTACAAAATAGTACGTGTTGACTATCCCATCGCGCCAGCCCTCGTCCAGCCGCTCTTTGGCCGTGTATGTATTTGAGGTGCCAAGCAAATTCTCGGTGGGTTTGGCGAGGGCTTCCAGGTCGGGGAGCTGTGCAAGGATGAAGTTCATTCCTTTGACGATGCTTACGACCGGGTAGTGCCCGAAATCCCGATCGGAAAAGGGCTGCGCGTGTATGTGAACATTGTGAGGAACCGACAGAAGCACCCCGTCGCCTTGAGCCTGGAAAGGAAGACGGCCTGCTTTGGCGACGAGCGTGCGTGCAGTCTCAAGTTTTAAATGGTGCAAGAGATAGTTGGACGTCCCAACCGTTGGGTGTCCTGCAAACGGAAGTTCGGCGATAGGCGTGAATATATCGACGCGCGCATCTCCGTTCTGTACGTCCGTCTCTGTTTGCTGATGAAGAAAGACGGTCTCGGAGAGATTGAATTCTTTGGCGATGGCCTGCTTCTGCGCCTGGGAGAGTTCGACCTCTGGGGGCACTCTGACGATGGCCAAAGGATTGCCTCGGAATGGCTCTGACGTGAAGACGTCTAGCACTGCGAATTCAAGCGCCATGATTCTAAATTATTAATGTCAATAGTGGCGTCGTCAAGCCGTGGTCAATCGTTTTGAAGAGCGGACGTGATAACTTCGATAAGCTGACGAGCTGAGGGCATATTACGGTCGTAGAGCGGAGATCCACCACTTTTATGACTATCCTCAAGCTTTATAATCAAGGTGGTTTTCGGCGCGTTGTAGGAGATTTCGCGACGGATGGCGCCATCTGGTGATGTGTCACCATTTCCCCGCCCAGTAACAATTAGAGGGGGGGAAATTGCTTCAATTGGTATTATCTGCGACATCCTCAAGCTGACTGATAGGCTCTGAAAAGGACGGAACAACATAGCTCAGACAATACCCCCTCCCTTCAATGTCAATTACACATTTAAGTGGTGGCAATTGTGCCAAGAGGGCTGGACCTCCAAAATTCCAAAAGAACGCGGATGAAATCTCGGGGGTAATTTACCGATGGATCTCCTTCGTCCTTCGTAAGACGGCGGATTGAGCCCTTTTGGTGGATGAGTCATTCCAATATCGGAGGTGTCCGTCAGCACAACGAAAGGGGAGTCATTGTAGCGCCTCGTCGGATGATGATATAAGATAAACAACTGTAGCCTGGCAACTTGACTATAATCTCCAAAAATCTATCGATCGCAGATCTCACTAGTATTTCACTAGTAAAGCGGGTGGCTTAAGCTCTGGCTATATCAGCTTGGACTTAAGCACAAGGGGAACACACTTAAATTCAAGAACCATCCACCACCTTCCCCATGCGTACACGCTTTATCGGCTCCAAACTAGCGGAAATCATCGAGTACTACTAAGGGAGTACAAACATGATGCCAAAGACCCAGATCGGTTTCTACAAAGATTGGGAGCGCTCATAGGTAAGTAACAAGGGCTACTGGGGATCTAGATATTAAATAATCGTTGCATTTCTTCCGTGAAACTCATGCAATGATCCTGGGTGAGCGACCTTTAAAGGGATGAAAAATCCAGAGGAACCTGTCAACTCTTTCTCTACATAGTGCTGTTGTGATCCATGGATGGCTTCCCTCTCCGACTGAGCAAGCCATGATATTGCTTCTTGGCCATTCGTTCACTTGGGTCGAATGAGTCATCACGGAGGCCCTCTTCAAAAGCCATCTGGTCATCCGTGCCTCCCTTCAAGCCAGCCATAAACGAGTAAAAGTCCTTGGCACTCTCCGCAATCTTCTCGAAATACTCGCTCTTGAGTTCCGCCCTCATGAACCGACCCCCTCTCTCCTCTGCCTCCTCCTCCGTCAGTCCATTATCTTCGAGCATGCGCACTCGATCATACTGAGACAACGCAATGGCTGTCTGGAAGGCGTTGCGGATCTGCCGTGCGTTCCAGGTTGTCCTTTTCTCCCTGTGGCTCTCGAAATGCTCAGATGCATACTTTAGAAGAGCCGACCGGTCGAATTCGATTTTGATCTTATTCTCCTTGTTTTCGCGGGCTATGCGGTCTAAAAGCTTGCCCCATATGAGTTTCGTGGAGTTGAGGTCGATCGAGGGGTACCGCAGGTATAGGTGCATCCGAGATTTGAAGGCTTCGTCGATTACTCCAGCTCTATTGGTAGTGAGAAATAGAATACCAGAGTAGTATTCCAGAACTCTCAAGAAGACTTCAGACTAGTTAGTTCCCGCTGCTAAATGTATGTATGATACTTCGTCTGATCTGAGAACCCACCTGAGACCAAGGCATTCCGCTCAATGTCGTGCCAATCTCGTTTCATTAGAAAGACATCAGCCTCATCGATGAGCATAATGCAACCCCAGCTGCTAGCTAGCTTGAAATGGTATGACAAACTAGCCTCGATATCCTTTGATGTTAGTCCAATATCGCCGGATGCTAAAACGTACAAAGGGCGTTTGGTATAGGCTGCGATTGTCTCTGCGGTACTCGTCTTACCAACCCCGGGTGGTCCATGCAGGAGTATGATTAGTCCTCGGCCTTTGCCCCGGACAATATCCATCTGTGAGGAAATCTTGGGACGACTTCCTTCTCCACGTGATTTGGGATCCGGCTTGTAGCTCTCGATGACGGAGATGAGAAGATCGCGATAGGTGTCAGGAATGACAAGATCATCGAATCCGCTCTTGGCGGCGGCTTCGCTTTTGTCGATTTGTCGCAGCAAATCAACATCCAGGTAACCTATCATTGAGGCAAAGCACATTTCAAGTGTCAGTGAACATGAGACAGCTCAATTTAGGATGTGAGTTGATGACATACGCCAGTTTCGCTTCCTGAATATGAAGCACAGTGCCTGATTTGGCAGCAGCTGCAAATACCCTTTCAGTTCCAGAGCCTTCTCCTTCGACACAAAGCGACAGCCAATGGGCTGTGATCTTATAAATTTCCTTGATCGCTTCCTGTCTATAGACTCTTCGCGAAATTGATAGATGACTTCCGCACGGGTATATATCTTGGACAACTGCCTTTCTGTTCGAATACAGATGGCGTTGGAAGGCACCTCCTGTGGTTTAGACATGACTGGTCTGTCCTGGGAGTTTAAGCACTGGTAGCCAATTTCAGGGTCTGCATAGACTTCTTGGTCTACCTCGTCACTCCAGAAGGTAAAGCCCGAAGTGTATCCTCCATGAGGAGGTGGCAGGGTTGGCCCTTCATAGTGTAGATGACCTTTCCAGGAGAGGAGTTTACGTCCCCTTTCCTGAAATCGATACAGAATGGCAGTTCCATCTGGGTGTAGACTAACGGGATACACTGGCAAGTCAAGCACCGCTTTTTCCCCAGAAAAATACGGTATAGAGAGATCCCTACATGAGGGGCCGATGAGAGAACCGTCATAGACTGTGTAATAGCATCTAAGAATAAATGGCGGGTATTCGGTGTCTTTCCGCAGGTCTCCCGTTCCAGAATGATGATTGTGTCGATCATGATCGGACTGACCAAAGTAGGAGTGGTCAAGGTTGTGAGGATCATTGCTGTGATCATTATCGTCGGAAGCCATGTTGTAGACTCTTGACTTAGATAATGACCTTTGATTGGCCCCTTCCCGATTTGGATCAAGTAACACCTCATACACAGCATAGAGCTGCTCGCGGCCTTGCTCTTTGCTCCAGACAATGCTACCGGGCTGGAACAAGTACCAGATATGTTCGAACGATATAGTCTTTAATTTCCTTTCGAAAACGTTGCGACGAAGCTCCAGAAAGAATCTAAGATCGACTCTGATAACCTCCAGGAGATATTCTAGTAATTGCACATTTGCTTCTAAATGGTTGTGAGATCTTTGTTAGCTCGATATCGGGAGCCTCACTTACGGTTGTGAGAAGTCCGATCTTGCTGGAGCTTATCTAGCCTTCTTGCATATTCATTCTCAAATGTAGTAAGTTCCTGGAACGAGTTTAGCACAGGTCATGCTAATCAGAGTAATTTTGGTGCAGGCCACTCGCCTTGAAAGGGGAGGCCGAGTGATTGGTTCTGCCGCGAAAAGTGGCTGTTATCAGCAGAAAGAAAGTTACATAGATAGAGGTTTCTGAATAACATACAGGGGTTTTGTCTCAATGTCAAAGCCCATTGTTTCCGTAATGCAGGAATTTAAAAAAGTCGAGTTGATTTGCACGAGCCACGGGCGCCAGTTGGTGTTTGGTGGTCCGCTTCTACCTCTAGTGGAGGAATCAGTTGATCCCTCCACGGAATCTTCAGGGATGTCATAGTACACAACAATGGATTTCTTGATATCGGCCCTTCTTGGTGGTAGAGGGAGCGGAGTGGTCACAACGATGCGCTCAATACCGGGCTCTGGTTCCACGATTGCATTCTTTTGTCTCGCCGCGAGCGGTATAATAGGATTATCCCCGTAATCATTTTCCGGAGCCAGACTATCAGAATCTTCAGATGAGTAGTATACCTCGTCAGTAGAGATCCCGGCAGAGCGATTGGAAATCTCGGCCTCATGAGATTGAGCCTCGGGGGGTTGGGGCCCGCTGAAAGTTGCAGCATTTTCAGTTGCAAGGGGGGCTATAGTCTGCTCCCCATCAGTATATGGCGTCATATTTGTTGTCTTTTGCTTTAGCCGAATAATTTGACGTATTTCATAGCTCAAATTTCTTCCAGCGACGTAAAGTGAAGGAAAGGGTTGGTCTGGGTCGGCAGGTTGCATAATATAGAGCTGACGTAGCATAGTTGCACATGTACCTCTCCCCTCGCTTGACCAATCAATATCCATACTTATGACAAGGATCTTATCAGCAAGAAGAGGGGTAAGAAGGCAGTTTTGGTGCCTTCATGGTTTGCAAATTCGGAATGTGCTCAATCTACGACGGACTTGAAATTTACTGAGCGCGGTCCGGAATCAGCATGGAAAAGCCCATTCATTCCGACAGATCATAAGGGTTTATATCATAACTCATACTGCACAATTGTAATCTTGGTTACCAATGACCCATCTAACAGGCGGAGATGATGCTCTAAATACAGTAGGTGAAAAGATCCTTCATATAGTAATCATGTTTGCCATCTAATACCAATTCCCTAGGGCATCTTCAACAAAGAAGTATCAGACTATGAAGTGACGGCAGTTTATAAGCATCCTGAGGCGACAGCAGAAATAGTGCTGGTTCATGGCCTGAAGGGCCATCCGAAAAAAACGTGGAGGTCAAGGAACGACGTATTTTGGCCGACAGACTTGCTTCCAGCTTCGTTGGAGAACGAGAAGGCAAATGTTCTCGTCTACGGCTATAATGCTGATGTGTATTCTTCTAATAGCTCCAAAAGCCCGAGCGACAATCATATCTTTCAGCATGCCAGGAGCTTAGTGACCTCTCTCACGCAGTTTAGAAGAGGCGAAAAGACGGTAGAGCTCCCGATCATATGGGTCGTGCATAGCTTTGGGGGAATTGTTGTCAAGAAAGCACTTTTGTTCTCACAGGAGCTGCAGCTTTTTGAGCAACAGCACTATCGCTCACTCTTTGTTTCGACATATGCGATCATCTTTCTTGGTACCCCGCACAATGGCTCAGATATCGCCAAATGGGGTCATGTCGTTGAGGCAGCGATCAACATTGCGGTCCCTCAAAAGCTCTTCGCCACAGAATCTCGTCTATTGAAGTCGCTCAAGAAGGACAACGGAGAGCTTCAGGATATCAACAGACAGTTTTCGAACATCTGCGGGAGGTTCAAAATGCACATGGTCCATGAAAATCACAAAACTAATATCAAGACAACAAAGCAAATGATTGTGGATTCTGAGTCTGCTTGTCCGCAGCTCCCGGGCGTTGTGTACTATGGGATTGAAGCCACCCATGCGGGGATGTGCAAATTTGATACTATAAATGCACCAGGTTTCCGCAATATTTCCACTGCCATCCGAGATTGGGTTCATGAAGCATCGCCTGTTGTTTCCCAGCGTTGGATAGGAGAGCACGAAACCCGTCGCAATACGGCCAAGAATGAAATCGATGAGCGAATGATATCTCTGGTAATGACTCTCCAAAACGATCGATTTCGTCCCATTATCTAGTCTAACTCTAACATTGAGTAGATGTATCCCCAAACTCGAAGTCTACGGTCAATATCTTCAACCACTTATAAGGGATCCGATATCACAGGCGCTGTCAACATCTTACCGATGCCAGCTGATCAATTCGTTGGCTCTTCAAAGATGAAACAACTCGGCAAAGAAAATCCAATTCTTATCCAGACCGGGGAAGAGGTAGCGGATTACATGCATGAACTCGATGGTAAAGGTCATGCCCTGTTAGATACCTCCACCGCGTCAGTGAAGTATGACGAATATGCTCGCAAATGGAAACCTCAGGAATTTCCTACAATACAAAATGATAGCCACATGTATGTGATCCATAAGTAACTGGAATTAAAAATCGTGCCTTTTTTAAGCTAACTACCCCGCAAGCGACTACTACGACCTGTACCAAGACTGCTTTGAAATCAGAGACAGTTTGATCGCTACCATCAACAAGTTCCGAAATGCGCACGGGCAAGATCCATTTATTGAATCAAGGCAAGAGACTTGGGCTGGGGTCCAAGAAGCAGTCCACCGATTCCACGACCTGGTTCGATCTCGATCAGATAGCCCGGATGAAATTAGCTTTGCTGAGAGGCTTAGAAAGGCATACGACAACCCAAGTGATGATACCTTTGATTTCGTCAGTTTTCTCTCAAAGTATACGCCACCTCGATTACTTTTGAGTTCAGTTCTCTGTGCCGGAATAAAGACATTACTCGCGGTAATGAGAGTCAACATGAACCAAGGCCACCAATTACACAAAATCCTTGAGAATTTGCCCAGTATTCTGAATCATCCGACTATTTTCATCGAGGGGCTTGGGTCAGATGAAGAATTTCATCGCAAAATTTCCGTCGTCTACAGCTGTTTGCTCAAATTACTTCGGGTATCTTTGAAATTCCTTGTCGGGGGATCAGACAGCTCAAGGATGGACAAACTTGTTGATCGTGTGGTGATGTTAAAGATGAGAGCGAACAAGCTACATACCTATGCTTCCAGCGCTTCTTATCTGAAACTAAAGGAGCTGCAAGTTCTGCAAGAACGAAACCTGGTTGTAAGTAGTCTAAGCCTCAGGGCGCAAGACGAACTCAAACAAAGACTTGATGAAACACTTCAGCGCGTAATGGCACTGGAGGGCCTGAAGGAAATTCTGATCGACGACAGGAGGAGAGATATCGAGCAACTACTGGCTCAGTCCCCGGAGCGACCTAAACATGAGGATGGGGACATAGACGAAACACAGAAAGAGGTCCCTATACAGGTTACTCAAGAAACGGCCATCAACACCGCTTTATGCCAACCATCCGAGAATACACCAGATGAGCGTCCAGCCATACCGCAGATTCTAGAGTTGCTGGAGTATGATCCTGAAATTATGCCCAGTGACTGCCACAAGCTGCTCAGGATTCAGCCGATGTCAGCGGGCTTAAAAAGTAGCAGGCTATTATATGTGGTGAACAATATGCGCCTAAGAGCATGGCTTGAGATAGATGAATCATCACTTCTACTCATCAATGGCGGCGGAGATCCCTCGCCTATCTCGGAAGTCTCGTACATCACTGCCAGATTGGCGGAGTCATTCATCTTGGTTGCACGTCCAACTCGGCAGATCATGACCATGGCGTACTTCTGTGGCCAACACCGTCGTGTTGGATCTGATGTTTACGCGTCTCCTACAGAGATGGGCATGAGCCTCCTGTGTCAGCTCATCGACACTGGCAAGGAGGTCTTTACGCCCGAGATTGTGCTTGACGCAATAGATGGATTAGAGCCATCTGACATGGCTACTGTATGCAACTCGATCGAAAGACTTTTAGCGCTCCTCGGAAGCAGCGCAGTGGTTTTCATCGTTATTGAAGGCCTCAACTTCTTCTCATACCCCGCGGGTCGCCAAGCAGAAACTAAGGAGTTACTAGGCCGCCTCGTCTCTTTTCAACGGAGAACAGAATCAGCGACGATCAAACTTTTGTTCACGTGCCCCAGTAGGGTCTTACTGGAAGACATGGTTACGAGCTCTGAAATTATGACTGTACCTCGGAGCCCACCTGACTCGGGGATTTGGAGAGAAGGCGCTTTTAGCAAACTGTTTGATGAGGTGTTGAGTGACCCGGATGACAGCTCAGACGATAACTAAGAGGAGTCTAGGGAGTGAACCACAGAGAGCTTTTAAAAATAGCATGTGAATTATTATCTCTTAGATTGTGTGACAAGCTGGCTGTATTACTAGTGACTAGATATCTTCGATTTCTAATATCTCCTAGATAAGATACGATTTCATACCGGGAGTTATAACTGAAGCGGAGAACTCTTGCTGGCTTATTCTTGCCCCTTCTTCCACGTCTAACTGGAAGATTCAGACGGTGAGCCAGCTGAATGCTAGAAGTAGGGTACTTGGTAAGTAAATCAGGGATCTGACTCCGTCTAATCCCTGTAGCCGGCGACTTCTTTCCATTTCAGGACTCATGTGGTGGGTCACTTGATTGGGCCTATTCCGGGTATAATGAAACACGATTCCATCCACCACTTTCAGAAGGCCTCCATCACCAGAACAACTACCTACATATTACTAGATGCATTGGAAACAACAACTCCCTAGTAATGACACATATGAGCTGCGACCTCTGTCACTTCAGAAAAGAGAAGTGCGTCTCCGATACTGATGCTAATCACTGTCAGCGATGTGTGCGGCTTGGTGTACGTTGCACCAACAAAAGGAGACTGCCTCGGTTAGGTCGACGGCCCAAAGTGGAACAACTCCCATCCGGAACCTGCGGCGTGCTTTGCTTTGACTCCAATGGCAGTCAAGGATCCCTCCTCGGAGCTACTGCCTCATCGGTAGCTACGCCATCTATCCTCGAAGTGCCTCATCGGGCTGATGATGAGGATACAGCTGTCGAGCAGGCTCTAGTAATGGCGACGGCAGTCTGTTCACCATACCCCGTCGTTAGGAGCCACATGTCTACTGCCCACCCTCTGGGGCCGGCATTCTATCTGCTGAACGATCCCGAAAGCTTCTATCGCGTGCACCGACGATTTATGATGGGCCGCAGCTTTAACGACATCTTCCAGCGCGCCATTTGGGCTCATCTGCCCCGAGCCAATGGCATCCTGCTGAAAGCGTATGATGTGACATTCACTACGTGGAACTGGGAAGCTAACCGACGAAAAACCCGAAGCGAGGTTGACGCTTCATTGGCAAGCGAATGCCTTAATTTTCTCCGTCAGCACCGTTTTGAGCATCCTGGAGACGCTGCTGCCTTACTCATGTTCTCCCAAATCCTCTTCGTATACCACATAAACATACATTGCACATCTGCGCACTCTATTGTCCGCAGTGCCATGTTTACAGCAGCACCTCACTATGAGGAGCTTCTCTTGGACAAAAACTTGGACCCCATTACTGTCACTCCAGTCCTTATCGACACCTGGGAGGCGTTGATACGGCGAGAGCTACCCTCAGTCAGGGTTTCGTCCTCGACCCGTCTTATCATAGACAGGACGGTTGGCCTCTGTTGGCCTCTCATTCTATTGTTGCAGGAGTTATGCGAATGCAGCTATCGTCAGAAATGCGCCTCCCCCCATTGCATAGACAGAGACTACGTCTACAGAGACGTGGAGAGTCGGATTCGAAACTGGGAACCTACTCTTCCTGATGGACTCTTTGATCAGTATACCCCTCTGGTCGTGGACACCATGTTTTTCCAGGTCCGTGTTTACCGTGCGGCTTCGCTATTAATCATTCACAGGCTGCGGTACCGCCTCGGTGATCACGACGAGGAGGCACTTTCTCTCGGGCGAATCATTTCATCTGAAGTTTTGGACTTCTTATCATGGGCGCCCGAAGAGCTAAGACATCTACCACTCGGATTGCCTCTACTGGTCGCGGCCATCGAGGCTCGGGAAATTTGCATGGAAATAATTCCTCAGTTGACAGTTTTGAACCGAAACCAGGAGCTGCTTTCGCAATATGTGAGGTTTATTGATATTGTCTGGGAAGCGAGACGTCAAGGATATGGGGGATTATGGTTTGACTTGATTGACAGTATTCAGCCTCCAATTATTATCTGATATTAATTTATTTATGCACTGTGTGCATTGGGTGCCATTCGATGGTCACCCCTCGCTTCGGTTGTTACTATTTAGGAATCCCAAATAAATGAAGTCACCTTATTTACATTAAAATACCTCATATCTAGAAATACCTGACCCCTCTTGTGAACCCGTGGATTGAAAGGTGTACGTATGCAAAGGAACCATGCCGTCTGTTAATACGCTCCAGAACTCGTCTCGTCTACAAACGAGCTCTAGTAATAAGCCTTGTGTTCATTTCCTCCCCGCGGCATGTACCCTAGTCAGGCCGGTGAATTCTTGCTATATTTGGGCTAGTGGAGTGGGAGGTCGATCAAGCGGCGTTTCGGTGGAAAGGAGAGTCCCGAATATGAAGAAAGCTCCAGCCTAGGAGAGTCGAGGAATACAAAGAAGGCTCCGACCTTGAAGAGTCGAGAATATAAAAAGCCTCCATCCTCATCGCGATCCTACTCCTTGTTTTCAACATTACACCATTCTCAAAGCATAAACAGGAATATTTACGTTCACTTTTCTCACTTTCTTGTCTTACATGGACAATGGCTGTATCGAATCTCGTCGAATCAGCAGACATTCTTGATGTTCTCATCATCGGCGCTGGTATATCGGGTATCAATGCCGCCTACTACTTGGCCACGCATGGCCCTAAAAGGCAGACGTACGCGATTCTTGAAGGCAGATCAGCAATCGGCGGAACCTGGGATCTATTCCGCTACCCAGGAATTCGCTGCGATTCTGACATTCTGACCTTCTCCTTTGCTTGGAATCCATGGCATGGGGACAAACTCCTGGTCGGCGGGCCTGAACTTTGCGACTACATGAGGCAATCTGCCGAGAAGATTGGCGCCGATAGGCACATCAAGTTCAACACTATGGTTCGATCTGTTTCGTGGTCCTCAGACAAGTCGCTGTGGACTGTCAATACAATTGTGGATGGCCAAAGACAACAAGAGTACAAGTCACGATTCATCATCCTTAGCACGGGCTACTATGACTATCGCAATCCTAAAGATCACATCATCCCCGACCTCAAGACTTTCAAAGGTGACATTGTGGAACCGCAATTTTGGCCAGAAGATCTAGACCTCGATGGCAAAGACGTTGTCATCGTTGGTAGTGGCGCCACGGCCGTTACTATTCTTCCCAATATCGCTGCCAAGACGAAACACACGACCATGTTGCAGAGAAGCCCTACTTATATCGCCACCGTGGCCAATAGAATTCCCTCGGTGGATAGAATGGCTAGGGCTTATCTTCCCGCACCTCTCGCCCATTGGGTCAGTCGGATGTATCACATGGTCAAATCTTACGCTTCTTACACCTATGTAGTGAAGAACCCAGAGAAGGTGAAGCGCTTGATTATGGCTAGAATGGAACAGCAACTACCTCCCCACATACCGGTAGAACCTCACTTTTCTCCGAGATATAATCCTTGGGAGCAAAGACTGTGTGCCTGCCCCGATGGTGATTTCTGGGCAGCTCTACGATCCGGCAAGGCCAGCGTGGTTACCGATGAGATCGATCGCGTTTCCGAAACTCAGATCCATCTGAAATCTGGAAAGGATATAACAGCGGACTCCCTCATCCTCGCTACCGGCCTCAAGCTCCAATTTGCTGGTGGGATTGCAATCTATGTCGATGGTGAGCTTATCGAGCCATCTCACAAGTTTGGCTGGAAGGGCTGTATGGTCCAAGATATACCGAACCTGGCGTTCATTATTGGATATACGAATGCCTCGTGGACACTCGGCTCTGATGCTAGCTCTTATCTGCTCATGAGGCTCCTGAGGACTATGAAGGCGAAGTCGGCTGACTCGGTTACGCCGAGGGTGCCGAAGAATGCTGATATGAAGGCCGAGCCCTGCTTCAAATTGAGTTCCACGTACTTGAAGAACACTTTGGCGGTTTTCCCTAAAGACGGAGAAGGTCAATGGAGGTTTAAGACCCATTACATGTCTGACATGTGGGACGCGAGGTGGGGTGATATTGTAACTAATCTTGAGTTCCGCTGACTACGGGCCTTTCTTAACTATAGGTATGTATAGCTATAGCATCGATTTTAACAGTCTGTCATAGTCTTCTCAACTATTCCTTAGAATTCTAAACTTATGTACTCTACTATGTTCAAGGTATGCAACATTGGGGTTTGTACAATCAGGAGATTCAACTAAATCATTGTCTTTTCCGAGTTCTGAAAGAGCGGTTGGTAGATGGAGGTCAAAGGTGGCAAATACAGCTTTTAGATTATTCACAGAGCTAAGTCCAGTTCAATTGCTAAATGAATAATAAAAGACTGTTAAAAATTTATCTCATTTGTGAACATACTCCTATCATATGTAGCTATTGGTAACTAACAAGTAAGGGTACTTAATTTAATTACCCTATCGTACCAAATTATGTTATATTCTTCACCAACATACCTACATAACTAATTTAAAAGTCGGCAGGAAGTTCAAAAGCACATTCGATCTATGACTGGATGATCAGTATTCTGAGACCAGTTCGGTCAAACTGTCCACACACCACGTTGTGTCGCGGGTACAGGGTAGGCGGCAGGGCATGGAGTGGAATGGTGCAATTGCTAGATTTTTATTTTGCCTGCCGTTTTTTCTGGGCTAGCTAGATCCGATTAATTACATATTTCGTGCTGCGCTTAGATAAACCAACGGAGAAAAGTATGTCGCTCAAGCGGAGATCTGCTCTTGATTGGACTAGGCGTGGCTGATATCGAGGCGAATGAGGTCTAGTCGGACACGTCCATCAATCAATAGCGCCTCCCGATAATATGCGCAGCTGGATCCAGATTTGCCCCTGGATGGGATGATACAAAATGCTCCGGGACCCCTTTTGACGATGGACACACTGGGTTGTTCGTTCATCGATTGGCCAGGGGCAGCAATCATGGTGTTCTCTCTGCTCGTCAGGAAGGCCACGGCCGCCTGCATCACGATGCTGCTGGTGGCCTTTTTGACTCTCACTCTCTCACGGGCAGGCGCTTACACATACCTCCGGCCAGCTCAGCCGAAGCCGGTCCTGGCCTTGTTGGAGTCGCCTCCGTCGTACAAGGTCACGGCCTGCCCTGAGCAATGGACCAACATATCGCCCGAGACCTGGAACACAGCGAAAGCTCACACAGACGATCTGCTAGAAGATAAATTCACGTGAGTTTTATTCCAATATGGCGCTGCTCGCTGAAGCAACTCAGCTAACCCTGGCTGCCTTCGTGAAGAATCGTGCTGCAGACCTACCAGAGGCCACATATTCTAGACACGACCTTGCGCCGTCTTCTGGAGAATTACGTGCCATCGCTCCTAGAACTCCATATCGTCTGGAATGATGATGAGACCCCTGTACCTGAAGACTTTTCCTCACAGCATGGCGTCCGGGTCATTTACCATCAGGCGGTAAAGAACAGCATGAATGAGAAGTTCAGACCTAACCCAGAATATCGCACCAAGGCCGTTCTCCTGCACGACGACGACGTCTACTATCATTCTGAGGACATGGAGTTCGCGTTCCAGACCTGGCGCGAGTACCAGGATCGCATGGTCGGCGCCTTTGCTCGCTCCCACTTCATCCAGGACGGACACTGGGCCATTGATTTTGCCCAAGGCGCCTACTCCATCGTCATGACCGGTCTTGTGTTCGTGCACGTTGCCTTCCTGGAATATTGGTGGTCTGAGACCCCGATGATGATCCAGATCCGGGACTACGTGGACGCCCAGATGAACTGCGACGACATCGCGATGAACTTCCTCGTCTCCGCCATCACTTGCCAGCCGCCGTTGCAGGTCACTGGTGTCAAGCCGCCGGTCAATGAAGCGCCGCCGGTGGGCATCAGTACAACCCCCGAATTTCCAAAGAAGAGAGTGGAGTGTATGAATGATCTGCCCCAGTTCTTCGGGGGGATGCCCTTGATCAACACGACCTGGGCTATTACCCGGGGGCAGTTTCCATGGTAGACATGGCGGAGACTGGCTTGAGAAAGCAAGAATTCGGTGTCGTCAATGTATGAGTTATCAGGAGTTATCCGGTGGTGTGTAGTCATATCATGCGCAAATGTTGTTATTTTTTCCCCAGCATTTTCCAACAGTTTCTGAATTAGCTCTTGGCAAAAGCTGGAGAGCATTATTGGAGTTCACTAAACAGATGTAGATTTTTCGTTTCATCTATCTTGTTAGGTTCAGCTGCTAGCATAGAATTGTCAATGGACGATTGATTCCGTGGTCCCATTCGCCTCTTGAGGATGTAGCAGTTTGAGAAGAAAAATTACAAAGCCGAATAAGGAAGATATCGACTATCCCTCGGGTCAATTTACTCTCATTGGACCCCGAGTGAGGCGAGTTTAAAGCGAGCTAACTTGAGCGTGTGCGTACAACCTCCATGTCCTTGCTTATCCGCATAATTCAATGCCTTGTCAATGTCTTTCAACGTGTATCCCGATGCGCCTTGAGCAAGTAGGATATTTAATACACTGACTCTGCCATGCTCAGCTGCCCCTTCGAGAGCGGTCCGTCCGTTGATCAATGCTCGGGGTTCATGAATTTTGGCCCCCTTACTTAAGAGAAGTAGGACGATGTCTGAATTTCCTTGGATGGCTGCAAGCTGTAACGCGGTCGCACCTCCATTCAGTGCAGGAGCAGCATTGACGTCTGCTCCATTATCCAACAGGAACTTGATCATCTGAATATAGCCCTGTTCACAGGCTTGTTGAAGAGGGGTGCGTTTCAAAGCATGTCTTGCTGGGCGTTGGATGTCAACTCCTCTATCCAACAACATCCTTACCAAACGCAGATCGTTTTTTTGTATAGAACGTAAAAGAGCAGTGACGGCTGTATCCTTCTCATAATATCCCGTGCTGGCTGCGTCTGGATCTGCACCTGCCTCAAGCAGCTGATAGATAATATCATAAATCACAGCATCGCCATTTCCAGACTTACATATATCGATGGCGAAAAAAAAAAGTTCATTACATTGACCTTGTCCCGAATGCTGTTTCACTCCCAACTTAGCCTTGAATAAAACACCCAAAGAAGCCAAATCACGGGATGCTATCGCCTGGATTAGAATCCTGCTGCCAAACCCCTTCTTTCCATTCGGGTATCTTGAGGAAAATGCGCCGATAAGAGTGGAGAAAAGATCCTTTTTGCAATCCTTAAGGGCTGTGATGATAGCCTCTTCGTCTGCCGGGTCGGCACCATGGTGTAGTAATAAAAGCACTGTGTTTTCGTCTCCGGCCTTGACGGCATTCGAAAGGCAGTCGGGTGAAGCTCCCCACTCCAAGAGTAATTTCACATTGCTAAATTTGCAATTCACCATGGCTTCAGCGAGTGAACCTGACCGCAGATAATAGGAAAGACCGCCGGCTCCGCGTTGTAGAAGGTTTTCAACCACATGTATATGTCCTAAACTCGTCGCGAGAGCGAGTGCAGCTTCCAAGTCGGTGACGAGGTATAGTTCCATTACTTGATCAATGAAATCCATCTTCCCCGTCCTTACAGCAGCACCGACAACCAGCCTTGATCCAGATTCAAAATCCATCGTGCTAATTGCTTTGGCATGGTGAGCAATCAACTCGGAAGCAATTAGCAGTTGGCTTTGGTCGATCGCCCTCACGATAGGGCCAGCTAAATTCTGCATATTCTTTCTAGTAGGAGCCAAAGTGATGAGTGATTTCAGATAGCCATAGTCACCAACCTCACTAGCTGCATCCGCTGCAGCAAGGAACTCCGAGTAGTCCAGCCCATGATCATCAGATAATGTGTTGAAGGCTCCTCCTTCCTGAAGTCGATCGAGAAGGGCAGCGTTTTTCCAACGGATCGCTTCAGCTAATGGTGTCGTAGATATGCAACCGGAAGCATAATGGGCACAGTTACCATTCACCAAGAATATGGCATCATACATATGTGTCAAGCACGCGACTTCCCCGCCCGGAGCAGTACCCCGTTCCAGGATTAAGTCGACCATTTTGATGTCTCGCTGATGAACAGCGGACGCAAGGTGTCCCGAGGTAGGCTTGATGTGGTCCAACAAATATTTTACCAGCGTAATGTTGTTATTCGAGATTGCCATAGCAACAGCTTCATTCAAAAGCCGAGTGTACTCAGTAGAGGGCGCTGGGATAAAATTCAACCTCTGGCAGGTCGCCAAAAGAGTTTTGATCATCTTGTCAGCTGCGTCGTTATCTCGCACCTCCTGTATCAATCGCAATATCGGAATACGAGGTTCATCCAGTGGGAAGTGTATCAATTTGGCATCCAGTTCGTTCCATTCTCTCCAAGCATCCGCAGTAAAAAGCATGGGATAGTGCTCCTCTGGCACAGCTTCAAACAGCATTTCACAGAGGTAGCTCTTCGCCGAAAGTGCTTGTATGAGGTAATTTGTCGCTTGTTGAGGCTCACGGGAGAGGCATAATTCAACAATCGATGCCATTTCTTGTCTATGAGTTGTACTGTCCTTGCCACCCCAACATCGATCACAAGATCCTTGAATTGCAGCTTTGAACGTGGAGCGGTTTGGCTCCTCCTCCTCAACGCTTATCTTAGCGCCACGGGCAAGCAAGGCTTTGATAACCCCGAAATGATGCAACTCAGCGGCCAATGCCATAGGTAAAATTTCCCTAGGCTCCCAGCCGCTGAGGTCGTAAATTGGCTTATCGACATTGATCTCATTCGCTCTCCCTGAAGTTTCCTTTAGTATGATGCTAACCACCTCTTCATCTCCTGCTTCGATGGCAAGCTGGAAAAGATTACTAGCAACAGGCTTTGCAATAGAATGCTGATATGAACGAAGCCCATTAATCATATTGGACATCCCATCAGGAGTAAGTCTTAGAACGCCAAAAATAGCAAGGCGTTGCATTGGAACAATACCGGCGAAGTTGTTAACCAGAGAGTACATGATACGTGCATTTACATCTGATATTGAGATATCACGCCCTCTACTAGAGACAAGCGTCGAATCCACCGTGGAGCTGGATCCGGAGAGACCTGCTCCCGGTAGAGATACGAGTCGCTCAAATATGTCATTCACAGAGAGTGCTGTGACATCAGCTTGTCTCCACCGAGGACTTTGAGCAATCTTTGCCAAAACAGAATCGATATAGGCGAAAGCTGCTAGTTGAGGGCTGGGTGAGCTAATCTGGCGAATACGGCCGATCTCACTTCCCCTGGGGCTCAATATAGCTTCCAGATTGCAGTCAGATGACCATTCTCCCGGGGAAGAAGGTGGGTAAAGTATGGAGTTGAAAAGATCATCCACGTTCGATGAGTCATACTGCGGCGACATCACTGTCGCAGGCAGGTCGGTGGGTTGGGGGTTAATCGCATCGAATATATAAGTATCCGCGTCCAGATAAATGTTTGTTGAATCAGACATGTCCAGTATCTCATCAAATGGTAGAGGACACTCTATGGGCTCTGATGGCATTGTGTCAGCTGCGCAAAAGACATGCCCAATCGTAAGAGAGTGGATCTGTGACGGCTGGCTGCGAGCAGGAGAGTGGATGTCCGTTTGGATAAGAGCGGAAGAGGTTGAACTCTGAGGCATTTCGGGGCTCTCATTTCTGTTGGAGTACTCAACGTACTGGCCATCGGGCTGGCGGAACTCGAGACACCAAGGACGCGTCTCGTCTGAGGACGGGGCCAACGCTAACACATAAGATTGTTAGTGTTTTGCACAACTGGCATTATGACTTTTTCACTTCTTGCCAATATTGTCTGAGTTTAATGCACCTTGTCTCCCGCCGTAATGATAGCGAGCTTTTTTAATCTTTCGGTTATCGAATATATGGTCTCCGACTCTAATGCGAGGCTCCAGGCCCTGGCTCTGTAGATCGTCATAGACCGGCAAGATCCTCTCCCAATCACGCTTCTTCAGGTTCTTGACAGCTCCCCATTTCGCAATTTGACATTCATATTGGGAAGCTCTGAAATGATCAGCCTTTGTTGAATCACCAGATGTCCACTCGCGCAACAAGCATGGTAGTGAGCAGCAGCTGTCGTTCCAACGCATATCCTGGATATTTTAATGCCTGACGGGGTAGGTCATTCCTCAACTGGAACTTACGTTGCGTGAAAACTGTGTTCGTCTTTCATGACCTGTATCAAGCTCCGGCCTGCTGCGTCGGGGGCTTTTAGAGGCAGTTTGTCTTTGAACCGGAGGTCCAGAATGGTAGCTTTGTGGCGCTCCCACTCAGTAGGCGAAATTTTACGCGACGACGGCGGCATATCGAGGAGTTTCGATTGTCCAGGTGAACTCTATAGCAAGAGACAAATAGGTGTTAGGGAGCTGCAGATATTCGCATCGGGAGTATATTACACTTAGCAACTTGGATTCTGACAGTTGCTTGGTGTATGTTGACTAAGTTGGATATATAGCTAAATTCTGGGACCAGGGCTTTGGTCCTTGGGCTCTGGCGCCCAGGTTATGGAATACAGGTTTTGGAATCCCGGTTTTAGAATCCAGGTTTTGGAACGGGCTGCATAAGGCTCGCACCCTTGTCTTGCCACGTCGAATCAGGACTTGCCGCGTGTGGAAATCTGCGTCGCAGCAAGCTGAAAAACAACTAATGGCGTCATTCCCGCTCTATATCGTGTCTAGAAATTTGAAACTAGGGATAGTTCATGATCACAGGTAAACTGCGGAGGAGAGGAAACTATCAATTTCTTCAAGCTCGCAGACTTGCAAGAAACACATGATCAGAAGACGGCCAAAGGGAGGAAGAGTGGGAAAAAAGAAGACCTAGGGAGAAAACTCCTCGCATGGGTTTGATCCGCTGCTGACGTGGGTGGTCAGCAAGTGCAAAAAGCTCAGCTCAGGCAAACATGCATGATGCATCAGGCCACTCGTGCAAAACTTGAGAGGTGAGGTCTATGGCTGCTTACGGCTGAGTATGAAATGAGACAACAATAAAAAGGCTTAATCAACTGCAGTGTGATAGTCCTATAATGCACGTATCTTCCTAACAGCCACAATATATTCCAAGGCTAATAATTGGCGGGTGAAGAAATACTACGTGTACTGTATTTCCTGGTACACCATTGCCGCCAGCTCATGACGTACACTAGCCACTAGCTGTATGTAAGAGCATGATGGCTGCGTCGCCCTCCTGCATAATGTATTTCCCAATCGAACGTAGTAAAGAGGAGCTGGGGCGAGAGTTCTTCTTTGCGCGGTGTTTGCATCACAATTATCCTGATACGGCCTGTGACAAGTCGAAGAATGCCAAAGATTCCACTAATCATAACAAGACTCGCCCCAACTGTAAGGGAGAGAAAACCGCTGTTGGTAGCTGTCAAAGCCTTATCTCGGGGTCTATGCAGCTGCATTTTTTGATCGCATTTCGTTGCGACCCCAGGCTCGGTAAAAGTGTGCATCTAGGAAGTGGCCGGTAAGACTATCCTGATCGCGAGATATGCCCGAACACGAAAAAGGAATCAACAATGAAAATAACATAAGATGTGTATGCACAAACATTGATTTCCGTCAATGTATTCAGATCGAGTCCGAAAAGTTTCGGCATTCGCCGGTGCGGCTGAAGCTCTCAGCCGAGCCGTCCCAGCCCAGCTGATGCAAGACACGGTCTGCTTATACGGCCTGGGCAGTCCGACCCTTCACCCAGCAGAGCCTTTTGTCCAGCCTTTGACGAAAGGAAATTCCACCTGCACGATGTGTAAGAGGCTATGCACGCAGGTTATCATTGTTATTATTACAGATGCATCTCAGACAGGTCGGTGTTGAGCCGGCCAGCCAATGTACCGGCCCAGGTTCAGTGTTTACCAATGAACCCTGTACCTGCATACGGTAGGTAGTAAGCATGGGCACAGGCACCGCTTGGCTGGCCGCAAAATCGGTCTGATGGAGGGCGCTGAGCGCCTAATTGACGGTGAGCGAATGGCTGCTCTTCCGCGATGCAGCATGGAAGCTCCATCAGTCTCAATTTGAAACAAGCAGTGAAATTAAAGCTTGCCGAGAGCCTGAACACGTAAAATAGCCGCGGCGCGCGATTGTCATAAGAAGTCGGCTATCTAACCCTGCTCATATCCTAGCATTGGCAGTCTGAGCCTCCAGTATTATCGACTGCTATCGTCATCACCACATCAAGGTTTCCGCCCGAGATGGCCTCAACCTATGTTTACATAGACGATGGCATGGAACAGTGCCGTGATGGTCCGGTTATCAATGGCTTCACGTGTCCGAGTGGTTCCAGGTGTATTTGGCTCGCGGGCCAGACAACTATCCTCTGCTGCCCAGATTCATCAACCAGCAGATGTCAACACATTGAACCTATCACTTGCAATGTCTCGGCCCTAAGCCCTATGATCTACGAAACTACACCCATCAAAACAACCATCTTTGACGTGTCTCTACCGAAATGTGGAACGGAGTGTTGTCCCTTCGGTTACCAGTGTCAAGATTCGACTCGAACTTGCTTGAAATTACCCAACCAGAGCAAACGTCCGTGCCCAGCGCGCACTGATGATTATAGGAGCATTATGAATACAACATTAGAAAGTGACCGATCAACTATGCCAGGGTAAGTTTGTCTACCTAGATATAGATACAAAAATCAAGCCAAACACTCAACTTCTGATAGGGTCTCGTCCGCAGTCATAATCACAATACAGCCAGGACCAACTTCACTCACAACAACTTCACTCACAATGACTTCTCTCACGACAACTTCGCTCACGACAAGTTCCAGGACCCCTGGCACCCAAGCAGACACGTCATCCGCACCACCCTCTTTGACATATGTTATTGTTCTCGCAATCGCGCTTTCATTTACCCTCACCATTCTTCTTGCAACGATGATATTTCTCGTGTGGAAACGTCGAGTGGGAAAGACTAGACATGATGAGATTATTGAGTCTCGCAGTCACATTCCCCCTTGCCGACCCCCAAGGTTGTACAACTCACAGGCTAGATTTGACAAGGCCGAGCTCGACACTGGCTCCTGTGAGCTTCAGAGATCGCTGAGCGCCAAAGACGGCGTTCGTGCTACCCGTTCTCCGGCAGAGCTGCCAGCCACGCCGGTTAGCAGGAGGCTGGAAGCCGCTCTGGGCAAGGAGATGAGATGGTTCTAAGACGACGCATGCCGTCCAGAATTCACGTGTTTCCTGGTTGTCGGCAATGTGACCGTGCAACAGGGCCTAGTCTGTACCATTTGTTCTACGAGGAGCGCTTGTCACCCAACATGTCATTTGGTTTCTATTGAGACCGTGTATTAAGCCTCTCACATGACTCCATCGCATACATTTGAGGTACGGTGGCTACAACATGAGCAACGAACCCCCCGTCGATTGAATGACCTGGCCGGTTAGGATCACTCAACTGGGTGTGATTCAAGGTGTTTTGGAAGAGACATCTTGAGGCTGAATGCTCCACTTGAGGGAAGATATTATTGAAGAAGTCGACTCGGATAATCTCGGCACTGATGTGACGGGATGAGCTACATTTGTAAGGAAGAATGATGGCTATCAGAAATATATAGATTAACTTAGCCGCTGGGCTCTCTTATTTGACATTAAACAAATTTGATTGAATTCAAGCTAATGGTCCATTTCTAGTGGAAGTTGATTAGCTAACAATACGTCACGTCAAGAATTAATGTTGTCTGTACAATCGTAGAACAACCGGGTCGTGAAAATTTGGCTTCAAGTACTCAGCTGTGGCTGTTTTTTCCTGGAGCGCAAATAATCGCCGCATTACGGTCCCAAGATGATTCCTGGGGGCTTTGGATCGATGCGAAAGGATCCAATAACACACCATGATTGCCACAGTTTCAGTGCCTGGGCGAACGCTGGCAATGTTGCACACAATGTGGAGGTAACTGCCTTATGGCGGCCACCAGCTCTGCCCAAACAACTTCACGTTCGGTGATGCTGACCAAACGGTTGTCAGTTGCCTCAATTAGAGTGCGACTAGGCCCTGGATTATGCGTTGTCATGCTACTAAACCCCATGGGGATTGTTGCATAGCAGCGATGGCACATGAAACCCTGCCTTGGGATGCATTTTGTGCTGTTCGCATGCAAACCGTGGGGATTGATAGGCCCTTGGGCAATTAGAGATGAAACACAGCGCCAGTTGGTTTCTGACAGCAATCAAATCCGTCGCATCTGTCCAGTTTGGCGTTTTATGCCACGTCCCATTGGAACGTCATGAATACTCTACTTCACTGCACATCAATGATCTCTACCGTTTGTTGGTGGTGACCAGCATGAAACATTTCTTCGAGCATTGACTACCAATACAGTTCATTTCCAGGCACGACGTAGCATCTGAAATGCATCCGTACCCTACGTGGTGGTCTCAGCCCTGGCTTCTGGCTTCTGGCTGGGGTACCTTAAATGCTTCGACATGTTGTCTCACCCCCTTCGCTTTCACAATTGTTTATTCAAGCTTGAGCCACCGAAGTTAATCAAGATGAAAATCCTCATCATAATCGCTTATCTTGCCCCCGTATTCCTGTCAATCACAGGGCTGATATTGTCAACCCTATGCCTCCATTCCGGCAATGCGCCCGGGGTCATGGAGGACTTCGCCCTGGCTAGGGTAAGTGGCGAGATGGGATCAAGGGATGAATGAACGAGGATTATGCTGACCTGCATTTCAATAGCTAGATGTGACCATGCTCGGTCAGAATTTAACAGTCATAGAGGATGGCCCTGGCCTCCCAACCTCACCACGTCCTCAACCTAACCCCAACCGGCCGAGGCCTGGAGATGACGGTGACGAGAGCCTTATTTCAGCCATTATCAAGTTAATTATCGGCTTCTTGAACGATTTATCTGGAATTTATAATGGGTCATCAACCGATTCTAACGCCGATGTTGGCCTTTCGGATTGGTACTCCATCCATGTGATGACGGCTTGCAGAGGAGAGTTCTTCGACTCCACGCTCCCAAGCAAAACTGACCTCAACACAACAAACTGCACTCGCGCGAAACTAGGATGTAAGTAGCTCCACACTCTCACGATGGAATTTTCGGTTTACTGATCCTATGGCTTTGCGTTAGTTCGTTTCAATCTGACGGAGCTCATGGCCGAAGATCTCAAAAAGTCCGGGATCAATGTTGACTTGGGGAACTACACCGAGGCTGATCAGTTAGAAAAAAAGCTTGACATTCTCAACAAGGTCTTAACTGCCTTGGCAGCATTCTACATAATATCCATGGTGTTTTGCGCCCTCGCCCTCGTGTCTTCGTCAATCTCCCTATTCAGCGATAATCACACCGTCAGCCGTCTCGGCTTGCTCTCAGTCCTGCTCGCAACATTGTCACTCTTCGTAGCAAGTGGCATAGCAACAGCGGCTGCGAAACAAAGCGCTGATGAAGTCACTAAGCTAGGGAGGGAAGTTGGAATTGAAAGCTACCGTGGCTATAAATTCCTCGGGCTCACGTGGGGAGCTGCGGTCGCCATGTTTGTCGACATTTTTTTTGAGATTGCACAAGTTCGACGGACGCGAGAAGAGTTGAAGTCTACCAAAGAGCCTGCCGGCGAGGAGTCTGCTGAGGAGCCTTGATAGGCTTGAACATCCTAAAAAGCACTGCAGAGCAGGCTGGGTATGACAAATATTAATAATCAAAAACATAGAGGATAATCAAAACAGCACGTCAGAATGCTTTCACAGTCATGAAATGGGGGGCTCCTAATAATTCAGAAGAGTTATTTTCGATCAATCAGTTTTCGAGTTTTTCTAGTATGATGAAAATGATGACTAAGAACACGTATATGTATATAAAATCAAGAAAGGTTATAATAAAAAGAAAAGCGTTTTCTCATCTCATGCCAAGCTCGGTATAAACCTAGTTTTACTCATAATCGCGTTGAATCTGTCCACGTAGCTTGGCACAATCTCCTGATCCGCAGCGAGATCCTCCTGGATCCAGAGCGCATGTAGACCCCATCTCAGACAATCCAGGCTTCTACCGTATCTATTCTTCTCCGACCTCTTGACAAGATTGAGGATAATAGCTCGTTGCTCGTCGGTTCGGGCTTCGCTACCAACGATTAGAAGAGGGAACTGGTGCTCATGAGCCCATAAGCGATCTACCAATGCGAACGCTTTGTCTATCAGACCCTGTATATCACGAGGCTTCCCGGAAATACTCTCAGATACCCGTGCGAGATAGATGAGTATTGCAATTTGATACAACTTGATCGGATTTGTCGCAGTGTTGTTCATCTGGGCATCATAATTCTCAGACACTTCCACGATGGTGCGCGCATTGCCTTCGAGCGCAGTCAGAATTCCGACATAATTTTCCATTTTGTCTTTGTGCTCAAATGCTTGGAAGAGGACGTTGAAAATCTCGGTTAGGAACTGCAACACGCGATGCGATGGACGGGCAGGATTCGTGAGCTGGGCAATGAGAAACAATTAGCGTATTTACCAACTTGATAAACTGGCACAAGCGTACTTGCGCTCCCTTCGAATCTAACAGAAGGTCTGCTTGACCTTGAGTGCTGATCTGTTCAGCAAAGATGTTTTCCACCTGTCGATGCCGCCAGTGGAGAATGCTGAATTGGGCAACAACATCGTGATAATGCACCCACTCGAGCATCTCAGAGACGAATCTTTTGTCCGCATGCTCATCAAGACGGCTGACCTTGATGATGTCCTTTACTCCGCGGACGTACCATAGCCACTGTCCACCAGTCTCGGACGAATCATGAATCTAATAGGGTATTAGCATAAGTGACCAAGCCTGAGACAGGAGTTGCAAGTTCGACCCACCTCGAAAGAGCAAAGCAGCATGCCTGCTGCGACATGTTGCGCTGCTTCAGTCGTGCTCAGCGAACTACGCTCTGCTGATCGCGTGAGCTCAGTAATAGCAGCGGTCTTGAATTGGACGGCTTGTGACTGGAGTCCGTTGCGGTATCGGGATGCAAGGGCAAGTAAGGCGAACAAGACTGCCTTGGAGGACGAGGAGTCGTTGCAGAATGCCATCTTGATCAGCAAGTCGCCGAATTCTCTCGTATTTTGGTTGAATGTGACTAGAGAGTAGGAAGCCGTCGTTGCAACTATGGAGTCCATCAGTCCTCGTTGAGATGACTCATTGGAAATTCAACCATACGCACAGTATTCAACTAGAGACGCCTCTCCTCCGCCGAGCGGAGATGGATTCCATGGTGGATGATAAGGCGTACATAAGTGGTGGAGAAGCTTGTTCCGATCTGGTGCTTCTGTGATGGATGGTTAGCCAATCAATCACAAAATCCCATAAGATTATATGGGAGATTGTCCCAGAAATAACCTACTTCTAATGCTCAAATCAACCAAGTAGTCGTATATTTCCATATCTCGGTAAGAAGTCTGGATGATGTGAACTTTAGGAAACATGGTCTTAGTCTTTCGTCTCGGCGGCAAGTCCACATGCATCGCCCGCCTCGGATCAGTGGCCTTGGGCCAAGACAGGCGGACTCCATATCCTTGGCATGTCCTTCTGACCCGGGCACAGTTTGAGCATCTTGGGATAGTCCGGTCACAACGAACTCTACGGTCTATGACATCGATTAATCAGCTTCCGTCAAGCGCTGGGCGTGTTCGAGGCCAAGATACGGCGATTTGTCATCAACATACCCTTGCATGTCCAGCAGCTATTGGGCGCCAGCGCGGTATCTCGAGGCCGGTTGGATACCATACTCGCGGAAAGTTGTACTCACTCGGATGCCAAAAAGTAAAAGTTATCAGCTCAAAGCTTGTGGAGTGAGATGGAATTAAAAGGGCTGAGAGGTGTCTGTATGGGACCGGGTTGCTGACTCTCCAACCAACGAATCAGTCAATTGGCACAAGTAACTGAGCTCCACCGAGGGCAAGTAATCGCGAGATTTATGGAGCCTTCCCCCCCTGACAAATTAGTAATAATACGACCAATCATAGATGCTGATGGTGGAACCAATGCTAGTGATGGAGGCTTAACAGGTGGGCTTTAGCAATGGTATAAAAATGATAGAGCAGTTGCCTTCAAAGAGATTCTGAATTTGCAATCAGCCAGAAACAGTTATCTTACGTCGAAATCTCTTAAGACTCAACATTTCCAACCAACCATGCCTTCGTACCTTATCACCGGCGCCTCGCGAGGGCTTGGCGTACGCACATGAGTCTCAAGATGCTCGACCTACCCTAATGCCCGGACACAAAAGCTGATGAAATTTCCAGTATGAGTTTCTTCGCCAAATTTCTGAGAACCCAAGCAACACTGTTGTTGGGCTTGTCCGCAATAAACCTGAGACTGAGGCGAAGGTCAAGGCACTAAACCGTTCCAATGTCCATATCGTCCAAGGTGATCTTGAGGATTTTGACTCACTGAAGGTAATCTGATTTCAAAGCAGATTTTTTTATCTTTGTCTGAAGAATTGGAAATGACCTGGTTATTTTCTTTACAGAAATCCGTTGACCAAGTGTCCGCGGTTGTGAATGGGTCTCTGGATTACCTCATTGCCAACGCCGGTTATATCTCTTCGTGGTCTGCCTATGATGGCCTCAGTACCCTGTATGATTTACACTCCCTGAAACTACTCGAGTGTGAACGTTTTAAGCTAAGACGACCACATAGCGGCGATGACCCCAAGAAGCTGGAAGAAGACTTGCTGAAATGCTTTCGTGTCAACACAATTGGCAACATCCACCTCATCAACCTCTACTTGCCCCTCGTGCTGAAGGGCGAAGTGAAGAAAGTCATCAGTCTTTCATCCGGATACGCCGATGACGAACTTACCACCAACTTCAATATCAGTGAATCCAGTCCATACACCATCAGCAAGTCGGCTATGAATACCGCTGTGGCCAAGTACAGCGCCGAGTATGCAGAGCAGGGCGTACTTTTCTTGTCTCTTGCTCCGGGAGCCGTTGAAGTTGGACAAGACGCAGGAAGTGAGGGCCAACTCCATTGCAAGATTTCGTTAAAAGTGCAATGCTAACGGCTGCGAAAGTTACCGAGGAGCAAATCCCCAAAGCAATGGCTCTAGGCGGCAAGTTTGCGGCTTATGCACCTCATTTCAAAGGCCGAACTATGCCAGAAGAGTCAATCAAGGACATGCTGTCTGTCATTGATAAGGCAAGCGTCAAGGACGGATACGGTGGCTCATTCATTTCTCACAAGGGAAATAAGCAGTGGCTTTAAAATGTGGTTTTACGCCGACTACGCCGACTACAACACACTTGTTAAACACTGGTTGGTAGTGTATGATCCAATGAAGAAATTGCGAGCTGGCCACCGAAGTGCCCTTCCGCCCTCTACTCTCAAATAGAGTAAGATTCAATATATATACTGTTGGACTTTTTGTTAAGTTTAAAGAGACAAGTTTGAGGCTAATGTTGACGCAACTCGTAATTGATGACACTCAACTGGTGTGATCCTGCATTGATTTGGCGTAGATTCACCCTTGAATACTCTGCAATACGTTGTTGCCAGCCTACAAGTGGCCGATCATAAAATAATAAGCAGGACAAATTGTTTTCCGATTGGTCTTTTAGGTGATTGCGTGATTTAGAAACCGGTAGTGAGGCAACAATGAGGCGTCCTTCCAAGCTTCCCGCCTCACATCACTCTACTGAGCATGAAATTCTTACCGCCCAATCCTCGATATGACAAGGGCATGGGATTGGACAAAATGCAATAATAAAGTGCACATTGCTGGCATTTGGCTCATCCCCTGCAGTCATTGTTCATGGGTACCGTAGAAAGTGCATGTTCGGTATATCATGCAACCCTAGCATGCCTTGATACCCAAGGCAGATCACGTTGACATGTACGTCAGGTCTACAAGGTTCAGGATACGACCGGCCTCGATCCGCTATGCATGTTGGCACCGACAGTCTGACTATGCATTGAGGGGGTCCACCACGTTACGAAGCAACATGTGGCATCATGCACGATACATCATTTTGCTGCCTTCGCTGGAGCCCGGTGTTACGCTATTGGGTGATAAATGACCATATTGGTGGGAGAGGTCCCTATCTTATTGGATACTGGAAGGGTCTGTGGAACATGGCGGTTGGCTATTGCGAGGTGGCTGCTACGATACATGCGGGAGGCCCTCCACGGTGTGCTCTTTTCATTGGCACAAAATGTCAGAGGCTAAGTTTGACCGCAGCCATTAGACCGCCTCAGAAATGAGACAACTTGCTGCCCAGACTTTGGCTGCTGCCTAACACAGGTGCACAGATGAACTAAGCCTTCATATTGTCTTTACTGGCATCTCCCTTTCCCTATTCCCCCGCCCCATTCTCACGGTTCGTGACCCACGACATACACAGTACCACCCATGCAAGCTAGGAGCAGGGCTTTGGTAAACGAATTTTCAATTACTCCTTTCTCAGGCTTGCGCTTGATCTACCACTTAATTCAACGTTGTTGATACGTATTCAACAACACCATGTTTAGGGGCAATCCCAAGAGAAATCTAAACGGCGTTTGCCGGGAGTTTCGACGAGATGGCGTTTGCAAATACGGAGTGAGGTGCAAGTTCTCTCATGGCCCACAAACGGGAGATGGGCGGCAGTCCGGCTCCTCCCAGGCTCAGGCCAATACACAGAGGTCAGGCACAAGACAGCGTCAGTCGAACCAAGATGTTAGGTGGCGAGAGTGGAAGCAAATATTGAACGCTTCGGCGTCATCATCTTCAAGGCCATCGGAAGATGTGGCACGCAGGTTCTTTTCACTTGCGCTCGACCTGATGAGCGGGGATCAAGGGGCTTCTCAGGAAACAATCAAAGCGTTGGCCGATGACCAAGGACTCAAGTTCATCAGAGACCTGGCAGATCGCCACATACTAAAGGCTCAGAGGGATCAATCTGGTCTCCGTCTTTGGGTAGATGAGATTTGTCCCCTTTTCCAGCTCATCACTCATGAGCGAGTGGTGGACTCTGCAGTGCTGGAACAGCAAGTGGCGATGATCTACAACTTCCTCAGTGGCGTCCATGGGCAACGAATGGTCAGGGTTTTTAACTTCATCTTGAGCTTGGTTCGCTCTTGGCCAGCTTCGACAAACGGCGTTTCGAAAATGCCTGTTATCGAGCTTTCTCTTGCGGTGTTGACTAAGATGATGGACTGTAACACTTTGCTTATGATCGATGAAAGCCTCTCGTCAATTGTTCGCGGGTTTGAGAAGTGTATCAACTCTGAGCCGAAATCATCCGAGGACTTTTCTTGCGTGCAAGCAAAGAGATACCTTGACTACATACGGCAACGGCTCGAAGTTGGCCAAGAAATAGACGCCATGGAACCAAATGTAGTTCCCGTGACTCGTGAGGCCTTCGTCCTACGTCGAGACCTTCCAGGAACCCTTTCTGCGGAGGGACCACGTCATGATAACGACAACAAATCCATCTCAAAGATAAAAATCCTTCCTACTTCTGAGGAAATAATGTCTCCACGTCGCGAGTATTTGCCTACTACGGACTCATCAGAGTGGCACGTCCCTGGTATCCGCGGCCGAGTCGACAGGGAATTCCGGTTACTCAGAGAGGACACTGTAGGCCAACTTAGGGATGCCGTTCATGATACACTGGAGCGCATTCGCAACATTGATGCGCGAGTCGATCGCAGCTCCAAAAATACCGTGCGAACCTTCTCGTACGAGTACCCTATGCCGGTCGATATTGGCTTTGACAGTTTCTCGGGTTTGCAGTTCACCATTCGGTGTAATCAGCCCCCTGCTTTGAAAGGGATGACGGCTAAAAGACGCCGAGAGTGGTGGATGCAAAGCAAGAGACTCCAATCAGGGGCATTGGTCTGCGTTCTAGATGCGACAGGTTCGGTCCAGTTCTTTGTGGTTTCGGAATCGACTATGCGAACTGAAGATGACGACGTCGCCAAGAAGAAGGCCCAGCGTGGACAGAACAACGACAGCGAATCTGAGCCAAAGGAGCTCCTCACCCTGTCTGGAAGCGAAGAACATCTGTTCGTTACTTTGCAATTGGTTGACACTGGAGCTTCAGAACTCAGACGGACTTTGAGGTGGTATCGTAGCACAAAATCATCACCTCGCCGGTACATTGTAGAGTTTCCCGGAGTGCTGCTTGCATCCTTCCAGCATACTCTCACAGCACTGAAAAGGATTTCCGAACAGCCAAAAATTCCGTTTCATGATCTGATTGCGCCTTCAGGCAATGTGGGCCAGCAGACGGTCATTTCATCTCCGCTCTACACAAGAAAGGCCGGATTCGAATTCGACTTGAGGCTGTTGACCAACGACAACACCAGTCTGAGGGTAGACCCTCGTCATCCGCCGCAGCCCGAAGTGCTCGCGTCCCGATCATCTTTGGATCTCACGCAATCAAGAGCGCTTCTCTGTGCCCTCACACAAGAATTGTGCTTGATCCAGGGTCCACCAGGAACAGGCAAGAGTTACACGGGAGAAAAAATAATAAAGGTTCTCCTGAATCACAAGGAACAAACTAAGATGGGACCGATCCTCTGTGTTTGTTACACTAACCACGCTCTAGATCAACTTCTTGAGCATCTTCTCGACGAAGGAGTTGATCAGATTATCCGAATAGGATCCCGATCAAAGTCCGAGAGGCTTCAAAACCGTAATCTGAGAGTGGTTGCCAAGACAGCCGAGCGGACGAAAACTGAAGCCAGAGAGCTCTGGACAGTCCAAGATGGGATTCGGAACATTGATCGCGACTTGACGAAGCTGATTGGCGACCTGGCCGACCTAGAATCAGTGGAAACGATCAAAGGTCATTTACGCGAAACATCGCCCAGACATTTTCACCAGCTTTTCGTGGATGATGAAAGGGAATGGACGGAAGTTACTTACAAAGAAAAACCCTCTATACCGAAATGGTTGCATGGCGGATCTCAAGATAAGAAACAGTCGAGACAGCTGGTTGAACTACAATTGGTTAATCTATTCGACATGAGCTACCTTGAACGTCGGAAGATTTACAACCACTGGATAGAAACTCTGAGGGATCCCATCATAGAAAAGATGGCAGACCTGCACCGCAAATACACAACCGCTTCTGAACAGCGGGATCGAATCCGAGGAGACACCGACCTTAGATGTCTTCAGCAGGCCGACGTTGTTGGAGTCACAACTACCGGCCTTGCAAGGCAGCTCGAGACACTTCGAAAACTTAGAAGTAAGGTGATGGTCTGTGAGGAAGCGGGTGAGGTCCTTGAGGCTCATATCCTTACTGCGCTTCTCCCATCACTGGAGAGCGCAATTCTTATCGGCGACCACCTCCAACTTCGGCCGCAGATACAGAATTATGAGTTGCAAAGTACGAATCCCCGAGGCCAACAATACTCATTGGATATGTCTTTGTTTGAACGGCTTGTCCAACCTCTTCATGACGGGGACGTGCAAGTTCCGTTTAGCACACTTGAAACGCAAAGGAGAATGCATCCCTTCATGTCGGAGCTGATTCGATCGACACTCTACCCCTCATTGATGGATTCAGAGTCAGTCCAGAACTATCCAAAAGTTGTTGGAATGAAGCAGCGGTTGTTCTGGTTTCATCATGAGCACCTCGAAGCCTCGGCTGCGAATAACGACCCGCTCAACACATCTAGATCAAACGACTTTGAAATCGAGATGACTACAGCCTTGGTCTCCCACCTCACCCGCCAGGGTGAATACGCCCAAGGAGAAATCGCGGTCATTACGCCTTATCTGGGCCAACTCCATAAACTCCGGCGTCGAATGGAGTCGATGTTTGAGATATGTGTCAATGACCGAGATCTTGAGGACCTTGAAATGCTCGAGGAAGAGAATTTCGGCAGCTCCGCGCCAAAGAAACCCACCGCGACCCGAAAGACTACGTTGCTGAAAAGCGTGAGGGTCGCGACCGTGGACAACTTTCAAGGCGAGGAAGCCAAGATCATCGTGATATCCTTAGTCCGAAGCAATCCTCAAAATCTATGCGGATTCCTAAGCACTTCCAACCGAATCAATGTGCTACTCTCCCGCGCCAAGCATGGTATGTATATCATTGGGAACTCGAACACCTGCCAGCGTGTCCCGATGTGGGCTCAAGTCATGAATATCTTGCAGGATAAAGGCCAGTTTGGTACGAGTTTGGAGCTCGAGTGCCCGCGCCATCCCAATACCCCCATTCTTGTATCCGAAGCAGACCATTTCGTCCGATTCTCCCCAGAAAGTGGATGCCAGCTGCCATGCGAGAAGAGGCTCGACTGTGGCCACTCCTGCACAGGGAAGTGCCACTCCAACGTCATCCATAGCGCGGTCAAGTGCCTAGAGCCGTGCCCCAGATTAAAGAAGGGATGTGATCATTCCTGCCCTCTTCGCTGTGGCGATCCATGTCAGATAAAGTGCCACGTTCGACTGAAGGACCTTCGCCTAGTCCTTGACTGCGGGCACATCGTCACAACAGCCGAGTGCTGGCAGGCTCAAGACCCATCGCTTATCCGCTGCTCTGTGACAGTGTCTCGAAATGTTCCAGGTTGTGAACACAAGGTCCAGGTGAAATGCTCTGACGATATCACCGGTGCCAACTATCAGTGCGTGGTGGTTTGCGCCCAAAATCTTCCTTGCGGACACTCGTGCAAAAGTCCTTGTTTCAAGTGTAATGCTCGCGAAGGCGGCCAGATCGCGAAAGCGAATCATGGCATCTGTCAACAACCATGTGGACGAGGTTACTCTGCTTGCCAACACAACTGTGCCAAAGCTTGTCATTCGGGCACTGCTTGTTCGCCGTGTGATCAGCCCTGTGAAGTGCGATGCAGCCATTCGAAATGCGCCAAAGCTTGCAACGAGCCTTGCGTGCCATGTGCCGAGGAGAAGTGCCACTCCTGCTGCCCTCACTCCGAATGCAGCATGCCCTGCGCAGCTCCCTGTGATTGGATACCTTGCTCAAAGCGATGTGAGAACTTGTTGAAGTGTGGCCATCAATGTAAGGAAGACTTCGAGAGAATGACGCCAGCAAGTATCACATATACTGATTTCATTTATAGGTCCATCGCTTTGTGGCGAAGCATGTCCGGATATCAGATATTGCCAGAAATGCGCCTCAGATCCAGTCAAGCAATTTTGCGTCGACTTTGTGGAGCTGAAACTTTATGAGGACATTAACCTGGACGAGGAGCCATGCATCTTTCCTGACTGTGGGCATTTCTTGACCATCACCTCAATGGATGGGATAATGCACATGTCTGACCACTATGAGCTGGACATGGATGGATATCCAGTGAAGCTCCGTGGGCCTTCTGCCCCTTTCACCATGGAAGAGAAAAGTATCTCTGTGTGCGCCACTTGTCGTGGCTCACTCAGATCTATATCTAGATACGGACGCATTGTACGCCGGTCAATTCTGGACGAAACAACAAAGAGATTTATCACTTGGTCCAACTCACAGTATGAAAAACTTACTAAGTTGATGTTCATCGAGTTTGAAAAGTTGGATGAAACGCCAAGCGGGACGAAAATATCCACTGTCGGGGACTCGAATCAGGTCCTCACGCCGCAAGGGTCCAGGCTGAGCATACTTCAAGCCCTAGAGACAGCTCTAGGGGACGACAGATACAAACGAATCATCAAGCTCCGACATAGGCTGAGCTTTTATAAGAACAAGGTGGCCAGGGAGGAACAGCCGTTCCATCGAGTCGCCACATATGTCCAATCCGCGAATCGCCGAAACAAAGAGACTAGGGACTTTCAGTATGATGACTCGGTAATCCAGAATAAGGGCATGTTGCTCGCTGAAACTTTGCTTCTTAAAACTGAAACAACGGCAATTTCCGACTTCATCAGTCTTTGCAAAAGCGGTAGAGCGCGTCCCCCGAAGATACAGGTTGACTTCGCAAGCTATTTTAAAGCATGCGACCAGCTTATTGGACTGGCAGGAAGTTTCAAATATCCAAAAGAACAGCTTCAGGGCCATATTTTCTATGCGTGGATGTGTGAGTTTGCGAGGTGGTTTTCCGCAAATGGCGATAAGAAAGAGCTCGAAGTCGGATACAAGGAGAGGGGACTGGACCATATCGGGCTGGCTCGCAACATCCTGGAAAGTCATCCATCTACAGCTCCGTTGTTACAGGAGGTTGAAACAGCCGAGTTTGCACTCAAAGGTCATGAATATCGTCAAGTCACCACTGATGAGCTCAAAGAAGTGTATGTTGCCTTGAGTGGTGACCTGAGAGGGACAGGTCACTGGTATACCTGCGAAAACGGACATCCGTTCACAATTGGAGAGTGTGGGATGCCGATGGAACAAGCCAGATGCCCAGAATGTAACGCCCCGATTGGTGGCCAAAACCATCAAGCCGTAGATGGAGTAAGGCGTGCTGAAGAGATTGAGAGCCTGACCAGGGGTGTGGGAAATCTTTGAAAAAAAAGAGAAAGAAAATACAAACCTTGGATTTTAAGGGACCTCCAACGGATGGTATGTTGACTTATATGACGTACTAGGTGACTTCAGGGAAGAGAGAAGGAGTTCTTTAGTAAAGTAAATGTTTAGACAGACTCGAGCAACTACAAACATATGCAATGCCGAAGTTGACCGTTCTCAAACCTGGCGAGCCAGTGACACAAAACAGCTGACGAAGTTTTTAATTGTTGCCTTTGAGTAGAATAGGTATGGAATAACGCAGTTCGCATCAAGAGACGAGAAAAACTACGAATAGGTTACTTCGTGCTTATCGATAAATTTCCCATCGCTGTCAGTGGAGGACAATGAAATGAACAAGCTTTGCATCGGAGATGGAGTTTCGTTTTGAATGCCTCACCTGCTCACCTGATTATTGGCTCCGCGTGCAATGTAGCTGCTACTTTGAGAGCCGGTCCACTATGCTCCGATCATTGAAAGAGGTATCGGAGCCATAGGCAAGACAAGGGGATGCAAGGTGGATATGACCTTGCGACGTGAACCCTTGTCAAGATACCCTAGTTTACGATCAGTTGCGCCATGGATACGATTATAATCCGTGCTGTCGTCGGGCAGAGCAGAGTGCCACTGCTTTGTAACCCAAAAATCATTAGAAATTAAATGTAATTTGTCAAGCAGACGGACCACTCAACCTGACTTTCGTTTCTCTCAACAGTGAGAGCGTGAGGAATAGTCACAAAATGATTCATCACGGCATTGGCTCATTATTAAGTCGCTAGAGTATAGCTCAGTTCTTTTTATTATCTGGGGCAACTAAATGAGTGTGCGCCCGCGCATATCGTGAATTAAAATTACTAGATACTTTCGTTCTTAGCTTCGTCTAACTTTCTGTCCCACTGCCTATCCAACAAGCACAATAGCCAAAGCTAAGACGGTGGCCAATTCTATCCCCCTGTCTAGGCGAACTGCCCCAGCTGTTGGGAGTGGGAGTTGTGTGGCAGTACTATTGAGATTGTGTGAAATATGAGATGGGGTCGCAAAAACAATCGTGGATGGTAAAGGAGATGATCTGGAAGTGCTAGGAAGTGCGGGAGCGTTGCTACTCAGGCGGCTTGCTGTGGATAGCGGCGACCCTGTTGTAGGCTTGGCGCTCTCAGTATCTTTGACGTCTGGAATATCCGTGGTGCCCAGAGTAGGTGTTGGTGACGCAGATGAGATGAGATAAATCGCCGTAGAGACGGCCAAAGTTTCGGTCACAAGCTTTGTTGAATCCGCCGGGCAGTTTTTGACGGTTGGGGCGCAAGATGTAACGGTGCGGGTAGAGGTAGCATAGATCGTGGAAGTAGTGTACTGGTCCTCTACATTACTGGTGAGGGCGGGAGAATTATTGGACTGGCTTGCAGTTGTTGATTCAGAAATAGGGAAAATAGTTGTAGAAACAGGTATAGTCTCAGTTGCCAGAACTGTCGAGTCAGCTGGGCAGTCTGTGACAGTCGGGGCACAAGACGTGACTGTATGAACAGAAGTAGTAAAGATCGTGGAGGTGGTCAAAATCTCATTGGAGCCACTGGTAGGCGCTGAAACGTAACTGGACTCTGTTTGTGTCTGTACCGTAGATGCTGGCCCAGATGCTGATGCAGATACAGGACACACAGTTGTCAAAATCGGTACAGTTGAGGTTACCAGGACTGTTGAGTCGGCCGGGCAATCTGTTACAGTCGGGGCGCAAGATGTAACGGTATAAATAGAGGTAGAAAAGAGTGTCGATGTAGTCAACTGTTCCTCAGCAGCGCTGGAGGAAGGAGTGATGGACGGTGATGGGGTTTGAATGATCGTAGGGTTGGATGAAGTAATAGTATCACTATGTAATGAATTGGTTGCAGAGATTTCAACTGGCGTGTTGGTCTCGATTGGTGTATATGATACGGTGTCGGACACAGGTACGCTTGAAGAGGGGGTGGATTGAGAAACGGCTGTGGTCTGGGTAGTAGAACCAACTGGGGATTCGGTGGGACTACTGTCTACCGAGCTAGTGCTTTCTGATGTGGCAGAAGTAGTAGAAACTGTTAGACTCGTAGTGGAAGAAGAAGACTTCTCAGATGCTGTCGTAGCTGGAACAGTCGAGGAGGATGACGATGAGCTAACCGCTTCCCCCTTGACTACCTCGATCCCTTGCCAAGTTCCGCTCATGTCGGTATAGGCATACTCCAGGATGCTCTCTTCTGGAGCTGAATTACCCCCGGCGTAGTCAGTGACTTTGACCGATTTGAAGTAGGCATCAAAAGGGGCATCATTGAAATCTGTCAAGCCTCCAGCCCACCAGATGAGGCCGTCGGAATTGCTCGATTTACCCCCGACCCAGGTACCGATCTTTACTTGTGAAGGCGTCTGGGGGAAACGAGTGCCTCCCACGGCATCTTCAAAGGCAAGAGTTCGAACAACCTTGCCGTCGATGAGCCAGTCGAGCTTTGATGAAGTCCAATCGAAGCCGTAGGTGTGGTACGTGGTGTAAGGCTTAGAGACGGCGTGGTCACTGACACAAGTATATGTCGTATTGACGCCTGCCCTTCCAAAACAGTTGGACTGAACTTCCCCATCTGTTCCACCCACCCACTCCCAATCAATTTCATCCAGATCCGCGGAGAGAAGAACGATGGCCGTGACTATACCCTGGCCAGCGGCAGCTTGGACTTCTACTTCGACGTGACCGAAGAAAATATATTTATCCGATGCAAAAGTGGGCGCCTGGTCCTCGTTGTCGATCCTGAACAATGCGCCCTTCTCACTGTACGTAACATTGGTAAGAGTGTCGAGCTGGGTAAAGCCGTCGCACAAGCCCGCGGTCAAGTCGCAGTCTATCTTCTTGTTTCCTAAAGCAGGCGCTGCAGGGCATTCTGAAAACCGACATTGTTAGATTGCATATCTTCATTGTGTAGTGGGTAAAGCGTTGCTGTAGCTGGCCGCTGCTACATACCTTTCTCTGTAGGATTACAATCCGTGTATGTCTGAGCTGCTGACAAGCCAGCAAGCGTAATCACCGTAAAGAGTGTCTTGGCAACCATTTTGGCTGGCAGATTAAGGCCTTGCAATAAGGCTCTGATTAACGAGAGTGGTGAAGCAATAAAAGAATGTGGCCATGCAAAGACTGACGCAGATGAAGGAAAACTCCACGAGAACCCGAGACGCAGCCAGCCGCACGCTTAAAAGATAAACTCCCAAACATGGTGCGTTCCAAGTCAGTGATAATAACAATGTCCATTATACCAGTGGGTATCCAAAGCTAGCTCGTAGTACGTACGCATGCCCCTAATCAGGGTCACAACGAACGGGTGATGCCTCACCTGAGCGACTCCTCTGCCTAAAATGCACCCCTGCGAATGCTTGTCTTATGGGACCAGATGCCCGGGACAAGACGCTTTTGCACGGACCGAGAATGGACCAGAAGCCGTTCATCCCCGACGTATCAGACGCATAGTTGAACGGTTCATGGAATCACGCAGCTAGCACTCAAATCAGAATCGGCGTGGAAATACTGATAAACAAATTAGGGCAAAGAGCTTCCTCAAGTTGATGTGCCGCGTACAACTAAGGGGAGTTTTGAGGTGGAACAGCTTCAGGTGAGACTCCAGAGTCGCATCAGGCTATAGCACCCTATGTTAACTGCCAGCTTCCGGATGTACCTAAGCCTAAAACCAGTACGGCCGTAGGGGAAATGGCCTCTAAGTCCTGTTTCGGAGCACATCCCGGTCTCGCATCACCAATGCAGTCAAATCCCCGCCCCAGTCTATCTAAAGCACAGCTTCATGGTTACAGCACAAGCAGGCGTCAAATTTCTATGTACAGGGGTTGTAAGAGCTTTAATTTTTCCGAAGTCTGAGATAGCACGTGATAAAAAGCAAACATACGGCGATGCACATACTAATAAGTACTTGGCGGGCCTAGATTAGCCGGCCCCCCTACCGTAGGTAGGGGGGGTCAGCAAGTAGCAATTTCGCCAGCGACTCGCAAAAAAAAAAAATAACCTAGCGCGCCCGTCAAAATAGGAGGCCCCGTAGGTACTAATATTTTATTAAATATCCCTCTTTAACTATAACCTATGTAATTATACTATATAATACAGCCTACTTATTATAATACTAAGCCTACTATATTATAACTATATATTCTATATATTAATAAATATCTCTTTTAATAATAAAGCTTTAGATTTACTTTCTTTAAAGCTGAATATACTAATTCTATCTATTTCCTATAATAGTATTATTTTCTTTATCTTCTAATTACTTTCCTTTATAATAACCAGTTTAATTATAATAATAATATAGGATTTATTATAAACTATTAGTTATATAAATAATTCTAACTATTATAGTTAAAAAGCTAACTACTTATATAATTAATAATATAAAGTATATATTTAGCTTATTAATTCTATTAAGTTAAGAAATATATATTTATCTTACTTATAAAACTATAGCTATAATATAAGATTATCTTCTAAGAAACCTATATTATTAGAACTAAAGATCTTTAATTTCTTTATACTTATCTCTATAATATTCTTTTAAATAAAGCTCCTAATAATATAAAGCTATTACTATAGAAAAGCCTCTTTAGTATAAATAGCTTTCTATTTAATTTATATAGCCTTATCTTCTTATATAGTATAGTAATTATAATTATCTATTACTATATAGCTTCTAGTATTACTAGTTATAATTAAACTAAATCTTACTATAATATATCTCTTATCTTATAGCTTTTACCTAGTTAATATCTTCTCCTTCTAATAGTAAAGCTTATTAGAAGTTATAATACTATTTAGCTTAAGAGCTTAGCTAATCTTATAGACTTTCTTATAAGTTTATAATACTAAAGATATTAGCTATAAGCCTGAGTTAATTAAAAGTTTAATTTAAAGTTAAATATACTAATAATATCTCTTAATTATAGAGATATTAAGTATTAGTATTAAGATCTCTTTCTATTTAGAATATAGTATTATATATAGTATTATAATATAACCTAGTTATTATATACTTAGCTATAATTCTTCTAAATCTAAAGCTCTTAATAAGGAAAAATCTATATTAAGTATAGAATCTTTATCTTTATCTCTAACTTTATCTCTAATTTTAATATAGCCTAGAAGTATAGCTATATTTATATTTAGAGTTAGAGATAATAAAGGGTTCTAGAGTATATCTTATTAAGATTTACCCTATAGACTATAGGGTAGATCAGGTTACCCTATATTAGTTAATTAAATAATCTTAGATTAGTATAGGATAAGGAGGAATAAAATAACTAACTTAGAGCTTTCTAAAGCTAGAAGCCTGCTAAAGCTACTAGCTTAACCTGCTATAGCTATCTGTTAGGGTAATTATATTAGTAATTATAATTACTATAATAGCTACTATAGTAACTATATTAGTAATCTTATATTATACTATAGTAGCTATATTATTAAGATTTACCCTATAGACTATAGGGTAGATCAGGTTACCCTATATCAGTTAATTAAATAATCTCAGATTAATATAGGATAAGAAGGAATAAAATAACTAACTTAGAGCTTTCTAAAGCTAGAAGCTTACTAAAGCTACTAGCCTAATCTGCTATAGCTACCTATTAGAGTAATTATATTAGTAGTTATAACTGCTATAATAGCTACTATAGTAACTATATTAGTAATCTTATATTATACTATAGTAGCTATATTAGTAGTTCTTATATCTACTATAGTACTTATATTAGTAGATCTTATATCTACTATATAAGAACCTTAGTACTTAGTTAGTAAATCTTATAATTACTATAATAGCTATATTAGTAGACTTTATATCTACTATAGTATTTATATTAGTAGATCTTATATCTACTATATAAGAATCTTATAATAGTTATAAGCCTATATTATAGAAAGTAATATATTATCTTTAGAACTCTTAGAGTTCTAAAATATCTATAAGTATAGAGCTTTCTCCCTACTAGATAGAGATTCTTTAAGCTACTAATTTACTCTTTTATCTATTCTATAATCTATTCTCTTAGCTATCTTATAGCTAATAAAGTCTCTCTTTCTTATTTAGTAAGCTACTTTTTCTATTATATTTTTTAAAATAATCTCTTTAGTATTCCTTAGCTTACCCTATAGATTATACTTACTCTAGATCTAGCTTACCCTATAGCTAGTCTATCTTATACTAAAGGCTTTAATCTTTTAAAAGATTATAAGCCTGGTTCTTATTTACTTTAATAAGAAAGAGCTTTATCTTTAGATTTAAAAGCTTTTACCCTATACTAGAAAAATCTTCTAACTTACCCTATATCTTAGTCTAGGTCTTAATAGCTTCCTTTACTAAAGAAGATCTAAAATAGCTAATAAAGATAGCTATATAGAAGGATTAGCTTCTAAAAGTACTAAAACCTATCTTTCTTTAGTAATTATTCTAATAGCTAGTATTACTACTATAGCTAGCTAATTAAATCTTTTTAGTATTACTAGTACTATTTCTATAGTAAAGAGTACTACTACTACTTAAAGCTTATAGGGTTAATTAGTAAACTTTAATACTATTAGTACTATTTCTTTAGATCTTATAATAGATAATACTACTATTACTTAGAGTCTTTAGAATTCAGATACTACTAAAGCTATTACTACTATATAGTAAACTCTTTAGTAGTTTATAGCTATTATAAATTTACTATAGTTATAGTAGATTCCTAGTATTACTAGTACTAGCTAACTAGTTTCTAATACTATTAGTATTATTTAATAGCTTATCTTATAGAGCTTTTAAAGCTCTAATCTCTTAACTAGAGTCTTTAAAAACTCTATTATTAAGAATTTTAATAAAAGGATTTATAAGTTCTCTAAAGCCTCTAAATTATAAAAGCTTTATAATTTTAATTAGTAGAAATAAGCTCTAGAGATCTAATTTAGAGTTCTTAGATTATTATTATTTATAATAAATCCTATTATAGTCTAATAGCTATTAGATCTAAATCAGACTATCTTACTTATACTATTAAAAGATAGCTATATAGAGAGTCTATAAGCTATTATAACTTAGTAGATCTCCTCTATAGAAGTCTATAAGTTACTAGTTAAATAGTTCTCTTATAGTATTAAAATTCAGTATAATTATTTATATATCTAATTTTATAGGCTTTATTATAGGGACTTTAAAAGCTTATTAAAAGCCTTTAATAATATATTTAATAACTTTTTAGCTAGACTATTACTAGCTAAGATTACTATAGCCCCTATAGATCAGACTAATTAGTATTTAAAAGCTTTAAAAGGGATCTTCCTATAGTAGACTAAGTACTAATAGAATAATCTTAGAATTACTAAAACCTCTAAAAGCTCTCTAGAGCTTCTGAATCTATAGTTCTTTATAGTAGATCTTCTAGAGGAATAATATAATAAGAGCTCTTTAGTAGCTAAAGCTATAAATTATAGGGCTAGATATACTGAAAAGTCTACTAAAAAGAAATCTTTAAACTTTAAAAAGTTCTCTAAGGGAAAGATCTAATAGAAGAGATCTAAGTCTAAAGCCTCTGAAAAAAAGCTAGCTAAACCTACTAGCTTTACTCTAGACTATAGTCTAGAAGATCTTTAAAGCCTACTAGAAGATAGTAATAAAGAGAGCTCCTAATTAGCCTTTTAGACCTATTAGCCCCTTAAACCTATTAAAATTATAATAGCTTCTATTACTATTAGCTTTAGTAGTTAGAGATATAGTCTACTAAATATCTTTCTATATAATATAAACTCTATAGTATACTTAGTAAATAATAGAGCTTATTATAGAAACTATAAAGTTCTAAAGTATTTTAAGATAGATTATATTCTAATAGCTACTAGTAAGATCTATCTTATAGATATTAGAACTACTATATTTTAAATTCTAATCTCTTAGAACTCTCTAATCTATAAGGATTTAGAATTAAAAGAAGCTTTTTTCCTATTTACTCTAGAGATTAATATAGTTAGTAGGATAAGATATTATAGTTTAAAGAGTACTCTTCTAAGATAATAGTTATTTATAGA